TCAAAACTTACCAATTTGAGATCAAAACTCGACTATCTTCTCACAATTGAATTGGAACCATTTCATATTGTTGTATTTCGATCTGAAAAAAAGGATCAATTAATTTATTATTCGAAAATTTAAAGTTTTTGAATAAAAATTCAAAAATTGGGCATAGCTTCCGCATCTCCGCTGAAATTTCAATTTGTAACTGATAAAATTAAATATTTTTCAAGATTTTCAGAAAGAAAATCAAGAAAAATATAAATTTTATCAGTTTCAAATTAAAATTCCAGAATTTCATGTCAGTTATCAAAACTTACCAATTTGAGATCAAAACTCGACTATCTTCTCACAATTGAATTGGAACCATTTCATATTGTTGTATTTCGATCTGAAAAAAAGGATCAATTAATTTATTATTCGAAAATTTAAAGTTTTTGAATAAAAATTCAAAAATTGGGCATAGCTTCCGCATCTCCGCTGAAATTTCAATTTGAAACTGATAAAATTAAATATTTTTCAAGATTTTCAGAAAGAAAATCAAGAAAAATAGACATTTTATCAGTTTCAAATTAAAATTCCAGAATTTCATGTCAGTTATCAAAACTTACCAATTTGAGATCAAAACTCGACTATCTTCTCACAATTGATTTGGAACCATTTCATATTGTTGTATTTCGATCTGAAAAAAGGATCAATTAATTTATTATTCGAAAATTTAAAGTTTTTGAATAAAAATTCAAAAATTGGGCATAGCTTCCGCATCTCCGCTGAAATTTCAATTTGAAACTGATAAAATTAAATATTTTTCAAGATTTTCAGAAAGAAAATCAAGAAAAATATACATTTTATCAGTTTCAAATTAAAATTCCAGAATTTCATGTCAGTTATCAAAACTTACCAATTTGATTGATCAAAACTCGACTATCTTCTAACAATTGAATTGGAACCATTTCATATTGTTGTATTTCGATCTGAAAAAAAGGATCAATTAATTTATTATTCGAAAATTTAAAGTTTTTGAATAAAAATTCAAAAATTGGGCATAGCTTCCGCATCTCCGCTGAAATTTCAATTTGAAACTGATAAAATTAAATATTTTTCAAGATTTTCAGAAAGAAAATCAAGAAAAATATAAATTTTATCAGTTTCAAATTAAAATTCCAGAATTTCATGTCAGTTATCAAAACTTACCAATTTGATTGATCAAAACTCGACTATCTTCTAACAATTGAATTGGAACCATTTCATATTGTTGTATTTCGATCTGAAAAAAAGGATCAATTAATTTATTATTCGAAAATTCAAAGTTTTTGAATAAAAATTCAAAAATTGGGCATAGCTTCCGCATCTCCGCTGAAATTTCAATTTGAAACTGATAAAATCATCCATTTTTCAAGATTTTCAGAAAGAAAATCAAGAAAAATAGACATTTTATCAGTTTCAAATTAAAATTCCAGAATTTCATGTCAGTTATCAAAACTTACCAATTTGAGATCAAAACTCGACTATCTTCTCACAATTGAATTGGAACCATTTCATATTGTTGTATTTCGATCTGAAAAAAAGGATCAATTAATTTATTATTCGAAAATTTAAAGTTTTTGAATAAAAATTCAAAAATTGGGCATAGCTTCCGCATCTCCGCTGAAATTTCAATTTGAAACTGATAAAATCATCCATTTTTCAAGATTTTCAGAAAGAAAATCAAGAAAAATAGACATTTTATCAGTTTCAAATTAAAATTCCAGAATTTCATGTCAGTTATCAAAACTTACCAATTTGAGATCAAAACTCGACTATCTTCTCACAATTGAATTGGAACCATTTCATATTGTTGTATTTCGATCTGAAAAAAAGGATCAATTAATTTATTATTCGAAAATTTAAAGTTTTTGAATAAAAATTCAAAAATTGGGCATAGCTTCCGCATCTCCGCTGAAATTTCAATTCGTAACTGATAAAATTAAATATTTTTCAAGATTTTCAGAAAGAAAATCAAGAAAAATATAAATTTTATCAGTTTCAAATTAAAATTCCAGAATTTCATGTCAGTTATCAAAACTTACCAATTTGAGATCAAAACTCGACTATCTTCTCACAATTGAATTGGAACCATTTCATATTGTTGTATTTCGATCTGAAAAAAAGGATCAATTAATTTATTATTCGAAAATTTAAAGTTTTTGAATAAAAATTCAAAAATTGGGCATAGCTTCCGCATCTCCGCTGAAATTTCAATTCGTAACTGATAAAATTAAATATTTTTCATGATTTTCAATTAAAGAAAATCAAGAAAAATATAAATTTTATCAGTTTCAAATTAAAATTCCAGAATTTCATGTCAGTTATCAAAACTTACCAATTTGAGATCAAAACTCGACTATCTTCTCACAATTGAATTGGAACCATTTCATATTGTTGTATTTCGATCTGAAAAAAAGGATCAATTAATTTATTATTCGAAAATTTAAAGTTTTTGAATAAAAATTCAAAAATTGGGCATAGCTTCCGCATCTCCGCTGAAATTTCAATTCGTAACTGATAAAATTAAATATTTTTCAAGATTTTCAGAAAGAAAATCAAGAAAAATATGATAATTTTATCAGTTTCAAATTAAAATTCCAGAATTTCATGTCAGTTATCAAAACTTACCAATTTGAGATCAAAACTCGACTATCTTCTCACAATTGAATTGGAACCATTTCATATTGTTGTATTTCGATCTGAAAAAAAGGATCAATTAATTTATTATTCGAAAATTTAAAGTTTTTGAATAAAAATTCAAAAATTGGGCATAGCTTCCGCATCTCCGCTGAAATTTCAATTTGTAACTGATAAAATTAAATATTTTTCATGATTTTCAATTAAAAAAATCAAGAAAAATATAAATTTTATCAGTTTCAAATTAAAATTCCAGAATTTCATGTCAGTTATCAAAACTTACCAATTTGAGATCAAAACTCGACTATCTTCTCACAATTGAATTGGAACCATTTCATATTGTTGTATTTCGATCTGAAAAAAAGGATCAATTAATTTATTATTCGAAAATTTAAAGTTTTTGAATAAAAATTCAAAAATTGGGCATAGCTTCCGCATCTCCGCTGAAATTTCAATTTGAAACTGATAAAATTAAATATTTTTCAAGATTTTCAGAAAGAAAATCAAGAAAAATAGACATTTTATCAGTTTCAAATTAAAATTCCAGAATTTCATGTCAGTTATCAAAACTTACCAATTTGATTGATCAAAACTCGACTATCTTCTCACAATTGAATTGGAACCATTTCATATTGTTGTATTTCGATCTGAAAAAAAGGATCAATTAATTTATTATTCGAAAATTTAAAGTTTTTGAATAAAAATTCAAAAATTGGGCATAGCTTCCGCATCTCCGCTGAAATTTCAATTTGAAACTGATAAAATTAAATATTTTTCAAGATTTTCAGAAAGAAAATCAAGAAAAATAGACATTTTATCAGTTTCAAATTAAAATTCCAGAATTTCATGTCAGTTATCAAAACTTACCAATTTGAGATCAAAACTCGACTATCTTCTCACAATTGATTTGGAACCATTTCATATTGTTGTATTTCGATCTGAAAAAAAGGATCAATTAATTTATTATTCGAAAATTTAAAGTTTTTGAATAAAAATTCAAAAATTGGGCATAGCTTCCGCATCTCCGCTGAAATTTCAATTCGTAACTGATAAAATTAAATATTTTTCAAGATTTTCAGAAAGAAAATCAAGAAAAATAGACATTTTATCAGTTTCAAATTAAAATTCCAGAATTTCATGTCAGTTATCAAAACTTACCAATTTGAGATCAAAACTCGACTATCTTCTCACAATTGATTTGGAACCATTTCATATTGTTGTATTTCGATCTGAAAAAAAGGATCAATTAATTTATTATTCGAAAATTTAAAGTTTTTGAATAAAAATTCAAAAATTGGGCATAGCTTCCGCATCTCCGCTGAAATTTCAATTTGAAACTGATAAAATCATCCATTTTTCAAGATTTTCAGAAAGAAAATCAAGAAAAATAGACATTTTATCAGTTTCAAATTAAAATTCCAGAATTTCATGTCAGTTATCAAAACTTACCAATTTGAGATCAAAACTCGACTATCTTCTCACAATTGAATTGGAACCATTTCATATTGTTGTATTTCGATCTGAAAAAAAGGATCAATTAATTTATTATTCGAAAATTTAAAGTTTTTGAATAAAAATTCAAAAATTGGGCATAGCTTCCGCATCTCCGCTGAAATTTCAATTTGAAACTGATAAAATCATCCATTTTTCAAGATTTTCAGAAAGAAAATCAAGAAAAATAGACATTTTATCAGTTTCAAATTAAAATTCCAGAATTTCATGTCAGTTATCAAAACTTACCAATTTGAGATCAAAACTCGACTATCTTCTCACAATTGAATTGGAACCATTTCATATTGTTGTATTTCGATCTGAAAAAAAGGATCAATTAATTTATTATTCGAAAATTTAAAGTTTTTGAATAAAAATTCAAAAATTGGGCATAGCTTCCGCATCTCCGCTGAAATTTCAATTTGAAACTGATAAAATCATCCATTTTTCAAGATTTTCAGAAAGAAAATCAAGAAAAATAGACATTTTATCAGTTTCAAATTAAAATTCCAGAATTTCATGTCAGTTATCAAAACTTACCAATTTGAGATCAAAACTCGACTATCTTCTCACAATTGATTTGGAACCATTTCATATTGTTGATTTTAATCTGAAAAAAAGGATCAATTAATTTATTATTCGAAAATTTAAAGTTTTTGAATAAAAATTCAAAAAATTGGGCATAGCTTCCGCATCTCCGCTGAAATTTCAATTCGTAACTGATAAAATTAAATATTTTTCATGATTTTCAATTAAAAAAATCAAGAAAAATATAAATTTTATCAGTTTCAAATTAAAATTCCAGAATTTCATGTCAGTTATCAAAACTTACCAATTTGATTGATCAAAACTCGACTATCTTCTCACAATTGATTTGGAACCATTTCATATTGTTGTATTTCGATCTGAAAAAAAGGATCAATTAATTTATTATTCGAAAATTTAAAGTTTTTGAATAAAAATTCAAAAATTGGGCATAGCTTCCGCATCTCCGCTGAAATTTCAATTTGTAACTGATAAAATCATCCATTTTTCAAGTTTTTCAAGAAAAATAGAAATTTTATCAGTTTCAAATTAAAATTCCAAAATTTTCAAAGTTTTTATTTCCAAAAAATACTCACTCCTTTTTGAACAAAATCGAAATCCTTTCCATGAAGTGGTCGCGAGGCAAAATCAGAACAATGATCGGCTGGATTTAAAGCAGCTCGGAGGAATGGAATATCTGAAAATTAACTCGACCTTCTGTTGAAAAATGGAAAAATTTCATATAATTTTTGGAAAGTCCTAAATCATACTCTTGAGAATTATACACTGAAATTCAGCTTCAATTTTTTCATGACATTCTCACACTTTTCAATTTTTCAAAAACTCAAAAATGAATTTTAAAAAGAAACATTTTGAAGTTCGCAGAAAAATGGGTCACGTCAGAAAATTTATGAATTTTCCGAAATTATTCAAATTTTCGGGTTTCAGGAATTTTAGAGATTTTTTTCGAAATAAAATTCCAGATTCCTGAGAGTAATATGATTATATTACCGAAATTGATACTGTTTTCATAATTCTTACCTTAATTTCAAACCAGCTCAGTTATTACTCCAGACACCAAAAACGGTAGAATAATCCTTTTTTTCAGCGAACTTCCAAAACTTGAGAAATTTGTGCAAATTGAAATGGCTTGTTCGAACCCAAATTTCCGCCAGATTCGATAACTTCGGAATTTTGTGCATCCTTTTCTCCACGATTATAACACAGACCTAGTGCAAAAAAAGTGCTCGAAAATCCATTGGCCAATCGGTTGAGAACATAAAACATAAAGTGAACAAAAAACACATAAATACCTTTGAAAATCCATTGAATCGAGAAGAAACGAAGAAAAAAACACTGAAATGTAATAATTAATAAATAAATAAATGAGATATTTTGAAAAGTTTGCAAACTTTTGAATAAAAACCAACGAATAAAGTTTTCTATTATAAGTTTAATAGAAATTAAACGAAAATAAAGCGAACGAATCAAGTACAAGATTAAATAATTACAGAAAATTAGGGGGAGAGGTGCTGAAAATACAGATAGAAAAATCGAATATAAAATACTGAAAAACCCCCAGTTTCGCATGATTTCCACTTCGAAAATATTGGGAAAAAATCCTAGAATTTTAAAAAGTTTATGGGATCTCACTAGTTTTAAGAATTCGAAAAGTTTTGTCATCAGCTAGGAAAAATTGATAAATTAATCCAAATTTCTGAATATCCAACTAGAAAAGTTAATGAAACCAGATTGTAAGAAATCATATAAGTTTTGAAAAAATTAATAAAAAATTTGAGAAAGATTTTGAGGGGAATTGAAAGATTTTTCGAGATTATCTAGTTTTCAGATTTGTGAACTATAAACCTGGAAATAAGTAACCTAATCGTTTGGGTAGAAAATTCATTTTTTTTAATTATTAATCTCTGAAAAAATCTCAAAACTTTTTTTCAATAAAAATCAAAATGAAACTTGCTCCAATAAAAAAGGTGCAAAAAATTACCTGTTTTCTGAAAAAGACAAGAACATACGGGACAAAGGACAAAAACACGGGACAAAAGACAAGAACACGGACAAGGACAAATTGGAGCAAGTTTTTCAAATGATTTTTTTTTTGAAAAAAAGTTTCCTAGATTTATTTCTAACCTAAACTTCACTTTTCATTCTACCCAAACTCAAACTACAAACTTACCCAAACTTACTTTATTCAAGTTCACAAATATTATTCCTAAAACCTCTCAAAAAACCAACCGCATCCTTACTCAAAACCCATCCCAAATTCCCTACAAATTCTCCCTCTGCTTATAAAACTTCCCACTCGCCAATCTCACTAAAATTCCTAGAAAAACACCCAAAAATTCAGAAAAACTTATCAACTTTCCTAGCTTCCGACTAGCCTTTAGAATTCCCAAAAAAAGTGGAATCCCATTTTTTAACCTTAAAAAATCCTAGAAATTTTTCCCACTAATTTCGAAATGGAAATCAATTGAAATTCTGGGGATTGAATCTCTCGATTAAAAATTTTGCATTCGATTTTCTACCTGATTTTCAGCTAAGAAAGAAAAAGGGGAAAGTGTGTGACATGAAGAAAAAACACAGAAAAAAACCTACAGAATTACTTATTTAGTTGAAGACGATATTTGTTGTTGTTGTTGTAGTATATCTTCTGAAACATGGATTTTTTGGATAAAAAAAAAGAATTTTTTTTTTAAAACTTACGTTTAGAAAGAAATTGAAAAGCAGTTGATATTGAAGAAAAAAAAAAGTGAAGGCGAGTTACACGAAATCTGAAAAAAAAAACAAATGTTTGTGGACGGTCCAAAGAAAAGTTCGATCCAAAAACTTACATTTACATGAATCAACTCATTCGAATAATCAATTCCATGCAAGGAAATCGTGAAATTCCAAGAATTTTCATCTTCAGGACAATTCGATGATTCCGAAATCTTTGGTTGATTTCCAACACTAACATCATCGAGAATAGATTTTTGAGAACTTCACATTTCATTTCTCTTGATTGATTCATCAAATTTAAACGCGCTCAAATTGAACTATATTGAACGAATCCTGAAAAATGTAATTTAGTTTTTTCAAGAACAAAAAAAGAAATGAAAAAATGAACTCACATTCAATCTGGCTGATTCGAAATCAGATTTACGACTACAGAAAATGTTCATCATCCATCCTTATTTTTAACCAGCACGGCATTTCATAATTTGATAACTTGTTTCGGCGGTTTCCAACCAATATAACAAATACAGAAGTGTTTCACACTATATGTACATGAATTATTCACACCTGAAAAATTGAAAAATTATTTGATCATTCAAAAACCATTCAAAAAACTCACGATATTTTGCAATTTCAATGCCAGGACATCCGATTACTTCAAAGACTTCAGATTTTGCCCGAACATTTGACATTGCAACGACGTGTGATACCAATCGATTGATTATCGACTTTCGCAATCTGGAATAAAAATTTTTGAATTTTTGGTAGATCAAAATTTTGAATTTTTTTGTAGATCAAAATTCTCTTTGAAAATCCGCTTTTCCAAAATTCAATAGTACTGTAAATCAGACTTTTTTTAGCGCCAAAAGTAATCATAAATAAATTGATGCCAAAATGTGAACTACAGTAACCCATATTTATAGCTTCTAAATTCGTTTGAAAACCTGACTAACCTCAAATTTCCTGGGTTTTGCGCAAAATTCGTGAAAATCGAGAATATTTGAACTCGTGGATTTGGGGAGCTTTGCAAGCTAAAGTCACCAATGATTGTGCCAAATTCAAATCTGAAAAATTTGGAAAATTAATTGATCATCCAAAAATCGTTCAAAAAACTCACGATATTTTGCAATTTCATTGCCAGGGCAACAGATTACTTTGAAGACTTCATCATTCGCCCGAAATGTTGAAAACTGCAAATCTTTGGAAACTTTGTGATTTCGACCAATATTGAAACTCCAAAAATCGAACTACTCAAGAATTCCTGAAAATGTTTCCAATTTTGAATTGAAAAAAATTGATGGAAGAAACTCACATTCAATTCGGTGGTTCAGAATCGGATTTCTGACTACATTATAGCTTCATCTTCCATCCTCATTTCGAACCAGCACGATGGAGTTTTGGTGATTTCGGCCAAATTGTTGCAGAGTTGTACTCATTGAACAGCTTTGGAAGCTATATCACCAATGATTGTGCCAAAGATACATCTGAAAAATTTGGAAAATTAATTGATCATTCAAAAACCATTCAAAAAACTCACGATATTTTGCAATTTCATTTCCCGGACATCCGATTACTTGTTTGGTTCATCGTTTGTCCTCAATTTTTGAAATTGCAACATTTTTTGGGTGCGTAGATGTTTCAGAACTTCACAGTTCCTCTCTCTTGATTGGTTTCACCAAAATTGAAAGCGCATAAATCGAACTACTGATAAATCCTGAACATTGTTATCTTCAACAACAACAAAAAATTAACGAAAAATAATAAACTTACATTCAATTTGGCTGGATCGAATTCGGACTTCCGACTACGATAAATCTTCATCATCCATCCTTGTTTTGAGCCAGCACGGCATTTCAATATTTCAGAAGTTTTGACAGTTTATAACAAATACAGAAGTGTTTGACACTTTATATGAATTATTCAAATCTGAAAAGTTGGAAAATTAATTGATCATTCAAAAATCTTTCAAAAAAACTCACGATATTTTGCAATTTCATTGCCAGGGCAGCAGATTACTTCAAAGACTTCGTCATTTGCCCGAAATGTTGAGAACTGCGAAATATTTTGGGTGCGTAGATGTTTCAGAACTTCACAGTTCCTTTTTCTCTTGATTGGTTTCACCAAAATTTAAACTCCAAAAATTGAACTAATTATGAAGTCCTGAAAATTGTTATCTGAATTTAATATGAAAAAAATCAATTAAAAATAATAAACTCACATTCAATTCGGTGGTTCAGAATCGGATTTCTGACTACACGGTGTATCTTCATCTTCAATCCTCGCTCGTAACCAACACATGGAGTTCGGTGATTTTTGGTGAAAATATAGAGTTGTAACTCATGGAGCAGCTTTAGAAGCTATATCACCAATAATTGCGCCAAAGTGATAGCTGAAAAATTCGGAAAATTAATTGATCATTCAAAAATCTTTCAAAAAACTCACGATATTTTGCAATTCCATTGCCAGGGCAGCAGATTACTTCAAAGACTTCATCCTTCGCCCGAAATGTTGAGAACTGCAAAATCTTCTTTGGAAACTTGTGAGTACGAAATATTCCAGTTGATTTAATCACAGTGAAAACTCCAAAAATCGAACTACTCAAGAATTCCTGAAAATGTTTCTAATTTTAAAATGAAAAAAATTAATGAAAAAAAACTCACATTCAATTCGGTGGTCCAGAATCGGATTTCTGACTACGAAATACCTTCGCCTTCCATCCTCGTTTCGAACCAGCGCAGTGGATTTTCGGTGATTTTGGCCAAATTGACGATGTTGCAGAGTTGTACTCATTGAACAGCTTTGGAAGCTATATCACCAATAGTTGTGCCAAATGGACATCTGAAAAATTTGGAAAATTAATTGATCATCCAAAAACTATTCAAAAAAACTCACAATATTTTGCAATTTTATTGCCAGGACATCCGATTACTATTTTCATTTCATCTTCTATCCGAATATTTGATGCTTGCAAAATTTGTTCGAGCAACATAATCATCTTGTCGGACTTTGAGACATTGAATCCAGAATTTTTCGAACTTTTCCTGAAGTTGCTCTTGAAGTTGTTGAAACTTGGCTCTTCTACAACTTCCAAAAAATGGTAGAAATGTTGGAACCGCAAGAGCTGCAGTCTCTTGCGGTCCCACATGGGGATCAGGTCCATGTTTGCTTGATTTCTCCAAACACTGGCATGTGAATCGGGGAGTCAATTCCCGATTCAATGTTCGATCTCCTTATCAACCAGAGATTTTCCAGTTGGGGTGCCAATTGAATTTCCAATCGATATCCACGTGGGGATCATGTCCACGTGGATTTCCATCTCTGCGTCTCCAATATTGCAGAATTGTATTCGAATCGGGGAGTCAAGTCCCGATTCGGCTTCCGATCTTCTTATCGACCAGACATTTTCCAGTTGGGGTGCCAATTCCCTTCCGAATTTTCAATCGATATCCACGTGGGGATTATTTCCACGTGGATTTCTCCATCTCCAATAATTGAAGCATATTTGAATCGGGGAATAAGGTCCCGATTCTTTATACCAATCCACGAAACGAGCTGACTCCTGAAAATTCCAGAGTTATTCCACAAAAAATAAATAAATATTACTGTAGGCGTTTGCGCACATTTTTTTCTAATTTTCCAAAAAAAAAAGCGAGAAAATGTTAGTTTTTTTGAAAGCTGATCCTGAAATTATTAGGAAAAAACTCACATTTCACAGGATTTTCGCGCATACTATAAAAAATTCACAATTTTTGGCACCAATAATAATATACAGCGAGCTTCAATGGTGAAAATCCAATATTTTGCCGATCATAAACTCCGGATTTGTTTGTCATGAGCCAAATAGAATACTCGTCCCGCTTTTTGCTCAAAATCAAATCAAATCATCATGGAAACGACCTGAAAATATTATCAATGTTCATTCACATTGGAATAAAATGTAATTTAAATATAACTGGTTAGAAAAAAAACTCACTGGATAGAAATCATCGATAAATCAAATTGCATCTTTCAGTCCGATTTTCAGGTGGTTTTCTTAGTTTCGACAGCCAAATATTCGAATTGTAATATTGCGACAAAAACGATTTCCCCACAAAAATCGAATAAATGAGCAAATATAAGAACCGATTTTCAGGTGTGGTTGAGAATATCGTGGAAAAGCACAAGTTGATTCACCAATTCAATCACCAAAGATCACACTGAATTGAATAATTGCCAGTTCAAAATCGAGTTGAACAACTGAACGAATCAAAATATCCGATGAATTGTGTGTAAATTTGTGCGAATTTGGAAAATCTTCGTCGAATTTTCGCCGAAATCAATGCAGTAATTCGAAAGCAAGACTTGTGGAAATAACATTCGATGTTTCGAGGTTCATCAGGTTTCGGATCAATCTTTGGTCGAAAAATTTGATTCCAAATTGATTTCAAAACAATATCGAGTGAATGTTCTTCGGGTTCCTTGTAGCAAATTGCATAGAGAAAAGAGCAGTAGATGATTCGATCCACCAATCATAATCAAACATATACTCGATTAGCAAATTGTGATGCAAAACAAGAATGCTGTTTCCAGACATTAATTGGTAAACGAGCATGAACCATTGAACACTTTCCGAATGAATTTTATCAAAATCATAACATTTTCCGGTTGATAATCGATGATCAACAACGAATAATTCTTATGTCATCGAATAAAACCAAAAGATTCGTCGATTTAGTGAATTGATCTGCAATTATTTAATAATTTTTATTCAAATTTTTATTTTTTCATCATCATCAATTATTTTTCAAACATTTTTCAGTGAAATTTCAAGACGATTAAATAAAGTACAAATTAACGTGTTGACACACTCATTCTTAAAAAATTATTTCAAAAAAACTTACTCGAAGAGAAGAATCGGAAAAACATTCATCACATCCAATCAACTTAAAATTTCACAATTTGGGAGTTGTTTCAACAGCATAACAGTTCGAGATAGCATTTTATGATTCATGAAATAATTGATTCAAATTTTCCCGCAAAAATTTGAATGATGTTCGATTCAATATTTCATCATCAATCAACAAATTGAATATCCGACTGTAGCAAAAATTGTGGAAATAACATTCGATCTTTCGAGGTTCTTCAAATTTCGGATCAATCTTTGGTCGAAAAATTTGATTCCAAATTGGTTTCAAAACAATATCGAGTGAATGTTCTTCGGGTTCCTTGTAGCAAATTGCATAGAGAAAAGAGCAGTAGATGATTCGATCCACCAATCATAATCAAACATATACTCGATTAGCAAATTGTGATGCAAAACAAGAATGCTGTTTCCAGACATTAATTGGTAAACGAGCATGAACCATTGAACACTTTCCGAATGAATTTTATCAAAATCATAACATTTTCCGGTTGATAATCGATGATCAACAACGAATGATTCTTGAATTCTTGAGTCATCGAATAAAACCAAAAGATTCGTCGATTTAGTGAAACGATCTGCAAAATTATTTATTAATTTTTATTCAAATTTTTTATTTTTTCATCATCATCAATTATTTTTCAAACATTTTTCAGTGAAATTTCGAGGCGATTAAATAAAGTACAAATTAACGTGTTGACACACTCATTCTTACAAAATTATTTCAAAAAAAAAACTCACTCGAAGGAAGAATCGGAAAAACATTCATCACATCCAAACCATCCAATCAACTTCAAATTTCACAATTTGGGAGTTGTTTCAACAGCATAACAGTTCGAGATAGCATTTTGTGATTCATGAAATAATTGATGCAAATTTTCCCGCAAAAATTTGAATGATGTTCGATTCAATATTTCATCATCAGTCAACAAATTGAATCCGACTGTAGCAAAAATTGTGGAAATAACATTCGATATTTTGAGGTTCATCAGATTTCGAATCAATCTTTGGTCGAAAAATTTGATTCCAAATTGGTTTCAAAACAATATCGAGTGAATGTTCTTCGGGTTCCTTGTAGCAAATTGCATAGAGAAAAGAGCAGTAGATGATTCGAGCAGTAGATGATTTTTTCATGAAATATTTGATGCAAATTTTACCGCAAAAATTTGAAGTGAATTGTTTAACACAATCAATATTTCATCATCAACTAACAAAATTCACGTGGATTTCATAAAAATCGCAATTTCGAGTCCAGATTCCATTACATGAATGACGAAACTAGCGGCTTCTGAAAATTCAAAATTAATAAGTATTACTGTAGAACGAAACGATGTTTGCACGCACTTTTTTTTTTAATTTTCGAGAAATAGCGAGAAAAGTTCGGAAAAATCAATAGCACGAAAAATTGAGAAATCTGGGACCACAGGCTTTATTTTCCAACAATTTTTCCTGTCGGCCACGTATTCTGCCACGTCACGTGGCCCACGTGTACACGTTTCACGTAATTAAAATTGTTTTTTTTTCAATCTCATCTTTTTTTCTTCACTATTGAAAACAAAAAAAGGTGGAAAATAATTTCCGAAATTATAAAAAAGACTCACCATGTTTCGCAAATTCCTCGCTCAGATCATCCTTCCTATCATCCTTCCTCTTCAATTTCAGACATTTACAAAATCGCGAACTTTGTGGGCGTTCGATTCCTCCTGAGGACGAAGTCCATTTTCGTTGATAGAAACTTGATCACAGGAAATCTCCAAATCCAACAATTCCAATTCGACATTTTCCAAATCAAAACCAAATATCTAGCCAAATGAAGTCGATCCAGATACATTTTCAAATGTTGAATTCGGCATTTGTTTGTTGATTGGATTTTTTTAGCTCCTCGCTTTTTTTGCGAAATGTGCCGGAGGCAATAACACATAACGTTTTGATCCTTTCGGGGTCAATTGACCCAATTCATGACGTTCGGCAAATGGCAAATTTGCACGTCCTTATTTCAGCTTCACATCGACAAAATTGAATATTCTTTAAATGGTCAGTTCAAATAATAACAATTTCATAAGTTGATCCACTCCTTTCAATAAACACTCATTTGATCAATGTATTGCCATTAAAATCAATTGCTTCTTTGAAATCGCGACCGAATCCGTATCTTTTATACGGCTAGACTGTCGGAATAACAAAATCGACAATTGATTGAATTTCGTCGTTTTTCCGGAGTACGCCCGGCCAATTTCTTGATTATTCCTCGAATCGACATAATGATGATTTTGCGGTCCAATGACAAAAAATCCTCCAAAAATCTTGATCCAGAAATTGTGTCGTTCTTCGCTTGAAAATCCAAATTGGTTTCCGCGAGTGATAAAACATTTCCAAGGTTTCTTGTTTCAATAAGCAATGAGAAATGGATAATTCGATCCGCCAAGCAAAATATCAACATAAACTCAATTTCCATGATTATTCAAATATTGATTGAGAACAAGACTGCCGATTCCAGACATTACTTGGAAAACGAGCATAAACCATTGGCAAACTACGAAATTTCCTGAACATTTTCCGGACGATAATCTTTTGATCAAAATCCTCTATAGTTTCTTGAAATCGTTGTGCGCGAACTTGAAAACCGTCTCGGTTTTTGTGTCAAAAATCCTTGAATTAATCGAATGGAACCAATTGATTCGTCGAATTTTGAAACGATCTGCAAAAATTGCTCAATATTTATTCGAATTTTTAATATTTTGATCAGCACGCATAATTTTTATAATATATAAATTAACGTGTTGACACACTCATTTTTTGGAAACTATTTCGAAAAAACTCACCTTGAGGAACCAATCGAGAAATTATCCAAATTATATTGGAATGTCCGTTTGTTTGCCATATCGATATTTCCCAAAGAAATCCACATAAATCACACGAGAAGACGAAAAACATTCATCGAATTCTTTCAAGACGAAATTTCCAGAATTTCAGAGTTGTTTCGACAACAAAACAATTCGAGATCTTCGCGCAAAAATTTGAATAATCAACAAATTGAATATTCGATGCCCAGATTTATGTTGTTGTGGAAATTCGATTCGCTTTTTTGAGGTTGGTGAGATTTTTGGTCTGAAAAAATAAAATTTGTATTAAGAATAATATTTTCAATTTTTTGATCGATTTCTTGATAAATCAAATTATTTAAATTGTTTTTATCTATCACATTTTTAATAATTCTTTCTTTGAAAAAAAAATTTGAAAAAAAAACTCACTTGAAATCAAAAATCAATCATTATCGATCAGAACTTTTCAATCATGTTCCACCCATCGCACAATATACTAAATAATCAGATCCAAGTCGACTTGAGCAATGATTGAGAAAAATCTTGATCAAAATCGTGTCGTCTTTCGTTTGAAAATCCGAATTGGTTGCGAGTGATAAAATGCGTCGATAATTTTCGCCCCAAAATTGTTGCTGATGTTGAGCTTAAAGCATTGATTGTTAACTTATCACAGGGGCTGCTTCTGTGACCCCTGCGCGTCGTTTACCGGAGGTACGCCCGGATCGAAAACCAAAAAAACAGCGACATGAATTTCAATCCATTAACCTGAAAAATCCAAATAATTTTTAAGCCCACAAACTATTTATTTTTTGACCTTCCTAGTTTCAAAATCTCAAGCGCGAGCGGAAAAAAAATTTCAAAAAAAAATGTGTGCAGTTTCGCGTCAGCGTGTTGGCACACATAAAAATTTATTTTTATTTTTAAATTCTCGAAATTTGGAGGAAAGCTGTAAAAACTCACTTTTTGGTGGAATATGTGGATTGAAATTGGTTGAAGCGGTTGAGATGGTGAAAAAAAGGGATCACAACAAGACATCGAACATTTCGCCATTTTTCGATGTTTTGATGAGGCAATAGTGTGTGGGAAGACGAGCCAAATAACCAGGTGAGCATTGGGAAATAATAAAGGGCAAAAAAAATAATAATAAGCAAATGTTTTTTTGGGATTTTGATTTTTTTTCGATTTTTTTGGGTTTTGATTATTTTTTTTGATTTTTTTTGGATTTTTCGATTTTTTGAATAAATAAATAATAAAAAATAAAATATTCACATGGAAAAAATTCGGCACCAGATGTTGATTTTGGTGCGATAGTAGCTGAAAAAAATTTATTATTTTTTTGCAGATCGAAAAAACGACAACTCACTTGAACTATCGAGCATGAAGCTCGACAGATGCTTCCAAAGTTGAACATTTGGAAGCTAGTTGGGTGAATTTCCGAGTCGATGGATTTCTCAGATATTCAGTCGACATTTCGCGAAGTTGCTGAAGTCGCTTGGTCAAGCTCGATTTGCTGCCGCCAAAATCCATACTATTAAAAGCGGCTGTTATGTTGTCCAAAACCAGCCTGACGTCTCGAATCGATACAATCGACTTATCCAACTTCTTAAATTTCATGGGTGACAATCCGGCTTTGGCGGAATCGGATCGAAGTTTCATCCCATGAACTTTTTTCGCAGCCGGTTTTGCAGGCGTCTTGACAGCAGATTTTGGTGGTCTTCCGCGCTTTTTTGGTGGAACCGAAGCGACGGTTGGCGGTGTCGGAGCGGCATGAACTTGTGGAGTAATTGGTGGTGGAGTCTGCGGAGCGGGAATCGCGACAACAGCGGCAAGAACTTGTGGAACAATTGGTTGTGGAGTTGGAGGAGCGGAAATTGGCGGAGCGGGAAGCGCCAAATCCGTCGCTGATGTTGTTTTCGACCGTTTTGCTGGCGGCGCAGGCGACGTTGCTGCTGACCGTTTTTGCGGTGCTCTTTGGCTATGAGGAGGGCTTTGGCGCGTTCTCCATTTCCTGCACAATTCCCCATATATCTCACGAGGAACCAATATTCCTTGAAACATTTTCTGCGACTCTTTCATTTCATCCGCAATTCTCGCTCGAATTCTCGCCTCCATGGTAGCAAGAGGCACCCCATTTATAATTAAATCGACCGAGTTGTCTGTGGCGATGCTTATCCTTTTGTTCGGAACTCGGCCTTCGGTTCGAACCAAAAGTTCATCGTCAAGGAAATCCATTTTCTGATCAGCATCGTACAAATGATCCGTCAACATCACTTCAGTACTCGATTTTTTAGATCGGATGACTATGCCCGGACCACGAACAACATCTATTGGGCCCATATCTGAATCCGAATCAGAAAAGTGGCGATCAGTTTGTCGAGGAATTCGGACTGGGGCGACTGGGACGACTGGGTCATTTATTCGACGTCTTAGCGCTCGTCGCCGTGCAAGCCACTCTTCTCCTGATTCCACTGGCGATAATGAACGGAAACCATCATGCGGCAAACGAGCGCGGTGTTGGTCGTCGTTTGGTTCCAATTCATAATCATTTGGCGATGAATAACGATATCTATCGTGCGGCAAACGAGCGCGGTGCGGGTTGTCGCTTCGATCCGATTCATCATAACCATCATTATCATTATCAGTGGCGGAAATTGATTCGACGGGTTGTGTGGTTGAACTTGAAGAAGTCGCCGACACTTCAACAATCGGAAGCAATCCATGAGGCGCATGTGAAATGCGATTCTTCTGAAAGAAACTTGGGTATATTCTGGGTACGGTAAGTGATTTTTTTTATTTTGATATTTTATTTTTACAGTACAAAAATTGTGAATTTTAGAATTTTTGACATCTAAAAATTGTGATTTTTCAATGTTTGACCTCTAAAAACTGAAATTCAGATTTTTCAAATAAATTGTACTCTGGCCAGCCACGGCTTGGCCGAGGTGTGTCAAAAATCATCACTCGTGTTTATTTTTAGAAATTAAAAAATAGTAATTCTCATCAAGTTATTATTTTTTTAAAAAAATGTAATTTTTAGTAGTTCAAAGTTGCAAACAATGCTCATTTAATTTTTTTCAGAAAAAGAGAAACTAACCGGTGGTGTTTGAGATGGTCGATTCAAATAACTATGAGGTCCTCCCTCGTCAGAACTGATGTTCAAAATCTGCACCATTTCCACCATTGACAAAGACATCGATGATTCAGGTTGGTTCGAATCATTTGACCTTCCTTCTGGTGTTTCTTGATTTTCAGCGCGTTCTTCAACATCCATCATTTGTTCTCCTTCTTCTTCATATTCAGCTTCATTTCCAGTCATTTCTTCAGCCTTTTCCATATCTTCACCAGCAGAATCTTCTTGTTGTTCAGTTGAAGGATCAATGAACATCGACGGCGCAAAGACTTGAAATTTCGGTGGAGAATGCATGAATCGATATCTTTGCGGTTGTGGAGTTCGCAAAACCGATTGATTCGTGCTGTCATCGTAGAGTGGTGACAAAGATCTTGCGTCGATAGCTGGCATCGGATTTGTTGGCGCAATATTCGAATGTTCGTTGTTTTGGGATTCTTGGCGATCACTATCCGAAATATCAATTTGTGCACGAGAAGTTTGCGGGATTCCTGAGTCTTCGGTTTCATGAAGAACTTCGCGGCGATCTGATGTTTCAGCCAACATCTCGTGTGAAGAATTCGTGGACGTTTCTGACAATTCCCCGATCGGCACCATTCCTTGAGGAGTTTGTGAAATGCGGAATTTCTGAAACAGAAAATATTTTGAGTACGGTAAGTGATTTTCTTATGATTTTCAAAATTTTGAAAATTCAGAGTTTTTTGAAATTTTATGAGAAATTTGCTCATAACGTATTTTCTCCGAAAAATATTTATTCTCAAACTTTTCGAAAATATTGTATTTCAAAAATCACTCATTGAGCAGACATTCTCGTTTCTCTCAGCTCTAGTTTTCATGAATTTCAAGTGATTTTTTTGATAATTTTTTCAATTTTCATTTAAAACATCAATAATTGAATAATAATAATAATTTTCATAAAATTCCTATTTTTAAAAAAAATCATATATTTTATTTTTAATCAGAACTTCAAAGTTTCAAAAAATTCTCCTGGGAGTAAAACTTTTAATATTTTTTTTTCAAAAAAATGCAACTAACCGGTGGCGGTTGGGATGGTCGATTGATGTAACTATGAGGTCCTCCCTCATCAGAGGAGATTTCCAAAATCTCCAACATTTCAGCCATAGACGAAGATATGGTTGATTCGGGTTGGTTTGAATCAATTGGCCCTTTTGTTACTTCCGATATTTGCTGATTTTCAGCCGACTCTTCAACATCCATCATTTCATCATCTTTTTCTTCTTCATAACCATCTTCGGTTCCATTTTCAACATCTTCGACAAATCCCCCATCTTCATAAACAGCAACTTCATTCAACGAATCTTCTTCTTGTCCATTTGCGGGATCTTTGAACATCGACGGCGCAAAGACTTGAAAATTGGGAGGCGAATTCAAGAATCTATATCTTTGCGGTTGTGGAGTTCGCAAAACCGATTGTCCTGTGCTGTCATCGTAGAGTGGTGACAAAGATCTTGCGTCGACAGCTGGCATCGGATTTGTTGGAGGCAAATTCGGATTTTCGGTGACTTGGAACTGTTGTCGATCCGAAATATCAATTTGGGTATGAGAAGTTGGCGAGACTCTCAATTGTTCGACTTCGCGTTGATTTCCGGGTTGATCAATCAACTGTAAGAAAAATGGAAAAATTTTCAGTACGGTAGGTGATTTTTTTGTGCTTGAAATTCTTAAAATTCAATAAATATGTCTTTCAAAATCGAAATATTTTTTTCAAAAAAAAAGATCAGATAATCTGATTGTGAACTAAATAAAAGACGTTAAATTTAAAATGTAAATTTCCATTTTCTTGAAAATCTTTTCCGGAATAATTTCAAATTTTGAGCTTCAAGCTTTTTGTTCCGGAAAAATAATTGTATTTTTCTGAAAATCAAGAAAAAAAACTACTAACCGATTCGGCACGATTCTCGTTCCTTGCGATTTCATTCGAAACCGTTTGGGCACCAAATGCTCCGGGAGATGTTTGTCCATTTGAGGATGACAAGTCCTTTTGGTCGTTTTTGCCAGAGTTGGCAGAGTTTTGGGCGTTTTCGAATGACTGAAAAAATTTAGAGAATTATTAATGATTCGAAATTGAAATATTCCAACTTACCTTCGACATTATTTTGCAATTGCAAATTATTAACTACACAAGGAGTAAACTGAAAAAAATGAAATTTCATTGAGAATTTTGAAGAATAATAACAAAATCCGAAAATATCACATTTTTCAGAAGTAAAAATAGTTACAATTTTGTTATTTGCAGATTTTAGATTCAGACAAACCTTGAATGTTTTAAAGTTTCAGAAACTGAACCCAGATTTCAGGGAAAAAATGTGAAATTCGAGATTAGAAACTAATTGATTTTTCAATTTTAAAAAGTTTATTTGAAAACCTAAACTTTTAGTGAATAAATTCAAGAAAAGTTTTTTTTTTAATCTGAAATTCCAGGGAAAAAAATTAACGAGGGAAGTGTGTGACGAGTCTCAAGAGGTTCGCAATAAGAGATACATGTTTCTGTGCAGTCTTTCACGCTAAGAAAGGATTTTCAAATTTTGGCTCATTTTTAGCTCTTTAGAGAGTCGCTCACCAAAAACTGAACACGGGAATTTTCTCAGCGTGAAAAACTGTACAGAAACATATGTCTCATCGTCAAAAACCTCCGGGCACTCATAACACACTTCCCTCATTAGAAAAGTTATGGAAATATCTGAAATTCCAGGCAAAAAAATTCTAGAGAAAGATTAAATCAGATTTCAGATAATTTTTTCAAAAAAAACTCCACATAAGAATTTATGAATTTCAAAAAAAAATCTGAAATTTCAGCCAAAAAATTGAAGAGAAATGTAATTACAATCTGGAATTCCAGCCCAAAATTAAGAAAAATTATGAAAAAATCTGAAATTCCAGCCAAGCAAAGTTCAAAGTTCATAAAGACAATAAAAAATAATGATATGCCCCCAACCATATAATCAATCAAAAAAAAGGACGCCGCCATAAAAACCAGCCAATCACCAACAGGGTGGTAATCTCTCTGCCTACTCTCTTATTTTTCCATACTCTCTCGCTTCCTGTTTTTTTGTTCTTTGAACTCGTTTGTTTGCATAAGACCAATGCATGTGTGTGTCACACTGTGTTTATATAGTTTGATAATTTTGTTGTTTTTTTTTTAATTCTCGTAGATAAAAAATAGAAAACCAGTTGACCTTTCAGTTGGAAATCTTCTAAAAATTTTCTGTGCACTTTCAGATCACGGTATTTTTATTCCTATTTTTTATTTTTTCTGACAAGGGAAGTGCATAGGGTCATGTGTTGAACTTTTGATGAAACGTTCGAAATATACCTAATCGACCATGCTGATCACGATTCCGAAGTCAAAAAATGCCACAAATGCCTGTGGGCACTTTTCTGGAGCTCCAAAGTTAGAATTGAGTTTTGGTTTTTGCCCATTTTCACCTTGTTCCTGGGTGGAAAATCAATTTTTATAACATGAATGAGGTTGTTCAGCACATTCGAAAACCTATCAGCTTTTTAGTTTTTCGAAAAATATGAAAAACCAGCTGAAAACTGTAATTTTCAAAAATGCACAAAAAACTTTCTTAAAAATTACAGTTTTCAGCTGGTTTTTCATATTTTTCGAAAAACTAAAAAGCTGATAGGTTTTCGAATGTGATGAACAACCTCATTCATGTTATAAAAATTGATTTTTCACCCTGGAATATGATGAAAATGGGCGAAAACCAAAACTCAATTCTAACTTCGGAGCTCCAGAAAAGTGCTCACATGCATTTGTGGCAATTTTGACTTAGGATTCGTGATCTGCATGGTCGATTTGGTATATTTCGAACGTTTCATCAAAAGTTCAACACCTGTGCACTTCCCTTGTGAATAACTTTGTAAATTTCCATAATTATTGTTCATAATCAGATTTCGATCTGAAAAGTATGTTTTTTTCCGAATTTCCAACAGTTTTTCCAAAATATTGGTCACATTCAGAATCAAGTTTCTAATATAATTTTTCTCAACTTATGAAAAGTTAATTTTGCCAAAAACTTGTCCTACGTGAATTTTTCGAGTTTTCTATTTTTCACCTGCAAACTACTTTATACTTTTTCCATCTGGCGTACCAAAAACTTCCGTAAAAATATTATCTCTAAAATGTACCTAGATTTTATCCTGATTCTTCAGACCTTCTACATTCTAGTCTCAATAGTTGCATGCTATACTCTAAGCCAAAAATTCGAATCAAATTACAATCCACATTTCTACACGCTCTTCAAAATTTCAGCCATTTATTTCACAATTTCGGTTGTAATTTTTGGATTATCTGTAGTTTTCGAGACTTATGATTTGATTATACCAATGTTTTTACGTGCATTTCTAAGTGCGTTTCTCGATTTTTCAAGCTCATTTATACAACCAATTTGCTCGATTTTTATCGTTTTTTATTCGATCAGTTTTATTTTTCAAAATTCTGATATTTTGGATCAAAATTTTATTGGAAAAGATTTGTGAGTCCTACTGAAAGTTTTTCAAAAAATTCTTTGTTTTTTTTGTTGAAAAGCTTGGAATCCCACGTGGAATTTTTAAATTGTTCAAATTGAAACCTCTACATCTTTCCGAGACCATTTTCCACCTGAATTTTCAACCAAAAAACAGCTGGAAAAAAACCTGAAAAAGTTGTTACTCTGGATTCCCTGTCATTTTTTTTTAGCTCCAAACATGCCCACATTTGAAATAATCAATATTTTTCAAAACTTCTATATTCTAGCCTCAATATTCCTCTATTTTTTCCTGAAAAATTCCAAAAAACTACCGACTAACTACAATCCACATTTCTACACACTTTTCAAAATTTCATCCATTTATTTCGGGATGTTCAGCCTAGTCTATCTGATAGCCTTTATTTTGCTGCTGAATTCGAATAAATTATTTCTGATTCATATGGGAAATTTAGCAATTTTTAATATTTTGAGCAGTTTTATTCAACCAATTTGCTCGATTTTCATCGTTTTCTATTCGATCAGTTTTAATTTTCAAAATTCTGATACTTTGGATCAAAATTTTATTGAAAAAGATTTGTAGGTCCTCTAGAGAATTTTCGCAAAGTCTTCAAATTTTTATGTTGAAGCTGCGAATCCACGTGGCTTTTATGAAAATTTAAATTCAAAAACACTTGCTGCGTGAAATTTCCAGAACCAATTTTTAGAAACAAATTCCACGTGGCGAAATTTCATTGAGAGTTTCGAGAACTGAAAAATCCACGTGGAATTTTTGATTTTCATTTCAGAAATTTAGTGTTATGGATTTTTGCAATAGTAAATGGAATCTGGAGTCATCAATTTAATAGTTATAGTAAGTTCAAAAATTATTTTCATACTTATTGAATTTGAATTTCTCCAGATTTTTTCCAATATTTCTTCAATACCCCAGATTTGACTATAAATTTGAATATTTTGGAGCCATTTTATTATTTAATAACAACGATTGCAATTTGTATTCAAATTATAAAAATCTGCGAAAAATCCATCAAAAAACTGTCGACTTTTGAATTCGCCAATCATTTTCATATCATTCAAATTCTAATTTTCGATGAATTTTTTGCATTTCTAAAAATTTTAATAATCCTAAAAACCGGAGATGTTTCAATCAAATTTCGAAAATTCGAGAATATTTTATATTTTCAAAATGGAATTTGGCAATATTATGCGATTATTGTTCCGTTTTTATATCCATGGAGTTTGATTTTCACAATTTTTTGGTTGAAATTTTTGAAAAAATTGAGGAGGAAACGACAAAATGTGGTGCATTTTGATATTATTCGGACGCAGATTTTATTTAATTAATTAATTTTTGAGAGAAAAAAATGAATAAAAATTTTTTTTACTTATTCACAGGAAAAAATACGTTTCAACATTTGTAGAAATGATTTTCAGATTTGGAAATTTTCGTTGAAAAAAATCTACTTTGCTGTAAATCATTTCAAAATCCACGTGGCAGGCGTTTTTCACGAGCTTCTTCAAATCCCCAAATGTTCCCCAGGGTAGATCAAAATGTTGCAGCGCGCCCGCGAGATCCAATTCTCTATTTTCCTACATTTTTCAATGTCTGCGTCTCGTTTTTGTTTACTCTCTCATTTCTCTCTCTTTCAATTTTTCAGTGTTCCAATCAGTCGAGGTTTTTTTTATCATCGACGAAAATTTCTCTTCATTTTTTCTGTGTTTTTTTTGTTGTTGTTTTTCTTTTTCTTTTTTTTTTGGCTGAAAAGAAAGCGAAAAGATGGAAAAAAGAAAAACAACATAGCACAAAAAACTATGCTGAACAGCTCTTTTTTGCGCAAAAAATCGATTTTTCCGACAGAAAATGTTGTTTTTTTCTATGCTCAGCTTTTCCCTCATATGTTTATAGAAAAAAATGTTTTTTCCGCCAATTTTTCGAACGCTGAAACATTGCTTTTATTGATTTCAATGCTGCACTTTTATTCTCTGGCTTAGGCAAAAAAGAGCTGAAGCAGACAAAAAAACTGAGTTTTTGAGAAATTCACGTAGTCTTCCTCTTCTTCTTCTTCTATTTTTATTTTTTGTCGTGTTTTTCTACACAGCCAGTTGAGAAAAGCTTTCTTTTTGATTTTTTGGTTGTTTGGATGAGTGTACTTTGAATTTACACTAGGAAAATGCATTTCAATGACTTGAAACTAGAAAAACCAAAAATTCACACGTTTGAAAATCAAATTTTCGCGCGTGTGCAATGGAGCGCACATACGCTATCAGTCGATAATTCATTTCTCAGCACTTGCAGATGTAGCTAATTCATAGCTCAACCGATCGCAGCCCTTGACACTTGCGTTTTATTTACGAACAGTGTGCGGTTTAGCTACAAACACACACCGAAGTCTGTTTTAGCTACGAAACACACACGCATGTTTTAGCTACGAAAACTGTTTTCCTGTTTATTGCGAAATACTGCTCATGCGGGTTTCTTTCTGTATTTGGCGTAGTTAGAAAACTTGCAAATATAAAACATTTATTCGTATTGAAACATACAATAACATAAGAATATGAAATTATAGTCAGTTATTCACCAGAAACACTTATTTTTCTCGCAGTTGTTTGATAGCTTCTGGATCCTGGACAGGCCGAATATTAGATAGAAAAGCAGCAACTAAAATTTTCCAATAGGGCAGTAGGCTTGCAAAACATGACGATGTGGTGTTTGTGCATTTTGCGAATCCATCTGGCGGTTTAACTTCCCAAAAACCTATTAGAAGCCAAATTGGTCGAGATCCATGACATCCGGCTTTTTTCTTGTTATTGCCATCTGTAAATTGAGAAACATTGTGGAATGTTGGAAAATTTGTTGGAATTACCTCATTTATTGAAGATTTCACCATCACTTTCCACTTTTTCGAGAAACGCAACAGACTGACTGTTTTTCTGCAAAAATTCAATGTAAAACGTAACTTTTAGATGAACTTACTCGTTCTCCATCGTTAAAAAACTGACGCGTAGACAATATAATATGTAATTAGCACTTTTCTAGGCTTTAAGTCGCGAAAATCGTCGAAAAACAAAACAAAACGAAGAAAACATGTTTGCGCGCCAAAAAAGCTTAGCTAAAACGTATGTGTGTTTTAGCTGAGAAATCGGTCAGAAACACTGAGCTAAATTTTTGCTTCGATTTAGCTGGAGATTCAAGTTCTTTCTACGGTTCAGCTACGAAAACCCTCAAAATATGATTTAGCTACATCTGCAAGTGCTGAGTTTATTTTTTTGTTTTTTTGAAGTTTGAAATTCTTTGTTTTCGTGGGTTTTTGAAAATATGTTCTCAGGTGAAAAGTTGAAAATAGTCTAGAGAACTTCTATTCAATGAAAAAATTTGCGTTTTTCTCAAAATTTCTAGAAAACCTCTGGGGATTTCAAAAGAATTCTATTTTTTTGAAAATACACGGAATTTCGGTTGGACTAGGCTTATTCCACCCGCCCGAGTTTAATTCTAACAAAATTCCCTAGCAACAAAGGTTGATTTAGTTATGACGTGGCTAATCAGATTTCCCACGTCATAACTATCCTTGAAAGTTCTAGCCCTGATTACATCTCAAATCTAGCCCAAATTTCATAATTTCTCCCATCTCGATGATGAAAAAAGCACATAGATTGAAGAGAAAAAAATATTTGTGATATATATTTTTGTGTCTCTAAATAGCAGCAGCTGACATTGTTATTTGGGTCAAACTCTCAAAAAATCTTCCTTTCTCTTTAAAATCTCCAAATTTTTCTCTATATCTAGAAAATCTAAATGTTTCTGTCCAGATGCTCTTTTGCTCCGTGCAAATATGAAATTCTTGTCGACCAGATTTGATATCAAAAAGTTATTACCCATGAAAAAAAGCGAAGAGAAAATCTCGCCCATCTTTTACACTTTTTCAGAGTTGTTCACTTCTTTCTCTTTTCTAATCGATTTTTTGTGGCTGTGCGCCGAAAAAAAGGATAATCTCTTTTCCGGCGCCAGGCTTCTTCTTCTACTTCTTCTACATTTTGCCATTTACACGTTTCTCAGCAATTAGCGGGAAGTTGGCTGAAAATAGGCGAGGACTAAAATTTCCATGAGGGAAGTTTTAGCCCCTCGATTTTCGCTATAGCTGAAATATTCTTTGGAAGCTCAAAAACTCAGGTTTTACATAGTTGAGTAACCTAGTCCCCGACCTTCAAAAGACCTCTGAGCTCTGGGACTAGAAAATACAAGGACTAGAAAAAAGCCCTGAATTCAAAAGTCCTTCTCGTTATCCAGGTGGCGGACTAGTTTACTCATCTTGAATTCCTAGGCCCCCATTTAATTTTTCTAGTTTTTCTTAAATTCAAGACAACCTTGAACTTTCGATCTCCATCTTTAAAAATTTCGACAAAAACATTTTTTTTGCCCAAAAAATTTATCCCTTTTTCAACCAGCCGATTGTGTTGATAAAGAAAAACAATCACTATTTTTTTATTATTTTCTTTTTTCAACAAAAAAAAGAAAATGATAAACAAGTAGTCGCTGGCCGAATCGACCGGCCACAAAAAAATACATGATAGGCGGTTCATTTTTGGGGTTGTATTTGTGTTGTGTTATTTTTTCATGTTACTTATTGACTTACCGACTTATTTACACATCATCTCGTTTTTCTTGATCAACTGATGTTTTCATGTTTTTCGCGTAATCCTGTTAAAATCTCGGGTTTTAATCGTATTCATAGAATAGATCTGACGAAGAAAATCCGGATGATATAATTTTTGATGAATTTACGTAACTCGTAAGTGATTTAGCAACCTTTAACCATAAATGTCGCTAAATCACTTACGAGTTACGTAAATTCATCAAAAATTATATCATTCGGATTTTCTTTGTCAGATCTTTTCTATGAATACGATTAAAACTCAAGATTTCAACAGGATTCACACCTCGGCCAAAATCGTGGTTTCCACAATAAAAAATTGTACGCTAACTTTTTACAGTACAAATATTGTGAATTTTTCAGTTTTTGTTCTCTAAAAATTGTGATTTTTCAATTTTTGACCTCTAAAAACTGAAATTCAGATTTTTCCAAAAATTGTACTCTGGCCAGCCACGGATTGGCCGAGGTGTGACAGGATTACGCGAAAAGTATGAAAATATCAGTCGCTGGCCGAAATTCCCACTGAAAATCCCATTTTTTTCAGGTGGAAAATCATGATCTCGAACGACCACGATCGCCGCAAGCAAATCAGTGTTCGCGGAATTGCGCAAGTCGAAAATGTCAGCAACATCAAGAAGGCGTTCAATCGACACTTGCATTTTTCCATCATCAAGGTAGACATTTATTGGGCTGGGCTGTGGCCTAGGAGAGGTGGATGTGGATTTCTAGGCCTAGGGCCCGAATGAAACTCACATTTTTCTGATTTAAAAAAATAACGGACTAAATGAAATTCATCCGCGTGAACTAGAAAATTTGTATTTACACGTGTTTTGGGCATTTTCAAAAAATTGGGCCCGAAGCATTTAGTCCTCAAAAATCGTAAGTGTTTCAATATTATGACGTGGCTTTTTTCAGCCTTTTTTGTTTTTGTTGTTGAACCAAGCAAGTTCTACATTTTTTTCACAAGAACATTGAACTTTTTTTTGGATGTTTTATCAGTTGAACAAAAAAATGATAGGAGAGAGTTTGATAAACAAATACACACACACAGTATTTATATTAGAAAATTGCAAAATAAACTTGATATGTCCTGACCCGAAGAAAAAATGGAACATCACGTGGATGTCACGTGGTTTTCTGTGTTTTTAACTTTTGGGGAAGGCCTTGAGAAGACTTGGGATTCTCGGGGACTTCTATAATTTCAGACGCTTTGAAGATATTCAAAAAATGCCACGTCATAGTCAGAATTCAACTGGAAAACTGACGTGGAACTTTTTTGAAGAGCGTCTGAACTTGCAGAAGATTCTGTAAGAATTTCTTGAAATCTCGAAGTTTTCTGTAATTTCAGACGCTCGAAAAATTAAAATAAAAATGCCACGTCATAGCCCAAATTCAAAGTAGACTTTGGACTATGACGTGGAACTTTTTTGAAGAGCGTCTGAACTTGCAGAAGATTCTGTAAGAATTTCTTGAAATCTCAAAGGTTTCTGTAATTTCAGACGCTCGAAAAGTTTAAAAAAAATGCCACGTCATAGTCTAAATTCAAATGAATAATCATGAGCTTCATAATTTTTGAAATTGAATTCGGACTATGACGTGGCGTGTTCCGGGGGTTTCTCCATCTGAAAGCACAAAAAACCCTATCAGAACATCCAAAATTAGACCCCCCCCTCTCCAAATTTGCCACGTCATAACTCTTCCAATTTTTTCTAGGATCGTAACGTTGCCACCGAACGAGACTACTATTTCGCGCTCGCCAACACCGTTCGCGATCATCTCGTCTCCCGCTGGATTCGCACTCAACAACACTACTACGAAAATGACCCGAAACGTGTCTACTATCTCTCGTTGGAGTTCTACATGGGTCGAACTCTCTCGAACACAATGATGAATTTGGGAATCCACGCGACCGTCGACGAAGCGCTCTATCAACTCGGTTTGGACATTGAAGAGTTGCAGGAAATCGAAGAGGATGCCGGACTCGGCAACGGTGGTTTGGGACGACTTGCCGCCTGCTTCTTGGATTCAATGGCCACACTCGGAATTCCGGCCTATGGATATGGTTTGAGATATGAATATGGTATTTTCAAGCAACTCATTCGTGATGGTTGGCAAGTTGAGGAGCCGGATGATTGGCTTCGCTTCGGAAATCCATGGGAAAAAGCGCGTCCCGAATACATGCTTCCCGTCAACTTCTATGGAAAAGTTGTCAAGGACGAGAAGGGAAAATCGAAGTGGATCGACACCAGCGTTGTTTTCGCCATGCCTTATGACACCCCAGTTCCAGGCTTCAAAAACAACATTGTGAACACTTTGAGACTTTGGTCGGCCAAGGCTGAAAATCATTTCCATTTGAAGTTCTTCAACGATGGAGATTATGTGCAAGCTGTTATGGATCGTAATTTGTCGGAGAATATTACTCGCGTTTTGTATCCAAATGATAATGTGAGGGTTTTTGGACGGAAATTCAGACAGGCCTAGTTCATTCAAAAAAGCCTGTATTTCAGCCGAGCCTCGATTAGCCTTAAATTGATACTAGATTTCTTTTCGGACCTGAAGAGATTCCAAGAGAATTTGACGGGCCTAATTATCGCCTCTCAAGTTGATCCTGGTTTTTGGAGAAGCCTAAACTTGACTTGAAGTTTTGAGAGGCCTGAATCAATTCTGAAATTCCTGACAGGCCTAAATTAGGCTCTCAAATTGACAGGTCCAAATCGAGCCTAGAAATTTTGACAAGCCTAAATTGAAGTGAAACCTAAATTAATTTTAACATGCCTGAATTTTTTCAAGCCTAATTCATTTTGAAAATTACTCAGAAGCTTAAAATTACAGACAAGATTAGCCTCGAATTTTTACTTTTTTACTAGATTTTTTTTGCGCCTAGATCGGGCCTAATTAACGCTTCTCAAGATGAGCCTGGTTTTTGGAGAAGCCTAAACTTGACCTGAAATTTTTAGAGTCCTAAAAAAGTTCTAGAATTTTGATAGGCCTAAAATAGGTTCCGAAATTGATAGTCTGAGATTTCTGAATGACCCCCAGACAAACAGCCCCCTGCATTTCCAGGCTCTAGAACCTCTCCCCAACCCTTCTCATTTCAGATGTTCCTCGGCAAAGAACTCCGTCTCAAACAACAATACTTCTTGGTCGCCGCCACTCTTCAAGACATCATCCGTCGCTTCAAATCGTCAGTCTACGGAAATCGCGAAGCTGTCCGCGTCAACTTTGACACCTTCCCCGACAAGGTTGCCATTCAACTCAACGACACTCATCCATCCATCGGAATTCCTGAACTCATTCGTCTTTTGATCGACGTCGAGGGACTTCCATGGGAACAAGCATGGGAGATCTGTGTCAAGACCTATGCCTACACCAATCACACTTTGTTGCCAGAAGCTTTGGAAAGATGGCCAGTCTCGTTGATGCAAAATCTTTTGCCACGTCATTTGGAGATTATTTATGAGATCAATCAGAAGTTCATGAACACCATCTCCACCAAATATCCAGGAGATTTCGATAGAATGCGCCGAATGTCGATTGTCGAAGAGGCTGATCAATTTGGCGAGAAGCGCATCAACATGGCTCATTTGTGCATTGTCGCTTCGCACGCCATCAACGGAGTTGCCGCTCTTCACTCTGAACTTCTCAAGAGCTCCACCTTCAAGGACTTCTTCGAGTTGTATCCGGAGAGATTCCAAAATAAAACAAATGGAATTACGCCAAGAAGATGGTTGTTGCTGTCGAATCCAAGTTTGGCTGATTTGATTGTTGAGAAGATTGGAGAATCGTGGATTACTAATTTGGACGAGTTGCAGAAACTCAAGGAATTTGCCAATGATGCAGGTCGGTCAGAATTTTAGAACCTTGTATTCAAGATTTTTCTAGTTGGTTTTGACCTGGTTTCAAAATCTACAAGACTCATCTTCTGATATGACTTATGACGTGGCAAAATCTGAAATTTTCGAAAAATTGTGACATAACTAGTTTCAAAAATAATACATATTCATAAAAATTTGCTCGAGACTATCAGATTTTCATGAAAACTATTTTTGAAGCTAGTTATACCCGCCTGAAGTCACAAATTTCAGACTTTTCCACGTCATAACTCATATAGGGAATGGAGTTTTGCAATTTTTGACAAAAGTATCATGATCAGCTAATCAAAATCTACTGTTCCTAATATTTTCCCCCTTCAGGTTTCCTCGATTCAATTCGTCGCGTCAAATTGGAGAACAAACACCATGTCGCGCAATATTTGAGTGATGAATACAATGTTCAAATCAATCCAGCTTCACTTTTCGATGTGCACGTCAAGAGAATCCACGAATACAAAAGACAATTGTTGAACATCCTCCACGTCATCGCATTGTACAATCGAATTAAAGCGAATCCATCAATCGATATGGTGCCAAGAACTGTTTTGTATGGTGGAAAAGCTGCGCCAGGTTATCATATGGCTAAACAAATTATTCGTTTGGTTACCGCTGTCGCTGAACAAGTTAATAATGATGCGATTGTTGGTGATCGTCTCAAGGTGATCTTCTTGGAGAATTATCGCGTTTCGATGGCTGAGAAGATTATTCCGGCCGCTGATTTGTCTGAACAGATTTCGACTGCCGGAACTGAAGCGTCGGGAACTGGAAACATGAAATTCATGTTGAATGGAGCTTTGACTATTGGAACACTTGATGGAGCCAATGTTGAGATGGCTGAGGAGATGGGAAATGAGAATATCTTCATTTTTGGTGCGTTTTTTGAGGAATTTTGAACCAAACACGTGGCAAAAATCCAGGAAAATTCAATTTTTTTCGAAAATTTTGATTTTCCACGTGGCAAAATCATTTTGTTTCGAAAAATTAGAAATGGATTTGCCACGTGGAAGTCACGTTTAAAAAAATATATCATTTTCATTTTTCAAAATTGAGCATTTTTAAATTGCCACGTCATTTCTAGTCTGAAATTTTGCAGATATTTTTTTTCAAATTTTTTAGATTTTCAAGGTTCATTTTTCTTAGACTGAGATTTTTTCAATTTTTCAAAACCGGTTCACAAATCGGTTCTGGAACCGAAAATTAATATTTCTAGTTCTACCAAAAAAAATCAAAATTTTCGAAAATCCTATTTTTTGCAGGAATGAATGTCGACGAAGTCGAAGCTCTCACCAAACGCGGATATTCCAGTCAAGAATTCATCAACAAAAGCCCAGTTCTCACTCAAATCATCGAACAAATCGACAACGGAATGTTCACACCAGAAGATCCAACACAACTTCGCGATCTTTCCAACATGCTTCGCTTCCACGATCGATTCATGGTTTGCGCCGATTTTGATGCTTATATTGAGGCTCAAGATAAGGTTGGTTGTCTTTTCGCAACAAACCTGTTCATTTGCAATAGTGCAAATATTGATTGTTCGCTCCATTGCGAATGAACACGCGTGTTCTTTCTTCTTTTCTCCCCATACAATAAATGAATCACATTCTTTTCATTTTTAGGTTGCCGCCACTTTCCGCGATCAGCCAACATGGTCCCGAATGGCGTTGAACAATATCGCTTCAACCGGAAAATTCTCCACCGATCGTACCATCGCTGAATACGCTCGTGAGATTTGGGGAATCGACAAGTTCGAGAGCAGCTTGCCGGCACCGTATGAAAATGAGAAGGCTGAATAATTTGTTCTTCTCGTTGTTTCCTGAATTTATTATTAGTAGTACCCTCACCCCATATTTTTTCTTACCCTTTAGGACTTTTTTCAATGTATTATATACACTGACAGAGAATTTTAATGCATGAATACATTTTGCCATATTTTTATACCCTTTTCACCACCGCCCCCCAGTGAGATTATTTAAATAACCCTATATATTGCGTGTTCGTATTTAACTGAATGAAAACGTTTACCGAAAGTTGTTCTTGAATTTTTTGTGTGGAAATGGAATTGAGTCCAGCTGAAGCTATATCTACTTCTGATTTTGTTAGTTGCTTACCAAGAACCCATTTTTCAATAACAACAATTTATTCAGAAAATAGAAAAACTTAACGACGACGGTAGACATTTTTCTTAGTTTTTGGCTTTGGTGGGAGAATGATACCATCATACTGAAAATAGGAAACTTTAGGTTTTAAAATTTGAATTATAAAGTAAATTTACCTTTTGTTGGAACCATTTGATTGATTCTTCACGTCCAACTCGGTGGGTGATTCCGATACGTCCTGGAGCACGTCTTCTCTTCGAGACACGTCCTCCATTGCGTCCGAGAACGACGTAGAAGTCCATACCGTAGATTCCGATTGATGGATCATACTTGATTCCAAGATCGATGTGCTCCTAGAATTCACAAATTAGATTAGGAAAATTTTGCAAAAATTAAGTAAACTCACTTGAAGACCAAATCCGAAGTTTCCGGTGTCAGAGAAGTTTTCTTTGTACAACTCGTATTCCTTGACCTTGAGTCCCTTTTCGAGGATTTCCTCAGCTTTTGGTCCTCGGACGGTACAGTGGACAGAGATCTTTTCGTTTCTTCTGATTCCGAAAGTTCTGACGGTGTATCGGGCCTTGGAGAAGACTGGGGTTTGTCCAGTAAGTTGTTCCAAAACCTGTAAAAACAACGTTCGGTTTTCTTTTCATGAAACCATCCCTTTTATTTTCTTTTTCATATGTTTCACAATGGCAATTGTGTGACTGGAATTATGACCAAAAATCATGAAAAGATGTGGAACAAGTTTCTCTTTTCAATAAAAAATATCATCAATTTTTTTCGTGATGATGTACTTAGTTTTGACAAAATCATGAACTATTACTACTGTTTTTCAAAAGGTTAGATAACTGAAACTAACTTTAGCGGCACGGGTGAGACGATCTCCAGATTCTCCGACACAGATGTTGAGGCAGAGTTTTTGGATCTTGAGCTCGCGCATGTTGTTGCGGCTCTTCTTCTCGCGAATCTCGGCTTGTTTCTCAGCGTCAGCCATTTTACCTGAAAACAACCAAGTAGTAAAAATTTTTGAAAGACTTCGCATTTTTTTCGGAAAAAAAACGAGATGGCCTAAAATCACATGCAAAAATTATTCCAGCGCTTCATTTCTGAGTATTTCGCAATACTTTTGATAACTAGAATTTCTACGAACTAAAAAATAGGGAAAAGCTGTAGAAAGCAAAAGAAACAAACGAAAAGTAGGAAAAGTCTCCTAAAAACCAGGAAAAGAAAATAAAAAATATTTTCCCCCATTGAAAAACGTGTGTACTGTAGTTCGCTGCGAGATATCGCTTGGTGAAAAATGTGTGTCCCTTGAAAACGTTTTTTCATTTTTTTCTCGAAAAATCAATCAATAACCCGATTTTCTTGCAGTTCCACAAATGACAGTGTCTACCGAAGGTTGGGAGAACTTCAAGACTAATAAATGGTTATTCTCCACACCCTCTTCATCATATGCAGATCGACCAAAATCAATTGTTCGACGAACATCATCAGAAGAGGCGCCAAAGTTGAATGGAGTAGAATCACCAGGTAATTTTTTATAAATTTTCATACAGAAAAAAAAGACAAATTTTTAGGAAGCCGTGCGAATCGCCCACGAACATTGTCTGATAGAGGAAACGAGATTCTAGATAAACATGAGGCGATGCTTGATTTATACGCATGGAAATGGTCAGAACTGCGAGAAAACTACAACGAGAAAGGGATTCACAACCCGTCAATCTATTGCTATGCAATTTCTACCGTTCAACTTCTCTCTCATATTCCAGCAATAGTCAGACTTCTGCAAGAACATCGATGTCAAGATCCAATTTGTTTAGCGTGTAATTGGAAAAGATGTTTTCTACAAAGCTCGAATAGCGCAGGAAGTATTAATTGGTTTAGAGAAGCTTTTAAAAGAGATCGAAAATTCAATCAAGGTCGACAAGAGGATGCACACGATGCTTTGCTGTCAATTCTAGGAAAGTTGGATAAAATCGCCGCGTCGATTCCTAGACTAAAAGAAAGAAAAGTGGCTGATGATTTATTCGGATACTCAATCAGAAATGAGGTTATCTGCAGGAATTGTAAAACCAAACATGTTTACTATGAGAATAATACAGTTATGACGGTTAGAATGATCAAGAAAGATCCGACTGGAAAAAGCGCGTCGATCAAAGATCTCATGCAGAATCTTTTCAACAATTCCACAATCTATGGATATAATTGTGCGAAATGTAAGAAGAAGAGTGATGCACCTGTGAAACCGACACTTCTTCGAGCCCCTCAAATCCTATTGCTGCACATCTCGCGATTCTCATTTGATGGATTTGGTCAGAAAATTTCACGGCCTGTTAAATTGAACGATTCGATTGATGTTTCGAGTATGGCGACTGGTTCCACGTCGACGGTTTATACTTTGTGCGGAGCGATTGTGCATAGTGGAAAGAGTTTGGATTATGGACATTATTATTGTGCGGCTAGACATCGGAAACGGGAAAGGCAATTTGTGATGTTGAATGATTCGAGTGTAAGATTTTGGGGGGAGGGTTTGAAGAGATAGATAATTCAATAAAGAAAACATCTGAAAAAATCCTAACTTTAACCGGAAATTGCCACGTTATAAATCATTTTCATTGATTTTCCAGCAACAAACAAAATTCTTCAAGAAAGGGATTTTATTTGAAATCGTAAATTTTACAAATTCTCTTGTAAAATTATTTTTTATATATACACAGTTGAAACACAAAACCAAATTTTCCAAAATCTGACATTTTATTGATAAAAATTTTGAAACGTATTTTTTTTTTGACTTGTCAAAAAAATCCTGATTTTAATTTCAGGTCAGCTCAAATGCCAATGTCCAAGATGTCCAACAATCCTACATTGTCCTCTATCGCCGTGCCGAACACGTCGAACTCTCCTCACAAACCTCGATGATCTAAAAAATGTTTCCTGAATTTAATTTTTCAAAATAGAATTTACATCCCCTCCTAGTTCATTTTTCCAATCACATTCATTTCTTTTTTTTGTACAATCTTGTTGTTGTTGAGTTTTCCGTCCCTTTGGAATTTTAGTATTTTTTGTCGAGTTCGCTTATTTCCCTCTCTGTGACAAATAGTATTCGCCTAGAATTTGTAATTTTTAATTTGCGGTAAGATTTTTTTCAAAGTTTATTCAGAATAAACACCACAATCCACGATTTTTATCAATTTCCGCGTTCTTCCCTGTTGCGGACCATTTCCCTCCAAAATTCCGAGTTTTTCGATTTCATCTAGGACTTCGAAGCCTTCGACGAGTTTGCCGAATGCCACGTGGAAATTGTTCATCCACGGTGTTTCGTCGAATGTCACATAGAATCGAGAGCTGTTTGTGTTCGGCCAACCGTAGTTATCCATTCCAAGAATACCGCTGGAAATTCCAGGGTTTTTGGTCTACGAAAAGGCTTGGGGTCTCACCGCGAATCATGTTTCATGTCGAAATTCTCGTCGTCGAAATATTTGGAGCCGAATGTGCTTTTTCCACCGCTCCGATCCTTGTTTTGAGTTTCAAAGTCGCCGGACTGCAAATATTTTGTTGTAGTGGGCTACTGTGGGCTCTGTTTCAGATTACTGTAGGCTGTAGGCTTTACGCTGGGTTACTACATTCAAATATCATTCTATAATAAAAAATGAGTTAGGATTACTGTAACTACATACTGTAGGTTCCCCGCTCTTAACTCACACAAGCGCAAAACGTCGGAACGACGCGGAAAAATTCGCAACCCTTGTATCCAAATCCCAGCTCTCCTGTGCACAATTTTCGAAAATTCTCACAAGTTTTCGGGCATTTTTGAGTGTTTAGCTAAGAAAAATGGGTGAATTTAGCATGGAAAAATTCAAAAATTCACCTCAAAAATCAATTTTCCGAGTGGAACCGAATCAGCTGAAATGGTCAAGAATACTTTCAAAGACATTTTCAAAAAATAAAATGAAATAAAATTTATGGGCTAGCGAAATATGAACACCCAAAACAAAAATTACACCCAATTTTGTGGAAAAATCGCACCCAATTATTATTTATATCAAAAATTTCTTCCGTTTTCTATGATCTCATGGACAGCTGCAAAAAAAATAAATTCAGGGATTTTTTCATTCAAAAAAATTTTTCCACACACACACACAAAAATCAACTGATGTCAGAGGAATTTCTTGTATATCTCATCCTATTTTTCGGATTCGCTTATACTTTTGGCATGTTTTGTCTACTAAAATATAATGAGCAATTGGGATATCTGAGGCCTGTCAAATATTTATTAACGGTTTATAAAATTACAATTGTTGGCACAACGTTGCTATTTTTTCAGCATTTTATTGGTGGGTTTTTTGGATGCTTTAGAACTTCTAGACTAGACCTGATTCATTTTCAGCCCATCACAATCTCTTCGAATTCTCCATATTTTTCATAATTCTATTCGTATCCTCCCTAATTTATATTCCATTCATCTCATCAATCATCTCATTTTTCATTATTTACTATAGTTTTATATTATTTCTCCCAATTAAATCAAGATGGACCATCTTTGGATGTTGTGAAATTCGAAGATCCTGGTTTGTATGGATTTTTGCGAGTTGTTTTGGTCTTTATACTTTACCCTATAATCCTTGGCAGATTTCAATGTTTTTTGTGATTAAAAAACGCGGCGAAGGTTTGGTTAGTGCTGTGGAAGTTTATGATTTGCTCATATTAGTGTTTTCTATCGTTTTATTGTTGTTGAGATATTGGAGAAGCCTGATTTACCACAAAGGGCTTTTAGATTATCAAGTTATTCAATGTATCCAAGTTGTCTCTATGATTATCGTTAAATTTGTGCTAATTTTCTCGAAGTTTCTGAATTTTCAAACAATTCGAGTTTCCTACGATCACATGAATTTTGGGGTTCTTCGCAACTCTACAGATCATCCGGAAAATGTGGATAACTTTACTAGTCACGACACTATAATTCTACCGCAAGTTATTATTTACTCATTTTATCTTATGATGGCACCTGGAGCACTTCGAAAATTCGCCGAGAGAGCCAGGGTTTATTCAGTGGACACGAGCACAAGCTCGATTTAATTTTGCAACAAGGAAAAAATAAAAAATTGTTTTTCGAATCGCCTCCCTCATTTTGTGTGCATTTGTGCGTCGCGGTGTTTGCAGCGGCGTGGAAAATTTTTGAATCGGGTTTTTATTTTCTTCTGTTTTTTCGGGCTTTTCGAGGTTTTCTAGAGTTTAAGAGTTTCGAATGTGCTGAAAATTGGGCAGGTCATAGTTTTAAACCTGGGGAACGTTATGATTCGTTGGATTTTTGATGAAAATTAGTTTTTTTGAGTTTGAATAGATTTCAAGGAGTTACGGGCCAAATTTTCGTGTTTGATGGTAAGCGAATGGTTTGAGCGTTCATTTAATATACCGGGGATTTCGGGAAATTTTTTTTTTAACTGAAAATCGATTTTTACCTAGTTTGAAGGCTGAAATCGGAATTTTCTGTTGAACTTGTGTAATAAAGCCTAATATGTATATTTTCACTCGCAAAACCTTTATCGTCTCATTTGCCACGTATATTTCAGCTCTCCTCCCAAAAACAAATCTCTTAAATTTCAGAAAAATGAAGCGATCAAAAGCGGCACATAAAAGCATGGAACCGGCGCTTCAAGCCAAATATCTCTTCCACCACGACAGAGCGTTGACATTCAAAAAATTTCCATTTGATTCGATGAAAACGGCCACGTGTACATCAGCGGCGGTGAGTTTTTCTTTCTGAAGAAAATTTAACCAGAACCATTTTACCGCATGTTTTTCAGCTCGCAGCTGCCGGTTTCTACTGTACCGCCACTAAAGAGGCTCCAACTTCCGCCAAATGTCCATTCTGTCTGAAAGAGCTCGAATTCGATCCGGAAGACGATCCATGGGAGGAGCATCTTAAACGCGGACAAAATTGCGAATTCGTCAAATTGAACAAATTGGATGATAAAAGTTGGACGGTTGAGGAGACGATTCGGCTCGGCAATGTTTGTCGAATTCAGCAGAATTTTGAGAATCAGATAGCGTTTTTGGATGGATTGAAGGTGTCGACGACGACAAATGTGGCCAAATTGAAGCTGAAATAAGCTATTTGGTTTTTTCTGGCAAAATCTATGATTTTCGTCAGAAAAATCCAGCTTCCTTTTTATTTGTAAATGTATTTATCTTCTTCTTCCTATTTTTCTTCATTTTATGAACCTTTTCTGTTCTTTTTTTCTGCTTTTTTAATGATAATTACAGTGAATAGCGTTTCCACCGCATTTCCCGCTATTTTTTTTCGAACGACAAAAAACGCGTCAGCCTTCCACCACCTGGCGCGCAAACAATAAAATTAGCGTCTTTTTCCAAAACACCGTGTATTTTTGTTTTTTTTCAAAGCTATATAGAAAATGGAGACCGAACCAGCAGAAGTGGCAGCAGATATTCCCGAGGATAGCAATCAATCAGAAGTTGTTGCTGAAGAATCATCACAAGCTGCGCCAGTTTCTTCAAAACGCGATTCTTATAATAAAAATGCGTATATTATGATTGGAATGACCAATAAGGGGGTAAGTTGGAGCATTTTTCTGCCACGTCATAACTCAGTTTCAAAATTGAGCATATAAGTTTTTGGATGATAAAAAACTCATCTAGAAATCATGATTTTCCCGACGAGACAATCGATAATTTATAGCCAATTAGATAGTTTATACGACCCCCTCTCCAAAAATCGATCAAAAATAAACATTTTTGTTGTCAGGTCGTTCCGGCTGATGTTATCGAATACGAATGGCCTGCAAAATCGGGCGATCGATGGTTTATTCAAGAGCAAATCGGCGAACTGTTGGATATCAAGTCGTTTTCGCGCAAATTTCCGGATATGACTAGGCGGAAAGTGAATCATGAGGAGAGAGCCTTCTTGGAGCAACAATATAATGTACATAATTTGTTGAATGAGACGTGTGAGTTGTTTTGGGGGAGATTTTCATTGATTTTTTCCTGGAAAGCTCTCACAGAAATTTAGAAATGATTTTCAAACATTCAAAATGCAAAAAAATGATGAGAAACTGGGTTACGTGAAAATATCCACGTTTCATTTTTTATTGATTTTTTCGTCATTTCTAACAAAAAATTGCCTGGTATTCTGCTGGTTTTCAAACTGACACTCATTTTCATCATGAAAACTATGCTTGAACTGAAGTTTTGAAGAAAAACGGCCTTTTCCCACTCAAAATTGGTGAAAATCGGGATTATCAGCTGGATTTTCAAATTTCAGCTGAAAATCAAGGTCTTCCACAATCCCAACCAGCCAAAAACTTAAAAAAAAACATTTTTTCCAGTGCTCCGTGATATGAACGCAATGCGATCGACCGAAGTGCACGATCTAATGAACAACGAATATCCCGACATCTATCTCGAATACAAAAAAATCATCACTCAAAAAGAGCGTGAAATCGCTCTCGAAAAAGCCAAAGAGATGGAAGCCATCAAAAATGACAAGGTGAAGTTAGCCGAACTTCGGAAGAAGGCGATGACCAGTGCAGCAGAATTCAACAAAGATTTGCAAACTTCGAGACGAACTGAGAGAAAACATTTCTGGGATATTCAAACAAATATCATTCAATCGAGATTGTCGAATTGGAAGAAATTGTCGAAGGAAGCGACACGACCTTTGCCTTATCCGGTCGCTTTGATTCCTGGACAATATCAAGAATATTATCGGAAATTTAGCAAGGAGGAATTGATGCGTCTACCGGTTGCCACAGTTATGGATAGCGAACATCTCTATCCGGTTTATCGTGATGCTTCGCCGCCACCACTTTCGATTGCCGAACAAGATTTTATTCGGATGGAGAGAGATCAGCGGGCGAAAGAGGCACATGAGGCGGCGATGGCGTCGTTGAATGCGTCGGCTGCGGCTTCGCAGAATTCGCAGGCCACTGGAGATTCGAAAATGGTAAGGGAGATTTTGCGCGAAACATCGCTTTAGAATTGAAAAATCAAAAATCTAGAATATCAGAAATTTTGAGCAAAAAAATTTTCAGAGCCTAAACATTTTTTAAAAAGTTCGTATTCTGGTTTATTCAGAATTAAAAAATTGTGCCACCTGCAAGGTTCTAAGCTGTTTCTGACTTTGAATAACAATTCAAAAATAAAAAAATCAAAATTTATGATGTTTCTGAACTCCACACTGAAATAATAGCATTATCATTGCGTACGCTGAAAAAAGCTTTGAAATCCTTGCGAACTCTTGAATCCGCAATCAATATTGTTGCAAAATTAAAACATAACGAAAAACAGGCAATAGTTCTTCGATATTCAGCTAAAAATAACGAGACTGGATCAGTGAATTTTAAGGTTTTTGTTATTTCATAAATTAGTAGTAGTGATGCGGCGAATGTATGAGACGCAGTCACAATTATCAATTTTTTCTCATGAGCTGTTTCGAAATGTCGAATACGATAAATTGTAAGGATAGTTAGGATAATTGAGAGCGAATCACAAGTTATGATAAATCCAGCAAGGATTAGTCGTTGAATTGCTTCGTAAGGTATTCTTGGCAGACGATTTTCTTGGGTTTGGAGAATTAGTGGAATGCAAGATATGAATGAGATAATGCAACTTGAGATGAGATAGATTTTGACAAGGTTTGGTGTCCAAAATCTTGAAAAATTCATAAAAGTTGCGCTAAATCGATTGAGCGCCAAATACGAATTACATTGAAAATGATTGAAGTAAAATAGTAGATCAAAAAACACGCAAACATAGGCGGTATCGTTGTAAAGTTGACTTGGATAGATGTTACCCCAAATAATCCATAAATAAAGTAGACAATGGATAATATCTAAAATTCCCGAGAGCAAAAAAATTTGATGAAATGCTCCGAATTTTTGATATTTTCGTAGGATAAATGCTACAATACAACTTGAAAGAACTGCGGGAATATAGAAAAAATAGAGGAACAATTGAGATTGCATATAGGATGTGAGCTCAGCGCCTAGTTTTGCACCTAAATTTCAGCTGCCAAATTTTTTAGTTAGTTTTTCACCTGCATAATTATATTGTGAAAGGTCGAAGAAAACTTGTGCGTTTCGATTTAGTCCAGATTTTCAGTCAGAATTTTTGTCTTTCTGGCTGAAGAACATGCTGAAAATCAGGATTTTCTCTCAAAAATACAATTTTTGACTCAAAATACTGGCCTTCCTACATGAAACCCTAGAACCATGCCTGGACCTTGGATTTTCAGCCAAAACGCGATTTTTGGCTGAAAATCCTGAGTCCTCGCGCAGGGAAATCTATCGCCAATTTTTTGCATGCAAATTTGAACTACATTTCTGAAATTTTGAAATTTTTAGGGAAGACTCAGAAATCAGCGGCGAATCTATAATGCGGATAACAGCGATGAGGAGAACTTTTACTAACTTCAATTTTGTGCCCAAAATTTTTTTTTTGCCAAAAATATTGCGCAATTTTTCCATGATACCTCAAAATGTACAAAATAAATCTATTTTTAATGTAAAAAAAATTTGAACCTGAATTTAAATTTAGGCCGAAGATCGAAAATGTGATAGTTGTCAGAAGATCGAAGGAGAATTGTTGTGGTAAGTTAAAAAAATTCAAATTTCCCCTAAAATTATCGATTTTTTCAGCTGTACAACGTGCAAAATAGCATATCATCCACAATGCATTGAAATGCCTGAAAGAATGGTGAAAATTGTGAAGACTTATGCGTGGAGTTGTGTGGATTGTCGACTTTGTTCGATTTGTAATAAACCGGATAAGGATGTGAGTTGGATTTGGGAAGAAAATTGAGTGATTTTGAGCTGATAATCTAATATTTATCAGCATTTCAACACCGAAAAATGTACCCTGAGAATTACGTTTCAAAAAATGCTTATATTTTTTAACAATTTAACGAAAATGATATGTGTCAGTGTTGAAAAAATTGAACTATAGTTAAATATCGTGCCAAAGAAAAAGTTGTCAAAAATTCACTGTTTCAAAATTTTTCGGTGAATTTGTGAGCCAAAAATCATACAATTTTGACCCCAATAAATAAAATGTTCCCTGAAAATTTAAGTTTCAAGAATTTCATATTTTTGTACAGTTTTGTAGGAATTTAATTTAAAAGTGTATGGGAGAATTTTTTTGAAACTAAAATTAAACAAATAAATAAAACATGTTAAAAACCAAATTCTCTCCTAAAAATCTCCGAAAATTAGTCGAAAATAAGCCCACACCTCATGCATCTATTCATTTGCGAAAAAAACCGAAAAAAGTGTATTTTTTTACAATATTTTTCTATTCACCAAAATCACAAATTGTCGCGAAATACATGCAATCGTGACGAGACCCACACTCATCAAAAGGAAGAAAGTGTGAAAAATGCATGCTTTCGAAAATTTCATTTCTTGTTTTTTTTTCTCGCATGTTTTTCTCCTTGAAATGTGTGTGGGTCTCGTCACGATTGACATTTATTTCGTGCATTTTGGTGAATAGAAAAATATTGTAAAAAAATACATTTTTTTCGGTTTTTTTTCGCAAATGAATAGATGCATCAAAAATCCCCCAATGTTTCTGCAGGACGAAATCATATTTTGCGACCGTTGTGATCGTGGCTTCCACACGGATTGTGTAAATTTGGACGCGCCACCGAAAGGCACTTGGATTTGCTCGACTTTCTGTGAAATTGACAAGAAACCGAGGGGAAGACCGATGAGAAGACAATCAAATGCGCAGCCCATGGAGACTTGAGCTAACTTGAATTATTATTTAATTAATTATTTTTTATCGATTTCTTTTTATTTATTTTGTCAAAAAATGTGGTCTCATAAATTTATTTTTGGTGATTTTTTTAGTTGAAAAAATAGCTATATGTGATTTTGGAATCATTTGAGAATATCTGAAAATTAAATTTTAAATATGTAATTTCTAGATTCGATAAAGTTATCCTAACTTTTTTGAAAATACAAAATTCAACCTGAAAATCGTCAATTTTCAATTTCAGGCTCCCCCGTTTATGTCAGTTTCATCAGTGTCCCTGAATTCGGACACAACAACAGGCCGATATCAACGTCTAGCTTCGGAATATGCAAAACTTCGAGCTCAGGCAAAAGTGCTCCGCGAAGGAGTTTTGAGCGAACGAGCGAAAAGTGATAAATTGACAGAGGATTTGAGGATCAAAGAGGCGCAATTTCGAAAAATCGAGGCTGAAAATGAGAGCCTCAGCTTCAGAAATGAGCAATTAGTGAAACGCGTTGAGAATTTACAAGGGGATTTGGAGAAAATTGAGACGACTAGTAGAACTGGAGGAAAATCGACGAAGAAATCGAATTCTGCGGTGCCGAAAGATGTTCAGAATCAAATTCAGGCGATGGTTATGAAAATTGAGATTTTGGAGGGGGAATTGAGGATGAAGTTGAGACAGAATGAGGAATTGGTGATACAGGTGAGTATTTTTGGGTGAGGAATTCGAAAATTTGGAAATTTTAGTAAATTCTGGGAATACTAAACCTTTTCTAGGCCAGATTTTGATTTCTAGGTCATCAGGAATGGATTTCATAGCTTTCTAGGCTAGATTTGGGTTTCTAGGCCACCAAGAATAGATTTCATAGCTTTCTAGGCCAGATTTGGATTTCTAGACCACCAAAAAGCCACGTTTTGGTTCTCTAGGCCATATCTTACATTCTAGTCTCTCCAAACATATTTTTTTCACAGATTTCCGAAAATGAACGACTTCATGGTGAAGAAATGGCCCAAATGTCCGAAAAATTTGCAAAAGAATTTCGAAATCTCGAAAATCAGTTGAAAATTTCCCAAAAACCTGGGGATTCGCCGCCAAAAAATGATGTTAAGAATCCATTTTTCGAAGAAGAGCAATCTCCGGAGCCCAAAAATATCGAAATCAGTTCGCCTGAACCGCCACAATCCATCGAAGAAGCTGAAATTCTGGCTGAAAATTCGCTGAAAATGGTTTTTGAGGATTTCTCGAATATTTGCCAACTTTTACACCAAAGATCCGAAATTTATCCATTCGATATTTGCATGGAAAAATTGCCGAAAAAATGTGGAGAAATTGTCGTGGGAGTATATTCAATGCTCGAAATTGTTTGCCGAACTTTTTGAGGCTGAAAATTTGAATGCGCTGGAAATCGAGTCGAAAATCGGGCTGATTTCGAAACATTGTGATGGATTATTGATTGGATTGATTGGATTGATGTGTAATGAAGAGAATAAGGTAGAGGATTTTGGGGTCCTGAAATTCAAAAGTTTTCTGAAAATTGATTTTTTTGTACTAATTAGCTCATTTTCCCTGAAGACTTTGCTTTTGATTTCTCTAGTTATCTGTTTTTTCCTCTTCCACTTCTCATTCATAAATCAAAAAAATTTGGCCAAATTTAATAGTATGCCCAAAACTTGGACTAACATTCAACATCAATTTCAAAATGTCTCCACATTTTTTGCAATCACTCTCAATAGTCTTCTGATTTTCCTGATAACTCAAAAATCACCAAAAGCACTTGGAGTTTACAAATATTTGCTGGCTTACACGGCATTTTTTGAGATTATTTATTCCATTGTTGATTTGATGGGCGCACCGGTGAGCAAAGTGAATTTCTAGTGAATTTTACGAGAAATTCCGATTTCAGTGTTTCTATTCGCATGGTTCTGCAATGATAATGTTCATCGAAACGGACAAATCAATTTTCAGCCCGTTTATTTTGAAAATCTTGAACTGCTTGTTTTGCGGTTCATTTGGAACTGTTTTAGGATTATTCTCAATTCAATTTATCTATAGATATTTGGTTGCTTTTAGGTTTAGTTTAGTCACCAATTAAATTCACAAAGTTTTTCCTTCTAGAAGCCATTGGATAGATTCATTCAATTCACTAAAAATACTAATCTGGTTTTCTGCACCTTTAATATTAGGATTAATTTGGAGTGTGATAATTATTCAATTAGGTGGCGAAAGTGAGCTAAAAACCGAATATTTGAAAAATAGCATGATCTATGATTTGGATATTGATATTCATAAAACCGTATATTTAGCATTGCTTTTATTCCCAAAAACATCGAACGGAACTAGATATATTCATATTGAATCTGTAGTTGTTAATATTGTTGAGAATCTGTCTCTCACTGTTACCCTATTCATTATTTTATATTTTGGAATTGGGTGTTATTTAGAAATGTCTAAAAATATGAACCATTCTATTGCTTATCGAAGTTTACAAAAACAACTTTTCATGGCGCTTGTTTTTCAAACCCTAATTCCAATCACATTATTGCATATTCCTGTTCTCCTCTATTATTTATTTGGGATTTTTGAAATTGATTCTGGAAGTTTCGGTGGAATCATAACGATTACAATTGCCTTGTATCCTGCCATTGATCCATTGCCCATATTTTTTATCATTAAGAATTATAGAATTGCGCTGAAACGGATTTTGTGTGGGAGAAAGAGATCGGAAAATATTCCGAATTCTAGAAATGTTTTTATTGTTAAACTATAAGCGGAAATCTTGTATTTTATAAATTATTTTCTCTTTTTTTTTCGGTTTTCGTGAACGCTTTGGAGATCTTCGAGTATAAAAAAAACCTGGGATTTTTTTTTTCAAGTTTTCCCGATGTTTTAATAAGCATAGGCTTCTTCTAATTTTCAGAATTCCCCTCGAAAAATGTCTATTTTTTCAGGTTTCCTGGTGCTCCGCTCCCTTGGAATCACTCAACAAACAATGGTCCCAAACCCTAACCCGAATCTTCCAAAAAATCCCCGAAATCCTCGGAAATCCCTCGGAAATTGCCGTGCTCGCCGAGCAACTTTGCCACGTCAACGAGAAGCGCGAAGCTGTGGAGAATCGACTTCCGACGACTAGCAAAAAAATGCGATGTGTTTCGCAGGCTTTGAGGGATGCGCTAGCGAAATTGGCCATGGATTTGGCGAAATTGGCGGCCAGGAAGCAACGTGTGCTGAAAATGAGAGCTGAAATTGAAATTGAGCAAGGAGAAGCTGGAAATGCTGAAAATAATCCATTTATCGTTGAAAATGCTCCGAAACCAAATGGAAGTGAGCAAATATTGGCTGAAAATGCTCAAAAATTATCTGAAATTGCTGAAAATCGCCCAGTTCCCACCCGCGATTCCTCAACCTCTCCAATTCCCCAACAAAGTTGCTCGAAATGCTCAGATCTTGCCGAAAATCTGGAATCCCTGGAATCTCGCCTAGTAAAAATTCAAAGTGAAAAAGAGCAACAAAATCTGGATTTCTCGCTGCTCAAACGAAAATACGAGTTGGCGAATGGAAATCAGAAATATGAGATATCGGATAAGGAACATTTGTTGGGAATCGGAAAAGAGAAGCAGAAGGAGATGTTGGGAAATGTGATGAGAGCTGAGAAGAAGGCCAAGGTTTTTGAGAAAGAGGTAAGGTGTTTTGGGACTGGGAATTTTTTGAATATAAATGAGCCTAGGCTTCAAATTTCCAAAAATAGAAGCAAGCCTGGATTTCGAATTATCAGAAAAAAAATCTGGCTGAGAATCAGCCCGAGTTTATCCTCAGAAATCTGAAAACCTGATTCAACGTGGATTTTTAAAATCTTTTTTTTCAATTTGTTGAATTTGTTTTGACTTTCTTTTGAATTCGTCATCAAAATTTTTGGATTCCAATTGTTTCCAGTGCAAAATGCTGCTCACTCTTCAAATCCACGCGCAAGCCGAGAAAAACGAAATGCAAACTCGCCTCACCGAAATCTCGCAACAAAAAATGAGTGTGGAAGATGAGTTGGCAAGTGTGAGACGTGGATACGAAGCTCAAATCGGCGAGCTGAGCAACCACGTGGCAGAGCTCGTCAAAGAGCAGAAGAGCACCACCTCAGCGGACCACGTTGTATCTGAGCCACCCAAAAAATCCGGACTCAAGTCGTTTTTCAAATAATTTTCTACAGTATGTATTTAATTAATTTATTGATTTATTTATTGATTGCCATAATTTTTCAGTTTTTTGTATATTATTCTACTTCATCTCTTCTAAAATGTGATATTTGTGGTGCTTGCTTGTGAAATGAAAATATAAAACCTTGCCAAAATAAGTTAGGCTAAATTGAAGTTTGTGAAAGTCCCACAGTTGCCTGGGATTTCAGTAAACCAAATCTTCGATACAAATGAATTCGATAGGGAAGAATGTGATAAAAAATGATTGCTGGCGATAGAAGCGGCATGAAATATGAGCCGAGAAGGGTGGGAATTGCGCGAAGTCCGACGTCGGTTTTGAGAATTACGAAGATTGAGAAGATTAGGATGGGAATGGTTTGGAGGAAAACGGTGGTGATGTTCTGGAATGAGATGACGTATCAGTTTGTGAAAATTTTAGAAATGAAAAAAATATTATGTGAATTTTTTTTTGTTTAACAATTTCTGTGACGTGAAAAATTTAGAATTTTTTTCAAAAAAACAGGATTTTGATGACGTGGCAGTTCGGAAAATTCCATAAATTGAAAAAAATCACGTGAATTTTGAGTTCGAGAATTTTTTTTTAATTTGAATTATCTAAAAATCCACGTGGCAATTTAGAATTTCGAAAAAATAATTTTATTCAGGCTAGAATTATTCAAAATTCACATGGCAAAATAAATGAACAGTATTTAGGATTTAGAATTTTCAAAATGTTTTTTTAACGTGGCTGGATAGTCAGAATTTAATTTTAAAATCCACGTGGCAATTCAGAAGCCCAATCTCACCATCAAAATCAACGTTATTCCAAGATTTTTCGATTCATGATATCCGATTTTCGATCGATTGTCATTGTTGCGTAAAATGTGACGAGCCAGAAAAATATCAATAATAACACAGAATCCGAAACCGATAATTAGTGGAATCGCTTCGCAGAACAAGTAATAGGCGACTATCTGGAAAGCCGTGAAATTTTTTTTTGTTGGTTTACTAGGTCAGGATTGGATATCTAGGCCATCAAAGACTTCGAAAGTCTTCTGCCCCTGAGAAACCTGAAAACTGAGTAGCCGCAAGCCTATATAGAGCCCAAGCCCAATAAATCTAGAACCTACCCTGTCCATCACCAAAAATCCATTATTTATGTTACAAGTATAACTCGAAATCGATTTTTGATAACTATCCCAATTTGGCGCGAAATCTTGAGTTTGTAAATAAATAAATATGAAATAATGAAGTGTGGCTGCCACGCATAACAGAAAAACAACAATTAAAACTGGCTTGAACTTTTTGGAAATATCGATTTTTCTGAAAAAATTATGATCAAACATAAGAATACAGTACCCTCTAACTTACTTGATAATATTGAAATACCGTAACCCAAGTGCAACGGGTGATTCCAAATTCTTGAACGTCAACAAGCCAATAAAAATGGCGAATAGAAAATTTTTGAGCAAAATCGGGAAAGATGAACCGATTCCCAGAATTGCGACATAAACTGAGCTTTGGCTAACTATTAGAATTGGCTGGAGAATTGTGAGAAGAATTGTATAGGCAATATTGGTATGAGCAGTGAAGCGGAATATTGTGTTGTACTGTAGGAAATGAGGGGGGATTTTATGGAAAGTCTAGATTTGAGTATTTAAAGTTTAGGTCTAAATATGGGTCTTTGCTCAAACCTAAACATGTTAGGCTTGAATCTGAGCGAGAAAAATCGAGCTATAAAAATCACTGTTATTTTCGAATGGAAGTTGAGCTATACAGTAACCCCTGAGAATCCTCTACAGTACCTCCAAATCCACAGTAACCCGAATCAAAACTCACAAACTCATATTTATTCCCATTTTTCTTCTCATAATCAATAGCTGTCAATAATAAAACGTTGAGAATTATTGATGGAAAAAACATGATAATTGAAATGACTTGAATCAAAGTTGACGCACACAACCACACCATTTTTGAAGGTCTGAAAATTAGGATAAGTTTAGGGCTGGAAAGGTTGGGCCTAGAGGTGGTCCTGTGATTTTTGGACCGGATTTTGAGCCTCATTCAGGCTAAATCTGAAGTGTTTTACTTGAATTTGAAAAAGCCTGAATATTTCGGGAAAAGTGGACCCGAAAAAGAGATTTCAAAATTTCTACAATTTTGAGCCGAAAAAATGAAGCTCAAAATCACTAATAATATAATTTTTGGGCTCGCGGAAAAAGATGAAAAATGGGAAATGCTCAAACCAACTTTTAATTGGCGGTTTGGTAAGCATGCACTTATTTTTTTCTCCGAAAATGTTTTTTCGAGCAAAAATGTCAGATGAATTTGATATTTCGAATCAGAAAGGTCTGCGGGGACCCCTTCTCACCTTCCAATCACAATCCACTTCCAGGCAAATCACTAGTCTCGACCGCCGTCGAAATTCGATTCGGCACCTTCTTCAAATATCCCAATTTCACCAAACATCTCATTCCAGATTTTCGAAATTGTCGCTGATAATATTTGAGATGGATGAAAGTTGTGATAGCATTTGTGATCGGATAAAAACAGGTTCCCAAATAAATTGGCATCGATTTCATCGAAATTTGAAATCCTTCGATGGAGAAGATTGAGAGAAGACAAATTGGAAGAGTTAGGAAAATTATTTGTTGGATGGCCTGAAAAAAGGGTGGATTACTGTAGGGATACTGTTTTTTCTTGAAATTCTAGAAAACTTCTAATTTTTGTCACCATTTCGTCATTTTCGATGATTATTTTTTCCTTGAAAATTTCCAATTAAAAAATTGTTATTTTCATCAGACCCCCAAGTGTTAGTTAGCGTAAGTCATCAAAAAATTATGTAAGAATTTGAGGGATCAATTTCAGCTTTGATCTTTTCAGGCTTAGGTTAGGTTACAATTATGGTAAGGCTTAAATTCAGGCTTTTTTTTTGAATTTAAGGCAAACACGATTCAAACACAGTGGATATATAGGCTTAACTTTCTAGGCTTAGGAAAAATATTAAATTTAGACCTAAATGTTTCAGGCTTACACTAAAGCTGAAACCTAAATTTATCAGAAGTAGCTAAAAAAAGCTGAAATTTTAAGTTCAAAAATTAATTTTTGGTTTTTTCCCCAAAACCTTACCGAAACCAAAAGCGTCTGATTGATATCAATAGATCTCTGATAATTCGCCCTTCCATCAATCGAAATAGTTTGTGTAACTCTTTCATAAATCGAACGATAAATCAAAAATCCCACAACAAATCCAAAAACTCCCACTGAACATACGCCAACTTGCAAAACATTCATCGCATGATTATTGACCGCCAAAAATCCATAATCCTCTCCCATTATATTTGAGATATCCGGTTTGATGTCCAACGTGGATTCTTGAAGAATGATCCAATTTGCTAGGCCCAAAGTTAGGCTAAGAGCAAGGATGAGAGAAAGGAGTTTTCGAAAAATGAAAGCTCCCATTTTCATTTTTCTTGTTATATAGATGAATCGAAGGATGAAAATGGCGGGTTCTTTGAAGATTTGAAATATTGAAATTGAAATGAAGATTGAGAATATTGGGATGAGAAGAAGGTCCGGAAGAAAATTAAATGGTCCGAGGAAAACTATGTAGGTTTTTGATTGGAAGGTGATTGGGGCCTGGAAATATTTTGAAAAAATTGAAGACTACTAGCCTGAAAATCTAACCGGCTGCAACACTGCAAATCCCAAACTCATAGCCAAATTCGCCACACCAGACCAAATGAAAAACGTGTTATACATTCGATAGAAATTCTCGTGACTTCTCTCCATATGAATCAAAAAAATGAGCACAGAATTCAGGAGAATCGAAGCGATTAGGCAAACATAGGCGTTGAATTGCATCAAATCGGCGATTGTTAGCATTTTTCGTGAGACGTGAACTGAAAATTTCAAAAACTGAAAATCAGAGACTTGTTTTGAGCCTTCAATTTTTATAGCTGAAAATTGGAATCTCCTGGGGATTTTCCGAAGAGGCGGAAATGTACTTTGAATTTGAAAAACAACCAAAATTTTCTAAAAATAATATTTTGACAAGGAAAATATTGGTCTGGTTTTCTGGACCGAATCGGGCTTCAAATAGGCCTGGCTTCAAGCCTTCAAGGCTCAAGGCCTATGAAGCTGATTTTGAAATTCTGCATTTTTTCTAAAAGTTTCACAACGTGGATTTCGCGCGCCACTTTGAAAAATTCAAAATTCTGAATTTTTCTGAAATCAACGTGGATTTTTTGGCGCTAAATTCAAATTTCACTGCTTTTTGTACTCATATGCCATGTATTTTGAATTGGGATTTGTCTAGGAGTACTGTAAGGTAGCTTTTGGACTGATAACAAAATGATGTGATTAAAATTATAATTTTAGATATTCCCCGGAGAGCTCAGTTTTTCAAAAAACAAGGATCAAATTTTTTTTTTGAAATTTTCCGTTCTTATTTTTAATTTTTTGCTCGAGAAATGTCGCGGACGCTGCGAACAAGGCTGAAAAGAGAAAGAAAAAGAAGAGAGAAATAATAAATATTCAAACAACCGCGAGGGTCTCGTAGCGCCTACAGTAGTTTGTGTGTCGCTCCTTTAAATCGACGTCTCCTTTTTTGGGTTCCGGCGTTTTTAGGCCAGTTGAAGAAAACCAGAAGAATTCCGAGTTTAGCCTCGAATTGCTGACGTTTAGCACGTCAGACTTCTGTCTATTATTCTGCCTAGAACTGCTGATTCGCTAGAAGTTGGGATCCTAGAAGTCACCTTCTACCAGTCGTTGTTCCCTAGGAACTTCAGGTTAGTGAAAGTATTTGCTAGGGCAAGTTATAGTTAGAGCGCTGCTAGACCTTTAAACTCGCCCAATTTCAAACACCACTTTCAGTCTAACAAGGAATGAATTCGAGTATAAGTCTTTTACTATGCCCTGAATAAATTCTTTTGTTTTATAAAATGTCTTCTTTTATTTTTACACCACTTTCGGAGGTTTTCCGAGATAAATATGTTCTCATGTCGCTCTGTCATTTGGCCGGTAGTTCCTACTATTCTCAATCATACCACTGAACCGTTTTCAATCGTCGTATTCACCACCGCTCCTGCGACATGGTGCATCGACCAAATTAGAGCTGAGAGCACATTTTCTCGAGAGAACCACGGTCTAGCGCGTTTTAACTACCTTCCTAGCAAATCGAGTTTTTATATTGTTAACCTCTTTTCTTCAGTTTCAGTTTTTTCGCTGGAGTTTTGGCCGAGGGACGATTTTTCAACGAGTTTTGCTAGATCTTCAAGGATTGGAAGAATTGTTCTTAGATCAGTTCTTCTAGTCGTGGAGATGGGCGAGATTTGTCAGGAAATCGTGGAATTGATCAAACTTCGGCTGAGTAAGCTTGTCTTTCGGCTAGTTTGTTGGATTTTAGTTGGAGGACCGATTGTTTCAGCGAGTTTTGCTAGATTTCGACGCTTGGAGAAATTGTGGTCAAAAGCAGTTCTTCTAGTCGTTGAGAAATGGCGAGATTTGCCGGAAGATTGGAATTTCGATTGATTTTCGGTGAACATTGTTTGGTTTTGGTTTTTCGAGTTTTAGCTTCATTTCGGAGATTTTCGAATTGCCAGAGAAATTCAGCATCGAGATCTCTGGAAGTTGGCCAGAATTCGTGAAATTGTCCAAAAACTAGACAAAATGTCGATTTTCGAAACGTTTCGAAAAATTTCGAATATTTTCGAAAACATGAAAGGTTGGCTGACAAGAAGAAACTTGTGACGGATAGATTCTTAAGAGTCCCGCTAGTAATTTTCTTTCTATTTCCGTGTTCTTTGTCTTTGCTCTAGTCCCATTTCCCTGCTTTTCCCCGGATTTTCCTGTTCCAAGTGAAATTGCATCATGTCCTAGCGCGGTCGAGGTTTTCGGATCTTAGGCCACGGTAGAAAATCAATAATCAATTTATTGTTTTCTGTCAGCGCGAGAATGTGAATCAATGCATGTTCATCTAGACAGTGTATATCTGATGAAAGCAGAAGCACGATACCTAGAAGGCCCCTTGGTCAGTCATTGTTACCTACTTGTGGGTTTTGAACAAGGTGAATTAATTTTGGCATTTTCAGTGAAATGCCAAGAGGAGCTAGCCAAAGTCAAACAAGCGAGCGAGGACAGTGACTAGACGGCTAGAAAGCAATCAAAAGAAGTGCTTATGGAAATGATGAACCAAGGGAAGCAAGGACAACTCTCTAAGCTAGGTTTCATATTCTTTCTTTCAAATAAAGTTAGTCTCGAATATTTAAAATTCATTAGTTTTGTATTCTCATGGAGTCTAGTTACTCAATAATTATCTTAATCTCTTTTTCTTATTTTTATTTATCTGGCGGGCTCCTACCAATCTCAGTTATTCAGTATAGTTTTGAGCAAAAGGTCCGACTTGCTAGGAATAGTTTATTTCCTGACAACTAGTTAGAAATAACTAGAAAGTTAAGAAGTAAATGAAACTAGAATCAGCCAGACCTAGAATTTTCTCGGTCGCTAAGTTATGGATAATTTGATGATCAGATTTGGTTATAACTAGATCCGAGCTTCAAATTTGAAATAATCTGGCACTGAGACCTCATTTTTTGGTTAGAAATAACTAGAACTTGAGAAAAAGGCGATTCCAATTCAGCTAGATTTGCCCGGAAGTTTTGCGCACTTCTGAGCTAGATACTGAACTAGGATTTCCTTAATTCCATTCAGGGAACTTTTAGTGTAGATTCAGTAGTCTACATTATTAGTTATAGTGTCATTACGATTTCGATGATGTCTTCCATTTATGGGAGTCATTGGTGGAGTGTTACAGAGGCACTTCTACTTTTGACTAGATAATTTCCAACGCTAGGTAATTATCAAGACTAAGCACTTACGGGTTTAATTGTCTACACCACACATCAAATTTCATTTCATTTTCAATCACTTCAACTAACTTATCTAGTCATTGTTGTTTTTACTAACCTAGGAATTCATTAGTTCCACCCAAATCTAGGAATTCATCAGTCCCACTCAAAATATAGGAATTCATTAGTTCCATGTCTCATTATCAACTGTATCATTTTACGTAGACTTTTAGACCCGCCCTTGCATTCTTTCCAGGCGTTTGAGCAAAGTCTAAGCGAGGCTTTAGCTCATCCTGCTTAGGATTTATGCTAAAAACCCAAAGAAACCACGATTTCACTCTCTAGAAGAGATATTTACTAGGTCCCAGGCTACAACACAGGGAGTTCGGGGGTACCACATTAGCTCAGGCGACAACACAGGGAGTTCGGGAGCACGTCCAGGCGACAACACAGGGAGTTCGGGGACACAAATTCGGACTAGGATAACACAGGGATTCTTAGTACCAAGGGAAATAGAATAACACAGGGATTTCTAGGACCCAATTAGAAAGTAAGGCTAGGATAACACAGGGATTCCGGAGCCCGACCTTTCCAGATTATTGTTTGATGTGATTATGTTTTGCGTTTGTTATGATGATTATGAGTGGCAGTTATAATTGGATTTTGGCAGACTGGGAATATTTGTGCGCAAGCATCGACAATTATCAACTCAACAATCGATCAATTATCAATCGAATACCAACAATGACAGGATCAATATCTATCAAGAACTCGAATCAAGCTGCCTTGAATGTCAATACATTCGAGGAGGCGCGAAACGAGATCGCCAGATTACTTCAAGTTTGTCAAGAAATCGTAACCAATCAAGACCAAGTGGACCAACTCATTCAGAGGAAGGACAAGGATCTCGACTTCAAAGAGGGAATTGTTCAGGAAAATTTGGCTAGAGCTCAAGAATATTTGCGTTGGCTCGACAACTTCCACGGAATCTACGAAGAGCGACTTCGATTGGCTAGAGATGTACAAGACAACAACGTCAACTCACAACTCCACAAGCTGATCGAGTTTGCGAAATCAAAAGGGAAAGACGCATTACGATTCGAATTGGAAAACACCGTTACCAATCTTGGCATTATGCAAGCTGAAATTCAGTTTGAACGAGGAATTGGTATTCAACAAGCTCAACCACAAGAATTGGGAGAGCTAGGTCATCCGACCATTGGAAAAGAAGATCAACTGCCAATCAATGCACCAATGGATCAAGTAAGCGAGGATTTGGTTATGACAAATGCACAACAACGAAACGAGGATTTGGTTATGACAAATGCTCATGAACATCAACGTGCAACTGTTATGGAAATGTCTTCGCAAGTTGCCAATCAACATCACAACGGCAACCCCATCAACTTGAGCCCGATGGAGAGCCCAATTTTAGCTTTTTTGCAAGAAGAAGTTGGAACTGCAGCTCGAAACCAGGCTCGAATTGTTTCTTCCGCTCGGGATGAACGCCAACTGGGAATTCCACAGGGTAAGCCAGTAAACACTTCGACTCCTAGAATTCATGGAGATTTCAATGGATTTGACTCTCGACTTGTCGATGAGCCGAACCCTCGAGAGATTCGTGACTCTAGAGTAAGCCAGGGTGAACAGGCTCGTACCTTCGTGAGATTCCCGGCTAGCCAAATCCCAGGCAGAATTAGTAATCCTAAGCAAGCAAATTTGACTCGACCAAATTTCGATATCACCACTTCACCGGAATCACACCAGGTTCCTTGGGAAAACTTTGAAAATCAAAATTACCATCAGAATTCGAATCCAAATTTCAATCAAGTTCAAAATTTCCAAAATTTCCAACAAAATTTTAATCAATATTCGAATCTTCAAAATTTCAATGAATTCCAAGGTTACCCTCAAAATTTCAATCAATTTCAAAGTTACGGTGAAAATTGGAATGGTCCAGCTAGAAATGCTAGCCTGGGTTTCAATAATTTCCAAAATTATGGCCAGTCATTCCAAGATCAAGATCCTAGAATGTACCGACCAAATTATTGGGATAATCAAGATATCGTTGGACTAGATACTAGGCATCAGAGCCGAGGTGTGGAGTTGCAGAATGCAAATGGGAATTTGAGTAATCCAAATTACCCGAATTTCCAGAATTCCAATCTGTTTAACAATTTGAACCCAAACTGTAGAACTTTTGGAAATCAAAACCTTGAAAATTCCTATCCCCAGCCTAGTTTCAACATTTCTAGAATACATGATGGAAATGCAAGTAGAAGTAACGAGATTCGTTTCAAGTTACAGAAACTGAAACTTCCAGAGTTCGATGGAGATGAAATGAAATTTACCGCGTTCCTCCAATCCTTCGATGTTTTTATTGGTCAAGATCCATCAAGAACGGATCTTGAAAAGCTCATGTTTCTCAAACAGTGTTGTAAAGGAAAAGCAGCACAAGTATTGGACAACTATCCGGCTGCTCCAGGTTTTTACAATTTGGCTCGTTCGGCGTTGAGCAACAGATTTGCCATGGGCAGAGATGGTCCTCAACGAGTCTGGATGAAGCTAGAGCGTATCTCGAACTGTGACCTCAAACCGGATCAGCTATCCGAGACAATTGACAAGATCAAAAATGCTATTTTCCAGCTACAATATTTGGGCGAGAAAGTAGATGGTATCTCGATTGAGACTACCATTCTACGCAAGTTTCCAGATAAAATTCGCCATCGTTTGAAGAATATCTCGACACCACACTTAGTTCCAACTGGCTCGACTACCCTAGATTTGTTGAGCCGGCTAGACTATGTGGTGAATGAATATCAGCGAGACAGAGAATTCGAGAAGGATCGTCTGCTCAGCGCCAAGTATTCTTCTCGTTGCATCGATGCAAATGTTGCTAGCTGTGATGGGACGAAGAACAGCAATGAGAAAATCGATTATGAGAAGAAGAACAAGTCAAACATCAAACCCGCGAGTAGAACCAAGAACAGCGAAGATGAGCAGAAAGAAGACAATCCGGTTGAATGTTTATATTGCAAGTCAACTGAACACAGTCTATTCTACTGCAAGTTATCGTTTGAAGCGAGAAGAAAGAAGGCTATGGAAGATGGAAGATGTATGAATTGTTTGAAGCTCGATCATGCAACAGAAAGCTGCGAAGTTCGCTATTGCCGAGTAGACAATGAAAGCCATCACGAATCAATGTGTGAATATGCGATTTTCGTTCACGAAGGATTCAAGATGTTCCACGAGAATCCAGAAGAATTTGCGAAACTCGCGGAGAATCCGGAAGAGTTTAGAGAACGTTTTGGGAAATTTTTTCGTGGCCAACATTAAAAATCTAAAATTTCTCATTTCTAGATTTCTAAATTCTTCTCTAGGTAACTTCTCAAAATTTTCACTAGGTAACTTTTCCAATTTTTATCTAGATATCTTTCCTTATTCTTCATTAGGTAACTTTTCAAACTCTTCCCTAGGTAACTTTTCATATTCTTCACTAGGTAATTTTTCAAATTCTTCTCTAGGTAACTTCTCAATTTTTCCAGTAGGTAACTTCTCAATTTTTCCAGTAGGTAACTTCTCATTTTTTACACTAGGTTACTCTCATTTTATTTATAATTCTTCTTTAATTTCAAATAATCTAATTAAAAATCTTTCAAATTCTTCTCAAAATTCTATCTCTTCTTCTCTAGTTCAAAAGACTTCAATAATTTCATATCCAAATAATTCTTTCAATATTTCAAATTCTATTTCTAATCTTCATAATTCTACTTCAAACCTTTCTTCCAATTTTTCTTTATCTAGTAATCAAAATCTTCTTTCAAACTTTTCAAATCTTCTCTCAAACCCAAATTTAATCTTTTCAAAATTTATCTCGAATGTTGGTCATATTTCCCAAGAAAACCTAGATTTTTCCGTTTTTTCTGTTGGTTTTCCAATATCATTTGTGGAGAAGGATATCATAATGGAAGAAGATTCTTCTCAAGCGATAGATGCGCCAACAACAACTTCAAATGTGTCAGGCCAGTTTAGTTTTATCAAATTACTGACTGATTCTGACAGCGAGTGTGTTTCCAAGCCAGTTCAAGATGATCATAGTCTAGAAGCTAGTGACCGTCTAGAATTAGCAGCGGAAAAATCTGTAGCAGTGGAAAAACTAGAAAATAATGCCTCGAAAGCTTATTTTTTGGGGATCTACAGCACTGAAGTCAACGCTAGAATCTCCACTCGCACCGTTAAGATCAGTTTTGTTCCTAGATTAATCAGTATAGAATTGATGACTTCGACTGAAACTTCCAGACATTGTCTTAGACAAGTCAAATTGCTCCAGGACATGTTTAGAACATTTTCATCTCGAAATTTCATGTTTACAATTTCTAGACATTCTCTAAGGCAAACATTATTATTATTGCCCCTGGAAATGTTTGGAAATCTTTCAATAGCAAGTTCTCAGTTAGAAAGTTCTAGATATTGTCTAAGAAAAGCGAAAGTTTTCACTAGACATATTTGGAAGATTCTCACTTGCTAGTTTTTTCAGCTCGAGATTTCTAGATATTGTCTAAGGCAAGTAAAATTGTTCCCTGGACATATTTGGAAATTTCAATAGCTAGTTCTTTGTTTGAACTTCTAGATATTGTCTAAGTCAAGTAACATTGTTCCCTGGACATATTTGGAAGCTTCTTACCTTCTAAATAGAGTTTAAAACCAAGTAACATTGTTTCTGAACGTATTTAGAATTCGATGCCTAGGAAATTGTGCCGATTTGACTATTTTTCCGTGTTTTTGCTAGAATTTTGAGAATTTTTGTAATTCCCGAACTTCCAAAAGTTTGTTTGCATCTAGTTATTGTCCAAGATAAGTAACATTGTCTTTGGACTTATCTAGATAAATTTCAAACGGCAAATTCTCGAAGAACAAGTTATCTTGACCATTTTTTTGTGTTAATTTTTCTAGAAATTTGAGGATCGAAAACTCCCCGAACTCTTGCTCCTTTGGAACATTACCTCCGAGTATTTAGGCATTGTAAAATTATGCCCAGATACCTTTGGTTTGTCTCCAGTAGGAACAATCTACTAGAAACTTAAATGTCTCTACAAGTCGAATATGTGTGAGTAGGAATTCCCATTTTCTCCCACTGGGTTTTTTCTACGGTACCCTACCCGCTGGTTCGCCTCTCTTTTTTCTTTCAACCTTTTAACCACGTTTTCTGTCGAAACCGGCAAGGCTGCCTTCCGGGCCCCCCAATGTCGCGGACGCTGCGAACAAGGCTGAAAAGAGAAAGAAAAAGAAGAGAGAAATAATAAATATTCAAACAACCGCGAGGGTCTCGTAGCGCCTACAGTAGTTTGTGTGTCGCTCCTTTAAATCGACGTCTCCTTTTTTGGGTTCCGGCGTTTTTAGGCCAGTTGAAGAAAACCAGAAGAATTCCGAGTTTAGCCTCGAATTGCTGACGTTTAGCACGTCAGACTTCTGTCTATTATTCTGCCTAGAACTGCTGATTCGCTAGAAGTTGGGATCCTAGAAGTCACCTTCTACCAGTCGTTGTTCCCTAGGAACTTCAGGTTAGTGAAAGTATTTGCTAGGGCAAGTTATAGTTAGAGCGCTGCTAGACCTTTAAACTCGCCCAATTTCAAACACCACTTTCAGTCTAACAAGGAATGAATTCGAGTATAAGTCTTTTACTATGCCCTGAATAAATTCTTTTGTTTTATAAAATGTCTTCTTTTATTTTTACACCACTTTCGGAGGTTTTCCGAGATAAATATGTTCTCATGTCGCTCTGTCATTTGGCCGGTAGTTCCTACTATTCTCAATCATACCACTGAACCGTTTTCAATCGTCGTATTCACCACCGCTGCTGCGACAAGAAATATGCTTTATTTAAAACCCAGAAACCCAGAAATTTAAGAATAAATAGCTGTAGCTTTTCGTCCACAAACAATTCCACGAATATGATTGAGTGCATTAACCGCAGTCGAAGTCGTAGCCACAACATCATTCAATTGTCCTGAAACTGCACCACCAGAACCATTAGCTTTGTTAACAATGAGCAATTGAACAGCCGCTTCCGCTTTTTTGTAATAATCCGGTTGATTCGGCATCCAAGTCATCATTGATTTTCCAGTCGTGAAACCATCAGTCCAATAGAACGCTTTGTTAACCGCAGGAACACAGATTGAGAGAGTCGAATTGTTTCCACGACACTCTTTTCTTCTCAACGCACCCACCCAGAGAGCACCCTCTTTGATTGTACCGATTGTGTTGAGAATTGAGATTCCTCGATCTGAAACATCACTTTAATCCACATAATTTACGTAATCATACAACTTACTGATAACAAAAGTTCTCTCAGCTTTGTTTTCAACGCCCGATAGAACTCCCCCAACTGCCACACATTGTGCCTTCGCCTTTTCATAAGTGAATGTTCCAGTGAACACCTTGATGCACCATTGTCCCTTGGTTCTACTGAATTTCGTCCAGCTTGTTGGGCATTTCCAGCCAGTTAGCGTTTTTGCTTTGGTCGTTGTCTTCGGTTTTGTTGTTGTCTTCGCTTTAGTTGTTGTCAGCTCATCGCAATACGGCTCCGTGGTTTGAGATTGGACCATTGCCAAAGTGGAGATTGAGAGAAGGAGAAATCTTGTTGACACCATTTTTTTGAATCAAATCAAAATGTGATGTTTTCATCTTCCACAGCTCATCTTTTATACTGAAAATCTTCATTGTATTTTCCCGATTCCCATAAAACGCTTGTAAACTTTACGGAGCGATCGCTTATTTTCGTGCAATCCATAAAGTTTGTCTTGAAAAATCGCGGCATTAAATATGTTTTATTGCTTCTGTAGCGCTAGCGCTCAAAAAACAAGATCTGGATCAAAAATTTTCCGGTCGGCGAAAAATATGGCGTCAAGTTGGAAAATCGGAAAATTTTTTGGAATATTTGATTTTGAGCTCTGAAGAGAAACTAGTTATGACGTGGCACTTGTTTCAAATTAGAAAATGCAAAAGGAATATGTCAACTAGACACTTTTGAACTCAAAAAAAAGATCGAGGGAAAAAATAGATCAAAAATTTTGCGAATTTTTCGAGTCAGTGTATTTTCTGAGTACTTTTTCCAATGAACTTTCATCAATTTTTTGAATGACAAAATTCCACGTAATTTTGGAAAATTTCAAAAGTTCAGGTCTAAATTAATTTTTTTGTAGCTTTTTTTTAATAATTTTTTTTCAGTCGTTAAATTCTGGAATAAAATTTCACACCACGTTCGCGAAATGTGGTCTACCATTTTTATCTCATGTAACACATCTCATTTAAAACGTGGTCTCTGTCCTATCGAGAAAATTTTGCTTTTGTTGACATTTAAATGCTATGTTAAAAATAGTATATAAGATTTTTTTCCTGACCGAAAGGTTCATTTTGTTTCTCGAAAATGTTAGAAGTTTCATAAAATATTTATCTGAAATATTTATTATATTCTTCAGTTTCTGCTGTATTTTTGTATTTTTCTCGCAAATGGTTCAAGGGTGGACAATTCAGCGAAAATGTTTCGGCGAAGAATTTGGTGGCTGTGGTGACTGGGGCAAATGTTGGAATTGGATTTGAAGTGGCGAAGGAGTTGAATTTGAGAAAAGCTAAGGTCTACATGTTATGTCGAAGTGAGAAAAATGCACAGTCCGCAATAATTCAACTAGCCAAAAATGGATGTGATTCTTCCAATCTTCATTTCATTCAATGTGATTTCACAAGTTTTGCCAGCGTCAAAAAAGCCGCTGAACAACTGCTTCAACTTGAAAACCACATTGATGTTTTGATAAATAATGCGGGAGTTCTAATGACGAATTACGAGTTGTCAGAAGATGGATTTGAGAAAACGTGGCAGACAAATCATTTGGGACCATTTTTGTTGACCGAATTATTGTTGCCAGTTATTCAAAAATCAGCGAACGGCGGGAGAATTGTAAATGTTTCGGCGCGTTTACATAGGACAATTTCAAGTTTGGATTACGAGAGGATTGATGAGAGAAATCATTTCAATAAGTGGATATTGTATCGAGAATCGAAAATGGCTAATGTAAGGATCTTAATAGAAATTTTTTTGATTTAAAAACATTCTCCAGATCCTCCACACACGCCAACTCTCCCATCGACTTCACTCAACTGGTTCATCAGTCGTCGCCAATTCCGTGCACCCAGGCGTCGTGAATTCCGATTTCATGCGAAATACATGGTGGGCCGCGCCAGGCCTTATCATCATTACTCGATGTTTGGCCAACTTCTTCTTAAAATCTTCACGTGATGGAGCTCAAACAGTTTTGTATGTTGCACTCAGCAAGGAGGTTGAGGGGATTTCGGGAAAATATTTTGCGTGAGTTTTGGAAAATTCGTTTCGTTTTGGAACCATGATTTTCAGAGATTGCGAACTTGCCAAAGAATCAGAATTCGCTTCAAATGATCAAGCTAGTGAGGAACTCTATAATTACAGTATTCAAAAAGTTTCCAAATTTTTATGAACATGTTTCATTTCATAAATACAATTTATTTTAAAATATAACTCTCTGAAACATTTTTTTTCAAATTTTCGAATTCAAATACTTTTTTTCTTGAAAATACATTTTTGTAAGATCCACGTGGAAAAACTTCAAAACTTCATTCAAAAGAGTTCTTCAAACCCTCGAAATCATGGCATACCGAAAATTGGCACATTTTTGTGCCATGGTTTTCGCCCCAAAAATCTGTGCCTTCTTCGTTCTCGCCTCTCGCTTCCCGATTCCAATACTCGACAAAATCCCAATCAAAACAGTTTGATCTTTGACACGACAATAAACCGGGCTTCCCGAATCACCCATACAAAATCGAGGTTCCTCCTGGGTTTCCGGGAATGATAGTTTTGAGATGGCGAACGTCTGATTTCGCTTGAATTTCAGATCGATTTCGATTTTTCTTGGGAGCTCTGGATATTTGTTACTTTCATCGATTCCCCGGCCAGCTGCATAGCAAGTTTTGGCGAAATTATTTGGGATTGGGGAAGGTTTTGCGATTTCTGTGTTGTGAAGAAGATTATTGAGGTGGAGAATGGCTTTGTCATTCTCTAAAATCTCAAACGCATTGGTCCAATAACTTCTTCCCGCAATTTCCTGAATCTCCACAATTTCCGCATTTCCAGCAGCCTTCTTTAAACAATGGGCCGCCGTCAGAATTCGCAATTTCGAAACCCTCACTCCACCACAAATCACCTCATTTCCCCCGCGAAACTTGGCAAAAATTGTGACCTGCGATGAAATTTCCGATTTTTCGGGAACGCTTCCGAAAAGCACCGAATTCGAGAATCCGATTAGGAATAGGAATAGGAACATTTTGTGAATTTTTTTTGGAGAAATTTTGTTTTGGGGAGACAATTTTGTTGATTCTGCTTCTGAATCATATGAAAATATACAATTTTTTTACGTCAGAGAATTTCGTTAGAAGAAACCAGAACTTCAAAAAAAATTTTTATTAAATTTCAAAAACACACCTGGAGAGAGAGTGTCCTCTCGGAGGCAAAATGTTGGTGGAAAGGAAACTGTTTTCAAACGTATGCGTTGCTCAAAATTTGAAGTTAGAATAACTTTTGGAAAAAAATACAGTTTTGACACGTCTCTCTCTCTCGCAGGTGTCTTCAAAAATCAAGTGGCCAACATTCCACAAATGACACCAGTAGCAATTGTATCCTCCCAAGCCGCATACATCGAATTATCCGGATAAACATACGCATAAACTTTGCCGACATAAGTGCTATCCGGTTCGCCACTCGCCCAATTGAAACCAGCACTTCCCGTTGTATATGAATCTGTCCACGCGTACGCGGCTGTTGAGCCAACACGTTGTGCACCGATCACCAATGCGAAAATAGCGCTGTTCTGACTGACAGCATCGGCCACGGCTGTCGAAACTTCAGCGAGCGATTCGAAACCAGTGGGAACTGCGGTTGAGTCAAGAGTTGAACAGGATGTGTAATCAGTTCCGACTTCTCCAGTCAGGAAGAGAGTTTTAATGCACCAGTAATAGGTTGAGCGGTCGAATCGGGTCCAAGTTGAGTCGAGGCAAGTTGGTAGGGGTGTGGTTGTGGTGGTGGTTGTGGTGGTCGTAGTTGTAGTGGATGTGGTTGAACTAGTGGTTGGTATATCTGAATTTTTTTTTGGTATGCGCCTTTAGATTTACGAACTGCAATGGGTACTGTATTTGAAAATCCAAACTAGAAATGTTACAGTAATTCAGAATCTATCTCAAAACCCCCACCTGAAAAAAATTACTGTAGGTGAAAATTTCAATGAAAAATTATTACGGTGTCTCAAAAACTACAAGGGTTACTGTAATTGATAATTTTTAAATTCATGAAAAATTCTACAACCCAAATTTTAAATTAAACGAACTGCAAGAACTACTGTATCACAAAAATTCATACTTGTTTGGGTGGTTGTCAGTTGAATTTCTGTCGTACTACTGTAGACGTCTGAAATTTCAAAGATTACTGTAAATTCGAAAGAATCACGGTATTTGAAAAGCTGTAAGCATTACTGTATCTACAAGGGTTACTGTAACACAAAAAGCCGAACTGTAAAGATAACTGTAACCAAAACCTGCGAAACTAAAAATTTGAATAGAAAACTGACCTTCCGCAGTTTGTGTCGGAATACACATATCAATTTGCTTCGCAAAAATTAGAAATTCAATTAAAGCTAGCAGATTCATAGGAACTTTCAGAAGTGTTTTTTTGCCAAAATGATTTTGATAATTTTTTTTCGCGCAACAAACCTGCCGCGAAGATTAATCAAGAATTTAGGCGATTTTTTTGTGTCGGAGGAAAATACATAAATTGATAAGGATGAAAATGCAACCTTTTTTCCGTAGACTAGATTCTATTTTTCGTTCCGCGTTTGAGGAGATTAATAAAACAGGCGGCGCTGATTTTGTGGATTTTATTGAATTGCCCTTTTGCTATTGATAAAACATCACTTCTTTTCTAGTTGTGAAGCCTAGACATTGCTTAGAAGGTCAAGCAGACAACACTAGAGATGTTCTCAAGCAGTGATCCCTAGACGTTTTTCGAACAGAAAGCAGCGGCTAATTGAGAAATGTTATGCGAAGCAGTCAGCCCTATAGCTAATGAATACCCTCAAGCAGTGAACCCTAGACGTCATTATAACTCCAAGCAGTCGCTCCTTGAAAAGTATATGTTCTGTCAAGCCTCTAATCCTATAGCCAAAAGATGATCTCAAGCAGTGAACCCTAGACGTTCACAAGGAACTAATTGAACTATAATCAAATCAATCCTGTCTATTCTTCGAAGAAAAAATTTCTTGTTTCCACTTTATCATTCATATAAAATTAATAAAAATACCCAAACACAAAATACAAAGCAAATAATTCCATTCAAGGCTAAATTATATCTCTTTTTGAAAATGAATATCACGAACATTTTTTTGGGAAAATAATTATTTTCAGGAACTTTAAAGTTAGAGAAAGCAAACTGGGTTTTTGGAGTTTTTCTGTCCAAGGGTCACAATTCAAAACTAGACTTAACTTTGTTTTTTCAAATTGCAAACCTTCAAAAATAACAAGTTCATTTATTAAGCTGATAAAAAGTTTTTGCAAAATAACAAAAGGTCAAAACTGTTTTTCAGCGCGAAACATAAATTATTCACGTGAAAACAAAATAAAAACCCGTATAAAAACCCAGTCTTAAACCATTATTCATTCAACCTTTTAAAATTTTTCGAAAAATGTCTGTCCAACAATTCAACGAAGAAGATTTTCAAGCATGGGTCGATGATGACGAATCTTCGCAACAAATCTTTCACAGCGAAAAAATTTCACTTTTCAGAAAAAAAAAATCATTTTATCGATAAAAAATTGCTTACAAAAATCCGAATGACTTGTTTTTCCGAAAATGTTTCTTGTCGGTAAATGTTAATAATTTTCTTCCAATTCGCGGGTTGGTAAAAAAAAACATTTGATTTTCTGATCAATAAATTATATTTTTTACAAATCCCGCGCAATATCCCATCAAAAAATCAATAAAAAAAAAGAGGCTTGTTTTCTCTCAATAAACTCCTATGTTCCTGCTCAGCAAAATCATCTGATTCGAAGTCAAATTTCCAAACGCAAATTCAAACCTCAGCCCAGAAATCTGTTCAACATCAAAAATCGTGGCCGAATAATCCAACAGAATCTTTTTCGCACTCATACAATCCCATGTGTTATTTTTCGAAATAATTGGGAAAATGATTATTTTCAGGAACTTTAGAGTTAGAGAAAACACGTATTTGAATCGAAATTTCAGGCAATCTGGGCTTTTTGAGTTTTTCTGTCCAATGGTCAAAATTCAAAACTAGATTAGACTTTGTTTTTTCAAATTGCAAACCTTCAAAAATAACAAGTTTATTTATTAGCTGATAAAAAGTTTTTGCAAAATAACAAAAGTCAACGCTGTTTTTAAGCGCAAAACATAAATTATTCACGTGCAAACAAACACTGTTATCTTTTTAAAAAAAACCGGTATAAAAACCTAGCCTTAAACCACTCTTCATTCAATTTTCAATTTTCGAAAAATGTCTGTTCAACAATTCAACAAAGAAGATCTTCAAGAATGGCTCGATGATGGTGCAGACGACGAATATTCGCAACAAATCACTCTTCAAGAAAAATGGCGCAAGATTGCGATTTCGATCAATCCTGATTCCACAGATGGTGATGCTGTCAATATTCAAATCGAAGAACAATCGAACTCACTTGCGATTTCGAAGAAGTGAGAAGTTTTGTTTTGTGAACTTTTTCTAATTTTTGTTTTTATCAATAAATATTTTGGGGGATTTTTGAACATCCATTCAGTGTAGCTCCTCAAAAAAAACAAAAATTTTTATTCACCAAAGTTGTGTCGTTATATTCCTCCTCAGCAATATCATCTGATTCGAAGTCAAATTTCCAAACGCAAATTCAAACCTCAGCCCAGAAATCTGTTCAACATCAAAAATCGTGGCCGAATAATCCAACAGAATCTCATTCGAACTCATACAATCCCATGTGTTATTTTTCGAAATAATCGGGAAAATGAATGCGAGACTTCTTAGGTTTTTGCAATTTTCAAAATCTGTTGAATCGTCTGAACATCGCAGGAGAATTCTGTAGAAATGTGTGGAATTTGTAGATGTTTGATCGTGAATTCCATTATGATCGATATCTGAAGCAACTCCGGAAATCACGAAAATTTTGGAGAATTTGGAGATGTACTGCAGCATCAGATTTTGAAAGGGCGTGTAGACTTCTGGAAAAAAATAGGCTCATACTTGAATTTTTCAGCCAACCTACTTTCTACAAAATAACTCGGAAGACTCTCTTCAAAATATGAATTCGCAATTCCAGCATTTCTCACCGAAATACTGTAATTCTTCAAACCACTAGAACAACCAACATTGCTCATATTATACTTCGAATTAACAAAATATCCCGAAGAATCTCTCAAGTCATCCGAACTTGATAGCATTTCAAAAATTCCTTTTCGTTTATCAGAATTCGAGGCGGAGCTCATAAAAATTGCCTGATTTTCACAGAATTTTTGATAGCAGAGAGAGGAATTTGAGAACAAATGAATCGGAATTTCAGATATTTTTGAGCAGTTTTGAAAGTCTAAAATTGCTCCAGTTGAGCAGGAAGTGAAGTTGTCGGAGCCGGAAAATGTGCATTCTCTGGAAACAAATAGGATTACTGTAGGTTGAGAAGAATACTATGGTTTGATGAAAAAGTTAAGCTTGACTAACAATAAAACATTATCCAAACAAAGAGAACAATCTTTAAATTTGTTTGAAACCTATATTATTTTGGAATTTTATTCATGCAGAATTTGAAGCCAAATTTTTGAGGGCTTTGAAGAATTTCAGAATTTTTCAGAATCTGTTTCTGGCCTGGAGAAGTCCTAGAATAATTTTACAGAAGTTTTTGCAGGATTGAAAATTAGGAAAACTTTTGGTTTTTAACAAAAAATAAATCCAGATTTCCCCAGCCCACCAAACTCACTTAATCTTCTCTCCCAGCACAACCTGCCGTGTCGGCGGACTCCTCAATATCCCATCGAAAAATCCAACACTACCATTCGTCTCCACCGCTCCAGTGATATTCAATAAATCCATCCACAAATTCATATATTGAACATTTTGAAAATTCTGAATCGTGGAATTTTCCTTGATTCCAGGACCTCGCGCGAAAAATATCGTATGCATATTTGGATTGAAAAAATCGTAGCCATGATCACCGGAATATAGATTGTCGTCAGATTCCGATTTATAGAAGCAGGTTCCGGGGGGACCTTCTAGAATAATGTCACCGACTTTGGAGCTTCGAGAATAGTGCTTGCGGGTGGGGAGATCGTCACGGGTGTTGACCTGGAATTTCAAGATTTTTTGAAACGTAAAAAATGGGCAAAACAAAAAAATCCCTGGATTTCCATCCTCACCTTAAAATCTTCCACTTTACACCTAAAAACATCCCTCAACTCCTCGACTTTCACCGTCGAATCATTAATATACAATCTCGACACAACTCCCTTCGCACTAATTATTCCACTCGGATATTTAGTCTTCAAATAATCATCAAAATAATAAGTTTTATTAATTAATTCCATTCCATGATCCGCAACAATTGCAATATTTACACAATCCAATAATCCAGAAATCTTCAATTGACTCATAAAATAATCTAAACCATCATCAATCTCATCCAACATTCGATCAACATCTTCCGATAAGAATTGATAATGTCCAGCATTATCTGGCTCGTGTAAATAGGCCGTGATTAAACCGGGCCGTGTTTTTTCGGGCTCTTTAAGCCACTCTAGAATTTGCTCGATACGATTTCGAAATGGTAGATTTTGATTGTAATATGGGGAAACATCTGGAGCGTAGCCGGTTTGATTATAAGCACATCCAACCCAGAAAAGGCAGTTGGCAGGTTTCCCGGTTTTTCGTTTGTATACGGACCAGATCTACAATGAATTTTTTCCACGTGAAAAATTTTTGTAGATCAAAAAAAGCTCTTAAACTACAGTAACCCACCGGCTCGCCAACAAAAAACGCCGAATATTTGGTGCTTTTCATCGATTCTAAATTCATCGAAATTTTCGCATCAAAAACATTGTTGTCGGCTACAAACAAAAGATTTTCAAATTTTTTTCCAAAAAAAAAATCTCACTTATCCCATGACTTTCTGGAAATAATCCAGTCACAATTGAATAGTGATTGGGAAATGTTTTGGTGGGAAAACTTGGCATAACTCGATCGGTTTTTGCGCCACATTGCGCTATTGAATTCAGCGTTTTCATCTCCTTTCGATCCAGGTAAAATCGAGCAAATCCGTCAAAACTCATGATTATTAGTGGAGGATTTTCGTAGCTGGAAAAATGGATTTGGTGGCCTGGAAACCGGAAGGTAGCCCCCAGATGGCCTAGAAATCCAAATTATATATCTTTGTGGCCTAGAAATCCATCTAGTCCCCAACCCACCCATCTAGCTCGCATTTCCCACCACATTCCTGCCATTGAACACGATGTTCCCACGATTTTTCGTCATCCGACACTACTGTTGGAGTTTGCGTAGAAGTTGTAGAAATATTCGAATTCGAGGTTGAAAATATTGAATTTGGGGAGACTTTTAATAAAATTAGAACTACAATAAACATAATAACCATAGCCATGAATAATAGAATTACAGACAAAACTGAAAGCGCGCAAAACCATCGCTTCGGATCTGCAAAAATATGTTTGTATCTAGAAAAAATGAGGATACGATGAAAAACGTGCGCGTGGCAAAGTGGTTAGCACACGGGCGTGCGAAGTGTGAAGCGCTGGTTCGATTCCTCAGGCGGTTTTTTTTAACTCACGCTCCATTTCCATGAAATTGTTCTTCTTGACAACTCGAATCAAATTACTGCTCATCTAATTAGCCACAAGCATTAATTAATAGAATTTCAGAGAAAACTAAAACTAGACTGTAGTCAAAAATTAGTTAGTCATAAATAATAGAATGAATTTTCAGAGAAAGTGTGACTAGAAAAAGAAACCTTTGGCAGCAAAAAATCAATGCGGCATGAATATTTTTTTTGTTTTTTTTTAATCCGCCATACACACAACCACACAATGACATAAAAATTAACGAGGCTTAAAAAGTTTTTTTATTAGATAATGTGATTTTCGGGGGTAGATCAAAAGTTGGCGTGAAAATATTTAGGCGATTTTTTCTACTTAAAATTTCATTTAAAAAACACACACAGGAATGTATGAACTTGAAAAACACGTGTCAAAATGTGGGGGGGGGGCGTTTTGGGCCGAAAAAGGAAAAAGGGTAACCGTATAATTGACAAAAAGTGGGCCAGCCTAAGCCTAAAATTTAGGCTGATATAAGATTGAAATACGATAAAACGTGAGTTGTTCCCGTGTAGACCATATCGAAGATTTGATCGACGACTGTCGAATTTTCGGCGCCGGCGGGTTTTTGGGCGGCTATTCCGCTGGAGGAATATTGGAATTGATTGGCGACGGAGAAGGCAAGACCTTGTCCCCAAGACACTTCCATTTCTTTGATCTTTTTGGCGAGCTGCAAAAATATTGAGTCATGACGTGGCATTTTAGAAATAAAAAACCGACCACAATCCTTTTCTCATCTCCAAATCCATAACCATCTCTCAAAAGTGAATAAATATAAGTCAAATCCAAACATTGCCACGCCCACCAATGTTCACCATTCCGTCTCTCAATCTCTGATCTCTCTCTTCCACACGCTATCTCTGCTGCTTTTTTGAAATCTTTCAACTGAATTTCTCCGCCATTTGTATCCTTGACCAATTCTGAATTCAGACCTCGATCAAAGAAATATGAAAATAAATAGATTGGCTTGGAATTTTCAGAAATAATTAGCTCAGTTGGTTGCATAATTTGACTGGATTTCACAAATTCTTTGGAAGTTTTATAGCAATTTTCAAATCCATAATTATTCGAGCCATTGATTTGCCAATGTTTCAATGAATACTCCCAATTTCGAATCGAAAATCCATCAGGCATACAGCTAGTTTTCAGCTGATTTTCAGCATTCTCTTGAGATGATTCTTGCTGCATAATCGCGAGTCTTGAAGCAATCAAACCGTTTCCCAGAAAACTATGGGTGAAAAGTCGAATATGGTGTCCGAAAAAATCGATATCCCTTTCGTAACCCGGTGTTTCCTCGAAGATTTTCTCGTTGTTTGGCCAGAATGTGAGTTGGGTTGAACCGCCGCCGAGGTCGAAAGCGGCTACAGAACGATGAGCTAGGGGTTTGTTGGGAGCAGAGGAGGGCTCGTCTGGAAAAAACACTATGAGGATTTTGGGGATGAAAATCCAAGGGGACTTGAAATTTTGTGAAATTTCCGAATTAGATTTGTATGACCTTGGTTTGGTCATATCATAAGAACTTTTTGTGAAAGAATTTTCAGTTTTACAATCAAATTGTATAGTTTGTGAAGTAAAATTGCTTAAAAATCTTGAATTTCAAAAATTTATAGTAACTTTTTTCAAACAGGTGTAATCTTGATTTTCAGAATTTTAGAATATTTTTTCAACAAAATTTAGGATGAAAATGAATTTTTCAGACATTTTTTAGCTTCAAGACCAAAACTGGAGTTTTTCATTAATTTTGAAAAAAAAACATTTATTTCCCAAAATTGATACGTGAATTTTTATCAATCAACTATCATTTCACTTTTTTTCATTTCTAATTTCTCTTATTCTCAAAAAAAAACTCACTGGTAAAAAGTGTCTCCAACAAAATATTCAGCGTAAACCAGCTGAAAACACCCTCATCACTTCCCGACATCACAGAAACAGCCTCACTGAAAGCGGCAAAAAATCCCGAATTGAAAATCGCGCTCTCCACTTGCTCCAGAATATCATCCGCCAAATGACCGGGCAACAATCGAAGTCCGGCGGTGGCTCGCAATGTTATCGGTGTTTTTTCCCACATGTAGTGAGGTACCTCTTTTCTGGCTCGTTCTAGGAGTGGATTTATTGATTTTGCAGCAGCTTGTGGATCATTATGATAGGAAGAGAGACCAGGTTTGACCTCTTGAAAGATCTCTTTTTCTACGATGAAAGGCATGCCGTTTTTTGCGGTTTTTGGATCGTGCAAAAATTTATATAAATGCAGACGAGTGCCAGTTGATCCACCATCAATTACAATTGTAAAAAATCGACAGGCATTTTTATTATTCACCACACCATCTCCATAACAATATTCATCGTTGATTTTGGACAAAGTTACGTGGATAAATGAGAAGAGAAGAAATACTAGCATTTTGTAGGTAACCCGAGATGATTTGAATCACAGTTGAATCGTTGTTGTTTGAAGAAAAATGAGCGGCTATTTCACATTAGTGAGGACTGAAAAAAGTTTTTTTGGTAAAAAAAAATTCGCAAAACAAATAAAATTCGACAAACAAAAGAGGGGAATCGATTTGAAAATGGAATTGAAATGAAACAAAAAGAGTGCACTACTTTGTTTTATCAGTCAATTGATTGACACTACAAAGAACAAAAAAATAATAGTTTCTAGTCTCGAAAAATAAAAAGAGAAGGAGAAGGAGGAAAACATTGATACATCTCTTGGAGAAATCAAACAAAAAATGACCAATTATTTTTAGCTTGCAAGAGAGGGATGGATGTGAGAAGAGATATGAACTGAACCGGTTTGAGGGAGGAGAAAACCAAAAAAACAGCGGAAAGAAAGAAAGTAAAAAATTTGTGTGCAAACACCAATGCAGAATTTGTGTGCTACAGTATTCCGCGATTTTTTTCGGGCGGGAAAAATCTTGAAAAGTTATTTGTGACCAAAAATCCACGTGTAAAAGAAGAAAGTGGTTTTCTAAACACAATAAACACGTGAAATCTGATTTTCCAGCAGGAATTTCAAAATTATCTCATTTAAAAATGCCAATTTTCAAAGAAAATGCAGGTTTTTTCAATTTATTTTTTTTTCTAGAAAATAGAAAATTCTAGAGATTTCTCAGAAAAACGAAGAGTCAATTACCTAGGTTTTCTTTCCTTTTTTGCTGCCCAATCGAAAAATGACGCTATTCAAAAATATGCGCCAAGGCCTAGACAGCTGACGCGTTTCGCGCGCACCGAAAAAACGAGTTTATTTTTTCGCCACATTTTTTGCTGTCCACGTATTATATCATCAATTCTTCCTCGTTTTTCAACGGTTTTTCAGTCAAAAAATAAATTTTCAGAAAAAAATGGCGTCGGTGTTGTCGTCATTTTTTCAACGCGATCCAAAATCGCAATTTCCTTATGATATTCCAACGGACCATAAATATTTTTTCGATCGTGTCTCGATAGGAAATAGTTTCAAAAAAGCGGAACCTGGTGAATTAGCCACGATTTTTTGGGACAATCGAAGTTCGACGCTGAAACAACAAGCACAAAAATTGAAAACTATGCGACACCCAAATATTATCACATTTTTGGATAGTATCGAATTGGACGGCACTTTTTATTTGGTCACTGAGAAATGTATTCCTTTGCAATTGTATTTGCAGGAATCGAAGATGAGCGAACAGCAGAAGGAATTTGTGGTTTCCTGGGGCATTTTTCAATTGATGGTGAGTGATTTTGGGAAGGTTTTGGCAGGGAAATGAAATTTTTGCTGAAATTTTCCAGAACGCTCTAAAATTCCTACACGAAGCCAAACTCTCACACGAAAACATTCGACACGGTGTTTTCGTCACAGCCGGAGGTGACTGGAAAATCGGCGGTCTCCATCAAGTCACAGCATTTCAAAGCGCTCAAACCGACTTAAACCAACTCGCAATTCTTCTCTGGGAAGTTTTCAACGGTTTCAATGAGTCGATTTTCAAGGCGCAAGCGCCCGGAAAAATTCCGCAAAGGTTACATGAATTATACAAGAAGATTGCGACGGGTGGAGCGGCTAGAATAGCTGTAGGAGATTTAATTAAAGGTGGGTTTTTGATTAATGTTCAATTATCTATTGATGAAAAATATTTTTTTATTTAGAAAATCGTTTGACTGGCGGGTATTTGAAGAATAAATTTGTGGATACTCTTCTATTTTTGGAGGAATTTGAGCTCAAAGAATCGTCAGAGAAACAATCATTCTTTATGCATCTTCGAGAAAATCTTGATATCTTTCCGGATGACGTGGCAAAATATAAGATCCTACCCAAACTCATTCTAACCTATGAATACGGAGATGCTGGACCGAACATTTTGATTCCACTTTTCAAATTAGGAAGACTTTTAGATGAAGCCGAATATCAGCGAACAATTGTGCCGTGTCTTTGTAAATTATTTGGGAGTCCGGATCGAACGACGAGAGTGAAATTGTTGGAGCGGATTGATGAATTTGCACCGCATTTGACTGCGCAGGTTTTGAATGATAAGATTTTTGCGTGAGTTTTTTTTGGGAGGATTTTTGGGCAGAGGGCCCGGGAGAATCTGAAAATTTAAGATCTTAAAATTTGAATTTTCATTGAAGCCCAAAAATCGTAAAAATTTAAATCACTTCAAAGTTGAAATTCAGAATAAAATGGGTATTCTGAATACACCTCACAAACTTAGCCATCTGAAAATTTTCAGCAAAACAGTTCTAGAAATTATTTGATTCCTGAAATTGAATTGAAATTCAGGATAATACAACATTTCCAAAAAACATAAATTTAAAATTTTCTTAAAAATCTAAAAGTTCCAATTTCCACTCCCTTATATTTTCCAGAAACCTCACCTCCGGATTCCTTGACACCTCCCCAGCTGTTCGAGAATCAACAGTAAAAGCCATGGTTTCCCTCGCTGACAAATTAAATCATAACAATCTCAACGTGGAACTCATGAAATATCTCGCAAGACTTCAAGGAGGAGATGAACACGGTGGAATTCGAACAAACACCACAATTTGCTTGGGAAAAATCGGACATTTGATATCACCTTCGAAACGACAAGGAATATTGATTAGCGCGTTCACTCGAGCATTGAAAGATCCATTTGCACCATCGAGAATGGCGTCGATATTGGCACTTTCTGCAACACAACAATTTTATCCATTGATGGAAGTGGCGAATCGAATTGTGCCTAGTTTGATCCCGTTGACTTGTGATCCTGAAAAACAAGTCAGAGATCAGGCTTTCAAGGCGATTCGTGGGTTTTTGGAGAAACTTGAGAAGGCTAGTGAGAATCCGGCTTGTATTCCTGAACTTGAAGCTGGAGTGAAAGCGGGAGCTAGTAGTATTCTGGATTCGGATAAGGTTCCACAATGGGCGAGTTGGGCACTCAAATCGTTGTCTGGAAAGTTCTATAAAGGACCAACACCGGTGGAGGGAGCTGGACCAGCGGCCCCAGCTGCTGCAGGAGCTGTAGCGGACTCAAAAGCTCCAAGCTCCGAGAAACGCGTCACACCAGAGAAGGAAGAGAAGAAAGCGGAGCCAGCTGCCAACGATGGCTGGGGTGATTTTGGTGATGTTTTCCCCAGCAAACCGTCGAACACTTCAAATTCCACACCATCTCAAAACATCAAGGATGATTGGTCAGATTTGACAAAAGAGGAAGATGATTGGGGAGTTGGTTGGGATACGCCGATCGCCACCGCCAAATCATCGCCAATCCCAGCGGCTAAGAAGAATTCGCTGAACGCGGCGATCAAAAAGCCGGTTGCACCATCGATTGGGAGATTGAATTTGGGAGGAGCGACAGGGGGAGCACAGGCGAAGACTAAGAAAGGTGAACGGGTTTCGGGGGTCGGGTTATATAAATCAGGCTGTAAAAATTCATTTTTTGAATCTTAATTAGCCTAAGTCTGTAGTTTTTGGAGTGAAAAAGCTTCCAAAAACATCTGAAAATTTTCAGCCATCGACGATAATATTGACGCATTGTTAGGAATCGCAGCTCCGCCACCCTCTTCCTCTTCAACACCGTCACTTTTTGCTCTTCAAAACAAAACCCAGCAAAATCAAGCGAACTCGAATTCAGGTAACTTTTCTTTTACGATATGAAATCAGATATTTATAACGTGACACAATTTTCAGGCTGGGGATTCGATGATTTCTCTACTAACTCCAACACTAATTCAACCTCGAACTCGAATAATAAAGGCGGTTGGGACGATGATGGTTGGGGTGAAACATCGACAAACACTGCCACCCCGGCTCTTCAACCAACAAAAATGGACAAGGATTCGAGAAGAGCTGAAATGACTGCGAGAAATGAGGCGAGACGAAAAGAGCAGGCGGATCGGAAGAAATCGGCGGGAGCTTTGAAAATGCCCGAGAAGAAAATTGATGATTTTGCGGATTGGTGAATAATGTGAAGATTCTGTATTTTTTTTTTGGGGTTATCCTTTTGTAACTAAAATATCATTAGTTCTTGTATAATAGTGAGTTTTTTCTGAAAAATTTTAACTGGAAAATAAATTATTGATTTTTGAGAAATCTTGAAATTTTTACGTTTCAAAAAATTGAGAAATTTCTCGGAAAATTCGCAATGATTGATTGTACTTGAATATTATGGGAAAAATATTTTTTTCAAATTTAGTTTTGCAGAATACATGTAACACAGGCAAAACATGTGAAAAATGCACTTTTTTCTCAAATAAACAGGGTATTAACCTAATTTTTAGTGTTTTGGAGGCTCCAAATACAAAAAAAAAAATGATAACCGGCTCTTTTTGAAATGAAAACACTCGATTTCATCATTCTTCCGATGTACTTCATATGTACACAGGCTATTAAATAAAATCTATAAAACCCTAGGCTCACAACAAAACTGATAAGTCTCATTTTTGTTTTCAAAAATAATTTCATCACTAATCTGAAGTTGTTTATAAGATCTAATAATGGCTGTTCAACTAGTCAGGATACATATCAAAGACTGGATTGATCATACCGAACAAATCATCGCAGATATGAAAACCATCTCAACCGAGCTGAATCGTGTCAAAAAAATCAGCGCTATCTCACTCATCACCGGTTCATCAATTGGTGTCGCCAGTAGTGGTGCAATTATCGCCGGTGCAATTTTGCTGCCACCCGTCGCCATTGCTGGCGCCGCAATAGGTGCAGCTTCCGGTGTAAGTAATTGTGCCACAGGGTTGTACAAATGGAACCATCGGCGAAATCGTATTGAAACGTTGAATGCCTATTTCGAGAAAAATAAAGAGCTTTTCAAAAACTTTGTGCGCACTTATGAAACGCTATTTGGGACCAGTGCATATTTCGATAGATTTTCGAATGAGTCCAGCGAATTTGTGAATTTTGATAAGATTCACGTGGCTGGCGCAGCTATGGTTGTCGCAAGAGGCGGTGCTATACTACAATCAGTTCCGATTACTAGTTTGACAGCACTTGGAAAAGGATTATTGCATAGTATTGCGTTGGTTGGAATTGCTGTGGATTTGTTGACGATTGCGATAAATGCCAAGGTTTGTAGGAAATAGTTTATAAGCCACATAAGTAGGCTATCGATTTTTCCAGGAGCTCTCGAAAAATTCCTCCCTCGCCGAAGAAATTGCAACGCACCAACAAATCCTCGAACAACATATTCAAGAACTTCGCGGTTTTTTCGATGATCCTACCCCACGAATTTGTCAAGTTTCAAGTGGCTCGGATGATGATGACAATGATGAGGGAATGGGATCATCAACAAGACCGACGAGCTCTTGCGCAGATTCAATTGAACGCCTTTCAACTTTGAGTGATGACAATTAAACATGTTTTTTTTGTACATTTTTGTCTGCCTTTAAATAAGCACTTATACAATAAAAGATAAACATATTTTGTATATTACTGAAATGTTTCGCAACAATTCTCAGAATTACTGACACAAGGAAACATTGAATGATAAGAAGACTATTCCCTTTAAAAAAACCCTAAGAAGTTCTTAGTAAGAGCCAATACTACCTTTCACTTTTCTTCAAAAAATGTCCGAATTCTTCCTCAAAATCAGCCTTGATGATTGGATCAACAATTCAGAAGAATTCACCAAGAAATTGAAAATTACATCTGAACGACTGAAACGCTTTCGTAATGCTTGTTTGGTCGCACTAATCATCGGATCAACAATTTATATCGTAAGTGTTGGTGGATTATTGTTTGGTGTAATTGAAAGTGCCCTCACAGCCCTCGTTGGTGCAGCAGTTGGATATATCTCCAATGCTATCGCAATGTTTTGTGGATGGCTGTATACAAAAACGAGCATCGATGAAATCAAACTCATCGCTCGTGAGAACCAAAATAATCTCTTCGAATTCACATCAACATTTCTTCCATTGTTGGGCTCATTTGTGTTGTTTAAAGAATATTACGAGAAAGAGAAAAAGGAGTATCGATTTATTGAAAATATCAATTCGTTCACATCGTTTTTCAATTTATCCGATGTTTTCACTGGAACTTCGAACATCGAGAATCTGGTGAAAATTGAAATTAATGAGATTGGCAATTGTATTCACAAATGGTTCTATTCTATCACGAATAGCGTTCCAGATGTACGGAAAAGCGTGCCGAAGATTGTTCAAGGACCAAATCTTATTTTTGTGCCAACTTGCAAGAAACCTCAAACTTTCTTGAGCAAAATCATGTTTGGCGCAAAAAACATGATAAAAATGCTTGTATTCTAACTTGTCACGAAATCATATTTATTGCCAGATAATAAAGACAATTGTTTTTTTCCAATTTATGAATATTTTTAATGCAGTGTCCAAAGTAAAAAATATAACAAAAAATGCGAAAATATATCGTCCAAAGTCTAACTGTCTGCGTCTCTCGAATATACACACTATTTCTCTGTTTCGTGTCTGCGTCTCTCGAATACACACACTATTTCTCTGGTATATATTCCGAATATAAGGCGAGCTTTGTACGATATATTCTCGCATTTTTTGCTATATTTTTTACTTTGGACACTGCATAATGAAGATTTTAGATTTTCCAGCGAAAATGTTGTTTCAAAACAAAAAAAACCACAAAAAAAAGAAAATAAATAAATAATTTGGCCGAGTCGGTTTCCAGGCCGTTTTTCACTCGGCCACAAAAAAAGTTCAAAAAACCGTTTTTTTTCTGTATTTTCCGTTGCGAAATTTTGTGGTCTCTGCAGATAATTACACAATATTTGTATTTGTTAACCAATATCTGCGTCTCTCGATTTCCCGCACTATTTCTTCTTTGAGAGATGGAAAAATCAGAAATCGAAATTTTGCTGGTATATAAACAGATCATTTTTTTGTTTTTGCGCATTGAAATTGAATAGAATCCACGTGGATTTTCGATGCCAAAAACTTTTTGAATTATTTTTTGAAAAAAACGTGGTCTCTGTTGTTTTTTTTCTGATTTCTATCATAAATATACTAAACTATTGATAAGAAAATCATCATTTCTCACTATTTTTTTTTAATTTTTGAATTTTTTGTGGAAAACTATTATTGCAGTAGAGCGCGATTGAATTTTTTTTTGAAAAAAATACATATTTTTATTTAATTATTGTTCATTTTTTATTTTTCGAGTTTTCCTTCAAAACACTCTTTTATCATGAAATGTCTTATTTTTGAAAATTTCTCTAATAGAGCTAACTTGCCTTTTTCAGATGGGAGGGCATTTATCCAATTTGAAAGTCGATAAAAATTCTGAAATTTTCGAAGCCTCTTGCGGTCCAATACGTGGAAATATTTATCATCATGAAAACAACAAAATCGTAGATGGATATCTAGGAATTCCATATGCCCAACCACCAGCCAGATTTCAGCGGGCAATTCTAGCACAAAACTGGACCGATCCCCTAGATTGTTATAAATACGGTCCGAATGCTCCACAAACCGGCCTGGTTCCGGATTTGGGCCAATATGGAATGGAGAATATTATTGACGAGGAGAAATGTTTGAGTCTGAATATATTTGTGCCACGTGGCGGCGAGAAATCGAAAGCTGTGATGGTTTTTATTCACGGCGGGGGATTTGAATTGGGCTCGAGTGGATATTATTGTCATAAATCGGTTTCGGGGTGCGTTTTTTGGGGGGGGGGGGGGAGAAAAGGTATCAAAGATTTCTCGGATCAAATTTTGAAAATTTTATATATTTTTTATGGGCCTATGCAGAATGATATTTTGTAATAAAAAAACATTTTTTCCTATGCAGAAAAACGTCGAAAAAACAAAATATACAGTTTATCATTTTGAATAGAGACAACGTGAAATTGAGAGAGTGCAGACAAAAAACCCATTTTATGTCTGCGCTCTCTCAATTTCACGTTGTCTTTATTTTGTTTTTTCGACGTTTTTCTGCATAGGAAAAATATGTTTTTTTACGTTTTTTTATTACAAAATATTATTCTGCATAGGCCCATTATACAATTTTTTGAAACGTAGATTTTCGATCTTGGAAAAAATGTGAAATTTTCGAACATTTTTCAGCTGAAAATCTTGAAGCTCAAAAATTTTCTCTTCGCAACTCCCATATTTTCCAGCTCTCTGCCTCTCAAAGACATCATCCTGGTCACCATCAATTATCGTCTCGGTGTTCTCGGTTTCCTCACAACCGGCCAGCAAAATTGCCCAGGAAATCTAGGTCTTTGGGACCAAACCCTTGCCCTAGAATGGATTCAGAAGCACATCGAATCATTCGGCGGAAATCCCAAAAACGTCACAATTTTTGGGCAAAGTGCAGGAGGAGCAAGTTGTGATTTGCTCTCGTTGAGCCCGAAATCTCGTGACCTATTTTCGAAAATCATACCGATGAGTGGCTCAGCGATGTGCTCATTTGCGATGAGAACCAAAGAAAATCAAGTGAACGTTTTTGAGGAATTCGCAGAATTTCTAGGAGCTCAAAAAGGCCAAGATTTGGTTGAGTTTTTCAAAACGAAATCGATCGAGGAGTTGACGAAAATCGAGAAATTCAAAAAATCCGCATCCGGTGGCCTGACTTTCATCCCAAATTTCGATGGCGATTTCTTCCCGCGGCCTCTCGACGTGCTCCGAAAAGAGCAATCACAAACTCGACCCATCAAAATTCTCACCGGGATTTGTGAACTGGAAGGTCTGATTCTGGCAATCTTGGATCCATCGAATAGCACGGCGTTGGAAAAATTGACAAAAAATGTGGGCCTGAATTTGAGGGAGGATTTATTGGGTGAAAAAGCGGAGAAGATCAGAAAAGAAGTTTTCGATTTCTATTTGAATGAAGCTGAAAATGTGGCTGAAAATGAGCTAGAGATCAAGAAAAAAACTGTGGAATTCGTTGGTGATTGGATGTTTAATTTGGGAATTTTGGAAAGTGCGCGAAATTCGGCGAAACATGGAAATGACACATTTTTGTATGAATTCGATTTTTGTAATCCAGAGGGTTTTGGAATGTTTCAGCAGATTTTGCCGGTTGTTGGTGAGGATTTGGGGAATTTTTTGACACGAGAATTTGCCACGTGGCGTTTGTGGTGTAGAGAAATTGATTGAAAATTTAAAATTCAATTTTTTTTCCAGCCGCCACTCATTGCACAGATCTTCGTTATGTTCTCGGCGAAGGTGTCTACAGTAAATTCGACGCCTCCACCGAAGATCTGCAAATGTTCCAAACAATGACGAAAATTTTCTCGGATTTCGCAAAAACCGGCAACCCGGGATGGCCGAAATTCGATATTTCCGATCAAAAATTCAAAAGAATCAACTTGCCGGAAGTGGAAAATTTGGAAAAAATTGAGAATTTCGGAGGGGGAAGATGTGAGAAATTGAAGAAAATTGTGCTGGAAAATGATCGATGTTTCAATTCATATTTTTATGGAGAGGAGAGAAGTGGATCGAAAATTTGATTATTTTGGAAGAAAATTATAAGGTTTGCATTATTTGTATAGAATTCTAATAAATAATAAAAATTTGAGAAAAGAAAGTAAAAAAAACTTCCATAGGGAAATGTCATAATAACAAAAAACCACAAATCAGATTGTATTATTTTTTAAAATTTTAATTTTGGAAGCTTCACATTTTCCGATTTCGGTTGCTCATTTCTCAACAATAATCTATTGATATAACCTGAAACATTATGATGAATAAAACAATAATAAATCAAATTTCACAAACTTTTCGTAGTTTTTCTATAATCTTTGATTATTATAAAGTTTGGAATTGGATCAATTGCTGGATAAATAGCAATAGTCATTGTTATAATACCACCATAGATTCCAATATTTTTTTCAAAGAGAACCAATAAGAAAACCGTTGAAACAGGTAAATGTAGAAGAAAAAGAGGAATCAATGTTTGAACAACCAATGCATAAAATAATTGAGTTTGTAAAGATTGTGTTCTCTTTGATTTTGATATTTTAGAAATTTGTCGAACTTCTCGATAGCAAAAAACACCACAATAAATTATTATTGCAAGTGAAATTAACAGAGAGATGATTATAAAAATATCGACAAAAATTGAAATCCAATGAGGATGTCGAACTCCATTTTGATCTTCGATGTAGATCAATATTCCAGAATAGATTATATCATTAATATTTTCATTTAAATCATTCCGAATATTTTTTCTAATATATTGATCTTTTGAATCATCTTTGCTTGCTAAAAAATGAACAACTAAAGACCAAGATGAACCAGAGAAGAATGGTATCAAACACCAAAATATGATTTTCCAAGATTTGAAGGAAGATAAATAACGACTTCTAAAGTTAGTTCATTAGGAGATTCAAAATAAAAGTTAACACACTTCTTTGTATTCAAATATCGATAGATAAACTGAATTGAGAATAAACCCAGAACTGCACCAAATGTTCCACAATACAAACTATTGAAAATTGACATTATAAATGGATTGAATATTGCTTTTCGAGTATCAATTAACATAATTAATGCAGAATCATAAGTGTAAAAGATCTAGTAAAAATTGATGAAGAAAATATAAATGTTAACACTTACAGGGGATGAGATAACTTCAAAAAAAGTATACAATATTTCGAACAAGGAAGTGTAGGCGATCAAATATTTATAGGGAACTAGAGTTTTTGGTGATTTATGGGTGATTAGAAAAATTTGATAGCCGTTCATTAGAACTGCAAGGATGGCTGATGAATATTGCACAGAATGTTGAAGAGATAACCACTTTTCACCATTCATTTGGCTAAAATTGTGTACAAGTCTAAAAAAAATTAACATAACAAATTTCGTCTCCCTAGAGAAAGTTTGAAGAAACGAACTTCGAGCGTTTTCATATATATTTTTATTTTAAAAAAATTTAAGAAAAAGTGATTTTCACAAAATAAAAGATATTTATTTTCCAGATAGAAAATGAAAAATATAGCAGACTGTCTATAAATATATGTACTTATCGGAAAGGAAAACGGAATACAAAATTTCTCAATTTCCTATCATATGGACGAAGAGGGTAATTTTATAATTACTTGCTCGATTAGAAAAATATTGCATAAATCAGCGATCAGGTTCATGAATTTTCTCACAACAATTGGAAAATTTGGAAAAAAATGGAAGGCGAATGAAAAAATTAGTTTTCTTCTGAAAATATTATCCAGAAAATATTTTTTCCATGCAAAAAATTTTCCAAAAAAAGTAGGAAAAATTGCAAATAATTAAAAAAAACAACGAGACTCCGTGTTGACGACAACTCACGTGTTATGAATTTTAGTTCAAAACTATCGAGACACCCGAGCCTGTTTCAAGCTTTAAATAAACCTGTCAAAATTTTTACATCAAGAGTGATCGAGGTGGCTAAAAGTTTTTTTAAATTTATAATTAATTGTATTATTGTAGATAAAAATAAATTCTCAACGGAAAACCAAAAAAAAAAATTAAAAACCCAAAATAAAATCAAAATAAAGTGCTTCTTCTACCATAATGTTGATCAATTACTGGAGGCAGTGTTCGTTTTTTCAACATCGATTTAACGAAACTGAAAAGAGGCTTGTTTGAGATGAGCAATGCCAATGTGCTGATCGATCCGTGATGTAAAGAAATCATAACAAGATAATCAAAAACATCTAGCATATTTTGATTATATTCAACGAAATATGCACTATAATACATAATAATTGGAGAGCACATAAACATTACATGAACTGATATTTGAACAAATAAACTATACAAAAAGTTCTTTTGTATTTTCAATGTTCTTGTTGAATATACCAAATGATTGATTCGTAGAGCAAAAATTGATAAAACCGATATGATAATTATCAGAAATACTCCAATGATTACTGTCATATATGACAGATGAAAAGCAATCTTGAACAGAAAATCAGAAAATACTGGAAAAACACAATTCGGACAAAAACTCAAAATCGGAGCATCATTGAATTGCAGTTGAATTCTATCATTGAAAAATTTATCCATCACAAAATAACTATAAAAAGTGAGAAGCACAAGGCAAATGAGTTCGATGTAGAATAATCGAATAATCAAAACAAGACATTTTCTGACACTCTCGAACTTTCCACCTTTGACAAGAACATTCATTCGATATTCGAAAAGACTTATTATGGAATGACCGATGGCTAAAAACTTAAATTTAGATTAGAAATTTCCTTTGAAAATTCTCAAACCTATTGACAAAAGTATAAAGAAAATCAGAGCGTGTACAGGAAAATTTGATGCGACTCCAAGAGAACAAACTATAAGCCAACGTAGATGAATTTTGGGGAGCCAAAAATAAGAGGTAAAAATTTCCATAACCAAATTCAACGAGATGTGAAACAACAAAATGATGCGATATTTTTGGAAAGTTTGTGCGCAATATTTTGCCAACGCATAATATGTGATACAATAGATTGGAATAGTGGAAAATGAAAGACTGTGTATGATGATACTGTAGTGAGTTGGAGAAATCAAACATTCAGAAGGCATTTTGAAGAATCAGAAAAAAATGTGATGGAAGAATATGAAACGATAGGATGGGTGGGTAACTATGAATTATGATAACTAGAGAAAAACAATATGTGCAAACTGCGAAAACATAAATTAAAAATTGGAAAACTGTGATAAAATGACTGATTACGTTGAAATTATTTGTGAAAACCTTGTGAAAAAATCCAGATTTTCAGATTTTATTTTAATCTTGATTAACGTGATTTCAACTCCAGGCTTTAATGTTCTTAACACTAATAAATGCATTACTTTCATAATTTTTACTGTTTGACCACCATCAGATCTACAAAAATAAAATGACTTCAAATAAAAAAAGCTTTATTCATTTAAACATTCCGTGTTTTGGTAATGATTTGAACTGGAGTTGTCACAACACTTATCAATGTTCCTCGGAAATTCTGAATAATCAACATAACGGGAAGTGGATCAATAGCAGGAAACATGGCAAATGTAATAGCAGATATGCCACCTGATGTGCCTAAATCAAAATCGAAAACAGAAGCGAGGAAAACAATGGTACAAGGAAAATGCATCAGAATAACTGGAATACAAGATTGAGAAATCAATGCGTAGAATGCTTGAGATTGAATACGATCAAGTTCTTTTGATTGTTGTGTTGATATTGTTGATACTTTTCGCATTTCCAGTAATGTCAGACTCGCGAAAAAAAAAATACAAAGAAAAGATACGGTAAGAACTGTTAACTTGAACGATATCATTATCAAAGTATTTACGAAAATTGATTTATTCCCATCGGAATCTTTGTGATATAAAGTTGCACCCATATAAACAACATTATCAAGAGGAACATCGATTTCTGAGAGGAGGGCACTTCGAATTTCATCCTCAGTTTCTGAATTTTTCGATAAATAGACGAAAGCGAGTGATCCCCAAATGGTTCCAAGAATAATTGGAGATAAGATCCAAAAAATCATTCGCCAATCATCGAATGATTTCAGAATTTTCGATTTACTATAAGAAATTGTTTACTTTGATTATCTAAACGTCAATCTAACCTTGTTACTACCAAATATCTGTAGATGAATTGAATAGCAAAAATAAACATGAAAGCTCCGAAACATCCACACCATTCACATCCAAGTATGAATAAAGTCTCTTCCGATAGAAATGTTGTAGTTTTCCGTAGAACAATTGCAAAAGTCGAGCCATGCGATAAAATCGTTGGCGAAACCACGGAATCGATCAACGAGTAAACGATTTCAAAGATCGAAATATAAATCATCAAATATCGATATGATCCAAGTTGCTTCGGTGATTTTTTGACGATCAGAAAAATCAGACATGCGTTTAGAAAAACAGCAGCTCCGGCGAAAAACGTTTGACACTTCGCGACAAGATTCGAGCTCAGCATTTCGATATTTTCGAGTGTGTGTGGGGACTCAAATCCAATTTTATACTAGAGCCAAGAATAGTGCAGGAATACAATACCGATAAATCTATTTTGGGCTCGATTTATTTTGCCGTGATGGCAGAGGAAAAATAAAAGTGCATCAGGAAATTTGATGGAACTGAATTCGTGTTAAAAACAGTGATCATTTATTTTTAATCAACCAGGGTCGGTTTTTGTTGGAAAAAATTATATACCTCTTTACTTCGATTCAATTATTACAGATTCACCCAAAAAAATAAAAATAAAATTCAACTGCGAAAAAATCATCCCTCGTCTTGTTATTATCAAGTTACTAAAAATGTATAAGTTTCAGAGATAATTTCAAAAAATTTTCTGAAAAGTTTAAAATTTCTAAACTCACAAAATTTTTCGACCTACAAGGAGTTGCCCATTGGAAAATGCGTTCCCTTTCTATCCCTGTGTTCTCTCCCCTCCCTCCCGCAAAAAATAGAGAGTGGCAGAGAATGAACGCTCTAATGGTAATGTGTGCGAGAGGAAATTTGAAGGATTTTCAAATTTTTATTGTGCAGCTATTTTTTTTCGTCTGTACTTTTTTATTTTCCTAAGTATTCTCTCGCTTTTCTACACCGGATCCTCTGCCACCTTTTCGAAATTGTGAGTTTTTTCTCTTTATTTTTCTGGGACCTGGGACCTTTCAAACCATTTTTTAATGAAAAAAAAACGCAGCATTTCGATTGTTTTCACAAATCAGAAATCAGCAAAATTTTGGAATTTTTTCAGTTTTAAAACTCGCAAACCCGGGTAAAAATAATTCAACGTGAGAAAAGTTACGTGTTGACCAAATTTTAATTTTCATTTCAAGTTCAAAATTCAAAAGAAACTATTCATTTTATATCTGTGAGAAGAAAAAAACAATCAAGTGAGCACATAAAAAGACAAAAAAACAAATTATATCAGGTGTGAAAAACTGCCTAGAAAGCCAAAAGCATATATACAGTGGCGAAGATGGTGAGGATCGAATAGGTGGCCGATGAGCCGAAACCTGTGGTTGGAGTTGGTTGGAAGTTGATGCCGACGCAATTATCGTAGTTACAACAACATCCGGAAACTCCACCGTCGATTGATGCACATGTGTTAGAAAGACCTGGAAGGATAAAGTGAGTTGGGGTGTTTTACGAGATTAGATCTTACCCAATGAGTCACAAACTGATGTTGGATCACAAGTGAAGAGTGTCAAGTTGTTAGCAGCTCCATTGTAGTTGGTGGCATAGCTGACTGAAGCACAAGCTCCGTAGCAAGCGCTGAATCCGTTTTCACTCACAACTCCACCGTTCAAATAAACAGCTGAGCGACAAGCGATTGGTGTTGGAACATTTCCTGATGGATTGAAGACAGATGAGGCGTTGACAGCGGCTTCGGTGACGTGGCAATTTGTTCCGGTGGTACAACAGTATCCAGTGATATCACGATCAGTTGAGATGGTCTTGCGAACATTGTTCAATCCGAGTGATCGACAGATGGTCTTTGGAACACAGTGGTATGATTTGTAGAGAACATTGTTGACGGTGGTTTCGAGCGATCCACAATATCCGTCACATGGAACTGTGGCTCCGACGTTGGTCTTGTTGTCAGCGGTGTAGATTCCGACGTAGCAGTTGAGTGGTCCTGGGAAGGTGTTGGTGTATGGGTTGATGCAACCATCAGAATCGCAACAACATCCGGACACTCCTGGTTCGACGGTGTGACAAGCGTTGGTCATATCTGCAAAAAAAAACACATTAGGTCTAGTCTTTCTCTTCTAATAACTTACTCAATTGAGCGCAAACTGAAGTTGGGTCGCATGTGAAGAGTGTTGCATTGTGGGTAACATTGTTGGCCAAGGTGGTAGTGAGTGAAATCGATGCGCAGTCTCCGTAGCAAGCTGACAAGGTCAATGGGGTGTATGGAACACCGTTGACAACCAATCCAGAGTAGCAAGCGGTTGGGAAGTCTGGGAGAACTGGTGGTGGTGGTGGAGCGTGGTTTGGATCACGAATGTTACAGTTGTCAGCATTATTACAACAGCAAGCGCTGACTTCACGATCGTTGTACAATCGACGGCAGCTATCCTTGATTTCGAGAGCTGTGCAAATGCTGTTGGCAACACAGTGATAAGTGGTCACATTTTCTCCTCCAACAAGTCCGGTCAAAGAAGCACATTGTCCGTCGCAATAAGTTTCAGCTCCAAGATTGAGTCCACCGTTGTAAGTGGATTTGATTCCGACCCAACATTTGAGAAGGTTTCCTGGTGTCTTTGGTGGGTTGACAGTTGGATCCAAGCAAGCATCAGTTGCGCAACAACATCCACTGAGTCCTGGTTCGACGGTAGTACAGTTGTTGTTGACTCCGAGTTGGTAGCAAGCACTGGTAGAATCGCAAGTGTATAATGTGGCGTTGGTGTCACGTCCATTGAATGTGGTTGTGATTGTAGCTGAAGCACATTCTCCTTGACACGCTTGCCATCCAGCAACAGCGATTGGTTGATTTTCAACGAAAAGTCCAGAGAAGCAAGTGATTGGATAGTCACGAAGGTTGTGAACTGGAGCAGATGTGTTGACTTGTCCGGTGAGTCCAGCCAAATCGACGTTACAGTTGTTGTAGTTATCGCAACAGCATCCTTTAACGGCACGATCGGCAAAGATAGTGTTACATTCATCGTAGAGTTCCAATTGACGACAGATTTGATCTGGGACACATCCGAAGACGGTGACATTGTCGTTGTTGACGGTTGATGAGAGCGAGACACATTTTCCGATGCAAGTGGTTTCTGATCCAAGAGCTTGTCCTTGAGCGTAAACTCCGCTGAAGCACTTTCTGAATCCAGATGGAACAGTCTTGTTCTTGGTTGGATCAAGACACAAATCAGTGTTACAGCAACATCCAGTAACTCCTTGTTCTGGTGAATTACACCAGTTTTCCATTCCCAAAACTTCGCAAACAAGTGTTGGATCACATCCGTAGAGTGTGGCAACAGTTGCGGCTCCGTTGTAGGTTGTGTTCAAAGCAATCGAGGCACACTGTCCTTGACAGGCTCCCAATGTGATTGGTGTGGCTGGAATTCCGTTGACGTAAAGACCAGAGTAACAAGCGATGGCGTAATCAACGGTGCTTGGTGGTGGAGGTGGAACGATGTGGTTGTTCTTCAAGTTACAGTTGCTAACATTATCGCAACAGCAAGCTTCGATTTGACGATCTTGATGAACCTTCTTGCAGTCATCCCAAAGTTCCAAAGCGGTACAAACCGATGATGGAACACAGTGATAAGTGTTGACCATATATCCGTTGACCATTCCTGACAACGAAGAACATTTTCCTGAACATTGAACATCAACTCCAACAGCCAATTGTTGTCCATTTTGCATAGTATAATTTGAAACGATACCAGCGTAGCAAAGAAGTGGTGTTCCTGGGATCTTTGGTGGGTTCTTTGTTGGATCGAGACAACCATTTGTGTTACAGCAACATCCTTGAACTCCATTTTCGAGGGTGTTACATTGATTGTTGAGTCCAAGATTGCGGCAAACTCTTGATGGATCACAAGTGTAGAGAGCAGCAGTGGCGACTTGACCGTTGAATTGAGAAGTCAATGAGACTGAAACACAATCTCCTTCACATGTTTGCCATCCATTTGAAGAGTAGGCAGATCCATTGATGAAAAGTCCAGAATAGCAAGAAATTGGGTAATCGTTCAATTTCGAGATTGGAAGTGATGTGTTGATTTGTCCGGCGAGATGTGAGAGTCCAACGTTACAGTTGTCAACGTTGTCGCAACAGCAAGCATTGAATTCTGGATAATATGGAACACGAACACAGGTGTCATAGATTTCGAGAGATCTACACAATGAGTGTGGAACACAGGCGAAGAGTGTGACGTTGTCGTTGTTGACGCGAGCGTTGACTGAAGCGCATTTTCCGTCGCAAAGTTGTTCAGCTCCGGTGGAGATGTTTTGCGAGTAGAGACCGACGTAACATTTGAGTGGTGGTGTTGGAACAGTCTTGTTTCTGGTTGGATCGAGGCAAGCATCGGTGTTACAGCAACATCCTGTGAGTCCTGGTTCTGGCGATGAACAATTGTTGTTGAGTCCAAGTTGATAGCAGACCGAGCTTGGATCGCAAGAGTACAATGTGGCGATGTGGGTATTGTTGGCATAGGTTCCGTTGATGGTGACTGATGCGCAATCTCCTTCACAAACAGTGAATTGCATTGGGGTGACAAATTGTCCGTCAACAACAAGACCGGCTGGGCAAGTGATTGGATATTCGCGAACTGGTCTTCCACGTGGGCGATTTGTTGGTGGTGGTGGGCGTGGGTTAACTTGAGCAACATTACAGTTTGGACCATTAGTACAGCAACATCCGGAGACGGTTCTGTCGGCGTAAACTTGTTGGCAATCATCATAAAGTCCAAGGTAGTCGCAAACGTAGTTTGGAACACAAGCGTATGCGGTAACATTGGCGTATCCGATAGTCGATTGGATTGAGGCGCACGATCCAGAGCAAACTTCTTCTCCTCCAACGTTCAAGATTGGGTTCTCCATATTGTCATTGGTGTATGAGTAGACTCCGACGTAACAGAAGTTTTGGTTGTTTCCGTATGGTTTACGTGGTGGGTTGGATGTTGGATCGAGACAGGCATCGGTTCCACAACAGCAAGCTTCAAGTCCATTTTCAATTTGATGACAATTGTTGGTGGTATTCAATTGACGGCAGACAATTGATGGATCGCAAGTGTAAACAGTTCCGGTTTGAACAGTTCCATTGATTGTGGTATTGAGAGAAACTGAAGCGCAATCTCCTTTGCAAGCAACCCATCCTCCAGCAGAAATAGCTTGTCCTCCGAGGAAAACTCCAGAATAACAAGCACGTGGGGCCTCATTTGGAGCAGTTGGAACATTTGTCAAGTTCACGTTCTTTCCATAGGTGTTACAGTTGTTTCCATTGTCACAACATCCGACGGTGAGTTGACGATCAAGATAGACGGTCGCATCGCTGTTATCGAGTCCCAAAGAACGGCAAACCTTCTTTGGTGCACAGTGGAAAGCGGTAACAATATCGCTTCCAACTTGTCCGGTGACGTAAGCACATTGACCATCGCATTGAACAATAGCTCCGATGTTGAGTGATCCGAAGAGAGCCTTGAGACCAACATAACAGTTGAGAACTGTTCCTGGGTATCTTGGCACAGTTGGATCGATACATTCATCAGAATCGCAACAGCAAGCGGTGACAGCGTTGTCGATGGTTGAACAGTTGTTTTGAAGTCCCATAGCGGCGCAAGCGCTTGATGGATCACAAGTGAACAATTCAGCGTAGTGGTTGAGTCCGTTGATTTGTCCAGTCATCGCAACTGAGACACATTCTCCGTCACAAGTTCTGTACATTGGGCGAGTCATATTCATTCCATTGACGTGGAATCCTTCGTAACAAACGATCATTGGATCACGGCGAACGGTGAGAGCTGTGATATTGACACCGGCTGGAGCCAAACAGTTATCTCCGTCAGAACAGCAACATCCAGTGGTAGCTGGATCAGCTCCTGGAATAGTGGCACAGTTTCCGTAAGCTCCTCCGAATCCGAGTCCCATAGCACGGCAGAATCCGACTGGGGCACAATAGTAAACAGTGGCGTTCTTTCCGTTGACAGTTGATGAGAGCGATCCGCACCATCCGTCACACAATTGATCTCCTCCTTGGTTGTAACCGTCTTGTGGAATCGAGATACCCGAATAGCATCGAAGACCTGGTGGTGGACCACCGCGAGTTGGATCGAGGCACAAATCATTGTCGCAACAGCAAGCGTTGACGCCACCGAGAACAGTTCCGCAACCGTTGGCAATTCCAGCTTGTTGACACATGGTGACTGGGTCGCAAGTGTAGATGGTAGCATTGTGAGTGCCGCCGGCGAATTGGGTTTGGAAACTGGCTGAAGCGCATTCTCCTTGGCAAAGTCCGTAGGCACCGTTTGAAATTGAAGCTCCATTGACCCAGATTCCACCGTAACAGAGAACTGGATATTTGGCAGTTGAGACAGCTGTGTTGTTCAAACGACCGAGAATATCTGGATTGTTGACGTTGCAGTTATTCTGAAATTTAGAAGTATGTACATATTGGTTCAGTTGAAAATTTCAGCTCTAATAAAACTCACCGATGCAGAACAGCAAAGAACTTGAATTTCATCATCTTGTGGTGGAGTGTAGATAACACCTTCAGTCGATTCCAATCCGAATCCAGCGCAAACATCATATGGCATACAAGTGAAGTATTGAACAGTTTGATTCAAAGCCTTGAATTGAAGTCTTCCGCATCTTCCGTTGCAGTTCATTTCAGCTCCCAACCATTGTGATCCGTTGTACAAACCAACTGCACATTTCAATTGACGAATTGGGTAAACTGGTGGAACAACTGTTGGATCCAAACATTTGTTTGAGTCGCAAGCACAAGCGGTGAGCAAAGCATAGGTGGTAGTTCCGAGAGTTGTGGTATCAATGTTTTTACATTGATTAACAAGACTCAACGAGGTGAAAACATCAACTGGGTCACAAACGAAGACTTCAGCCCAAACGTTTTGTCCGTTGTAAGTGGTGCGAATTCTTCCACTTCCACATTCTCCATAACATTGTGAGAAACTTCCTCCGGAAATGACTTGTCCATTGATAGTAACTCCTTGATAACATGTCAAGTTGTTCTTGTTCCATGGTGAAGGTGTTGGTGGATTTGGCATTGGGGCAAGCGAACGACAATCTTGATCATAACAACAGCATCCTTGAACATTGGTTCCTGGCACATTGGTACATTTGGTTCCCGATTGAATTTGTCCTCCCATAATGTAGTCACAAACTCCTTGCGGCATACAGGCGTAAATTCCAGCATCATAACCGTTGTAGACTCCCGAAACGGAAGTACAAACATTTCCAAGTCCGCAAGTTACCGAATCTCCGACATTGACTGCATTTGAGACGTTGGCGTAGAATCCGACGTAACAGATGATGTTGCTGCAAAAAAAACTTTTTTCCTAATTTTTTTCCTCGGTCCCTTTTACACGTGAAACGAATTGATGATAATAATTATAATACTATTATCTAATCACTGTTTTAATTTTTTCGTGGCAGCACGTTTTATGGCCTCAACTTTCAAGCTTGTGTTTGATGATAACGAAATTAATTATGCACTTCTAATTTCTTCAACAAACACCAGAAATTTTTGAAAGATGGCACTGATAAGACAATTTTGTAAGAGCGAAAAAATGGGTGGGGACTCCCGGAGAGTTCCGGGTCAGAAAAGCCTAAGTTCAGTTATCTATCCCAAAAAAACATGCTCACTTGGCAACAAAATTGGTTGGTTTCGCCAATTTCTCTTCCATGACAACCTTGTTACATTCATCACCGTGACATAAGCAAGAGGTCTCAAGCTCGCTGCTGGAGCACTCGGCTTCGGCTTGATTGACGAAGTGCAACAATTTGTTCTCTTCACAACTCAATAACACAATTGATCCTTGATCGCTGGAGACGGTTTGTTTGCGGCAAAGTCCGGAGCATGATCTCTGGAAAATTTAGAATTTTTGTTGAAAAAGAACAAATTAGGAGTAAAACATGTTCACTACAATCAGTTTCCACGTGGCTTTCTCAAAATCAGATTAATCTATAGAGTTTCTAAATTGTAAGCATTGAAACTTTATCCACAAAAAGATACGTGGCTTTTTCTTCCCCCAAAAACTCACCGATTCAACAGATTTCGATACAATAACATTGTGACTAACGAGCAAATTTCCGACTAAACAATTATTAACATTATTATTATCCTCTTCAGTAGTTGAACTAGCGACAAAACTACAACAGCCGGCTAAAGCCAGCAGGAATATGCCCAAGCGCATCTGGAAAAATTGGAAAAAATGAGTTGGAGTCCAAAGTTTTTTTTAATTTGATCGAAAGAAAATGAGGAAAATGAGGCGACGGATACAGTATTTACGATTTTTATATCTTCTTAATTTTTGGGCGAGCTGATAAGATGAAAAAGTGGGCGGAGCTTGAAGAGCAATTAAATTTGGGCCAGTGATTTGTGATCGTGAATTGATCTTCTTGAGAGTGATTTTTGATCTACTACATTTGACGTAGATCATGGAAAACTACATTGTAGTAAGAACAGAGGATACTGTAGATTCGGATTTCTAGGAATACTCTTCGAAGGAATAATTTTTTTTGAACTTCAAACTATTTTTCACCACGTGGATTCCAAAAATGTGCATTTTGCTTTAATCGAAGATACTACACTGTAGTATGAGTTACTGTAATCCGAGTTTTTTTTGTCAAAAAATTATAACAATTTTCAATTCTTGATGAATAAAATGTTTGCCACATTCCAAAATGCTCATTTTTGATTGCACAGCAAAAATATTTAATTATCAACCACGTGTTTGGAAAACGCTCCCATTTCATGTATTGTTCCCACAAACTTTTACAAATTATTTATCAGTTTGATTTTTCGAACCTCAAATTTTTCGATATTCGGACCTCAATAATTTTCGGACCTGATTGTGAAAATAGGAAAAATCAAATTTTTTTATGAGCAAAGTGCAATTATTCTTGATGCTCGTAAAACGTTGTATAATTAGTTTTTTTTATCATACGAATCGGGCAAAACGAAGAGAAAAATTATTGGTGTCGAACATGAGCAACTTTTAATGAGCTCATTAAAACTACAAACATCAATTCCAGAAAGTTTCGAACGAAGTTAGTTATCGAAAAAGTTATTGATGTTTGACGTGTATTCCAAAATGCCACGTGTCATGAAATGTTTGAATTTGATACGCTAAATATCAGGGCTAGCTACTGATTGGGAGCAAAAAACCAATCTAGACTACAACTAAAGAAATTGTAGCAGCGAGAAATTTACGAGTTTTCTTGTGCCCGATAACACATTTTACATCATGTTTCTGAAAAATGAGGCTTCACAAATCCACGTGGCAAAATTTGGAACCTTTTATATTCTACTTTCCATTTCAAAAATATGTGCTCCAAATTTTTGAAAGTCGGTTCTTCACTTTTAAATTCCCGCTTCAAATTCCACGCGGATTTCAATTTTTCAAGTAAAAATTTTGAAGTTGAAGTTCTGACTGGAAAATCCACGTGGCAAAATTTTGAAGCTAGCTTCCAGCCTTCACTTCAAAACTTATTTTAAATTTCAAATTCCACGTGGCAATAATTATCACATAAATTTTAATGCCAAGTTTTCATTTGAAAATCTCGAAACTGAATTTCTGACTGGAAAAATCCACGTGGCGAAATTTTGAAGCTAGCTTCCAGCCTTCACTTCAAAAATAAGTGCTCCAAAATCCAAATATATCACAAATAATTTTGATGTTGATAATAATGAAGCCGAGTTTATGACTATCAGAAAAAAAATTTTTTTGAAGTTGAAAGTTTTCAGTTTCAAGGCTTTCGAATTTTATATTTGCGCTTTAGATTCCACGTGGCAATAAATATCTCTTGAAGCCAACATTTCTAGTTTCTCCCCAAGTGCCACGGGGCAAAATCACCATAATTTTTCATCACTCTCCGTTGTTCTTGAATTTTTCCACGAAATTCGCAAAAAATGTGGAAATAAATTGGCACGAACATCACAATTAATAGGATTATTCTCTCCCACCCCATTTTTTCTCTCTTTCTCACAAAAGGGCCTTTTGTAAAAATTTCTGTGCTTTGTCTATTTTCCTGACTGAACTGATTACGTGTCTCGATTTTGCCACGCATAGAAATATTCCCATCTCATTTTTTTCTTCTGTTCATTCAGAACTACTGTTGCACTGATAATCTCATATTATAATGAAAATGTGAACTGATAAATCAAATAAATTTGTGTGTTTCGAAACGAGGAGACGCGAAAATTGATGGGTGTGTGCAAGATACACGGGAGAAAGGTTGTAAATTTTTGGAGGCTTTTTTTATTCAATTATTATCAGAGAAAGACTAAAATCCGGAATCGGAAAGGGGCGAAGTGCAAAAAAAGATTACAAATTCGGGCAAATTATAAAAATATGGATGGGAACAAACCATAAAATGTTGAGTGTGGCTTATTGGTGGGCAACTTTTTCAGTGGGGGAGATGTGGCGTGAGCTATGACGTGGCGTTCTGAAAATTATTGTTTCTGTGAATTTCAATTTGAGAGTTGAAAATTAGGCTGAATTTCGAAAAAAAAAACTATAAAAAATTAATTTTTCTAATACGTGGCATTTCAAAATCCATTTTTTGTGAAAAAATGAATGAAAATCTTCATGCTCAAAAATTTCACTCAGGATTGAAATTTCAAAATCGAATAAGTTCTGATTTTTGTTTAAATATTATTAGCTTCGAACTTAATTTTAAGGGAAAACTTATCGGAACTTTTATTCCAGAAATTTTTTTTCCAAAAAAGAAACCTCTCTCTTCAAATTTCCCATCTTCCAAAAAAATTCCACGACAATTAATTGAAGCGAAAAATTCATGGGCAAATTTTATTGGTTTTGTGATAAGATAATTTTGGAGAAATATGTATGTGTTTATTAAATAAATGTTTGCAACTATTCATCAAGATCGAGTTGAACTCACAATGAAACAGTTCTTTTTAGGGTATTCAATAAATGTCTTCGGCCAGCAATATACATTCCAGTATGATTATAATGTTTCGGCAATACTTTCATTATCTCTTTGTTTTCTACACTTTGCATTGTGAAGTGGAAAACATTTGTGATCAAGCGGGCCTGAAAATCAGAAGGGTTCTTATTAGCTAATTAACAAAAACAAAAACCAACCTCCTGCCCCATTGACGGAACTTTTGTCTTAGCAATTTCCTTGAATTTGGCTTCATCCGAAATCGAAGCGACGACTTTAAGTTGCAATAAATCTCCCTGATTATAAGTGACATACGAATCAAAATGCAAGATATTCCCGATTTCCACAGGTTTTGCGAATTGAATTTGATCCATTGATCTTATCGAAACTTTTCCCTTGCAGAACAATTTTGCGTTGACGTAGGCGAGTTCGAGAGCTTTTCTCATCAAAAATCCACCAAATATCTTGCCATACATATTTTGGAATTCGGGAAAACATATTTCAGTTAGAGAAAGGTGTGTTTTATGCATCCAAATTTCTTCATCCTAGAAAAATAGACATTTATTACTATTCTACCTATTTTCAAATGTAAATTACCTTCAAAATCGGAAATTCATTGCTCATATTTCTTCCCAACAATGTTCGATGCAAATTATCAATCAATCTCAATTCGTCATTCGTCGCTTTTTTCTCATCCTTATTTCCCATTCGAATCAAATGCTCTTTTGTCAAATTCACAGTTTCGGCTTCATCAGGTGTTTTCGCGACGAGGCCATGAATTCGAATTTTCTTGGTGGCATCTAAAGGATCACGGGCCACCATTATGAAGTTGGCTTTGAGAAGAAGTTGGAGATTTTGATTGTCGTCGTTTTGGAAAAGACGAATCGAGATTTGCATGCTCGAAGTTCCGGCATAAGTGACTTGACCATCTATTATCAGATCGCGGTTTGGATTCAAATCTTCTCTGGAAAAATAGCAAGAGGTTAATGGATGATTTGGGGACGTAAACGTCCACATAGAAAAAATAAAACATTTTTGTTGCTGCGCGGTGTTTGCAGATTCAAAATAGAACTTTTTTTTTTTTGTTGAGAGACGTAGAAGAAAAAATAAGCAATTTGTTTCTATTTTTCTATGTGATAATAGTTCTTTCATTGTTTTTCAGCGAATTTCTGCTAAATCTATTTCAAAAATATTTTGCAACACAATTCAAACGCACTTATGAAAATCGATGCGATGCACCGAAGCTGTCACAATATTTCTCGGCAACGACATTCTGCTCTCAATTGTACCATCTTCCGAATTATGAACATATCCAATATGCACAGCCATATGATCAATATCCTCCAATATTTTTCCCATTCGCACATTTCGACTCGCACTCAAATATTTCTCCCGTTTCTCGTTGTCCGTACTCAATGGAATCAGGAATTTTCGATAACTCTCCGATAGAGTTCGCGGTTTCAAAACCTTATTGTTCTTCTCCTCTTCTGTGTAATTTTCTGGCGAACTATTTTTGATATGATCATAAATCGATGAAATCATCTCATCAATTTGTCCGATTGGTCCGTCTTGTGTCAGAGTTTTGGCAGATGACATATTCATTTTTTGAATGAATTGTGTTGGTGCACTTGGCGCAATTTGCATTGGTGTCAAACATCTCACAAATAATCCAGATTTTGTTGGAATTCTTGACAAACTTCTTGTTATAATTCTTGCAAACATTACTATTTCTTGATAAAAGCAATTTGAGAAATGATGATTTTTTCACGTTTCGTGTGAGGAACACGCGAATTTATTAATTTTTTCAAAATAGATATTTCAATTGTGGCCTAGAAACCGACAAAGTAACTGAACAAAACCGAATTTGATCAAAACTAGAAAAATTTCATATAAAAAAATAAACAAACATTTTTAAAATTAATAATTAAGCAATTATTCACAATGATTTTTTCGTAGAAACATATCCCCGCAATTGTTCTTCTGAAATCGTTTCTCGCAATTTCTTCGGGTCCAAATGATGGTTTCTGATGTTTGATAGGAGATTCCTGAAAATGGTAAATTTTAAAAATACATCTACATAAATTCAGATTTGCTCACCATAAACAATCTTGAAAAATTTTTGAGCATATTAAAGATCTTCCAGGATTGTAGTCATCAAATGGATCTTCGATAATCAAACCTTCTGGATCATATCGCTCTTTGAAGACTAAATCTTTACGTTTCATAACAATTATGTAATGCGTAACGGGATTATTAATATAGTATTGAAGAAATTTATAGAACACATCAGCCGGTGTTTCTCTCAATTTTTCTCTCCATTCTTGAGATTCTGGGAATAGTTTTTTTTGTTCAATAATCAAATTTGAGTTTAAAAAATTACCAGATTTGTCCACCATTTCGTAGGCCCAAGTAGCTTTCGATATATCAAAACGATCGGCATATTGAATATGAAGATTCGGAATATAAGATTGATTCACTAAAAAATGAATAACCATCAGTGCCAATGTATATGAATTGGGATAATCGAATTCTTTTTTCTTCGTCACTTCGTTTATTCGATTTTTGAAGATGGTTTTGATGAAGATTATCAGGATTGGAAAATCGGGGTAGAATTGTGTGACTGTATTGAGGAATCTTGAAGAAATATGACAGGATGGCACATCAACTCCCAAATGAATTGACAAGTCCAATTTGATATTCTTCTTCGAGCCACACAGAATTGGAACTTTTGCTGTCCAAATATGCCCCAGATTTTCATAGTCTTCCAGATTTTTGAATAAATGCTCCAAAATTTGGTTTTTTAGAGATCTGAAAATTATTATTAATATTCGCAAATACCTTGAAAATGCAAAATATTACCTTGTCCAATTATCTTCACATCCAAAACCCGTTGATTCTATACAAATCACAACATCCAGATCACTTTCCGTTCTTGAAATATTGCAAGCAACACTGCCAAATGGAACGATTCTTGAAATTTTTAGACCGATAGGAGGAAGCTGAAAATAAATAAGTTTGATTGATATTAATTCGAAATTAAAACTCACGAATTCTTTCAGCGCAAGATAAACATCTACTCGAATTTCATCAAAAATGTGATTTTTTCGTTGAATTGATATTGGATTCTCACGATTTGCAGCATATACTTCCATAATATGTTCATTGAGAACACTCGAATCAGACAACGTGTTGCTCATAATTCCAAGAATTCTCTATTTTCCGGAAAATCGTTTCACAATTCGCGAAAAAAAAAGGAAGAAAAATAAAATTATTTTGCTCATACGGTATTTTAAAAGCACACATTTGTTTCCTAATGGTCTTGTCACGCTCGTTTGAAAACCAATGCGCCTTTTTATTTGAATTTCATTTATTTTTTTCCTTTTTTTTCATGAATTGCTGCTGCAAATCTCGAATTTTTCATGTTTTTGCCCAGAAATGATAATTCTATGTGTAACTATGAATGGTTGTTTCATCGGATTAGTGTAAATTCGGAGGCCAAATTTCTATGATTTTCCATTGTCAGATTTCTCCTTTTCCAAGTTGAAAATTACATAATCTGCAGAAATTTTGGCGGATTTTGTTCCGAAGCAGTTTCTGGAACTGCAAAATCAATATTGTGATAATTTTTTTTCTGAATTGTCATAGGATAAATTATTGACCAGATTCAATTGTATCAACAAAAAAAAAGAAAAAATAATTTATATTTATATTTATAACCTGATATTATGTGAAAATGTATATACAATAAGTGTGTTAATTAAAATTTAATTAATTATTGAGCACATCTTTCCGAACCAAATCAATAATCGGTTTATAAATATCATCCGGTGCTCGAAGTCCCCAAATAAAATCAAGATGATTATAATCAGCTAATTTGTTATTTGCAACAATATAACTTGGATTCAAATGTGGCAACAAAAACTCTTGAATATCTGTTGGATCAGCAAGCCAATCAGAATCACCCCAATATAAATACATTGGACGTTTGATGTTTGTGAAATCGTAGGCTGGAACATTTGATTGACCGTAATGCTTCTTGTTTCCTTTTGTTCCATAATCATACATTGGTGTTCCACCATGTCGAACCATTTGAAGCCAATGCACAATATTTTGAGTAGAAGTTCCGGCTGGTGTATGTGAAACATAAATTGGAACTCGTGTTTGATTCAATTGATTTGATTCAGGGCCAGCGATCAAAAATAGAATATTATCGCATAAATCGGATTCGACTTTTAGCCCAGCGCATATCGAATCAGCCGCCAGTTTCATTATCCAATTATTTGGAGTAAACTCTCCTGACCCGAAAACATCAAACCAACCATCGAATTCTGGCGCAAAATAATCGGCAAAGAATTTGAGAAGACCTTTGATGTGCTTGACGGCGCCAACGGGAGCCAAAGCGTGGAATTGACGAATCTAGAAGAAATATGATTTCCTAATCTTTTGCCTCCATCAATCATCGCGAAAAATATAGTCACCCCACATTTATTTTACATGATTTTCCTCTTATCTATTTTTTTTTGGGAAAATTCCGTCAGAAAATTGCTACTGTACTTATTTGCGAAACCTCACGCGCTTTGAATGTAGTTTGGTCAATAGAAGTTGGAACTAATTTCAATTTTATAAAATTTTGAAGGATGAAAATTTCACGAATTTTGTTCACAGAAAAAGTTACCTTATCTCCAAATCCATCAGTATCATTTGAAAGTCGACTGAACATTGTCAAAGTTCCTTGTGAATGTCCCATATAATAGAGATGATCTTGTCCGGAAACTTCGAGAGCCTTGTTGATCATTGCAGGAAGATCGTATTTTGCCATCTCATCCCAGCTAAAAATCAACTGATTGTTCGAGAAAATGCCACGTCACGGTTCAATTTTCAAAAGATAAATATTCATTTCTTGAAAAAACAAACCTCCACTCCCAGAACGCTGAATGCGAAGGCTTCAAGTTCTTATGCTTCTTGCTGTAGGTGTTTCCACGGAAATTTCCAAGCCAAACATCGAATCCAGCATCGGCGAAGAGGAATCCAGCTGATTGATTGGGTAAGTTGACAATCCAATTATCGCTGGCACATTCCAAACCATGTTGCATAAATACAACTGGCCGCTTGCCGCCAGGCCACGTAACATTGGCTGAAAATGAAAAATGAAAGTAAAAAAATAAATGAAAAATATGCGCGGTGTGTGTTTCTTTGCGAGACCCAACCGCATTATCGTGTGCGCCTTCGAAACAACTACGGTATTTTTCATTGTTTTTTCTCTACTCACTTTTTCCGTATGGAATTCGATGCAATTCAAGAATATATCCGTCATCTGTTGTGACGTCATAAATCATAGCTGGATAACCCCAACGCATGATAATTTGCGGTGTGGTTTCGTGCATTTCCGGATCCGGATCATGACAAAACACCGTGAAAAATAATAGGAAAACTCCGAGGAAAACTACAGTACCCCGTGTCATTTCTCTTTATCAACCTCTTGACCGAAATGAAGTGAAATGAAATGACAGCAAATGTGTTATCAAGCACGTTGCTTTTATCGAGAATCTAAACTCTTCGTGATTTCTGGTCGAGGCCAATATTTTTGCGAATTACCTTCGAGGACGTGTCACACCGACTACTGTAGAAGTTTCTCTGATTGTCTGCGATTCTCGGAAAATGTTCAGCAACACATTATTTTCATGCAAGCACAAATTTGATTGAGCTGATAAACAATTATCATCACGTGATGATAACATCTGTATTTTAGTGTGATGTTTGTGCTTGAACAGGAAAATGTGGAAATTTTTGAACTCCGGGTACAAAAAACCTATTTTTGAAAACAAGAAATTCGAAGTGTTTATGAGATACAATGTGTTTTCACAGCTAATTGATCCCTAACCAATGCTGAAATCAAAGAAGTTATACTCAAAATATCAGCCATAGCACCTTGTCCGCTATCACCGCACATCAATTCTTTCGAAATCGGACAAATTTCCTTGAATTGCAGCAAAGTTTTCAGCGTATTCCGATGTCCAATTGTCAGCGGATTTTCCCACATAAAAGTGTTCATTGCGGGCGCAAAATAGGCGGGTTTCGATAAATCCCAGGCTCGAATCAAAGATGTTGCGAGATTGTCGCATATTCCAGTCGCGATTTTTGCCATGGTGTTGGCGTCGAGTGGAGCGATCAGCATAGAATCTGCCCATTTTCGAAGTTCTGGAAAATCTTTTTTCCAGAAAAAAGAAATTTATTTTATTGGTACGAAAAACTTCCAGAAACGGAACATTTTTTAACAAAGTTTCCAAAAACGGACCAGCTCAAGTTTCAAAATATAACCAAAATTCACTAACCGATATGCAAAACCGGATCTCCTCTTTCTCTCCACATCGACCATTCATCCTTATCCTCATAAACAAAATCGTCAAAATCCAACTTCAAAATATTCACAAATTTCACCGCATTCTCCGTCGCCACAATTTTGATGGCCAATCGATTCTCTCCGCATTTCTCGTATAATTTCTGAATCAATTCCGGTGTTTTCAAGACCGCCACACTTCCTGTGATGACAATCAACAGATGATGCTTGTTGGGATCTTTGGAGAGCTTGTGCGATCTTGTGAGTGGCGGCCTAACTTCTACCTCTTCTTCCTCGTTTTCTTCATCGCCTCGTGCTCGTTTCCTATTCTCTTCCATGCCTGAAATCGTGAAAATTAGCTGAGCGTTTTGAAAAAGAAAAAAACAAAAATAAAATTTCAAAATTCTCCTCGAGAAGTACACAAACCCATGGCCTAGAAAACCAAACGCTCGTGTATTTCTCTCGGACAACCCAATTTTTTTTCTTTTTTTGCACTTTCACACAGTGCCCCGAACGCGTAGGCAGAGAAAAGTTGTGCGCATTTTTGGTGCATGTGAGGTAGAGCGCACAAGCCTGTTTGTCGGTTTTTTGAAAATTTAACACTGGGTTTTTTCTTCCAACGATTAGAATTGAATTTTACTTGCATGAAAACTCCCAAACTGAGCTATATGTTCTGGAGAATAATGAGAGGAACGTTTTGATATAAAACATGTGGAGATTGGATTCAAAATAAGTTAGTTAATATCTTTTGAAGAAAAACAATTCAAATTTTATGAATGAAAAATGTGATTCGGTACTTGTTTTATGATAAATATGTAAATTAGAACACTTTCAAGGTGTTTTAAGAATTATTTTATCAAAATAAACTTTTGAAATCTGCTTTTTTGATCAATTTTGGGCAAATTTCGATGGAAAAGAAAATAACAAAAACGGCATAATTTTGAATTATTATTGAATCCACATACTTGAGGAGTCCTATTTCAATGTTTTGGAAGCATAACACTGAATTTTATCAGCTTTCCTGGGTCAAAAATGATGTTTTTGCACAAGGTATTTTTTGAAGAGCTCTTGCTCATTTCATTCTCAACCATTTTTTATGAAACAACTTGGAATAACTTCAATTTTTCTTCCTCTGTCTTCTCCATATTCGATTTAGTTACAAAAATAACATTTCCAGCATTTTTCAGCAAGAAAACAAAAGCGCAAAAAAAGATGAGAGAGCGCGCTTTGCCGAAGAGACGGATGAGAGATAGAGAGAAAACGAGAGAGTGTGTGGAGTGTGGAGTGCTGGCGCAATACGCGTTCGGGACACTGTGTTTCAGTTTTTAACACTTCGTTTCAGTCCTGTGTTGGGACGAACAAATAGAGAAAACGCGACGCAGACACAAAAAACCCCGAAAAATTTTTGAAAATGAGAATTCATGGACCATCGCTTCGGGACCCAACAGTTGGCTGGGTGCCAGCCTTATTAAATTTCGCGGTATTTTCAGTTTCGCGGTTTTTTCTTTCGCACTCTACACACTCTCTCTGTCTCTATTTGTTCGCCCTGAAACGAAGTGTTAAACCTAAAAAATGAGCGCTGCGAAACGTGCCGCACAAGCAATCAGTCCACAAAGATTCCCGCTGTTTCTCTATAAAAGTATTTTGCGGTAAGTGACGTTATTTGTCCTGAAAATCAAGTATTAAATTCAAAATTCAGGTTACATTATGGTTTGCCAAAAGAAGCGAGATTGATGGGCGATACGTATGTGAAAGACGAGTTTAGACGACATAAAAATGCGGAGCCCAGTTTTGTCAAACCTTTTATAGATGAATGGACAGTAAGATTTTTGGGGGTTTCGGAAGTTCTTGATCAAAAGTTTCGATAACGGAAAATCTTTCAGAATTATTGCGTGATGCTGTCCAAACAACTTTCTTCGGCTGGAATTCGAAAAGGTCAAATCGGTGCCGATCTCCCCGCTGATAAATTGAACAACCTGAGCAATGAGCACATCCAACAGTTAGTCGAACTCCGAATTGAAGCCGATAATCATTTAGGAAAAACGGACTTTCTGGAAAACCTAGAGAAAATTCAGAAGTAGACTTTTATACATATTTAGATTAAAAATATAGTTTTTGTTGCTTTTATTAATTAATCAATAAGTATGGTGTAAATTGGCAAGAAAATAATAACCAAACAAAAAAACAAAACAAAATAGGTTCCTAGAACAAAGATTTCCCGTACATTGTATTCGTCTCATTCCCAATTTTTTCAATGACTTTAAGAATGTAATCGAGGTGTTCCCTAGTGTGATCCGCACTCAAACAAAATCGAACTCGTGCTTCTAAAAGCGGTGTCGCCGGGTAGCCAACCGCCACAATTCCAATATTATGTTTCAGTGCTCGCCGCGAGAATTCTCTAGAATTTTTCAGATTGAAACTTTGACTTCAAAATTGAGTGAGAAAAACTCACACAACTTTAGTGATATAAAAAGTCATCAGAGGGACCACCGGCGAATCATCGTTTCCATAAACCAAAAATCCCAAGGCTTTCAGTTTTTGACGGAAATATCGAGAGTTTTCGAGAAGTTGTGTGGATTTTTGGCGACCGATTTGAGTGCCATCCGTGCCACACATTATCTAAAACAATTTTTATTGAAAAAAAAATCATTGAAAGAGTTTTTTTTTTTTGCTCACAGCAACAGCCTTTTCGACTTGTGCAATTAGTGGTGGCGACATTGTTGTTCCATAACATGTTCCAGCGGAATATCGTCGAATATGATCAATTAATCGCTGGAAAATGAGAAAATTCGGGTTGGAAACTACTAGAAAATCCTCACCTTTGTCCCAGCCATATATCCTCCAGCCGAAGCAAAAGACTTAGTCAAAGTTCCCATCATAATATCAATATCTCTAGTATTACATCCCCAATATTCAGCAACTCCTCTTCCAGTCGGACCAACTGCTCCAATCGAATGTGCCTCATCCAAAAACAAATATGCGCGATATTTCTTCTTGATTTCAATGAATCCTGGTAGATTCACAATTGTTCCTTCCATACTATAAATTCCTTCGATGATTATCAGAATTTTGTTGTATTTTTGACCGGTTCTCGGGCTCACCGAGCACAATGCGTCACGAAGAACTTGTTCGCAATGCGCTGCGTCGTTGTGACGGAACACTTTGATGGTTGCGCCTGAGAGACGACATCCGGTGACAAGGGAAGCGTGGTTGAGGCGATCGGATAGGATTAGTGAACCCTGCGAAAAGGAAGTTGGGAGAACTTTTTGAATTTGTGGTGATGTTTTTAGCGCTAGACATCATAACTCAATTCTCGATCAATTTTATAAAAACTGAGTTTCAGATATTTCAAAAAAAAATTTGATTTTGGAAAACAGAATGAGCAGGGGCACATATGATTTTCAGCCGAAAAATAAAAAACTTTTTGAAAAAATGTTTTTTTTAAATGTACTTTTATTAGTAAATCGACGACGCTGGTCAATATCTGAAACTTTATTTCCCACAAAAATTATTTTGAAATGGAGCTATGATGACTTTTATGAGCCAATTTCAGCACTTTTGAACTTTTGAGAGCCCAGAACTTGGCTCATAGGTCCATTGGGTAACTTAAATTGTTAAGGTGTTCTTATGACCCCAAAAGCTGTCTATGGACAACATTTCATCGAGGTTCGAAGTGTTGAGGAAAAAGGTTCCCTTGTTAGCAAGCAAAATTGTTTTTTTTTTTTGAAATTTAAACCAGGCAAAATTATTGATTTTTTAAATAATTTCAAGCAGCTGACAATGTTTCGAAATAACCCCAAAAAAATCACTCACCTTATCCACCAATGCCGGAATATTCATAGCATTCGTCGCAAAACCCATCGGAAAAACAATCGCATCTTCAACACTCAGATAATCGGCAATAGTTCTCTCAACCTTCTTATGAACCGAATGATTTCCGCGTTCTTGTCGTGTTCCACTACAAGCTACACCATATCTATCAATATAAGCTGCAGCTTCTTCAGCACAACTTCCACTACAATGCGAAAATCCCAAATAATTATAAGAGCCTAGATTAATCACCTCGCTTTCGCTACCCGTAAATCTAGAAAAATAAAATTATATTTTTGTTTGGAATTTAATGGAACGGTTTACTTTTGTGTCCATCCATGATCATCAGTATATCGATCTTTTAGTCTAACTATCGCTCCAGGAACACCACTGATTGGTCGATTCACAACATCTGTTGATAATCGATAGATGTGATTGGTGTACATGGCATCGAAGTGATTGTCAATGGGAGCGAAATCCTGGAAAACTTGGAATTATTATATGCAAAAAGGGCAAGTGTGCTCTAATGAAAATCTTTGTTTTTTTTTTAAATAAAAAGCAAACGCGCTCCACTGTTAACAATTTTATTATTTGTAATTTTTTAAAAATTTGGCATTTTTCTTTTGTTTTTTGTTGTAGGCCATAAAAAAGTAGCAAGATGAGATGATAAGAATAGAAACAAAGTACAAATAGTCGCAAGTTTTTTTTAAATTTGTTGTTATAATTTTCAAATTTGAAAAAATGACTCACCTTTAACCTGACATCATCCTTTTTACATTTATTTTCCACAAGTCCTAATCTATCCAAAAGTGAGGCGACAAACGCGCCAAATACCATCACAAAAACATTGAATCTTGCTAATAACAAAACATAAAATGCGGGTTGTGGAGTCTCGTCGAAATTTGCCTGTGAATGATGGCTCACTATTGATCCGTTCTTGTTTTTGGCCGCTCCCATGGTTTCACCTGCAGAAAAAAAAACCAATTTTGTTGAGGACAAAAATGAAAGAACAAATATAACAATGTGGTTCTCGTGGTGGGAGAAAAATACGGAAATCGTTAACTAATGATAAGATTTTGGCGGAAAGATAATAAATGTTTCCTGAAAAGGTATACATTTCTTCGGTTTTTTTTTTCAGAAAAAAACTTCCAAAAATCAAATGTTAGGAATGAATAATTTTGCACTTCAGCGCTATGGAAAAATCAACAAAAATTCAGCGGAAAAAAAACATAAAAATTATATTTTTTGAACAAAGTGTGAAGTGATAGGAGAAAAAAAACGAGAGAGAGAAATGAAATGATACTGTTATTTATTTGTTCAATTCAATGTGTCAGATGGAATGTTACTTGATGCACTTCAAATGGCGTGTTTTTTCAACATTCGATGAAGTTTTCTTGGAAACGTTTCAAACCTAGATAGAAACCCCAACAACAAAAAACGCCAAAAAAAAAAGAAATTAACGATGCTACGTACGCCTGTTGTTTATCGTAAATCGACAAAAGCGGGTTTTCAAATTTTTGTCTTTTTTATTTTGTTTTTACGCGAATATTTTATTTTATTGGTTTTTTTTGTTTTCTATGAAAATAATTAAATCTTTGAAAATTCTGACACAAACTTCTAACTAATGTACAGTATCCTTCGAAAGATCAAAACCAAAAAAGGCTGCAAAGTTTGTGATGTATCAAAATTATCCCGGCTGTTCAAATAAACTTTCCAAAAAAGTGTTTAGTTTGTTCCGTGCCATGACCGAAATACACCGAGTTCAACGAGGTGAGCTACAAAAATTTGGTATAAAAGAGAAGCACGAGGTGTTAGAAAACATTCATCTCTCGATCCTAGATTTCGAGTCATCCGAACAATAATGCTGTTCTTATCTGCTCTTCTTTCAACAACACTTTTTGTATTCGCCAATGCTTGTGGAGATTCTTCTTCATCCTGTTCAAGTTGGGTGAAAAATGGCTTCTGCTCCTCAAAATTTTATACATCCGCCCAAAAAACCGCCTATTGTGGAACATCTTGTAATTTGTGCGGCAGTGCTACAACCGCTACAACTGCTGCATCATCTTCATCTTGTACTGATGCACAATCTGCGTAAGAACTCTCACATTATTTTGAGTAGTTTCCTAGTCTATTTTCAGATGCACTTCCTGGGCTGCTAACGGTTTCTGCACAAATTCCTTCTATACAGTAGCTGTCCGAACACAATACTGTGCCAAAACTTGCAACCTCTGTACAGAAACTACCGCTTCTTCAAGTGATTCTACTGATAGTTCCGATTCTACTGATGATTCAAGTGATACAACAGCTGCATCTGCAACAACTACAACAGCAGCAACATCTTGCACAGATTCAGCATCAGCTTGTTCTTCATGGGTTGCTAATGGATACTGTACCAATTCTTTCTACACTGATGCACAAAGAAAACTCTATTGTGCCAAATCTTGCAATTTGTGTTAAAGATTCAGATATTTTTTTATACTTTTCCGTAGAATAAAGTTTAATATGAGCGATGTTTTGCACTCAATTTGTATTTTCTTTGAACATTCATCCCTTGACCTCAAATCAAAAAGTACATTATATATAGACAATACATACTTACTTAGTTACTTAGTCGATCCGTTCTTCAGCATATTGCGCGGACCACAGTTCTCCATTTATCACGGTCTTTGGCACGAGTTGTCCAATATTCGACCAATTTGTTGTTGTTGTCATATATACAGTGGTTTTTCCTTAGTTCATCTGACCATCTCAATGGTGGGCGTCCAACTGGTCTTTTCCAATCTCGTGGATACCAATCCAATGTTGCCGTTGACCAACGGTTGTCGTTTCTCCTTGCCATGTGTCCGGCCCAGCGGGTTTTTTGTTGGCGGATGTGTCAAAGTGGATCCTTGACTTGCGATAGCTTCCGGATGTCTTCGCGGTGGAGATTTCTTTCACGTTGTTCGCTGAGTGTTATGCCAACTAATCTTCTTTCCAATGCCGCGTGGGAGACTCGAAGAGCTTCTGAATTCTTTTTTGTGAGGGTCCATGCCTCTGAACCATAGCAAAGGGCGGGTAGAACCGTTTGATCGAATAAGTTTGCTTTGGTTTTTTGGCAAGTGATGGCGTCGGTTGCTTTTTCGATGGATTTGAAAGCAGCCCAGCCAGCTCTTCTTCTTCGGTGGATTTCCGGCAGGAGTTCGTTTTGAGGATTTAATTGTCGGCCAAGATAAATATATTCATCGACATTTTCAATGGTTTTGTTTCCGATTTCAATTGGGCGGGTGAGCGCAAATCGGTTTCTCATTGATTTTGTTTTGGCTTCATTGATTTTTAGGCCAACTTTTGCGCTTTCCTGGACCAATTCTTTCAACATTCTCGAAGCTTGATGCGGGGTGTGTGAGATCAGAACGACATCATCAGCGAATCGAAGGTGGTTTAACTTTCTACCATCTATGCTTATTCCACAATCTGACCAATTTGTGGAGCGGAAAACTCCTTCAATACTCGCGGAGAATAGATTCGGAGAGATTGGGTCTCCTTGGCGAACTCCTTTTGAGATTGGGATTTTTACTTTTTTGAAGAATGGTGTGATGTTGGTGGAACACTCCTCGTAGCATTTTTGGAGGATCTTGATGTAATGTTGATCGACTCCTTGATCTTTCAGCGAATTCCATACTGCAGCTGGTGACACAAACTTCTAAGTTCTATAAATCGAATCTACAGTAACCCTCGAAAGATCAACACCAAAAAAGGCTGCAAAGTTTGTGATGTATCAAAATTATCCTGCTGTTCAAATAAACTTCCCAAAAAAGTGTTTAGTTTGTTCCGTGCCAAGACCGAAATACACCGAGTTCAACGAGGTGAGCTACAAAAATTTGGTATAAAAGAGAAGCACGAGGTGTTAGAAAACATTCATCTCTCGATCCTAGATTTCGAGTCATCCGAACAATAATGCTGTTCTTATCTGCTCTTCTCTCAACAACACTTTTTGCATTTGTTAATGCTTGTGGAGATTCTTCTTCATCCTGTTCAAGTTGGGTGAAAAATGGCTTTTGCTCCTCAAAATTTTATACATCCGCCCAAAAAACCGCCTATTGTGGAACATCTTGTAATTTGTGCGGCAGTGCTACAACCGCTACAACTGCTGCATCATCTTCATCTTGTACTGATGCACAATCTGCGTAAGAACTCTCATATTAGATTTCCAATAACGAATATCTATGTATTTTCAGGTGCACTTCCTGGGCTGCTAACGGTTTCTGCACCAATTCCTTCTATACAGTAGCTGTCCGAACTCAATACTGTGCCAAAACTTGCAATCTCTGTACAGAAACTACAGCTTCTTCAAGTGATTCTACTGATAGTTCCGATTCTACTGATGATTCTAGTGATACAACTGCCGCCTCTGCAACAACCACAACAGCAACATCTTGCACAGATTCAGCTTCAGCTTGTTCTTCATGGGTTGCTAATGGATACTGTACCAATTCATTCTACACTGATGCACAAAGAAAACTCTATTGTGCCAAATCTTGCAATTTGTGTTAAAGATTCAGATATCTTTTTCGTAGTGAATAAAGTTTCATATGAGCAATTAACTTTGTTAAAATGACGATGTTTTGCACTCAATTTGTATTTTCTTTGAACATTCATCCCTTGACCTCAAATCAAAAAGTACATTATATATAGACAATACATAAATAATACCTATATGAGCCCTTGTTATCAACTTTTCTTATCAAAGATGTCAGTACGAAAAGACCCTCCTAAAAACCAATACCTCATTTCTTCTACCTGATAATACTCTTCTTCATTCGGTCTGAAAATGGCGCTGAAAGAGGCGTCTGAACCTATTTCAATGATAAATTATTTACATCTAGACGCCGACAAAGTTCTATCAGCTTGCGGAAAATATGGAAAACATCAAATGTTTGCGTATGTTGTCACAACTTGTGCTCAAACTCTATTTGCAATTAATATGATGGTTATGCCATTTATTATAAAACCCGCGTTTTTTACGTGTGAATTTGATGATCCGAAAGATCAAAATTGGATTTATCAACGAATCGACGATGATCAATGTCATATAATTGATGGAAATAATTGGACAGTTAACTGCAATCAAATCCCCGGCTCAAAATATATTTACAATGAGACGAAAATGGCATCGGAATTTGGATTGGTTTGTGACAAAGCGGATAGTGTTGATCATGCTTCATCAATTTTCTTGTTGGGTGGATTGTTAGTTGCACCAATTATCACACAATTATCCGATAGTTTTGGAAGACGAAACACATTTTTGTGGCCATTGTATGCGTCGGTGATTGCCAATTTTTTCTGTGCCATTTCGCCGACTTATAATATTTTCCTATTTTTCCGATTTATTGCGGGTGTTGCGACATCGGTGAGTTTTTTTAATGAGAAGCTGAGATTGGATTGACTGCTTTTCTCAAGAATACAGTTTATCGTACAAAAATCTGTAAAAAATTGTTTTTGTTTCAAATTTTACAAAAAAAAAACCCCCCAAATTCAGAGTTTCTCAATGGTCGGCTATGTTCTTTGCGTCGAATCAGTTGCTCTCGAATTCCGTTCTCTCACACCACTTCTGACTACGGTAACCTGGGTAACCGGTTATATGCTAGCCGGAGTTCTTCACTTATTCATCCCCAACTGGCGATGGTTATACTTTGCGATTTCACTCCCCGGACTTTTGACAATTCCATATTATTGGTGGACACCGGAAAGTTTGCATTGGATGATTACAAGTAGAAAAGGAAAACAAGTTCGGAAATTTGTTGAGACTTGTGAGAGGGTGAATAAGCAGAAGATTGATTTGTCGAAATGTATGAGTGATGATATTTCGGGACAGGAAGGAGATATTAAACGGAGAACTGCGCTGGATATTTTTTTGAATCCAACTTTGCTGTTTTCATTGATTGTTAATGCGATTATTTTGTGAGTTTTTGGAAGATCCAGGAAAACAAAAACGGCTCCTAAAAATATATAACTCAACAAATTCAGAAATTTTGAATTGTAAACTTTTTAGTCCAAAATTTAGCCTAAATTTAAACTTTCCAAATTTCTATAGATAAACTCAAAAATTCCTGAAAGTTTCTAAATTATGACGTGGCTCATCTTTGGGGTGCATTATTTTCAATAAAAATCTGAAAATCAAATTTGTCAAAAATTAATAAATTTCGAATTTAAGCCAGCCAATCCACATCTGAAAAATCATCAAAACCCAATTTTTTCAGAATCGCAATGAATGGAACATATTGGGGTTTATCACTTTTCTCAACCGAATTATCTTCGGATAATGAAATGCTTGGCTACTTTTTATCTGGAGCAGTCGAAGTTCCAGCTGGTTTCCTATCAGTTTATCTTCTCCTTGTCCTCGATCGCAAAACCGTCTCATTCATCTCACTTTTCCTAACTTCAGTCTTTATGTGTTGCGCATTATTCGTCCCATTACCTGATAATTATTCAATGATTTTCCCACTTTTGGCTAAATCTGTTAATTCAATTGTTTGGAGTAGTCAAACACTTTTGTATGCGGAAAGTATGCCAACAAGTATTCGAAATGTGTTTTGTGGAATTGTTACATTTTTGGGAGAAATTGGATCGGTTGCTGCGCCGTATCTGAAAAGATTGGTGAGTTCTGAAAATTTTTATTTATGGAAACAAGTTTGCTTTTCGTTATCAGTTGGAAAAAAAACATTAAACGAAAAAAAGTTCTTATCAAGGTGGAGAAAAAGCTGAGAATTATGAGAAAAAATGGACCAAAAAATTAAAAAAGTTTGATTTTTGATATAAATTTATCAGTAGTTTTTTTTTCGAAAAAAAACTGGGAATCATAAGAAAAAAGTTTTATCAGTCTGAAAATGCTGAAAAAAATAATTCCTCGTTTCAAAGTCCACCTCGGAAACCGCTTTGAGCAATAGGAGAATCACATGTTTACCTACTTGAAATGTTATGTCAAGTTATGGTTTAAAAAAAAAGTCCGATAATATTTTATGGTCGAAAATTGTTATCAGAAAATTTAAAAATTGACCAAAATGTTGATGAATTTCTAGCAGGGTACAATTCTAGCAGCGATTGACAAGAGACTTAAAAATTCCAAAAATTCTTGGATCAATATATTCCGGTTTTTCCAGGAAGCAATCGACAAAAATGCGCCAGCCTTATGCATTGCAATTCTTTCATTTCTAGCCGCAATTTGTGTCATAGTTTTGCCGGAAACAAAAGGCAAAAAACTACCCGGTGATATTGATGATTTTGATATTGGACCATTATTGAGAAGGTTCAAAAAATCACCGTCAGCTTCGCCTTCTTTACAAACTGAGGTTAGTTTCTTCTTTTTTTTGAGAAGGAGAAATCGGGCTGGAGTTGCTCAAAAATAATTTTTGAAAAAAAAAGTTTTAATTTCCAGGAAGTTAGTGTTCCTCTAAACGACATTGAAAAAGCTGAAACCAACGAGGAAAAATAATTGTTCATTTTTCAAAAAAAAAATCATTGTCTGTTCAATAAAGTGTTAAAACATCATTCTCAATACAATTGTTGTTGTTATATCAGTTTTCAGATTTCCGAATGAGATTGGTTTTTTAGGCACAGGATTAGTTTCAGCTCCAGATTCATCTCCAGTTATTTTCCAAGAAACTGGAAGAGTTTGGGAATAATTGATGAGTACAATAATAAGGATAAGAAGCAGTAGACTTCTCATTTTGGAAACAAAATTTTTTAAAAAATTTTTAGTTTCAAAATAAACAAACAAAATTTAAATACTTTTGTTTTGTTTTTCGGTTTTTTGATTGATAAACTGATACCATTTACCTATAAAAAAGCTCAGATTTCGTATCAAAAACCAAGTTCGAAAAATGCATCGCAAACTTGTATTCTTATTCGCTTTTCTCATGATCAGCTATCATTTCGTTGGTGCTGAACCAGGAAGTGGAAAGAAGCCACCACCGCCACCAACTGATCCAACTGATGACAACGATTACTTGACTACTAAAAATAAGGCGCCACCAAAGAAGGAGACTGATCCATATGATACGTTTACAACACCAGATTGGGATTGATTTGTTTTTTTGAAATGAAAATAAAGTTTTTTTGTATTAGTACCCAAAAATTGTTTTTCTAGATCTGATAAATTTTCTGAAAATTTTGAAGATCAATTATTTGAAGTGGTAAAATGATATTCAAAGTTAGATTTTTTGAAAAAAGTTTTGGAACGAAATATTTCAGTTGAAAAATTTCCGAAAAATTATATTAGAAATGAGCGAGAAGGCTCTGAATTATTCAAAAAATACGAAAAAAAATACGTTTCAGAAAAATTCTATTCATTATGTTTTGCTTTGAGAAACATTTACCAGGTACCTGTTTTGCTCAACACTTCAAACCTGGATGAAAATTTGTCCATGGACAGCTTTTGGGATCTCCCAATGGATTTCTAAGCCTAGTTCTGGGCTCTCAAAAGTTCAAAAATGGCCAATGGGAGTTTTTCTTTTTTTACTGAAGAATATCTGAGTGATGTTCAACACTTTAAAAATAATAAGTTCAATTTACAATTAGGGCGGTTTAGGTTTTCACGTCAACATCAAATCACGCCAGCGTCATGTAATGACGTAGTCGAAAACACTTGTTATGTGTTTATTTGGTCTTTTGATTGATAAACTGATACCGTCTACCTATAAAAAAGTTCAAACAGTGTCTCAAAAACCAAGTTCTAAAAATGTACCGAAAAATTGTATTCTTATTGTTTGCTGTTCTTATGATTAGCTCAAATTTTATTGAAGCTAAACCACGAGGAAAAAAGCCACCACCACCAACTGAAGAAACCACAACTGATTACTATGATTATACCACTAGACCATCTGAATCAGCTGAAAACCAAACGACAACAGAATATTATTATTATACCACAAGAGATCTATCAAACGAAAATGAAACCACAACTGAAGATTATTATTTGACTACAAGACAATCATCAGAAGAAGATCAAGCAACTACAGAAGATTATTATTATACAACCAGAGATCTACCAACTGAAGATCAAGCTACCACCGAGGATTATTACTATACAACCAGAGATCTACCAAGTGAAGATCAAGCCACCACCGATGATTATTACTATACTACGAAACAAGCTGCGCCAGAAGAAGTGACGGACTCGTATTATGATACAACACCTAGCTGGGATTAAAATTGAGATTTTTTAATTATTGAAATGAAAATGAATAAAATTTGAAAATTTGAATTTTTAAATAATCTTAACTCTTCCCTTACAACAAAAGCGCTACAAAATAAATTTAATTTCGAATTTTCTAGTTAGGAAAAACAACAAGAAAAACTAATTTCCTCTAGACTCTAGACTTTACCTAACTCAAAACACACAATTTCCTAATTCCAGGTGAAATTTTTCGGTGAGAATTTCAATTTATTTTTGAAATTCCGTACGTATGACGTGGTCTTTTCCTTTTTGAATAGAATTTGCTCTAAACTCCACAGTAATTTGAACTTCCGGTTCTTTTGCAAATGTTTCCCTAATTTTCTCATTCTCTAATAACAATACAGCCTAACTTTTCATGAATCGAGTTAATCAGTTTTTTTTCTGCTTTTGAGAAAAAACCTTGCAGATCAGTTTTTTTCATGCTTGACAAAAAATCGAGTAAAAATTCAAGCTCATTTGTGAAAGTCTAGTTTTTGTGTCTTTTTAGATTTTCCCAGGGAGGGAACTCATTCATTTCTCCCAAAAAACTTTTTCTTTCATTTTTTCTCCTTATGTTAAGCCTGAAATTAAAGTTGTTTACTGTTATTATAAATGTAATCAGATGTTTTCAGATTTTCAGATCAAACAATATTTCAATGATAACTACAATTTTGAACCCGGATTCTCAATTAATTTTGATCGGATTCATTTATTCTGCAATTTCTTTTTGTGTTTTTCCAATTTATGCGGTGGTCATTTATGTGAGCTCATTTTCTCAACACCAGACATATTTTTTAAAAATTAAAATAATTTAAATTCAGGCTCTTCACACTCGCGATGAGCTCAAATCAAACACTTCCTATAAATTGATAAATATCATAAATTATTGTGATTTGGGCCAAGCTATTTGCCATTTTTTCAGCGGAATGTTTTTGATTTTTCCAATTTTTGTGGAGAGATTTGAGGTGTTTGTGAGAGTAAGTTCACACTAGATATTTTTTGGTGTGATTTTTTGGGTGAGCAATCAAAAGTTTCCCACGGATTCAATGATTGTATTTGCAAACCAACAACTGCGATGTGCACTTTTACTTCATACACCAAGCTGAAAATTTTCCACTCCAACAATTTTTTTACAAGAAAATCGGCCAAACGTTGAATTTTATTTTTAACCTTTGTGACAAAAGTGCAACAACCAAATTAATTTCAGATAATTGGCTGCACAGCAAATAGTCTTTGGCTAGCCATGTTCCCAGTTATGTCAATTCTCTCAATATCCCGGATTCTGATAGCCTACAAAAATACAATTTCAAAATCATGGAACAAATATCTGAAATCTCTCTTATTTTTGGGATTTTCATATATTTTCACAATTTGGTTGATTGGTTGTATTACTCAAAATTTTAAAATGGATGGGCCAAGTTGGTCATATGATATGGATAAAATTGGGGCTGAAACGTTATCAAAACTTGAACTGGTTTTATGTTTTCCTACTTTGGTTTTATCTTTTACTTCCTATATCATTGTGATTTTCAGTATTTGGTCGGTGAGTTTTCGAGTCGTTGACTAGCTCATAGCTCATTCAAAATTTAAAATTTTTTCTAGAGAAAACGTCTGTTTCAACAACAACAATCGAAATCAATAAAAACCGAAGTTTCAATTTTAGCACAAGCTACAATTCTGACATTATACATGGGCGGGTTGATTGCCTTATGGCATAATGCTGAATATTTATTCGAACTTACCACAATCAAAGTTGCAATTTTGAATGGATTATGGATATTTTTCTCTTTTCTCAATCCAGTGCTAATGATTGTTATCAACAGGTACTGTATCAAATAACAGTGATTACTCAAAAACGATATTTTTAGCGGTGCTCGCCGACAAATCAAAGGTGCAATATTTGGTGATGACAATCAAACAACATCTATAAAGAATTCGAAAATCGCCCAAAATTCTCGGAATTTTTCAGCGCCTAAACTTCAAACTATTACCATTACATAATTTTTTCCAAATGTGAAAATAAACATGTTTTTGTATGATTTAGGAAAACATTTCAATAAATAAACAGATTTAGAAAAGAAAAGAATAATATTTAGGTTAAATATTGTACATTAAAACATAACTTTTCGTAAACGCACCAGATGACAGAGCCTTATTTCTTCGAATTGGTCCAAGATCAGTAGAGCAAATTGGTAGATCCATTGGCTCGTCGCGTATCAAATCATTTTCATCTTCATCAGCTGGTGGTGGTGTTTGATCCCCACCGCTTTCTGCGAACCGATCCAACCTTGAAAAGATTTCGCGGAACACCCTCATATTTATCCTCGCATTGTTTCCTCGCCATCTACCTCAACAGTTGGTGGAAAATTGCGATGTTGTGGTGGCGATTGATCATCATATTCAGCTGCAGCCATGACTGGTGTTCCCACTTCGAATCGATTTCTTGGAACATTCTCATATCCACGCCAAGTCTCTTCATCGTCCAACATTTCGTGTGGAAATTGATCGGGTTGTTGAAGTAGCGGTGAGTTGTTTACCAACAAACGATTCGATTCTTCGAGAGGAGTGTCCATACAATGACTGACTCGTATTTCAGTTCTATCGCCAACCACAATTTTCAAGTATTCTTCAGCAAATTCTCCTGTCAAAACAACTCCATCGTCAGTTTGATAAATGGAAATGATGCGACGAAAACACTCTTTCGTTATCCACAATTTTTTCAGCCCATTTCCAATATTGGTTACACGAATACCAGCGTTTTGCAGATTTGGACGTGGTCTTCGGTCCTGTAAATTGGTGGTGAGTTATTTAATGAGAAGTCATTTGAAAATTAACACTTTGATTAATTCAATTTTAATAAAAATATATTAATTTCGAGAATTCAAAAAACATCGTCAGCTCAGAAATTTCTTTTCATAGACAGAAATATTAAAAATCATTCGAAAATACAAAAAAGTTCCAATTATTCCATATTCTTCAACTCACCTCAATCATTTCACCATCAATTGGATCAGTATTTCGGCGATTTGCGTCATTCAAATTATTTGACATTTTTCAATAGTCGTAAAGACGGTGTACCTTCTTTTTATTATTACCTGAAAAAAAATGATTGAATTGAATATTTGGATCGTTTTTTTCGTCATAAAAAACTCGAAAAAAAATAAAAAATAAATTTATTGATTTTTTGATGCACTGTTCGACGGCTGTATTTCTTGAGAACAAAAAAACATTTTTTGGGTAGATCAAAAAGTTATTTTGTTCTGTGTTTCTTTTTTTTCGGTCAATTTTTTTATTTTTGTGCATAAAAAAGCTGTTAAATTGGAATGTGTCAAAAAATTCGGGTTTTTCAACTCTTTCTGAAAAAATTTTAATCTAAATAATATTTCATGAACAAACAAGGACACGCCTATTTTCCCAGACTACTGTAATTGTTGAAACAATTTAAAATGAGAATTTTATGAAAATAAACCTTTTTGTTAAACACTACAAAGTTCATATTTTTCTAGTTATGTCCCAATCTTACGGTTATAAAAGCCCAATAAATCTAATGGCGTCAATTTTGTTGAGTATTGTAAGTTACTATTTGAAAAATAGATGAAAAAATATTTTTTTTTTCAAATTAGAATGGAGGTTTTGGACTTATTTGTAATGTTGCAGTATTTTGGATATTCTACAAGGAGAAATTTCAAAGAACTGCGTTTAATTTGATATGCTCATGTAGAGCATTTTCAAATTTTGTCATTCTTTCGGTGACATTTCTGATGTATTTTGTTCCAACAATTTTGGTGTAAGTTTTCAGAGAAAAACTAGATCTAATTTTGCAAAAAATACAATGCGCTTTTGAATTATACGTTGTTGACTAGAAAATAGTTTATAGTGTGTTTTTGAGAGTTTTGTATTTGAATTCCATAAACAAACTCGTAATTATGGGAAAATATTAGAAAATCTGATCAAAAGCCACTGAAAACTGATCAAGCACACATTTTTGGAAAGTTTTTTTCAAAGTGTTGCACAGTGTTCATATTCTCGTCAAAAATACATTTTCAGAGGCTCTCCAACTCTTTCAAAATCTTGGGGAACTTATAACATCGCATTTTCGAACACGATTTACCTGGTAATTCAATATTTATCATTTCTAACAGCTCTGAATCGATTCATTTCTCTTTATTTTCCCATATCTTATAATAAAATCTGTGGGATGAAAACGACCAGCTTCATAATCATTCTTTTATATGCCTACAGATTCATCATAACAATATCACAATTTCAAGAAATTTCAGGTTAACTGATAAATTTCAGAATTCTAGAGAAACGTTTTTTTTCAGTAGACGATTGTCCGGTGTATTTTGATATTTCAAGTTTATCCTGGACCCCAACAATAACTGAAAATTGTTTGATTGACAGTAATTCTGCACTAACATATTTAATCATCAATTTTCTGTTTATAGTTGCTGTGAATATTTTTACTTTTGTAAAAATTTTGATGTTTTATATGGTGAGTAAAACGACAATTTTCGTGTACCTTGTCGGAAATCAAATAAGTTTCCAGGGAAGTGTTACAGCTGATATGAATTCTAAGAATCGAATGAAGAAAAATGGATATCTTTTCTTACAAACTGTAATTCAAGATTCACTTATCGTTATAGATTTCATATTTTCCTTCAAGTTGAATGGATTGAGCTCAAATCGTATCTGGCAATTTATATCTGGCACTTTTGTTTGGGAATCTATTCATTCTTTGGATGGATTCATTATGATACTTTTTAATGAGAGATTCACTTTCATTCGATTATATTTGAATTTTTCCGGCCAGCCAAGTCACAGTAGTCAACAAGTTGTTTCATTGGTGACACTTTGAATATTTTTTCCAAATGCTCTACAGTACTTCTTTTAACAATCAAAACTTTAATTTTAATTGTCCGGATTTCGTAATCTCGAAAGTTCAAACCATCACAAAATTCCCATAAACTTTTTTTTCTATATATCGAAAAGATTTTTTTTGGTGCCTGTCGCGAAAAAAACCAAAACATTTTCGCCTCATCAAGGCGAGAGATATGTGATAGGCGAAGAGACGCAGTCAGCCACCATGAATCACTGTTTTCGAGCAATCGTCCTGTTATTTTAGCCCTTCCCCTTTTCTCATTTTTTAATCATTTGCCGTTTGCCTTCCCTTTATTTCTTGTGATTTTTTTCAAAAAAAAAAGTTTTTTTTTCAAAGTTTTCTGCAAACTTTGTGTGTTCCTTTAATTTTTCTTACTGTATACGCAAACACGGCGGCGCACAATTGCAGAATGTTTTTTCACTTTTTTTCGCGATCGCTGCCGGCAGAATTATCTTCGGCGTTTTTGACATTTCGCGTGTCCTGATTTGTAATTTCAGATTCAGACACAACTGACTATTTCTTTTTCCAGAATGGGAAAGAACCATCATTGTCAACGATTGGATAAAATGCGGAAGAAGACTAAAAACGCTGCCGCCGCTGTCGTTTCAACTGATTCAGTTGCCAGCGACACAACTTCTGCTGTCTCAGTAGACAATCTCATTGGCTGCCCAGTTCCCGAACCAATTACTTGTTGTCAACGTAAGCTTTGAGCGAAAAACACAAATAAATGATGACAAATCTCTTTTTTCAGCGAAAGTAGACATTGATCCGATGACCGCTGTGAAAATGGAATGCTCGAATGAAAATTGCACTTTCAACGAACAACAAATCTATTTGCATGCGGAGTGTTATGGCTTATTCGAAGACCATTTGGTAAAACGATTAAGCACTTCGGGAAGTGCTCGCGGCTGGACTGATTCGCAACGACGAAACAATCTTTGGGAGAAGAAGGGCCAGGCATTGATTGGCAAACTTCGACGCTGTCGTTGCGGACCAGGACTTCTCTCAATCGACAAGCAAGCGTTGTATGAAAAGGAGAAAAACGAGAAGAAAAAGAAGGAGAAGAATAAGAAGCAAAAGAAAGAGAATGTTGGAAACAAGCAAGTTGATGAGAATCATCGACGAAATCATCGCGAACGCGCCATTTCTGTTAGCTCTGAATCGTCTTTCATGACGAATACAACAACAACTGGCAACAATTCTTCACTCAATTTCCGAAAAGATTCGGAGATCTCCGATATTTCCGATGCCGCAATGGTTTGTTCAACAATTTCCAGATTTCTCTTTACAATACCCTTTTTACAGCAAGTTCTTCTTGTCCCGGCGCCTCTTCCACCAGTTCAAACTCGAAGCTATGCATCAACCATAAAAAGCGAGACTGATGTCAGTTGTGCCACCGCAAAACAAACCATTGTTCACAACGAATCGAATTTGTCATCATCGGATGACTCTTTGAATAGTACTCACAACGATAGTGGTTTCGGCGAGAAAACACCACCAGCACCACCACCATCGCTTCTTCATTTGCACTTCAACTCGACGCCAAATTCGTTCGTCTTCAATTCGCCAGATATGAATGCGAAGATTAATAACAACAATCATAGTAATAATAATAATGCATGTGCTCGTCAACAACCACTCACTTCAACACCGCGATTGATTAATCGATCGTTGAATCTATTTATCAAGGAACAACAAATGAAAGAGAATGAAAAGAAAAACTTGCAGAAAGTTGAGCCAATGCGTGAGTTTCTTATCGGATCTTCTTCCACCGTCACATAAAAAATCTGGCAATAATCCAGATTTTCATTGGAGTTTTCTATTTCCATTTTTCAGCCAAACTCCAATACGGTTGGACTCCATTCTTTGGCCAAGATTTCAACTTCGGCGAACGACTTATGTATTTTCCATGATGTTTAAATATATTTACTCCTCATCCCCCTTCCCCCATACATTTTTTCTACAGTGCTCTTTTTTTTATTGATACGTCGTGAATTTTTTTGTGCCTTCAACCGATTTTTCCCCAAAATGACTAGATTCTTGTTTTTCTCGTCTACTACACATTTTTCATTTATGCATATATTTACATACTATCAATATACCCCATACTCCCCCTTTGAAAAATGTATGTAATAATTATTAATAACAAAACAAATGATGAATGAATGCTTTACTGTGCTTTTTTTGTTGAAAAAGCTCTGGAGGTTCTTTTGCCCAGTATTTTCCAGATTTTATTGAAATGTTTTCCAAGTTGATTTATAATATTCCAAAGCTTTGGAGCAAAAAGGGCTATTTTTTCAAAAATTGGGGCCTCAGAAATGTAGGCCTTCCGAAAGTTTTGATCTGCCGAAAGATGCGCGATTGTCAAAAGTTTTCCAGAAAATTCGAAAAAATGTCATCATTTTTCAATTTGTCTTATTTCTTGTCAAATGAACAACAACAACGATGAAAAAGAATATAGTAAGTTTAATCCCATTGAAATCCCTGATTCGAATTGTAAATATTTTCAGTTCTTACAAATCTTCGAAGAATCGATAGTCTAAATCTTGAAGAGAAACGGATAGAACTCGAAAAGTTTCTGTTTAGTCGAAATGGCGAATTGATAAAATATTATCGCGATTTCTTATGGAAAATCGTTATATCAATTATGAAATCGTCGACAGACAATGTGTTGTTCTTTTTAACACTTTGTCGTACAGAACAATTCAGCTACTTTGACAATATATCAAATCTTATTACTATACCTCGACAAAATCTGAAGATTGAAGATATATTTGAAATCCACGAACATGTTGATCACATATACCGTGCCAAAATCCAGGCATTTGTGAGTTGGAGTATATCTATAGGAAAAATCGTTTTTAATTTTTTGCAGCTCTTCGATAAAATGTCGGATAATGAAAGAGAAAAATATAGACAACTTCATTACTGCAGTGCAGAATCATTTGAAGAAGGAAAGAAAGAAATTGTTAGAGCGAAAACTGAGAGGTTTTTGGAAAATGACATTGAGAAAGAGGAAGTTTTCGAGATTTTGCATGCTGTTTCATATGTTTTGAACAATCGGGAATTTATTAGATTGATGTTCAGAAAAATCGATTATATTTTTGATGTTGATGCGGTTTTTGCGTTCAGATATGCAATGGTGAGTATTCAAAAAACTGGCGAAGCTAAATTTTCTAAATTTTCTTGTTTTTCAGACTTTGATGCGATTCAGTCACGATGAACATAATCGAACCAATGATGAAAATATTGTAAAACCAATCGAAAAATATCTAAAAATTGAATTATTAAAACAATATCCGGAGTTTGAGAAGCTTCTTCTTGCGCTGAATCTTGCTTTCAATTTGATCGATTTTGAATATTTCGATTGTTCTCAATTAATAAAAGGAATCGATAATATTGAATATGTGTTAGAAGAAAGGAAGAATGAAATGACAACAATTTTGTCAGATCAGCTGAAAAAGTTGAGAAAGAAAATGGTACCCGAAAAAGATTGTAGATTTGTGCCTAAAATTGTTTGCGATGAGGATGAAGCGATTGAAATTCTTGATAAAAATGGGATAATTTCGTGTGAGTTTTATTGAGATAAATCGGGTTATGTATTCGGTTTTTTCCAGTTGATCACCTAATAATCGATACGAAGGATCCTTATCAACGATTGCAAGATATTAAAGAATTGAAATCTCATTCAGATTCACATTATCATATTAAATTACATGTGAAAATTTTGGAATGTTTTGTTGAGATTCTCGATCAAAAAAGAGATGATATTTCTGAATTGAGAAAATATTTGAATGATTTCAAGTTTAATAATTTCAAAGTTTTCAAAAGTTGGGCGGCGCAGTTTGATGATTTCAAATATTTGGAAATTATTGCCAAATTTATGATTATGGAAGACTATGAAATAAATAGGAATTTGAGCGATGTTGTAGATGTTGCAGCGATTTTCCTTGGAAAAATTAAATATTTCGATATGGATGCGATAAGATATTTTATGAATATTTTTGGATCATTGAAATCCAAAGTTTTGTATGCAGCTGCAGATCAATTTGTTGAGGATCAAATAGCGAATGATGATTGGAGTAGAGGAAGTGTTGAGGAATTTCATGAGTGTCTCGAAAAATGGTCGATATTTTTGGAAAGAGAACAATTTGTATTGTTGTTATTGATTAAAATAAGACTTCTATCGGAACCAAATTCGGATGTAAGAATACGATATGCATTGGTGAGGTGGCTGGAATTAAAAAAAATATTTTTAGCCCAAGATTTATATTCCAGACATTGGCTCAATGTGGTTATGATCAAAACAACAAAAATCAATCGGATCCTACTGAAAATGAACAAAATGCTGAAGTGTTCAAGGAAATCTATAAATATCTGGAATCGGAACTCAATTCACCATCCAGAAGTCGAATCAGTATTGAACTCGCTGTTCAGATATTCAAGAATTTTGTAAAAGTCGATCCTGATTCTTGGTTGGATATTGATCATGCTGGAGTGGCACAAGAATTGCAGAATTATAGTAAAGAACTCGACTTTGATGATATTCATGAACTATACTTTAATATTAATTTGTAGTGAGTTGAATTTCATCATTTTTCTCTTATTTTTTATTTTCCAGCCAAAAAATCGTGGATTTGTTCAAAACAAATCAAGTAAATTGTAACCAACCGTCATTCGGATCAGTGTATGAAATTGTGAGTAAAGAGAGAGTCGAAAATTTTAGAAGATCAAAAGAACGAAATTCATATTTCACTGAGATTTTCTAATTTTCAAAGTTTTTGACCTGGTCTAATATAAATTATTTATAATCCTGTGACACAAAACACCGATCAAAAACCAACTATAATTAGAGATTGTGAAAAGTTCATATTTGCGCAGAATCATCGACATATAAACTATTTTGCGAAACCACAAGAATTGGTGTAATAATATCCGGCCCAAAAAGTTTTGCCAAAACAAATCTTTAAAGTTTTTCCCTGTTAGTAATAATTCTTAAAAAGTGTTACTTACCGATAAGGTTTTATAAACCATATTGTGATTATTGGAGTTACTGCAGCTAGAACTAAAACAGTTGTTTCAACAGAATTTTCGAAAAATGCAGTTTGAGTGGTATTTGTGAAAGTGACAATAGTGTAAGGAATTGTGAAAAGAATGTGAAAAGCTGGAATGAAAGTCTGAATCAATAAGATTTTCATCAATGATTTTTGCAATTCCATTGTAGCCGGACTTAGATGTAGTGTTTTAAGGGTTTTAAGAATTTTGTGACGACAATAGAATAAATAAATCATAACAATAGTTGATTGAGATAAAGCGAAACCTTCAGTAAGAAAATCAGGAAAAGCGGAAAGATCCATGATTGCAAAATAATTCCACGTGGAATTGATAAGTTCTGGTCGAGCTTCTTCAAGTAATGCATTAATTGTTGAGATTGGAATAAGATGAAGATATGACATCAAAACAGTATAGATGAACATGCAAATTGTTGAGGTGATGCAAAATATTTGAACGGATATTTTTGAAATTGGATCGTATGATCTTGTTACTGCTCTTTTTCGATAGTAAAGGCAAAATATTATGATGAAGATTGAGAAAAGGAAACCATGAACTTCGATAGTGAAAACTAGAAATATTTGAATTCTAAATTTCCACGTCATAACTCACATGTAAAACATATTCGAGAATTGGTTTCTCTCTCAAAAGGAAAATATTTTCCCAAACCATGAAACATCAAAACCGCCGATTTTCCTGTTGCGAAATATCTGGCACTTGCTATAATTCCTGAAAACGCCGTGACCAAATCCCAACAAGATCCAGTTTGAAGCACAAATCTGATGATTGTAAATAAATTAAAATATTCAAAATTGAATTACTTACGAATACGTTCTCATATATTCCGGTGTCTTTTTTTGAATGACAAAAAGTAAGATGGAATTCATTACAACTCCGACAGTACCAAATGAATAATTCCAAGCCATCGAATAATAATCAGACCAATGTTCTAATTCCATTTATTCACCTATGCAGAATAATATTTTGTAATAAAAAAAACATATTTTTCCTATATATGCAGAAAAACGTCGAAAACCCCAAATATACAGTTTACTATTTTTGAGTAGAGACAATGTGAAATTGAGAGAGTGCAGACAGACAAATTGATTTTTCGCACAAAAATACAAAAAAACTGTCTGCACTCTCTCGATTCCACATTGTCTCTACTCAAAAATAGTAAACTGTATATTTTGTTTTTTCGACGTTTTTCTGCATAGGAAAAATATGTTTTTTATTACAAAATATTATTCTGCATAAGCCCATTATATTTTTCAGAAGAAAATGAGAAAATGTTAGAAATAAACAGTGATTTGTCATTTTTTTTTTAATTATAGCCTAAAAAGGGCATGCTAAACTGAAAAAGAAAATTGAATATTCACATCACTTTTCACACTACAAATGAAAAATCAAGCCGGAAGTTTAAAAATTCTGATTTTTTTATTTTCAAAATATTTGATAATCATAAATACAAAAACCCACATATTTTCCAACTATTTAACAAACAAAACAATCGATATTTATGAATTTTCTTCAGAGATATTTTTCAGCTCGTCTCTCATCCACAACTTCATATTTACTTCCAAATGATGGTTGCTCTCTAATAATTTTGTTCGGCATGAATAATTCGTTGATTTTGGCTCTGAAAAATCGAATTTTTTTGTTGAAAAATTGAGTTTCGATCGGGAAAAGAAGAAAAAAGTAGTTTTGACTTTTCCGAAAAAATCTAGAAATAACGAAAATTCGGAATTTCAAGCCTGGATTTTGTGAAAAGTGAACAGTTTTCAAAATCACTCACCGTAAATTATTGCAACCTGGATTATTATCAATCAGACAAGATGCAGCCCATTGTTTCAACAACATGTCCACGTTTTCAAAATCGACAAACATCCAAAAAGTGTCAAAATGGATTTCCACAAAATTATGGAAAATCTGAACAGCAACTTCGATACTTGTTATTTTCGGATTTGATCTATATATTTGATTATCAAGGTAGTTGAAAATTATGTCGACGATTCTTTGATTTCTTCGATTATCAGCAGGATTTAATTGATATCCAAAATCACGATTGAATCCACATTGAGCCAAAGTCTAGAAAAAATTTCTTTTGATTGTGAGAAAATTAGGAAATAATACTAACCAGCGCAAATCTTGGATTCGATTCTTTATCCAACAAAAGATCAATCCTCATCAACAAAACTTTGATAAAATTTTTGCGCTCGAAAAACTTCGCCAATTTATCCAATGTCCCAAAAAATTCCCACTTCCTCAACTTCTTCACAAACTCTTTTGTAGTCTTTTTTTCTAGAAATATTTCCGTAGCCGGCTCCAAAACTGTTGTTCTTATTGGCCCAAATATATTAGCAAGTGCGATAGCTTGACTTATATCCACTTGATTGATTTTTAATAGAAAATTCGCAGCAATTTTGATAATTTCCGCATTCGGTTTCATATTAGCCATAAATTTCGCGACGATATTCAAAGCATTGTAATTTGTCGAAGCGTTCACCCAATTTTTCAAAACTTCTTCATTACTGAAACTAGAAGCTTCCAACCATTGCAATCTTTCATCTAATTTTTCTTGATCTTTTGCCTCCAATAATTTTGTCAATAGTTTTGAATGAAGATCGATATTGAAATACGAATCAGAACCTGGACTAAATTTCATCATTTTCTTCATCAAACAATCAATATCTTTTTCATTTTCCATATATACTATCCATTTTTTAACTGAAAAAAAGCCATAATTTTCATAAAATAAATATTCAACTAACATCCAACTTCCTTATTTTGCCGTAGCAATCTCGAAACTCTTCCGTCTATTGGAAAATCATCAATTTCTGGAGTTTCATTAACTTTTTTCTCGAAAGACGCAAACAAATGTCTGAAAATACTCACTATAAAATTAACAGAAAAAAAGGCAACTCACGAAATTCTCAGAGTATTTAATTTTTTATAATTCATCAGTCTCAGGCGATAATCCTCGATATTTTCACGAGTCAATCCAAAAGTATCATCATCTATTGATTTCAAATCGACAAAACTGTTCACTAACTCTAGCACCAGCTCCAATTTTTCCAATTCTGACCATTTTTTATTCATTTCAAAATTCAACTTGTCCAATAATATTTTTCTTATATTTTCATCGTCTGATTGATAATAACCCGAATCTTCATGATTGTTTTTCAGCAATGTCTATAAATAAACAAAATTAGTTTTTTTAAATCAAAATTTAAATAAAAACTATTTACCAGAGCATATTTTACAGCAATCGTCACATCTTTATTGTTAATATGATCAATTCTCTTGATCATAAATTCAACCAATTTCTGATCACCAAATAAAATCGAATAATCGTTGACAATCTCAAAAACTGTGTCATTTTCGATATTTTCATCCATAAAAATAGGTGTCTTCGACTGCAAAAATTCATCTTTGAAAGCGTTTAAAATTTCAGATTGGATATGTTGTCCATTTTTTACTTGAGGAATATAATACGATTTATCGCTTCTTTCCATTTTTTCGAACAACTGCAAACAATTTTCTATTTAATTGCATATAATTTCAAAAAACTCACAAAAGTGAACATTCTGACAGCATTCTGAAGATTGTGATCAGCTCTCAAAGAAACATTAATAATCAAAAACAAGTCGGGTATGGGAACATTTACCCGTGGAAGATCTAATAATGAATTCAATAAGTCGAAACTTTGAAAATGTCCACATTCCGCCAAATATCGCACAAAATTTGAATTATCTCTCGAACTTTTCAAAACTGAATCAATGGTTCGCCATAACAGATGATTATAAGATTTGAGATCATTCACACTACTCAATAATTGTTCGATTTCTTGTTTATTCGATGGTGCTGGAGATTTTTGTATTCTCCGAAGGCGGGTACAAACTGTAAGAATTGGTTTATTTTTTGAAGAGAGAAAACTTCCCGGCCTTTAAAAAACGCAAAAAATAAATGACTTTAAAATGTGTGCAAACACCATGGCGCAACCGTGCACAGAATTTTTCTGGCGCCTTACCAAAATTTTTACATTTTCTTTTTTTTCTGGGGGACCCGGAAATCGGGTTTCGGGGCTCCATAAAAGTAAATTTATCAGATTAATAGGGATACGCCTGATAAAACGTTCTGCGCATGGTCCCCTGGTTAGTTGAAAAACTTACGTTGATCACTTGAAAATATCATTTTGCAACTATTTACAATGACAATATTAGAATTAATCGATAATGAGAAAACATCAACATAAATTAGCGTCGTAGATCAAAAATTTTATTTTGACAAATCGAAAACTTTGAAAAATTAATTTATTGTGCTGCTGATATTCATCGGATGCACTAGGCATGGTTGTAATCCTTGTTGTTTTCGGAAAAACGATCCAATGAATTTTCGATATGGTCCAATATAAATAAATGAAGAAATTGGATTGAGAATTGGGACAATAATTGCAAAACAAAACAACAAATCTGCAGGATATTCATTTGTTATCAAATCGAAAACTTGAACAATATAACACATTCCAGCAAAAACATAGAAAACTGGAATACACGCTTGAAATGTTAGAGCCTACAAATTATTACTGCTCAGGATTTTATTAAAAATTTAGAAAGGCAAAGTTATACCTGAATGAATTGTAAGTGTAACTTTTTTGAATCTGATGAGTTTAAAGAAACTTTGACTTTTTGTATTATAAGGTTTCGTAGAATGAAACAAGTGATAGTTAGAGGTGGTCCTAATCCGACTACAACAATAATTGTATACATGACATGGATCTCAAATATTGAACAAGTTGCTGAAAGAGTCAGTCCAGTTATATTGATTTCTGGATGTGATTTGGTCATTATCTTGAAAGCATCATGTTCGCTATCAGTGTTCAAAAAAATGTTGCTCAAAATAAGAGATGATGGAAGATAAACAAGAGTTATGAAAATCTGAATCTTTAATCTTGATAATTCTGGATGAATTAGAACGTAATAACGGTATAAGAATGAGCAAATTAGAATCCAAATAGTATGAGTGAACATGTGCACATCTAAAATATACAGTGAAAAGCAGAATCTACTCGAAATCCAATTACAAGGACCCATTGAAATATAAACAACTGAAATTCCACATGCAACGAGTCTTTGCATAACGAGTCCGTCAAGAATTGTAGCAAGAAGATCGGTGATTGCAAAATTCAAAATCATAACTGCATACTTTTTGATATTCGGAGGACTTTTCTTGAGAATTGTGAAAATGAGAAGTGTATTCAAAAATATTCCAATAATTATTGCAGAAAAATGATATAAAATCAACCACATTTTTTGGTATCGATGAAAAAGAATAAACCAAATAATTTTCGTGTCATTCCCCAAGGTTTAATTTTTTGTTCAAAACAATTAACGACTGTTCCGCGATCTGTTTGATATTTTTCTAATTATGGGATTTTATCCAAAAAATTTTTAATCTGAAATAGCACAATATAGAAATTGTACAGTTCAAATTTAATTAATTCAAAATGTTGGACTAAGTTTTAATAAAATTTTGAATTAATTCAAAAATTTGAAGTTAATAAGTCCCTGATGGGTATTCAGTTCAAGAATTGCAGTTAATCTTTAGTTCAAACACCCACATTCGTTGAACTTACAATTTTGGATTTAAAAAAAAATTTTTTAAATCACGAAGGGGAATTTGCCTAATTGATTACAGTAGTAAAGAAATAATAGTAAAGAAATAATAAAAAAAATGGACAAGTTCTAAGAATATTGTTCTAATTGAAAGATCATATTTGAAGTTGAAAAAAAAATTGTCACTCTAAATGATTTTTCAGCATTTATTTTCATAAAAAATCTGAAATCGCTGTTTCAACCTGAAAAACACACTCTAGAAATTAAGATGAAACATTTCGGGAGATATGCAGCCCGATTTGTGTTATTTCTTGTTCAAATCATTCTGAATTCGGGGAAAAGACTGTAAGAAAAAATTTTTTACGTAAGAAAAAAATATTTCTTTTAAAAAGTTACGCCTGGGAATACAAATTGTGAAGCTTAATTAGACATATATTATTTAAAAAAAATAATTTCAAAACAAACTGGAAATCGCGTGCATAAAACTATGAAAAAAATCTACCTATGAAATATTTCATAATTTGTTTTTCAATAAAATCTGGAAGCTGATTCTATACCATCAAGTGTAATTCAAAGCTTCATCTAATCATTTAAATTATTAACAACTTTCTTTAACATCAATAGTAATTATGAATTAAAAACTCTACCCAATATTTTTCAATGGAGCTCTAGTCTCACCTATTAGTTTTGTCCCCCCCCCCCAAACCTCAAAGTAAACTAACTTGACTGGTCCGTTCCGTGAAAAGTTGTTGATATCTTTGAATATTCTGTCCATACGAAACATCTTCTCGTTCGGAAGCCTGAAACTTCTACATTTGTTTTCTCAAAATTTTGGTCTATTCTTAAACTTACATCAGAAAATGGCAATTGTGGATTTTATGGGATAACTGCATTCTGTGACTGTTGTCTCTGAAAAAATAAGAAAATTAAAAAATGTACCAAATCACACAAAACCAGAAAAATGATTCAGTTCAAAAAAAAACATTCAATCAATAATTTCCTTTCAAAAAAAAAACATATATATCTCTCTCTCTCACCCTCTCTCTATTTCCCACACTCTCTCATCTACCCTGCAAAACAAACAACAAAATAAACACGCTAAACAACGCGCAAGCGGAGTATCGTTGTTTTTCTTTTTTTTGCACGACATTTTTATTTTTTGTTTTTTTTTCTGGTTTTTGAGTGGTTTTTTTCAGCGCAGAAAATGTTATTAATGGGGTGATTTGGTACATTTTTTAATTTTTTTAGAGACAACCGTCACATAATGCAACGGTCCCATAAAATCTACGATTGTCATTTTCTGATGTAAGTTTAAGAAGAGGCGAAAATATTGACAAAACGAATGTAGAAGTTTCAGGTTTTCGAAAAAAAAGATGTTTCGTTTGAACTGGACATTCAAAGAAATCAACAACATTTCACGGAAAGGACCAGTCAAGTTAGTTTATTTTGAGGTTTGGGGGGGGAACAAAACTAACAGGTAAGAGTAGAGCTTCATTGAAAAATATTGGGTAGAATTTTTAATTGATAATTACTATTGATGTTAAAGGAAAGTTGTTTATAAATTACTATACAGTTGACTAAAAATGACGTGACACATGCACATCAAACTGATTGGCAAACAGCCAGCTTGTAAATTCATTTTTCAAAAAGACTCCAAAATTTCGCGAAGTCTACTGTAGTCTTGGTTTTCTAGGCCGTTTCGGTTCTCTTCCAAGGTTCTTATTTTTTCGGATTGATAATAGGAATTAATTAAACTTGTTTCAAAAAATGGAAAATGGGGATGACGTCAATTTTTTATTTCATTTTCAAACGTGGTCATAATTTTTCAAAACTTTATTTCACAATCGAATCATTTCGAAACCATACTTGTTCGCTTATCCCAAACCTTGGTAGCTCTTCCAATTCTCATTCGAACATCTCTATTCAAAAATAATAACACAATTGGATTGATATAACCAAAGTTCACTGCAATAATCGCATAAAATCTGCGATGAAATCTACGGGCCTCCGAATATGAAGATTGTCCAGACGCGATAAATTCATTAAAATAATATAGAAACGTTAATGAAGATATAAGAACTAGAAGGAAAATATGAATAAGTAATCGAGTTTCTTGACTACTATTATTCTTGTTTTGTTGAAGCCTGAAGTTTTTCAATTCACCTAATGATACAAGTTGCGATAACTCACCCTGAAACTTTTTTCGCTTTTATAATAGCTCGTATAACTTGAATATACATCAATAGATTAATAATTCCGAAAAATACAAAAACAAAGATCACAATCGCAGAGAAGAATTGCACATGAAATGCAGAATTGACAAGAAAGAGTTCTGTAGAATTTGAAAAATATGGAGGTGTTGGAAAAATCGTGAAAAATGATGGAGAAAATATTAGAATTGAGCCTAGCCAATGTATTAAAATTAATTGAAAATTAGATAATCTGCTGAAAATCTGCAAAAATCCATTCCACGTGGAAATTTTTGATAACTTAAATAAGTACCTGATAAAATCTCCCATGACTTCTACAAACAGCCAAATATCTTTGAAGAGTTATAAGAAAAACTCCGAAATACCGAATGACAAAGAAAAATGGACCGCTGTCAGAATGAAAGATTGCAGAGCCATACATTTGTGCGGCAAATATAAATTCATTTCCAAATTGAAAATACCTGGCGAAAAATAATTGAAGCACAAATAATGAGGTCAAAATATCAGCAATTCCCTGAATAAAACACTAGTTTTCAGATAAATTTTCAATGAAAATTACCTGTGAGACGACTAGCACATAATATTGACTTTGAAAATGAGTTTTGCTGAATTGACAAATTGAAATGTCAACAAGTAAAATGATATAAATTGGTAGAATAATAACTGTTTCAATGAACATAACATCCATTTGCCAGAAAGGAGTTATCATTTTTTTTTGGAATTGGAAATAAAATATGTTTTGCAATAAAAAGACGGAAATCAAAGTTGAGCAAGTATTACTACTCCGAAGAGGAAATAAGTATAATAGACTTTGATTAGGTTATTCCAAGTTTGCATGTTTTTTTCTATTTATGTATGTGATAAATCAGGGGGTTCAGCAACTACGAAATCAAACTGTATTATGCAAATGTTTAGTGGAAAAGCGTAGGAGATGATTTTGCTACGTATGATTTTTGAACTTGTATTTTATAGGAACTGCACGTTTTATTTGATTAAAATAGAATCCAAGAGAGATATTTATGACGTCATACAGAATTTCTTGTCTGGAACATTAAAGTTTTTCAACAAATGAAAAAAAATGTATTTATAGAATAACTTTTCATTTAAAAAATTGTTAGAAATATCCAGTTTGCTGTTTTCGTGAAAAAATCTGAACAGGGGTAGTGACTACACTTATCAATGTTCCTCGATAATTCTGAATGATTAGCATTACTGGAAGGGGGTCAATAGCAGGAAATAAAGCAAATGTTACTGCACAGACTGTAACGCAGTTTTTTGAATCTATATTGAACATTGTCGTAATCAAAACGCCCATACATGGGAAATGAACAAGAATAACAGGGATTAGAGTTTGAGTTATCAGTGCGTAAAAAGCTTGAGATTGAAGACGATTCTTTTGTGTTGAAATGTTCAGAGTGTTCCGAAGTCTTATATAAGTTTTAGAAGCTAGACAAACTATGCATATGAATGAGATTAATACTATAAGAAACATACTGGCCAATATAACTGTAACAAGTTGTATACCTTGGGGGTGATAAAACGATGCTCCAAGGTATACAATGTTTATCAGCTTCAAATCCATATCTATCAATAGCCAGCTTTCTATTGTTATGTCAATTTCTTGATTAGGTTTCATCAATAAAAATGCAGATAATGTCCAGAGAACTCCGAAAAACAATGGTATCAGAATCCAGATGAACAAACGAGCATCTTTGAAGGTTTTGATGTATTTAGATCTGTAAAGAGTATGCAATGATAAAAAAGGATAAGTTTTCTTACCCTGTCACTTGCAAAAACCTGTATAAAAATTGAACACCGAACAAAAATAAAAAGCTACCACAACATCCGCACCATAAGCAATCCAGAACAAACATAACATTCTTTGAGAACAAGGCATCAGTCATTGAGATAACAACAACAAAAATAGTTCCTTTCGTGTAGACAATCGGTGAAATAATAAAGTCTATAATAGAATAGAAGATTTCAAATACACTCATATTAATCATTAAATATTTGTATGTTCCGAGCTGCTTTGGTGACTTTCTCATAATGAGCAATATCAATATAGCATTTAGAATGAAAGATGTGTAAGCACAAAATTCTTGCAATTTTGCAAAAGAAATCGTTTTCATGGTATGAAAAATTCAGAGAAAATTTGAATAAAATCCTAGACAGCAGGAAATTAGACTTTCTAATAATAATTCGACTGTGAAATAAAACGTATCATAATCTCTATTTTCTAGATGAAACTTTGGAAAAAATGAAAATTTCAAATGTTCCTGATAGTATTAATTTTAAAAATTGTAACCGGAGTGATGACTACTCTCATCAATGCTCCTCGATAATTTTGTATAATCAGCATAACTGGAAGAGGGTCAATCGCTGGAAATAAGGCGAATGTAATTGCACATATACTGATACTATTTTTTAAATCAATATCCAAAAGAGCAGCAATCATAAGTAACTACCATACAAGGAAAATGCATTAAAATAACTGGAATAAGTGTTTGTGAAACCAGTGCATAAAATGCTTGTGCTTGTAGATTATTCAATTTATATGAACTTGAAGAGCAAATGCTCATAACTTGTTTTAAATTGATAAAAGTTCGAATGGCAAAATATGTGATACAACCCAACGATGAGCACAAGACTACTAATATAAAAATTGACATGATTAATGTGTTCAGAATGAGAATTTTCTTGTTGGGATCATATAGTACCTCCAAAGTAGATCAAATCATCTAACCGGATATCGATTTGAGATAGTAATATATTTCTTATCAAATTATCTGTGAGCAATGTTGGTTTGATTAATATAAAAACAAGGTTTGCCCAAAATATTCCCAATAGAATTGGAGCAAATATCCAAATAATAATATATTTCTTTTCAAAAAATTTCAGTTTATTTGACCTTGAAATAAGTTTATCTAATTCAAATTTCAAAAATACGAACATACCCTGTTACAACCAAAAATCGATAAATGAATTGAATTCCAAAAATAATCATAAAAGATCCGAAGAAACCACACCACGCACAATCCAATGAAGTCAACATATTTCTAGATAAAAATGAACTTTTTGTTGAAACAATTATCGCAAATGTTGAGCCATGGGTGAAAGAGATTGGTGAGATAAGAAAATCTAGAATCGAATACGCGATTTCTAACAAACTCATGTTGATCATCAAATATCGATAGGATCCAAGTTGATGTGGAGATTTTTTGATGATTAGCAAAATGAGAATCAAGTTTAGAAAGAAGGATGTGCATGCACAGAATGATTGAATTGTTAAGAAAAACCTGGTGTTTAGCATTTTTATCGAATTCTAATTATCATATTCGAGGCAGCTTTGAGAACATATTTCTTCGGGGATTCTCAAGTACACATGTCATCAGATCCTAACAGCTAAAGGATCAAACATCAACTGACAAGGAAGAACTTTTCATGGTGTTTTTCCGAAATTTTTTGGAAAAAAAAAGCTTGCCTCGGGGCGTGATCGAACCCATGACCTAGAAAAAGAAAGCGAGCGTGTTAACCACTTGGCCATACGCGCCTTTTTTTCTATCCCTCAAATGTTAGATATATGAAACGAGGTGCATTTTCGATGACGCGATTAATATTCCGTGAGTCCAAAAACTTCTTTTTTTCTTCTATTTCCTGATATTGTTTTTGACTTCCATATAACTTTTGTATCATTCCAACAAATAACATTTGTATTTATCAAAAAATCTCGGTATATAAAAAAGATGAACCATTCCAAAAAACACATAATAACAAAAATGGATATGATAATGGAGTACGGTAGCATTGAAGATATTCCAATTTATAATTGCACTGGAGTATCAACTTTCGGCAAAAAGCGAGTTACAATTGGGATTGTAAGTATGACTTATGGCACAATTATGTGCATATTATTCTTGCCATGTCTACGAACTATGTTGCTACCCGATCTTTTCAAATTATCCTGCTATAAAATAATGTTTTATGTGGGAGTTGTTGATGTTTTGGCTCTTATAATGAATTCAATATTCACGGGATGGTTAGCTTATCATGGAGCGGTTTATTGTACATATCCAGAATGGATTTATTTGTTTGGATCCGCTGGTTTGAGTCTTTGGTGTTGCTCGTGTCTCGCAAATATTCTACTTCTTATAAATCGAATTCTTCATTTCAAAAATCAACAACTCGCTGAAAAAGTATTTGGTGGACAGCGAACTTTTGTTCTCCTTCTGGCTCCCACATTTTATGGATTGTATTTCCTATTTTTCACCAAACCAGTTCTCTTCACATCTGTTTACTATGCCTGGTTTTTTGATCCATTCATTTTCCAAAATCGTGCAAATGATTACATCAATCTTCTTCATAGCTTCAATAACATTGCCATAGTTATTCTAACTTGCATTTTGTACATGTATGTTGGTTGTATGGTAATTGGAGAATGGAAGAAAACTGGAACAACAGTCAAGAAAAGTAACAATATTTTGCATCAAGCTTTGGTGATTTGCGCGTTGGATCAATTTTCGTCAACAGTTTATGTGGCTATGAATATCATTGAGATGCCTGAATGGACAATTGTTGTTGCACAATATTTCTGGCAATCTGCACATGGATTTCCGGTTATCACATATTTGACAATGAATCCTACCATTAGATCTAGATTTTTCACCATTTTTTTGACAAGACATTAATTTTCTTAATTTTGTATTATTCATAATGAAGTATATTTTGTGACTTTTCAGTTTGGATAATGTTTTTGAAGTTAAAAAAAACTAAAAATGAACTTTACTCAACACTTGTTAGTATTGAAACTCTGTCCATAGAGAGATTTTGGGGTCATAAGAACATCGTAAGAATATTAGTTACTCAATGAACCTCTGAGCCAAGTTCTGGGCTCTCAAAAGTGCAAAAATTGCCAAATTATTTTTCAAAAACCCATTTCGCAATTCTTCCGATCAAATATCAGATCAAAATCGTTCTATAATTTTCAAAAATCAGATTTTCTCCGATAATTTTCGAGATTATCCCATCTCAACCCCGTCATCAAATCATTTTCAATCAACAAAGAAAAAACAAAAACAAAAACATTTCAAAAATTTTTATCGTATGATTTTCAAAAAAAGTTGTTCTCCAAGCTCGAAAAATGCGTCATCCGAATCGCAATGGTCGTGGTTTTTCGTGTCTGCAAAAACATGTTGCGATTTTTGAAAAAAATCTTGAATTATTCATTCAAATAATTTTTGATGAAGAAAATGATGAACTTTCAAAGTTTTAGCACCAAAAAACTAATAAATATTTCGTATTACGAATATTTATTTCTTTATTTATATTTTATTTCATTTCAAAATATGAAAAATTTATTTTTCAAGGTCTTCAAGTACACTTTTCTCTCTCGATCGAGCAAAAAATAATAACATTTCAAAAAGATTTCTAATGCTAAAGATAATTGTTATTTACTTCAAGTTTTTCGATTTTCTGATTTTTTAGCAGAGGAACAAAAATGACGAATTTCTTGAAAAAGTATCAAATATCTGTGGCGGAATAAAAAATGTGTTGTTTTTTTGTTTTGGAAAAAAACTATACTGAAAATGAAATGAAAATTAATTAATAAGAAGAATGATAGTTTTGGTCCAAAACAAGTCATAAAAAGTTCGAAAAGTCATCAAAAAATGTTTTTCTCGAGAAAATTAGTAAAGAAAATAACTGTAGGATGGTAAAACTCAAAATTTTATTTCCTAAAAATCTGGATCTGTGATAATCGGTGAACTCATCAGGTCAAAGTTTTTTAAGAAGATTTTCTGAATCTCACTTTGAGCTTTCAAATTAATTTTTTGTGATCTAGAGAAAAACTCCCGTATATTTTGGGTCACTGTGGAGTTTTTGAATACCCTGATTTTAAATTATTGTGGAATTCCACTTAAGAATTGTTATTCAACAGAGTAACTTCATTTCAACATCTACAGTAACTTCTAAACTCATTCAGAACCTTTAAAACCCTCCAAAAATCATCCCAAACTCACATCGCTCCATCGACATAACCTCCACTTCTTGAATTTCGTCTATACATCGGATAACTCTGTCTCGCTTCCACCAAATACACGTCACCATCACTTACTCCACTCCCAAAGTTCCAAACTGCAAATTCACAACCAAAAATTTGAGAATCTAGTTAAACCAACTTACAACTTCTCGCATTCACACCCAACACCAAAACCAGCAAAATTACAGAAATCACATTTCGCATCGAGAATGGCTGCATTTCCCTTCTGAAAATCGCGAAGAAATTTTCAAAAAAAAAAATTTTTGGGATGTATTTATATTTTTAAGTATACTATTTTCTTCATTTCTTATGATACATAGTGGCCACGGAAAATTGTGGGCGTGGCTGGGGCGGAGTTTTATTTTCAAGATGGCGAGCATATGCCCAGCAAAAAAAAATAGGCTGGTTTGAAATTATCTGCGGAGGAGGAGGAGGAGAAACAAAGAATTTTTAATTTGGATTTTTTTGATGAAACAATGACATTTTTCGGGGTGGACCAGAAATAAATGGAAAAAAAAACACGTCATTGAGGTGGAGGTGTTCGAAACTAAGTTTGATGGTTAGAGTTTTGCCACGTGGCCAAATTATTTTTTGCTCAGACTCCACTTTAATCCCATGGATCTTGAAGCTTCATGAAAACAGGAACCCGGTGAAAAAAGTTTTAGGAAAATTATCTCCACGTGGCACAATTTTTCTGAAAAAGATTGAAATTTCTAGACTATTTTCAATTTTGAATATTTGAGAAAATGAAATTTCTACGTGGATTTAGGAATCAAAAACAGTGAAAACATGTTTTCAAAAATCCACGTGGCATTTCAGACTTTGTTGATTTGTTCCAATTTTTAAAGTTTGGCATCATCAAAACAATCGTCAGCATCAGAAATAGATCATTCTCATCTCCAAAAAATCCCCCGTCTCCATGAATTTTTCATAATTAATTTTATTTTTGAATCATCCGGAAAGCGCACTAATTTTTATTTGAACTAATATTCTCGTAAGAAAAAAATTCGAAAGCCACGTGGCCACGTCGTGCCACCACACAAATCCGAGGAGACGCAGAGTAAAAAAGACACCGTACTCCTCCCCGGTCCCCTAGATGCATCGCTGCGAGACCAATTGCCGAAACCGTACTCGCCCCGGTTCCTCAAGTGAATCGCTGCGAGACCAAGCTTCGAACCGTACTCTCCCCGGTCCCCCAGGTGCATCGCTGCGAGACCACACAAAATCTCTGCGTCTCCACGAAATTATCGAAATTATATTCAAAAAATCGAAAGAGCCGCAAACATGATTAAAAATTCCGAAAGTTTGAAATTTCATCCTGACTTTTGAAAAATTGGGGGTGTTTTGAGTAGAAAAATCTAGAAAAAAAATAGTGTTATTCTCTCATTGAGAAAAATACGAGAACAATGCAAAATTGACGTATTTCATTCATTTCAGATTCAGACAATTGAAGTCTGAAAAATATACTATTTTTAGGAGAGATCCCCCCGAATTGTTTTCTATAGGAAAAGTACTATTTTGAAAACTAAGAAAAAACCGGAAAGGAAGTGCAAACTCTGAAATCATGGATTTTTCTGAAATTCGAATTCAAAAATAAATTTTCAGGGAGACCATGAAAATAAATTGATGAAGCATCACAGACGAATTGGGTCACGCAAACAATGGTCCATTTTTTATATTTTGCAAAAAAAATTATTTTTTGGTCAAGAAAAGTATAATAATTCATTCACATGACGTTTTTTTGTGTTGGGAAACTAAAAATCTCACCAAACATATTTGTATTTTTTCAGAAAAAAATCCAAACAAAAAATAAAAATGGGGGCTCAATAAAATGCGGTTATTCTGTTTGTTTTCACACAAATCGAAATGCGAACAGATTTCATTTCGACAGAGAAAAAAATTGAAAAATGTGTTCGAAAAAAGTCGAGAAATTCACAGGAATATAAAATGACTTCCTGGTTGAATTGCAACATTTTCGAGATTTTTTGGGGGATCTTTGTGTTTAGGAATACTGTAGATTTGTGGATTTGACACGTGGCATATTATTGTTAAATTAGGTTACTGTAGATTAAAAATTGTTTCACTTCAATTTGGGAAATATAAGATTACTGTAAAAAAAATTTTAACGAAGCTTTTCGCCACGTGGCATTTTTCGGAAGATTTTAATGGCTTTTAACATTGGTAAAGGTTTCAACTTCAAATTCCACGTGGAAAAGTAATTTCTAGAAAAATAACGAATTTCTGAAAAGGCACGCTACCATTTTCGAAAATTCTTGAATGTCTACGTGAATCCTAACTTTTCAAAAATTATGGTTACAAAAACTACACGCTGTAAATTTTCCTGAACTTTTTTGCCACGTGGCACCAAATCTCAACTATGGAAAACAATTGTATAATCTTTATCAAAATGAAAATTATTACAAAATGATGACTTTTTTCGTCTTTGGCTCGGGGTGAAAAAAAGCGAATAAAAGACAAATGATTGAAAATCTGCAGCTTTGATTGTTAGTTGGTGGTTGAACGTCGATAGAGAGGAGATAAGCACACACACACAAAATAAAATGAATATTTTTGAGTTCGAAAATTAATGATTATTATTTTCTTCCAAAGCGAAGAGGACGCGGGCCAAGACCACGTTTGGCAGATCTGCAGAAAAAATATTTGAATGAGTGATATTTTTAAGGGAAGCTAGAACCCTGTGCTTTTTTCAGTTATCCAATTTCCAATCTTAAAATGCTCACAATTCAGAATTTTTTTCTGATTTTTTCAATAGGTTTTACCCAAAACCTACCCATGATCCATCAAATAAATGTAGTTTTCATCAGGTCCATATTTTTGAAGATAGTTGTTCACTGCAAAAATTCAGATAAATATCGTGCTCAGAACTTCGGCTAACTTACACAATCTGAACGCATCCTCTTCGCGATCAATAACAGACGGAGCTGCGAGAACCCACGCGAGAATGCAAGCGAACAAAATCACCAAGAAACGCATCTGCAACAAACACTATGTGCCTTTAAAGATTGGATGATGATGATGTGGAAGAAGCGTCGACGAAAAATTAGAAATGCAAATCAAAAAGAGATTAGAATTCTTTTTCTTCTTGGGGTACAAAAAATATATGTATGTGATGAAGAAAAAAAAGGAATCTTGGGGTTACGGAAGTGGTGGGTGTGAATATATTAGGTGTATTCAGGATGTGTTCTTTTTTCTTGTTATTCCAGAAAAAAAGTATAGAAAAGTGAGTGTATAGGATCAGAATTTTTGAGTGTGTCAAACGAGTTTGTGAATAATTCAGTAGGTCAGGTTTTTACTTGCATGATAGCTACAAGATCTTGGCGTGAAACTTATATGAAACAGGATTTATGAGGGGTGGGTTATTAACTTTGAAAAGACTCTTAACTTAAAATACGTAAATTGATTAACGAAATCAAAATTTGAAGGTCTACCAAAAGTCCCAATGGCCCAGAAAATTCCAAAATGTAGCCTTAACCTCAACTTTAAGAGGCAGGTGTTTTGAAGTTTAATTCTATCATATGAAAATTAAAAAAAAAACATTTACGACTAAATTAGCGCAGAAAAGTGTCTAGTTTCTAAAATGCCAACTTTTGATGCTCGAAAATAATTTATGAAACGAAACTCTAACCAACTTCCATAAAAATGACTAATTTATATACACATTTTTGCTCAGTTTTGCCTGCTCATTTCAATCCCAAAGAAAACTCGATCTTCACCGGCTCCTCCCCCAATTTTTATGCAACTAGGCGAGTTGGTGAAAAACAAAGTGCGTCAGACCTCATCGAGGGCGGTTAAACTTGAATACTGGAAACTCTCATCAATCATACTCACCATTCCAAAAAAAAATGTGAGGCGAAATATGGAATGAAAATAATATAAACTGAAATCGAAAATGAAAATGAAAACTCTTTTTGGGGTAAAAGAAAGTGGGCGTGGCCTCGTTTACCGTATTTTATTTATGTTTTGCTTTTCTTTTTCTTATTATTCTTGAAAGAAGAAGAAAAACAAAATACATAAATTGAAAGAAATTTCGAAAACAATCAAAAAAAGCGTTGAAATATTTATAAACATTGTTTTTTTACTTCATTTTTGGTTAGATGAATTATTCGCAATGTTTTTTACCTGGATTTATTCGGGTTCTCTAACCTATCTGGTTTCTCTGATCCCACCAAATTGGTGAGAAAAGCTGAATTAAAAAAATAAAAATAAATAAATTCAAATGTGCGCCAAAAACATGTTGTTCGGTGGAGCGCACGTGCTCGCATCGCGTCATTTTTATTTTTTTATTTTTTGAGTTTTTTTTCTGCGCAGGTTGTGAAAGAAAATCGTATTTTCAGAGAAACGCAATGGTCAGGAAGAACTTCAGGATTTGCGAAACACTTCCAAACGGTGAGCTTATATTTAAAATTTAGGCGAAACTCAAAAACTTCGCTGAAAACCCAGATTTTCTAGCTGACAATGAGAACGCGGCGCTAATCTAGAAACCTTCTCAGAATTTCTTCGCCTTCATAATGAAATTCAAATTTTCGATGAAAAAGGTGCTCGCGTGCGAGTGTTTTTCCTCCAAAAAATCTTCAAGGAAGTAAAAAAAAATCTAGGAGAACCTCATAAAATCGCAAGTTGATGACGAACTTCCGAATTTCTATGACAACAATCATCGTCAAAATAATGAGTATATACAAAAATAATTGATCTCAAAAATATTACCGCCAAGCATAAAAAGTGCAATGAATGCAAATTATGTATTCTTTTTTTTTCTCTTCTATGAAGATCAAGCCTAATTTACATAGAATTTTCTAAGAATGAGCTGAAATAAAAATCTAACCAAACTTTTGAGAATGGAAATGCGCGTGGAGTGGGGGAAATTGAGTTAGTATAAGTGTAATGATGTGATTTGTGTACTTGATCTTTTTTCCCGCATACATCATTCAAAAACCGAAGTTTTAAAACCCTTGAGAGCTATAAAACATTTGATTTGAACTTTGTCTATCTCATCTATTTAATTCAACGATTTTTGAACTGGTGGTCGAATTAGTCGAAAATAAAACTAACTAAAAAATAGCTATACCAAAACAAAACAAAGTCATAAATAACATGAGAAACAAGAAAGTTTTAATCAAAAATTGTTGGATCAAAAACACAATTTTCCGGAAATTTTTCTTTGAAAATGAATTATGTCACCGTAAAACTAATAATTAATTAATCTGGGAATATTTACCGGAATAGATAAATCAGAAGAAAATTCGCAAGTGAATGACGAACTAATATTAGTCACTTATTTATTCAGTTATATGAATGTAGAAGCTGAACCTAAACATATTACTTGATCAAAACATAATTCAATTTTGAAAGTTGACGTATAGAATTTTTTAGAAGAATGAAAGCGAATTGAAAAATGATCCTGGTGGAAATCCGGCCTTTGAGTGTTTTTCAGATCCGTAGCCCGTAACAGAATATAACCACAAATTGTAAGATCAAGCTAGAATTTTCCCAAGAAAATCACGAGTTTGTCGAAAATTCACCTCGTCATATTTACTTATTGTTGTAATCTATAATTTAGGAATAAATTTAAGTTTATAGTGTGTCATTTGAATTTTCGATTACATTAGAGAACTTCAAGAGAAAATATGAAAGTGAGAATGAAATTTGAATAGTTTCACGCTTGGAAAACAAGAGTTCACGTTTTGGAAATTGTTCTCTTCCACGTATACGTTCTTTGACATTTTCAAATCAGCACAAACATTTTCAAACTCATCAAAAGTTCATAAAAACAAATTATTTCTAAATATCGTAAATTTTAAATTAATAGACACGTCAAGTTCCAAACAATCAAATCTCACAAACCAATTACATCGGAATTAATAACATGTCTAACTTATTGAATTACACACTTTATTTTTATTCTCGTGCCGTTTTGTTTCATGTTTCGAAGCTTTATATTATATTCGCAAATTGAAAACTGTTTTGAATATCAATTTGACATCGCCGCCTCAATTATCACAATTTCTGCAACAGTTTTAGGAATTTACACTTTTTTATTGATTATTTTCAAAACTGCCGCAAGAACACAGCGCGTCAAAAAGTTTCTGCTCATTCTTCAAAGTTGTATAATTTCTATGGATTTTCATAATTTTTTGATAAAACCTATGATGTTTATACCTTCAACTGCTGTTGGATTCATGGGATGGTTAGAAGAGTGGAAAGTGAATTATAAAATTCAATCATATTTGATACAAGTTCATTTTGTATGTAAGTGAAATTAAAAACATGATTTGATTTTGTCAGCGGATTTGAAGTTTTCAGTGTTATCCAATTGTATTTTGATGTTATTCGAAGATCGATACGATGTTCTTGTTGCTCAAAATTCTTCAAAACGAAAACGAGTGATTTATCACTTGATAAACCTTATTTTTGGATGTTGCATTATTCTGCCAATTTATTTTGAGAAAATTGACAATGATAAAGAACGGATGATGATTTCGGCGAAGTATCCTGAAATGCCTCCAAGATTTTTCGAAAAACAAACACATGTTGTTACAACTCAAACTAATCTTGCGATTATTTTAGTTTTCATCGAAACCATTCTTATGACTTCTCAACTTTTATATTTTCCAATTCATACAATTTTCTACCTCACTAAAAAGTCAAGTCAATTATCTGAACATACTCGAGAAATGCAATTACGATTTGTTATATCACTTATATTACAAGTTTGCATTCCAGTAACTGTTTTGGCATTACCAATTATGTTCAATATTGTCGTTATATATTTAGGAATTCATAATCAAATAATGAATAATACAACACTTCTTATTATGTCTACTCATGGATTTTTTGCTTCATTGTGTGTTATTTATAATCACGAACCTTATCGGAAGTTTACAATTAGATTGTTTTTATGTTTAACGAATAGGATAGAAATCGAGAAACCGAAATCGACTATTATAAGGTTCTAAATATTTTTGAAAACTTTAAATCCAATAAAAAATTTTCATTGCGAACAAACTCGTCATCGAAATGAAATTCTTGATGCCTGATTTTCAACAATAACAATAGTGCTGACAGATGATAAATTCTTCTCAATCTTTGACTTTTTTCTGAGCACTAAACCAAATGTGAAATCTCGATATGGTTTGTGTAAAAATATAAGTGAAATATTGGATAATAAACCATGAAAAGATATTGTTAGCATAATCACATTGTTCATAATTTGGCTGTATGTTGATAAAAATAACATCATTCCAAAAATCGATATCGGTATAAAGATTGCAGTAAATGGAATTGCAACTTGAATTGATACATTATACAGAAATGTTAGTTGAAGCTTTTTTGTTCTTTGTGACAGATTTCTTGATGGAACTTTCAAAAGATGATAAGCTCCAACGATTGCAAAATATGATCCATGTGCCACGACATGAAACGTTGCAACTGACATACAAAAAACAGCCGCAAATATATCGGTTGTTATAACTAAAGTTCGGTCATCGAAATATTCAATTGGCGGACATGGATAAATTTGAAGAAAATATTGTTTTGCAGTTTTTGTTGGTGTTTCATCAAAAAAATATAGCATCATAGTGATTATTCCAAATAAATACATATAAGTATAGTAAATCAGTAAAGTTAGTTTTTTATTCATTTTATATTTGATAGTTGCAATTATACTATGACGTGTTTGGAATAATCGAACCATTGACATTGCCATTACTGCAAAAATTATCTGGAGTTTTTGAAAATTTTATCATCTGAATATATAACTTACAGTACAGAGATAGCTGGCCAAAATAACAAAGCGGTTTGAATGGCAGATTCAAATATTCATAAAGAATTCCACATAGTGTAACAGCAGAAGTTGGTAGATAAATATAAGGAGTCACCAAAAAATCCACAATAATATCTAATAAAAATGTGCAAAAATGAAGATGTAGAAGAACGGTTTTGGTATTTTTCATCTTTTGAGGAGTTACCCGAAGTATTAGAAATGCTCCATAAAACGAGGTAGAAAATGTGAAAATCGAGATGATATGTAAACTATTTATTAGAAATTCTTTCGATTCCAAATATCTAGTTTGAGAACAAAAATTTGTGTTGTTGGTTGGTACCAACATTTTTTGCCATTTAGAATGAAAAATTCTGGTTACAATCTATAATTTTCTGTTATTCAATTGTAGACATTCAAATCAGTAATCAGATTTTTATTCCAAGAGAAAGCAAAGAAAACGAGTGGGATACTGACAGGTGAAAATCATTTTAACACTTCAACAGCAACAATGTGAGCCATACATCAGTATCCCCGGATTTTCGTCCGGAGGGGGTCTGGCTAACTTTGGAAAAAAGGCGTGGGGACCGGCTAACTTTTTGAAAAAATAACAATTTATCCCCCAAAAACCAAGTTTTTTCACTTTTTTGAGCGGGTCTGGCTAATTTTTGAATTTTCACATTACGGGGGTGGCTAATTTTGAGGCCCTGACCGGGAGAAACTGATGTATGATGTGAGCCAAACGAATTCCAGGTATTGTAATAAAATTTCAGAAAACATTTGAACTTGTTTTGAAGTTTGGAAAGCTTCGAGCTGATCTACAGTATTCAAAAACTATTTGTTTATGGCAGAAAAAAATCTTCTGGTTACAATAAATATGCATGAGCTAAACACATTCTGACAAAATGATAGCAAAAATATTGGAATTATAAACTGTGAAGAATTTAAAACTACTGTTGAGAACCTCAAAAATTGCATCTTCCTTTTCCAACTTACAGCATTTCATTTTTTGTTTTCCTTCTTTTCATATTGTTGTTGTAGTCCCATGGTCCCTCTTTTCAAAAAAAAAATGCGGCACTCTTTCAATATATTCCTCATTATTTACCCATATTTCTCTTGATGCACCTGCCAATTGCATATTTTCAATTTGTTTAGTCATAAGCCCATCTCTGACTCTGAAAAGAGTAGAAAAAATAGAACACCATGAAGAAATTGTTCGATAGTCGGGAACCAACAAAAACATAGATAAGATCTTGAAAACTATGTTAGGTAGGTAGGTTTGTTTTCTAAAACGCGTCGAAAACCATTCAGATTCAAAAATCAGATATAAATATTTTTGTTTGTGATTTTTATCAATATATTATCATTTGTGTAACCAAGATCTTTGTTCTCAAAAAAATCTGAAATAAAATTTGTGACTGATTCAAAATTCAATATTTTTCACAAAATTCCTGAAAAACAAATCCGCTTAGACAAAGAGGCTTGTGCATTATGTGACCAACTTGATTTCGATGATCATTATTGTGATATTTTTATGCTCACATATAATTAATAAAGCAAAACATCAGGTACATTTTTAGAGATCGAAGAATTGAAAGAACATCGGAAACTTTCTAAGAAATAGAATTTTTGAACACAAAACAATATGTACTTTCTAAGACAGGTTGGAGCAAATTTCCCAAAAAAAACTATAAATTTTCATTTTTATCCCATGGTATTTTTTTTGTGTGCGGCTTGTTGACTGCAGATCTGCCGCATTTTAAGAGTCCCCAAAAAGCACATCTTAGGTTTTTAAAAATGTATTTCAGACCCTCTCTAATCATTTTTCGAAATCTTCGACCCCCAGCCATATTATTATAGCTAACCATGTTCTAATTATATGTTCCCAAGGCCAAAGTATTGCTGATCATCGAAATCAGATTTTTCACCTGATCACAAAATACACATTTCAGCGTTACAAGGTCGCGAATTCTTTCTGACTTTAATCGGTCAAATTAACAAGCATAAATGTTTCTGACGACATTTGCTCACATATTCCATATTCAAACTTTTAAAAGCGTGAACATAAATCATTTGAATGTAAAGAAAAAACGAGAAAAATCAGTAGTGATCTTACAAAACACACATGATAATAATATTATTTGGTATTTGCTGTCAAATGATAAAAAATCACAATCAAAAATTTATTTTTCTTCTGATTTATAAAGAAAACTGTGATTCGTTTGCCTTCTTTTTATTTTTTTTATATTGAAAAAAACTTGAAAAAAATAGCTTTCAAGATGTTATCTCTTTTTTTTTGTGTGTCTCTGACTACTACGAAACAACTAGTTAACCATAAAGTTTCCCCCTAAATTTGTTCTAATTTTCTTTCTTTCTTTTTTCCCCCTACATTATGATTTCGTAAATCAGAGCGTATTATTTGTGATTGACTCGGCATGCAATTAGCAGGTGAATTGAAAGATATGTGATCTTATAAAGCACTTTTTCTTCTCCTTTTGATAAACAAAACAATTTTACGTGTTTTCTTCCAAATAAAAAAAGTAAAAATATAGGGAAAAACAAAACTTTTGATAATCAATAAAAAACAAGTTGTTTTCGTCTCCAAAATTCTAATATTCTTACTGAAATTCTGCAATCTTATAGCAAAAAGCTAATAATCGTGAAAAAGTGTTCTTTGGTGCCACTCAAAGAATTTGATTTCGATGATTTTTGTTCCGAATTCTGATTTGTTTTTGAATCGTGTTTTCCTGATCAACAATGAGATTAGGGATACTGTAATGATATTTTGGAGCCAGACAAAAGACTTGGGAATTTTTCACAAAAGCCTAGGAAAAATATTGTACCATGAAAATTAGAAAAATAATGTTATTTAAATAAATTTAGTCAAAACACTGTAATCAAATGGAAACTGTTCTTTGATGCCAATCTGATTTTAATGTACTTTGAAAATATTTCTGATTTGTTTATCATTTTCTTTATTTTTCTAATTGTAAATAATGAAGAAATAAGGTACTATACAACGTATTTTTTTTATTTTTCATTGGACTTGCTAATTTTTTAGTTCAAAAACTACTTGAAGTGTTCTTTGCTTCCAATTTAATTTTATGACCTTCGGAAAAATTTCTGATTTGTTTGACAAGATCAAGATTGAAGATCTATGAGGATACAGTATTCAACGTTCCAATTTAAAAAAATCTCGATTTCTTTCAAATTTCTTCACATTTTCGAAAAATTCTCCGTATTTCCTGGTCTGATGTCATAAAATGTTTCTTTCTCGTTCTGTTTTCTAGCCACCTTATCATTTTTTCCTCTCTCTTTTTCGTCCAAAGAAATGTGTTCATGAAATACATCAGATTAAATTATTTATAATAATCGCAACCAGGATTATTTATTTTTGTTTATAAAAAAATATCAATATATACTTCAAATATCTTCTGCTTGATATTTAGAATATAAACTCCCTTATCACCATATTTTTTCCTCATTGAAATCAGTGCTGAAAGAGATTTTGTAAGATCACATTTGTTTTCTCCGCCTCTCCTCCCTCTCTAATCTCTACATTCTGACTGATTATAAATAAATCTGACTGCCTCCTTATTTCGCCATTTCCATTTTTTTTGTCTTCTGATTTTGAGTTGGCTACGGTAGTAGCTTTCTATTTAGATTTTCCCATTTTTCCCACTAACAAAAATTGGAGAATTATTTTTTTGCAAGTCATAAATATATTATTTGTGACTTGTTTTTCGATTTCCTTTTCTTTGTTTATTATTTGAAGTAGTTATTTTTCAGAATATAGGGAAGTTATTTATTAACGAAAAATAGTTTTTTGCTAGACTTTTCTATATTAATTAATAACTCACGTTATTTTTCATTCAGTTTGGAAAATTGTTTACTATTTTTGTTAGCAGATATGATTTGACTTGTCTTATTGACTACAATCAAAAAATTTATCAAATGTGAAGTCTGATTTTCAGTCTTTGTACATAGAATAGAAATATCATATTATTATACCTAAAGATTATTGATCACCTAGTTTATTTTGACTTTTATTTTTTTTAGAATTTAAAACATCAACATTTTTGATGCTCTGTAAATCTCTCTGACGATACAAATCCATAAAAATAAATAGGAAAATCCGCTTTACGTTGAGCCGATTTTTTCTCATTCCTGAATCAAAAATGCTGCCATAGTCAGACTGAACTCACATCGGAAAACGATCTTAAAATAGAAGCTTAATTTCAACTTGAAAAATGAAAATGCACTTTTTTGGAACTTCAAATCACTAAACAGATTTATTTTAGTTTCACACAAGGGAATCAAGAGTTTGATAATGAAATTCAGAATTCAAATTCAGTTCTCAAAATATGCCTGTAAATCTTTTGACTTATGCTAACCATATTTTTTTAATATCTTGTCTTTTTTTAGTATACGGTAGTTTTGACACGCCCCTTTGATTTTCATAAAATTCTAATTTCCTTTTTCGTTTTTCGTACTTTCAATAACAACCGATAGCTCTTTTAAAGTAAGATTTTATGATGAAGTTTGTATTTTTATAAAAGTTTTTTCTTTTTTTGCAGATGGAGGTTGCACTACTTCCACCTCCTTCCCAACCAATTTCCAATCCAGTCACAGTTGAAGCCGAAGCTTGTCCGTGTAAAGTTTGTGGTGATAAAGCGCACGGTGTACATTTTGGTGTGATGTCGTGTCGAGCATGTGCTGCATTCTATCGAAGATTTATTGTATTGAATTTGGAATATGAATGTTTGAAAGATCCCAAAAAGTGTTTGGTGGATAATACGAGAAGAAGTTCGTGTAGACACTGTCGATTTCAAAAATGTTTGAAAGTTGGAATGACTACTGATAGTAAGTTCAACAAAACAAACAACGAGACAGCAAAATATACAGTACATAAAAATTATTGTTGAAAATCCTGTAGAATAATCTCCCACGACATTTAGATAATCCCACATTTCAGATGTTCAATTCAATCGAGATGTTTATTCACATGAAAAAGATCGGCGGAAGAAGAAGAAAACAGCATCACCAACTGATTCAAATGCGAATATTCCATCAACAAGTTTACAAAAAAGCGAATTGGCATTGCAGGAAAAATTGTATCGATCAACCGTTTTTGAGGAGTGTAAAAACATAAGCATCCGAATTGAATGTGAGAAAATCTTCCAATGCAACTATCCAAACATGAATGACGATTTCGGAAATTTGAATCACCTTCAAAAAATAGCGATTGGCCTCGACCAATTGCGAGCTGATCAAGATGTTATCGACATCAAGTTTAATAATCGATTGAGTTTTGATAATTTGGTTCCACATTGGGCGTGTGTTTCGAAAAAACTTGCTAAACTTGTTATGCATTCATGGGCTTTTCGAAATATTGAGTTGGCTGAGCAATTGAGAATCTTTAGATATGTTTGGAAAACACTTCATCGACTTGAGAGATTGCAAATGACTGTGCAAGTTTTTGGTGAAAAATGTGTGGATGAAAAAGTTAGTTTTTTTTAAATTCATTTTTATGTTGAAAAACTCATGAAAATTATTTTCAGAAACTTATAATAAATTGTGAGCGAGCAATTCAACTTGATGCTTTATTTATGGATATTGACGGAATTTCAAGAGAAAAGAAGCGGTTTACTCTGACAGAATTTAAAAAATATGCAAATCGATTAATAGACGAAGTTGCAAGACCTTTATGTAAACTAAAATTATCAACAATCGAAGTTGGTTTCATGTTATGTATGGTTTGTCAATATAACGAGCAAGATTATTTTGGGGATAATGTTGTACCAGTTTCGGATGTTTTCGAAGTCGAAATAACAAACAATCTTCATGATTATTATACAAGTATTGGTCTCACTAATTATGCATCAAGAATTCAACAAATTATGAAATGTGTAATTGCAATGAAACGAATTCATAATGATGATTTTATTGGAAATCTAGTCAATCCTCCAAAACCATTTCAAGTTCCTCCAAAATGTGCACAACAATAATTTATCATTTTGTATTTATATTTGTATTTGATTTAATAACTATAATAATTTTAGTCATAATCATAATCATATTTTGCATAACAATAAATTATTTATTTTGTTTATCACGGGTTACTGTAGTTCAACAAACATAGGACTATTTTTAAAGCGCGAGGTACCATTTCTTGTATACACATACACCGCGACGCGCAATTGCACACTACAAACATTTGCCAGCTACAGTAGTAGTCCAATATAAAATAGATTTGCATTATCTTTTGATGTATTTTCGATCAAAATTATCTTGGGCTAAAAAAATTTTTGGGGAAGCCGTTCCAACTGGATAGCTGTCTTTAATGAACAGTAATTTGTACAATTTTCAAAGTTCCATGTATTTTTTGAAAGGGCATATAACGTCATTCATTTTTCAAAGCTTTTCAAAAAATTAGATCGGTAATTCCAGAGGGAAAACATGAAAAACCTAATTTTTCGAGCGAGAAAAAAGAAAGATTTATTTGCAATTTTTCAGAAAAAATGGTTATTGAAATCAATTTCTAGGTGGGCGTATATCGATAATCATCACAGTCCTCACAGATGATAAACTCTCGATTTTTGAATTTTCTTTGAAAATTAACTGATTTGTATAATCTCGATAAGGTTTGTGTAGACAAATAAGTGAAATATTGGATAAGAAGCCATGAATTGATAGAGTTAAAACTATTATATTATTGATAAGTTGACTATGAGTTGAAAGCATCAAAGTTATATCAAAAATTATTATTGGAATAAGAATCGCAATAAATGGAACTGCCATTTGAATCGACACATTATACAAAAATGTGAGTTGAAATTTTTTCGTAGTTGCGGATACTGTTATTGATTTAACATTGACAAGATGATAAGCTCCAACAAATGCAAAATAAAAACCGTGTAAAAGTGCATTACATGTTGAAATTAACATACAAAAAATTGCAAAAAATATATCGGTTGTTATAACTAAAGTTCTGTCCTCATAGTATTCTTTAGGTGGACACGGATAAATTTCTAGAAAATAACGCTTTGCAATATCTGTTGGGGTATCATCGAAAAAATATAACATCATAAATATTGCACCAAATGAATACATATAAGTGTAGTAAATCAGTAAAGTTAGTTTTCTGGTTATTTTATATTTGATTGTAGCTACCATACTGTGTCGAGTTTGATATAATCTGACCATTGACATTGCCATCACTGAAGAAATATCTAGAAAGTTTTGGAGTTTTAGTATTCGAACTCACAGTAAAGTGAAAACTGTCCAAAATAACAAAGAGGTTTGAATGGTAGATCAAAAAAATCATAGAGTATTCCATAAAGTGTAACAGCAGAAGTTGGTAAATAAATATAAGGAGTCACGAGAAAGTTAATAACTAGATCTAACAAAAATGTGCAAAAATGAAGATGTAATAGAACTTTTTTGGTATTCTTCATTTTCTGAGGAGTTACGCGAAATATTAAAAATGCTCCATAAAACGAGGTAAAAAATGTGAAAATAGAAATGATATGTAAACTATTTATTAGAAAATCTTTGGATTCGAAATACGTAGTTTTAGGACAAAGACTGGTATTATTGATCTTGACGTATTTTTCCATAAGAATAGAGTAAATGAAAATAGTCTTGTCTGCAGTATTATTATTGTCTTTATTCAATTTTAGATATTCGATCAGAAAAAGAAAAAACAGTGTAATTTCTTTGTGAGCCTAATCATTCTTGCAACAGTTATATGTATTGTCATAATTTCTGGTGAATAACATCAGGGACCAAAGTACTGCTTCAATTTATTATTGAATAAATTGAGTGCAAACTATATTTTAGCACCATTTCTTCACCAATTTATTATCAATTTCTAGGCGACTGATTATCACTAATAACAATAGTTCTGACAGATGAGATACTTTTAATTCTTGAATTCTCTCCAAAGACTAAATCAATTGTATGATCACGATAGGGTTTGTGTAGGCAAATAAGTGAAATATTGGATAACAAACCATGAATTGATAATGTTAAAATTATTATGTTATTGATAAGTTGACTATAAGTTGATAATAACAACATTAATCCAAAAATTGAAACTGGAATTAAAATTGCGACAAATGGAATCGCCATTTGGATTGATGCATTATACAGAAATGTTAATTGCATCTTTTTAGTAGTTGCAGACAATGAAATTGATTTAACTTTCAAAAGATGATAAGCCCCAACAAATGCAAAATATAAACCTTGAGGAACTGTATTAAAAACCGCAAGTGTCATACAGAAAATTGCCAAGGATATATCAGTTGTTAGAATCAAAGTTCTATCGTCGAAGTATTCTTGGGGTGGACATGGATAAACTTGGAGAAAATAGAGTTTTGCAATATTTGTTGGGGTTTCGTCGAAAAAATATATCATCATAATGAAAATTCCAAATATGTACATATAAGAATAATAAATGAATAAAGTTAGTTTTCTAGTCATTTTATATTTGATTGTAGCTACCATACTGTGTCGAGTTTGATATAATCTGACCATTGACATTGCCATTACTGAAGAAATATCTAGAAAGTTCTGGAGTTTTAGTATTCGAACTCACAGTAAAGTGAAAACTGTCCAAAATAACAAAGAGGTTTGAAAGGTAGATCAAAAAAGTCATAGAGGATTCCATAAAGTGTAACAGCAGAAGTTGGTAGATAAACTCAGGCAAATCGTCCCACCGGTGGGCCCACCGGTGGGAAACCGGTGGGAAAAATAAACAAAAACACCGGTGGAACACCTCTTTTTGGTGTTCAGACGGTGTTCAAACGGTGTTAAGCGAGTGTTAAGGTGGTGGTACACCGGTGCTATTATCAAATTTGTGACCACCGGTTTCCCACCGGTGGGCCCACCGGTGGGATTAATGAAGAGAAGGTGTTGAGTGAGTGGAGATTTGGTGTTACACCGGTGGGACGATTTGCCTGAGAATATAAGGAGTCATTAGAAAATCAATGATTAGATCTAACAAAAATGTACAAAAATGAAGATGTAATAGAACTTTTTTGGTGTTCTTCATTTTCTGAGGAGTTACGCGAACTATCAAAAATGCTCCATAAAACGAGGTAGAAAATGTGAAAATTGAGATGATATGTAAACTATTTATTAGAAAGTCTTTGGATTCAAAATATGTAGTTTTAGGACAAAGACTGGTATTATTGATCTTGACGTATTTTTCCATAAGAATAGGATAAAACAGAATATTACTTATCTGAAAGTTGTTATTATTTTTCTTATTCAATTTTAGATATTTGATCAAGAAAAGAGAAAAGTTAGATTTTTTCATAAGCTCAACTCATTCATGCAAAAATTACCTTTATTTATCATATCAAACTAAAAAAAAATTCACATCAGATATACAAGTTTATATAGTTAGCATACAAATTTAGAAAATCAACTAGAATGTGATTAAAAATGATGGGAATGTTTTTTGGATTTCTTCGACGAGTGCTTCTTGTGGCTTTTCTTCTTGTGCGACTTTTCGGCCTCGTGGTGCGAATTGTGGTGATTCTCTCCGTGAGTATTGTGGGAGTGATTGTGCGACTCGTGTGGCGCGTCTCCGTGAGTATTGTGAGAGTGATTGTGCGACTCTCCGTGAGTATTGTGAGAGTGATTGTGCAACTCGTGTGGCGCGTGGTGATTATCTCCGTGAGTATGGTGAGAATGATTGTGCGACTCGTGGTGTGGCGCGTCTCCGTGAGTATGGTGAGAATGATTGTGGGACTCTCCGTGAGTATTGTGAGAGTGATTGTGGGACTCGTGGTGTGGCGCGTCTCCGTGAGTATGGTGAGAATGATTGTGCGACTCATGGTGTGGCGCGTGGTGATTATCTCCGTGAGTATGGTGAGAATGATTGTGGGACACGTGGTGTGGCGCGTCTCCGTGAGTATGGTGGGTCTCTCCGTGAGTATGGTGAGAATGATTGTGCGACTCATGGTGTGGCGCGTGGTGATTATCTCCGTGAGTATGGTGAGAATGATTGTGGGACACGTGGTGTGGCGCGTCTCCGTGAGTATGGTGGGTCTCTCCGTGAGTATGGTGAGAATGATTGTGCGACTCATGGTGTGGCGCGTGGTGATTATCTCCGTGAGTATGGTGAGAATGATTGTGGGACACGTGGTGTGGCGCGTCTCCGTGAGTATGGTGGGTCTCTCCGTGAGTATGGTGAGAGTGATTGTGGGACTCGTGGTGTGGCGCGTGGTGATTCTCTCCGTGAGTATGGTGGGAGTGATTGTGGGACTCGTGGTGTGGCGCGTCTCCGTGAGTATGATGAGAGTGATTATGGGACTCGTTGTGTGGCGCGTGGTGATTCTCTCCGTGAGTATGGTGGGACTCTCCGTGAGTATGGTGGTGTGGCGCGTGATGATGTTCCTTGTGCTCTGGCTCCGAGTCAGAAGAGCTGCTGCTAGACGAGCTGGATGAGCTTGAGGAACTCGACGAGCTCGAGCTACTCGATGAAGCCGCCTTGTAATGTTTCTTGGCATGTTTCTTTCCATGCTTCTTGTGGTGCTTCTTGTGATGCTTCTCTTCTTCAGATGAAGAAGATGAAGAGCTTGAGCTAGAGCTGCTCGAGCTTGATGATGAGCTCGAGGAAGATGAGCTCGAGCTACTGCTCGATGAAGAGCTAGCAGATCTCTTGGCATGCTTCTTGTGGTGTTTCTTGTGATGTTTCTCATCTTCAGAAGATGATGACGATGAGCTGGAGCTTGAGCTTGAGCTTGACGAAGAGCTAGAGCTTGAAGACGAGCTTGAGCTTGAGCTGCTCGACGAGCTTGAAGATGAAGCTGAGCGCTTGGCATGTTTTTTATGATGCTTCTTGTGATGTTTCTCATCTTCCGAAGAGCTGGATGAGCTGCTCGAGCTTGAGCTTGAAGAGCTTGAGCTCGAAGAGCTGCTAGAGCTTGATGAAGAGCTCGAGGAGCTGCTCGAACTTGAATCACTTCTCGATCGGCTCAAATGATGATGATAGTGGTGGTGAACAACTTCTTGCGGTTGGTGTGAAGAATGGTGGTGCCCATTATGACTATGGTTATGACCAGCAGATGGAGCAACAAATTGAAGGAACCCTGAAAAAACGTTGTAATTCGAAGAGTTCTACTTCGAATCTAACCTGGGAAATCAACGTATCCATGTTCGTGGTGGTGTGGGTGATGAGGAAGGTGTGAGTTGTGGTGAATATATTGAAGATGGTGAACTTGGTGACCAATCTCAAGAAGAGCCAAACGAGCTTCGACGAGGCTCAATTTGTGACCGTGGCTTGAGAAGCGGTCGAAAATCTTGCCTGGAAAAATTCTCAGCGTTCGGCATAGCTCTAGAGAAACCCCAAAAGTAAAATACTAGGCTCCTTATCTAGGCTTCTAATAGAAAGCTACCGAAAATAAAACTTACGAATTTTCTTCAACGACAAATTGTGTCGATGATTATGGTGATGGTGATGGTGAAGTGGCATCTTTCTCTTTCTCCTTCTTTTGTCAAAATTCAGAAGACAGTGATATATCAGCTCTCGGAGCTCTCAATTTATAGGCCACCCCGCGATAAGTTTTACGATCATTTGTCAAACTGTCAACCGACTCCGCCCATTTTGTTGTTGTCACATGCTCCATCTAATGTAATATGATTATGATGAAACAATTCATACAAATTGAGCCATTCTGATTTTTGCACTCATTCATTTCGTTGCTTTTTGTTCTGATGAAGTATAGTTTTTAGTGATAAGAAAGGGAAATTGAAGAAAACAAGCTTGAAAAAGAGACGGGTTTCCCCGGGTGGTATTTATTCATTTATTTATTTTTAAAAAAATGAAATGTTGTCGGAAAATTGTGAACTTGTTTGGTGAGTCAGAAAAATAGATGTGCGTAAGGAGAACTTTTATGCTGTGTGTGGGAAAAAATTTAACTTTAACGTGTAAATTCTTAACATTACGTATGAGCCAAACTTCTTCGTTATAAACTTCGTAAGTTTTCGTATAATGAAAATTGAAAACATAAAATACAACAAATGAAAACAAAAACAAAAACAATTGAAAAAATTTTACATTTTATTGGTTTTGAAAGCGCGGTTCAAAATTGACCGTTTTATGAACATAACTATTTTTTGAAAAGTTCAATTTAGCCTAACTGACTGAACATCAACTGATAACGGTATTTTTCATTTTTTTTTTAACTTCTAACTGCCACGTCATAAACTTTCCCAGTTCACGGAAAAATCAGAAAATTCGAAAACCCACGTTATTCTAAGTTTTTACCATAAAATCTCCTGTTTCAATCTTCCCTCCCTCAATTCCTCTCCTCTCCAAAAAAAATGTCAATGATCACCTTGTCACATTCCATTTTTTGCTCTTTTTCTCTACTTTCCCCTCTTCTTATCATCTGCGAAAAATGCCAACAATTCTTGTCATGTTTTATGTAAAAATCTGATAAAAATAAAAATCACAGCAAAAAAAACAACAATTTTCCAACCTGTTTAAAGCCCCAAATAGTTCCCGGCAAGAAGACCAAAAAATGAAAAAGATGACTAGATTTCAACTGATTAATTAATTAGAGCTAATTAATTAATTAATTAATTAATTAACCACATCATAAAACAGTGAAGCAAGATAAAATCGGATGAAGAAAGCCAGGATTGAGCAAGAAATCTGAATTCCCATCAAAACTTGATTCAATCGACTTTCATGCATTGGCCCGGAGAATTTCAGCACCAAATTAATGATTGTCAAATTGTTGATCTCGATCCAGCTGCAAAAATATCAGGAAGTTCGTTTTTTGTTCTTATCAGCGATGATGGGAAAAAACTAAAAACCTATAAAATAGGCTCATAAATAGATGTTTACACGATGAAATAATAAATGCCAGAAATAGATAGATATTAAACTTCAAGATCAAATTAGATTCGTTTTGAGGCGAGAAGAAATAAAAACGTGGAAAAATAATTTTAAAAAAGTTCATCGTTTTATTTTTTGTATGCGTGGAAGTGGGAAGTTTCAAATGAGATGTTTTTACAGCTCGTGAGTACTGTGGTTCAGAAAAATCTGAAGTTCATGGTACTGTATTTCACAAAACGCTACATTTTGCAATTCGGGATACTGTACTTCGTCCAATTTTCTTTAGATGAGAAAAATACAGTTCAACATTCAGCAATCGAAACTTGCAGTTCGACTACTGTATTTTTCATTTTTTCCTCTTTTCCAGCCTCAAAAAAAACCACAGTACCCCTCAAAAAATCATTTCAAAACCGCACCTTGCGTTCACTTTCTCTGATAACTATTTTTACTGTTTCAAACATCGTTTTGTGTTTTTATCAGTGGTGAGCTGATTGTAAAACCATTAAAAACGTATTACGGAACTCTGCACGTGGTATTCGCACAAAATTGATGTTTGTAATTTTGCTGGTTTGTTTGTCAATTAAACTAGACTATAGTATCAGAATTGAAATCAAGAAAAACTCACATTTCTCCATCTTTTTCAAATTCTCGTTTTTCAAGTAGACCAACTAAATTGAAGATAAATAGTGACAATTTTCCAAGCGATTTGAGTTCGGATTTTTTGAAAATCGCTTTTGACATTGAAACAGTGTCCGATTTTCCATCATATTTTGGCATTCGATGACGTGGACATGGAACAAAATGGAAAAGTTGAGGAAGAGAATAAATGAAGTTGAAGGTCTGCAAAAAATAAGGGTTGGAAATTTTTTTATAAATGTTTTTAAATTTTTTTTTTTAATAAATGTTTTTAAAGCTGAAAAAATCCACGAGGCAAAATTCTGTAGGGGATTTGTGGAATTTTTTTTATATTGTCTTCAAACCTCTTCCAGTTTATCAAAATTTCAAAATGACAGTAAGCAAACAGGAAAAATTTGTTTACGCTTATTTGTAAATACTTTCAATTGACAAAGATTCCTTCTCACAATCAGAAGTTTTTATTACCTATTTTCGTAAATTAATATCCTTTTTCAACCCCTGATATGTTTTTTTCTACAAAAACAATCTATAGTTTTTCCACATTTTGATAAAAATCATATTTGTTTCCCGAAATTTCAATGTCGAAAAACTCGAGTTTCGCGACGTTTTGCGACATTTGGTGCATTGTATTTTTATGTTTCGAAACACGTTTTTTGACGTTTTTTTTTCTTCGCGCATCGTCCCATTAGGAAAACTGATTGTTTTCATCCTGTATTTTTTAAATTGATTTTCCAAGAAAGTGAATTTTTTGCATTACTATAGAGTTAGCTAGCTAGTCTGAACAGAACATTCAAAAAAGTGGGCGGAGCCTGGCCGCCTGGCTGATCATTTTGGTTTCCTCGGCCAAATGTTTTTGGTTTCCTCGGCCAAATGCAAAAATCATCATTTTTCAAATTCAATTTTTCCACCGTTTTTTGTGTAGGAGTTTCCGGGTCTCAGAGGTTTTAGAATGTGAATCGGCGAACAACGTGTATTTTACACGTTTTTTAAAGACACACAATCCGCTAGAAATGAACAGAAAATGAGTTTGTTATTCATTCTCAACACCGTTCAAGTAATCGAAATTCATGAAAATCAGGAAAAAATTTTGAGTCTAGTAAAAGTCAAAAAATAAAATAATTGTTTTTGAAATCGCTCAGCCGACGGAAATTTCGAAAGTGTGTGCACACAGTGTGTCGCTAGAGCGCACATGCTGATTTTGTCGTTTGAAAATAAATGCGGGAAATCTGTTTTTTCCAGTGTTTTTTGTGTCTTTAATCATACTTTCTTCGACAGTTCACCATTTTGTGTGCGGTAGAGCGCATTTTCCTTTCATAGGCCATATAAAAGACAAAATTTGTAATTGTGGACATTTGCCACGATTGACAAACGTGTCATTAATTCTGAAAGAATGTGTCGATCTCACTGAGCCCAGCCAATCACGTTATGGATATATAGGTTTTCATGGATATATAGGTTTTCACCCTTTTTGTATAATTTTACTGGCATTTCCGACGTGACAATTTGTAAACGTTTTGTTTATTTTTCCGCTTGTTGCTTATTTCTCGGTATTTTTCATTTAATAGTGATTTCAGAATGAGTCTGGAACTGAACAGCCAATTATCCCTTCAATTGCGAGAATTCGAAGACACTCAAAATGATTGCGAAGAAATACCAAAACGAGTCTTCGATTTCTATAGGAATTATTCACCGGCATGGGATTTGGTTATAAAGGGAAATGGGACCCTAAGTCCAGTCAATGAAGGACATTATCAGTCGGTAATTGTGAATACAAACTTGCTATTCCAAGATTTGTGTCGTGAGTTGTTGTTTCTTGATAGAAAATGTAGCGAACTTAATTTTTTCATCAAATAAATCTAATTTTCAGACTCCAAAAGCACATATATTGAATCGGAGGATATCGATCAATTCAATAGACGCTATATTTATATGGCCAGTGGAAAATCAATTGAAATAGTTGTCCAATATAGAGGAAAGATCATATATGTTACTAGTGTGAAAGTAACAAAGAAATCAACAGAGGTATTAGAGAAAATCAAAAATAGCTAGAGAGAATTATTTCATTATTGCAAACCGGATATCTACCATCAAAATATGATAATTCAAGAACTCGAGATGGTATTGAGAAAGATGATTCAACGGATGCTGATGTTACATTTGTTGATGCTACTTTTACGATTGAACAAGCAAGATGCTCACCAACTCAAATCATTCAAAAAACACAATCAACAAAATCTACCAAGATGAATCTCTCCAATGCCGACACCTATTCATCGTTTGATATTCAAAAAGGAAGACACGTCTCAACCACCCAATCATTGAAACGAAAATTGTCCAATTCGTCATCAACAATTAGTTTTGGTGAGTGTTGGTTTTTGAAAGTTGCTTAATTTCTAATAATCTGAAAAATTGTGTTTACCCTAAAATTTTTAAAGAAAATTTAAGACTTTTTTCCAATTGAAATCGAGGACAAAAAGTCAGCCTTCAAATATTTCAATAAATCAAAAAAATTACACTTTCAAAATATGACAGGAAAAAGTTTCAATTTTCTATAAAATTCACAAAAGCCTAATTTTGATGAGAACGTCAAAATTATTCAAATCTTTGTGTGGCCATTTTAGCGAGCACGAAGTAAATTGTTTCAATCAATCTATAAAAAATCCAACAAACGAGTTTTCAAATCGAGAATAAAATGTTCATTTTTTGTGAATTTTAAATTTTTCATGTTTAAAACATTAAAAAAATAAGTTCGTGATTTTCAAAATTTTTTTCTGAAAAAAAATATGCTCCATTGCTTTCTAAAAACAATTATTATCTGAAAAAATCAATTTTTCAATTGTGTTCTGAAAATGTCAAGTAGGCCATGTTTTTGTGGAAGGTGAACTGTAGTTATCACTGTATTTTTTTTTGCAATTCGAGGGAGACGCAGACTTTAACGTGTGTAGACAAATCTCTCGCCGAAAAAGGGAGAGAAATAGTGTGTGGCAGACACACAGCGTGTCGAGACCAGCGACTGTCTGCGTCTCCTCGAAATTGCATTTTTCTATCAGAAAAAACAGTGTTATTTTGTGTTATGGGTCAATTTCTAATTTTCATTAGATATTTACGCAATGTTTACAGACACAACATTGAAAAAACAAATTTTTCAACCACTCGCTGCATCCACTTTCACCTCGAGCTCGACAATTCCACCGATTCATTATGATTCAGTTGCTCGTGATGTTTTTCAATATACGGCTGATGATGAAGATATCGAGAGCAAGGCTGATTCTTTTACAACATCAACATCGTGAGATTTTTCATCAAGATAACTTTTATCAAACTTCGAAACTTTTTCAGGTCTTCTGATCGTATTTCGGGGCGAAATGTTAAATTAGTGAGTTTTTTTTTTAACTGATTTCGAAAATTGTTTCATTTTGAAGGTTCGTGATTCGGTGGCCGAAATGTTTAAAAAAAAGAAAATTGATATGGAAATATTATTCGGTCATGGCGATTCGATCGGTGTACCGCCAATCGTCTATGTCAAACTCGGGTGAGTTTTGAGCAAAATATCCAGTAAAATGTTCATAATTTTTTAGAATATGGGACGTATTCATGCAAAATGAGCAATAAGTGTTGGGTCGATTGGTGGCGCATTTTTACCATATCCAACCAAGAAACCTCAAACAACAACTTACAATTATAAACAATCGACAATTTTTGAACAATTTGAAGTTCAGTAGAACATTACAAAACTTTGAATCTTGAAAATTTTTTGGATATTCGTTCCCTATTTTTGATTTTTTATTCTTATTTGTCTTACTTTCTAGTTTTTCTAACTTCATACTAACAATATTATCATTGATTTAGCGGTCAATTGTTTTTCCTCTATTGTTTATCCTCTACCGATTTAGCTATAAAATAATTTGTAGCAAAATCCTCGTTAATTGTTGTCTTCTATTTTGAATGGCTTTAACACCTTGAAATTTAATGCAGGCAAGATCTTTGTCGACGGTAGTGAAAAAAAGTGGCTGAAAGTGAAAAAACAGAAAATGAGCCAATTTCTTCGAAAATTCCTCATTTCACCAGTGTTTCATACTTTTTCATGAAAATTCATTTTTGCGAGGGGAAGTGGCCACCACGTGGTAGCCATGTGGGCTTGACCTAGCCAGAGCCTGGCCACCTTGCCAGTGAAAAAAAACCGGGCGACATGGTTTCCATGTGGTTTCCAGGTCAGCCAGGGTCCCCACCTGGTGGCGAGCTGGCCAGCGAATCTCTGAGCAACATCCCGAATTCTTTCTAACCTTTTTCAAAATATCTGAATTGCCACGTCATTTTTCTTCATCCAGAAAATCAAATTTTTCACGTCACCCTCAATTCCTTTCCTTCAACCAAAAAAATCTCAATGATCATTTTTTCACACTCTATTTTTTGCTCTTTTTTCTACTTTCCCCTCTTCTTATCATCTGCGAAAAATGCCAACAATTCTTGTCATGTTTTATGTAAAAATCTGATAAAAATAAAAATCACAGCAAAAAAAAACAACAATTTTCCAACCTGTTTAAAGCCCCAAATAGTTCCCGGCAAGAAGACCAAAAAATGAAAAGGATGACTAGATTTCAACTGATTAATTAATTAGATAGTTAATTAATTAATTAATTAACCACATCATAAAACAGTGAAGCAAGATAAAATCGGATGAAGAAAGCCAGGATTGAGCAAGAAATCTGAATTCCCATCAAAACTTGATTCAATCGACTTTCATGCATTGGCCCGGAGAATTTCAGCACCAAATTAATGATTGTCAAATTGTTGATCTCGATCCAGCTGCAAAAATATCAGGAAGTTCGTTTTTTGTTCTTATCAGCGATGATGGGAAAAAACTAAAAACCTATAAAATAGGCTCATAAATAGATGTTTACACGATGAAATAATAAATGCCAGAAATAGATAGATATTAAACTTCAAGATCAAATTAGATTCGTTTTGAGGCGAGAAGAAATAAAAACGTGGAAAAATAATAAAAAAAAGTTCATCGTTTTATTTTTTGCATGCGTGGAAGTACCCCTCAAAAAATCATTTCAAAACCGCACCCTGCGTTCACTTTCTCTGATAACTATTTTTACTGTTTCAAACATCGTTTTGTGTTTTTATCAGTGGTGAGCTGATTGTAAAACCATTAAAAACGTATTACGGAACTCTGCACGTGGTATTCGCACAAAATTGATGTTTGTAATTTTGCTGGTGTGTTTGTCAATTAAACTAGACTATAGTATGAGAATTTAAATAAAAAACTCACATTTCTCCATCTTTTTCAAATTCTCGTTTTTCAAGTAGACCAACTAAATTGAAGATAAATAGTGATAATTTTCCAAGCGATTTGAGTTCGGATTTTTTGAAAATCGCTTTTGACATTGAAACAGTGTCCGATTTTCCATCATATTTTGGCATTCGATGACGTGGACATGGAACAAAATGGAAAAGTTGAGGAAGAGAATAAATGAAGTTGAAGGTCTGCAAAAAATAAGGGATGGAAAACTGATGTTCATTTTGTATGAAGGTTTTTAAAGCTGAAAAATCCACATGGCGAAATTCTGTTTACAAAAGTTCACGGAAAAATATTCGATTTTCGGATTTCAAGATTTTTTAAGTTAAAAAATCCCCTGTTACTTTTTTTGCCTCCAAATTTTCCAAAACTTTCGACCTACCTGTGGTATAAAAAACACCATAAGAGTTTTGCTGAAATGTCCCAAAATCGAAACAACAGCCAATGTCATTCCACTCCAATAACAGAAAGTGTCACCAACAAAAACACGAGATGGATATTTGTTGAAATGGAATAAAATAGCAGTACAAGCGGTGAATGGAAGAAGAAAATATAGAGAAATCAAGTGGTGCCAATATTGAGAATCGACTCGAATCAGCTGAAAATAAAATATTACAATAATTTTGAAAGCTGCGGAAAATCGGTTTCAAAAAATAATAATTTTTCACAGTGATAATTCTTTTAATAATTTCCATAAATAAATAACCAACCTGAACAACATTGAAAATAATAACAGAAATCGAAATAACAAGTGATTGTCCACTTTCCAATCCATTTACTCCGGCAAGAATATTAATAGCATTTGTGCAAAAAACAATGACCATTCCCATAAAAATATAATATACAAATGAGATATTCACACTGATTGGTAGATCGAAGAATGGATGAATTAGATGACGGAGAAGACCAGGAATCATTACAGTTGTTGAATTGCCTGCAAAAATAAATCGGATTTGGGGTTTTTGTATTCACTGTTTCAAAAAATAATTAAATTTTCAGACGAATTTTCAAACTTCGATACATTAGTGCCTAACCTATCCTATGAAAAATTAGAAATGCGAATTCTCGATTTTTATATCCAGCTCAATTTTATGGATAAAAATAATGAATCGCGGTTTCGTAGTCACTGCGAATCCTCGATTTTTATATCTAGCTCAATTTTATGATATTTATATAGGTTTCAAAAAATTCCAGGAAAGAGTCCCCAATATTCCACTTACCCGAAACATAATAAACCATCAAAAGTGGCAACGAAGACAACGTTGGAAACAACAATTTATGTCTCCATCTCAAATCCAACATATCATCTGCGAATCCTAATAAAATCGCCGTGCTAATCGAAATCAATCCGGATAAAATGGCTAATAGTTTGGCGTATGGGAATTCGGTTTCCGATCCAACCCATTCGAAAAATGGAACCGGGATGAAAATAAACATGACTATCAGATAAACAGCAGCACAAATAACACCCATTGGTTCAGGAACTGGATCATTGCTTGTCTGAAAAAAATAGAGAATCTTGAAGATTTGTATGAATATTTTTTCAAACCTCTTCCAATTAATCAAAATTTAAAAATGACAGCTAGCAAACAGGGAAAAATAATTCACGTTTTTTGCCACGTCACATTTCATTTTTTTTAAATTAAATTCAATTTTCCAAATGTCTCACCTTACTCTGATCATTTCCATACATTTTCCTCTGAATAAAAATCGGTATATACGTCAAAATCAATCGATAACATATCACAGCTCCAACAGCACTCAATCCTCCATTTATCAGTAATGAAAATAATGACATCTGCAAAACTCTTTGAAAATGAACTTCTTAAGTTGTTTTTCAATAAAAATATAGATTCTAGGGTTAGAAAACCCTCGTTTTTTGAAGTAAAGCGGTAGATTTTGAAAAAAAACAAGAAAACTTCATTAAAACATAGAAACCTACTTAAAACTAATAACAAAAAAACTATAAAAAAAAAGAAAGAGGAAAAGGAAATCTAGAAATTTACCACAACCACAAAGTTTTCCACGATTTTCCTGAAGCCGAATTTTGGACGGTTGGTGTTTCGGACATTTGAATGGCAGCGTCGCCAATATCTTCGCGGAGCTGGAAAATATTTGAATTTTGAAAAAAAAATGAACATGGTTTTTAGTTCCGCATACCTTTTGCAAATGTTGCGCCAATCTCGACCAAGAAACACTGACATTCCATAAATTCTTTCTCGATTCCTCATTCAACACAATCTCACTCCATGGTTGAGTATGTCGCTCGCGACTGGAATTTACAACTAGTTAGGTCCAAAATTTTGGGCTAAAAAATTCCAAATCTAGAAAAAACCCACTCAATAAACAGGCCATTTTCATCTTTAGTTTCCGGATCACAAAGTGCATACAAAACAGGTCGAACTGCTTTTTCGGTTCGTCTTTCGCCCATTCCGAAACTGACAATTTTCAACAACCAGCGACTGAGGAAAAAGGTTTGGCCGTCCATTTGAGCTGATAAATTGGATTTTGTTCGGCCCGGATCGGCTACGATTACTGAGATGTTTGTGTCTGTAAATTCAAAGAATTTTAGAAGTCGTTTTTTCTTCATATTTATTCACAAACCTTTAACTCTTTCAGATAATTCTTTCGAAAAAATGGCTGATGCCAATTTACTGTGTTTATAAACTTCATATCCATCAAACTTTTTCGCATGTTCCGAATTCAAATCCTCCAATTTCAAATCGCATTTTCTGTCGATAATATTACTATTCAAAAATACAATTCGAACCGGATTCGTCTGCTCCAACAATTTATCCATTAATAAACCAGTCAATAAAAATGATCCTAAATGATTTGTCGCAATTGTTTTCTCAATTCCCTCTTTATTCACTTTTCTTTCATTGCTCATCATAGCCGCATTATGAACAATTCCATCGATTCGATCCAATTCGAATTTTCCTTTACTCAATTTTTGCACAAATGTTCGAATACTATCGAAATCTTCTAAATCACATTGTCGACAATAGACTTGTTTATTTCTTGTGTTTAGAACAATATCTCGACGAACTTGTACACATTTTTCACGATTTCTACAAGCCATGATTACACGAGCATTTCGTTTTGCAAGTTCTTCAGCGGTCGACTGCAAAATTTACGATTTTGGGGGTTTTCAGAATGAAAATTTCGTGACTTATAGTTTTTTCCTGCAATCAACATTTTAGCGGAAAAATGTTTGGCCTTTTCACCACATTTTTTCTAATTTTTTATTTCAAAAAATTAATCAATTTTTGAAACAGTGGAAAGTTTTGCTTTGAAAAAACTTCTTTTGAATTTCTGAGGATAATGTTTTCAAAAATCCAAAAAATCCCCATACCTGTCCGATTCCTGAAGTTGCTCCAGTCACAATATACGTTTTCCCGGTCAAATCTTCATGCAAATCATATTTCGATCCAGATTGTGTCGAGCTAAAAAACCGAATTTAAAAAATTCAAATTTTATTCCTCAAGACTAACTCCCAAATATGATAGGCTCCATAAGCCAAGCCAAAACTGGAAAATCCGACGGACCACGGGGAAGTGAGCCCGGCCAAAAGTCTAGCTCCAGCCATTTTTTACCTTGAAAAAGAAATGTTTTTATTTATCACCTGTAAATTCTCCAACTGTAAATCTAAATACTACGATGGCTTTGAAACCTGGAGAAAATCTTCAATGAAAACACCGCTTCTTAATTAAAAATCTTCACTAAAAACAAATAAATTAATCGATAATTAGGCGTTAACAAAAAATAAAAAGAACCCAGACGTAGAAAAAAGAGGGGGTGAACCAGTAAAATCGGTGGGGAGAATAATTTATACAAGTTTTTTGGCTTCGAAAAATCCGCGAAGATGACGCATTTGCCAATAGCCAGTGATAGCGAGCACCAAAACCTGAGCCAATGACCAATAGAAAACTCGAGAATTTGTCGATTCGGATGTTTGTCTGAATCGCTCTTCACGATATCTTTGATAGTTTTGCTCTTTTACAATTTGTTCGACTTGGTCCAAAAGTTGACGGACTCGCAATTGCAATTCATTCAATTTGTCTTTTTGAGCGATCTGAAAATGGATAAATTTTGAAGGACAGCTTTTTGAAATAGGAAAAAAGCCTGATTGTAGCCCGAGATCTCTAATATCCATTTGAACACCCTGGCTAACAATAAGATTCCAAAAAAGAGAAAATATGGGTTTTCAGCTTTTCGTGAACGGTTTCCCCCGACTTTAGACCCCAAAAAATCCCATACCTGTGCATAATCTTGCGCATGCTCTCCAGCTTGAATATCCAAATGCACTCTCAATTGAGCACCATACCAAGCGGTACTATTCGAATACAAACAAATCACATGTTCTCCCGGGGTATTTGATGTGAATGTAAATCTTCCTTCAGCCGTATACAATTTCGACAAAATCACTTTATCCTCTGGATCTTTTACTTCAACATGCATTCCAATATTCGGATAATCTCCATATCCTTTTGTATTTGGATCGTATAATTGTACTTTATAATTTCCCGTCACCATTGTCTCATCAGGAATTTCCTCGATAAAACATTTCTTCTCGGTTTCGGCGATGTGGAAGTATAAAGCCTCTGTGACTGCAAAAACTGCTAACAGTCCTAATCCAAGTTTCAGAGACATCTGGAAAAAACCTGTCAAATTTTGATTCTCAATTTGAAAAAAGTAAGACGACTTCGAGAAAAATCAACAAAATCTTTGAAAAAATAAGATAACAAAAAATAAGAAAGGCAAGATTCATTAAAGTTTGGCAAGAAATATAAAGCATGAAAAAGTCATGGGGAAAGAAAACAAATCCGTAAAAATGGCAATAAATACTTTGGAAATATATAAAATATGAAGTAGAATATATTAAAGGCACATGTGAAAAATCACAGGTAATGTACAGGGTTAGAAAAACTAAAGACTACGTTAGGGTGTCTAAATTTTCAAAAATCCACCTTTGGGCACCAATATCTAAATTACACGTGGATCCATAAAGAACCCATTCATCATGTTTTTTATTAACAGTTAGGCAGAATCCATTTTGGACCAGCCAACCATTATGCTCCATTAAAAATGTTTTTGCACCAACGCTCAAACAATCAACCATTTTCAACGAATCTGCTTCGATTTTTAAGCAAAGTTGGTTCACAGAATTCTTGAATAATTGAGAATCATTATCGAATGTCCATTCCTAAATGTTTCTCAATTATTTTAACCAAAAACTTCAGCTTAAACCAGTTAAAAACTCGAAAAAACGCCCGAAAAAAAAGAAAAAATAAAACGACACGTCGAATGTGTGCAAACACCGCGGTGTACGCAGACACGCAACCTGACGACACTTTATTTTTATTTTTTCGGGGAATTTTCCGAGTGTTTTGCTGGTGAAAAATGATAGTTCTTACCTGATTTCCGCCGGTATTATGACATCCATATAATCCTGGAGATTGTCCTTCTTTTTTGCCTAACGAATCCAAGCACAAATTGGCCATTTTCACTTGGAAAACTTTGGCTTTTTTGAACTCTGGAATTTTCAGCTCCGGATAGACGTTTTCCAAGTACCATTTGAATGATTTACACTGTAGACGATCACGAATAGCAAGTCTATCTGTTAGGCTGAAAATTACATTTTATTTCAGCTATTTTAAGATATAACTTACTCTCCAACTTTGACAAATCTCGCCGATGGAACATTTTTCAAATAAATCAACTTATAATCATCCATCCAAACTTCAGCAGCTCTTCTCGTATTTTTCTGGAAAATATTTCCAGAACCTCCCGGGAATGTATAAGGATGTTTCTTTCGGAAAACATGTCCAACTCGACTACACGGCATAATTTCTAGTTCGCCTCCACACTGCCAAACTCGGAATGACATTTCGAGATTTTCACCACCCCAAACTTCCATATCCAAATCGTAAGTTCCCAAGGTCTCAAACCAATCTTTTGAGATTGTGAAAAGACCACCAGCCATTGTTGGCGATTTAATCGGAGCTGTTGGATTTTGATGACGCTGCTTCCGAAGTTTTTCGTTCATAAATTCCCATCGGAAAATCAGCGACCAATCAAATCCTCCTCGTAAATCAGCACTAGCTCCGACATAGTTGAAAGTATCAACATTGATAACATCAATAATCGGGGCAACCACAGCTTTGGGATTCTGAAGAAAATTGAGTGAAAAATGATGACACGTTTTGAAAGTTTCACACAAACCTCTGTAACTCTGGCTAATAATGGTTCTAACCATTGTTGATTACATTCAATATGACTATCCAAAAATGTCAAAATTGGTGCTTTTGCAACTTGTGCTCCTTTAACTCTCGACCGAATTAATCCTTCTCGCATATTATTCCGCAAAACAACAACTCTTTCAATTTGAGCCAATTCTTTTCCAATAGTTTCATCTTCTGAATTATCATCAACCAGGATAATCTCATACAGAAGTGGTTCTGGTGACATATTGAAAACACTAAAAACAGTTCGTAAAAGTGTAGATCTCGCTTCATTGTGGAATGTAATAATAACACTTGTTGCATTCATTGGTTTTCCGGAGAAATCTGCATTTTGACAAACTGCTTCACGACTATCCGGGATTTTTCGAATTGGTGGAAGATTGTCGGAAACTTCTTGATTGAATGAATTCGCTTTGTATTTATCATCTCCTTTCTTCAATTTTCCTTTTTCTAGGAATTTATCGATATCAAAGGTTTTCCAAGTTATTCCAACTTCAGTTCTTTTGTGAATTGTTGTGTCATCGGCGAGATTGATTGTTGGAATTGGTGAGAATTTCTCTCCCGATTGTATTGGGAGATCGATTGATGGAACTGGAGGTGGAGCCGGAGGCCGGTTTTGAAGGTTTTTGAAGTGTTGATAAGGTTGATTTGTTATCTGAAACATTGATGATTGTTGGAGCTAGATTTTCAACCAATGTTCCCAAAAAACTCACCCTCTCTCTTTCCTGATTATTCGAGTTCACATAAATAAAACCAAGTCCGCAAACCCAACAAATAGCAATCAATGATAAAACTGTTCGTAACCTCAAAACTCGCGGCATAATTCTGCAAAAAAACAGGTTTTCATGGTGAAAAATTCAAAAAAAATGCATAAAGTTTTCGATTTTCTCATAAAAACATATTTTTTACCAAAACGGAAAACTAAAAAAAATAGTTGAAATTGAAACATTTTCAAATGTTTCTTTCAATTTTCCATCAATTGTCATATTTTTCACTTTTTTGTTATTCAAATGAAAAAAAGTATAATTATGATGAATTGTATTCATTTATTTGACAAACCTCATCGTGTCACTTTCAGAATAGAAAATAGAGAAATTTTCAAGAAAAGGAAAGGAAAAGCTTGAAGAAATTCGATACAAGCTATTTTCTTGGGAAAGTGAGGGAAAAAAGGAAGGATGGTTCGTGTCCGAAAAATATATAAATGCATGTTTTTTTGCATTTTTAATGACAATCTTCAACTGGATGCGATTTCGAGATGATTTTTAGATTTTTTGAAGAAAATTTTACCCCACGAATCGTGGGCCACGATATTCCTGATTTTCAGAAATTCTTTGGATTCCAGAGAAAAAATTAATTTCAAGAAATGAATAAATTGCACATTTCATATTAAAAATGGAATTCAATGGGTCACGCTAAAAATTACTTCGGAATAAATACAATTTTTGAATGCCTCGGAAATTGAAAAAGTTCAGGAACGTGGCAAAAAAATTCTCACAATCAGGAATTATTTGGCTCAAAAAATCCGAAATTTTCTGGCCAATTGAGCACAAAATTTATAGCTCAATTCAAGCCAAAACAATTTTCAAAAAATCCCTGGAGAAAACCACAAGATGAACAAAAATCTATTCAAAAAATATATAATCGATCGAGCGGATCCAATTTCTTCAAGGCCATTTGAAAAACCTCGAAACGAAAAGTCAAAACGAGGTAAGTAGAAGGAAAAAAAACATAATAAGTGACTATTTTAATTTTCTGCCGAAAATTTTGCGATAAGAAATTCATGTGCTTTTTTCTTTTGACCAACATCAAAAAATATGATTTCCGGAGGGGAAAATTGAATTTTTTGTTGAGAAAATCGAACAAATTCTCATCGAATTATGCAAATTTCAGATTCGGGAATAAATTCGATTTTTTTTTGCAAAATTAATTTTCTTTGTGTTTTTTAAATTTTAAAAAATGAATAAAACTCACATATTTCTAGTCCAACTTTCGCATAATCAAATTCTGAAAACTAGATTTTTAAATCGAAAAAATCAGTGAAAAATTATAATAAAAATTCTAGGTATCTAAAAAAAAGTTCTAAAAATGTTCGAAAAAAGTGTGTGTGTTGAATAATAAAAAAAAAAAGAAAGCGAGAAAACGAGAAAAGTAGAGAGGGACCAGAAAGAGCAAAAGTGAGCAGGAGAAAAAAAGAGCATTGGGGAGAGGAGAGACGCAGAGAGGTTAGAGATGAAAATGTATCAGGAGAAGGATCAAAACAACACAAAACAGAAGGAAGAAAAGAGAAAAAAAAATGAAAGGAGAAGATGAGAAAATGATGATATTGGTCAAGTGGAAGAAGAAATTGAGAAGAAGTTAGGGAATCTGCACAAAATGAGGAACTTTTCGGATATTTTGAGGGGCTGGGAATGTAGAGGTTGCAACGTGGAACAAAATAACCCAGATTTTTTCTGGACTTCAAAATAATTAGAAAAATTTAGCCACGTGGAATTTTCATTCAAAAAGTTAACTAGGGAATTATCCACATTTGTCCATTCAATAAATGTTAGACAGAAATTTAAATCTGAAATTTTCATCAATAAAATCCACGTGGGTTTTTTGTCCAAATCTGATGTAAACGACATTGCTCATCACAAAAATCTGTATTTTTACAATAAAATGTTGTAAAATAGAACGACCAGGTGCCCAAAGTGTAACAGATGCGTCTGTCTGTTCAAACTGTACTTTTTTTTCAAATAAAAAATGTTTGCCTGAAATGACGAATTCAATTTTGTGTGTTTCCAAAGCCAACCGTTCAAAAAACACAATTTTTTCGGTCGAAAGAAGAACAAAATTTATGATAAGAATAATAAATAACATCAGCTTCAAAGATCGACAACATTTTTATTCAAAACAAAAAATCAGTGAAAAAATATTTTATTTGGGAAACTGCACAAAAAAGTATATTTTTTTCCACGTGGAAAAAAAGAAAATAAATTTTGTTTATAAAAAACTTCGATTTGTAAAAAGTTATAAACATTCGAAAAATGCGTGAAAAGGGGAAGGAGAGATAATACACTGCTCCACAAAAAGATAACCTCACCCCTCATTTTTCAAAAAAAGCGAAAATTTGAATTTTTTGAAAAAAGTTTGTTTTTGAAAAACATGTCAAATTTGGATACTAATTCATCCCTGAAAACAAATTTCAGATTTGGTAAGCGCTGAAAAAAAATTGAGAATTTTCAAAAAAAGCCGATTTGCCAATCCACATAATGATAACCTCACCCCATGTTTTTTGACGAATTCGGACTTTTTAGTCGGAGTTAGTCACCCAAAATGTGTTAATGTGTGGTTGGTGAGTTTTTAATCTTAAAAAAACCCAGTGCCACGTTTCCAACAAGTTGTGAGCATCAGATTTGGAGCATTGCGATGTGAAGAGCATTTTTCAATCATTTTATACAGATGTTGCTATTTTTTTCATTTTTTTTCAATGTTTGACGTTCAAGACGATCCAAATGATCTGTTTTAAGCTCATTATGTTAAAAAAATTGGAAAAAATTGAAAAAAAAGAAGAAAACAATCGAGATGCGAATTTTGAATTTCGCGCCGATTGAATATTTGGAGCACCCACGACGTAAACTTTTGAAAATTACTGTTTTTTTTTGTTTTTCAAATTGTTTTCTAATGATAAATACTTTTCTAACATCCCACATCAAATTTTCATCCAAAATTCCGCGAGGAAAGCCTCTTTCTGATTTTGAAAAAGGGCAAATTACAGCCAAAAAAGATCAACGAATTTCAAATCGACAAATCGCAAGCTCAGACGACCAGGACATTTTCCGGTGCCATAATTTCGCGGATCGTTAACATAATTATTGATAACTCGTGGACTACGGCCTAAATCTCTTGATTTGTCGATTAGAAATTCGTTGATCTTTTTTTGGCTGTAATTTGCCCTTTTTCAAAATCAGAAAGAGGCTTTCCTCGCGGAATTTTGGATGAAAATTTGATGTGGGATGTTAGAAAAGTATTTATCATTAGAAAACAATTTGAAAAACAAAAAAAAACAGTAATTTTCAAAAGTTTACGTCGTGGGTGCTCCAAATATTCAATCGGCGCGAAATTCAAAATTCGCATCTCGATTGTTTTCTTCTTTTTTTCAATTTTTTCCAATTTTTTTAACATAATGAGCTTAAAACAGATCATTTGGATCGTCTTGAACGTCAAACATTGAAAAAAAATGAAAAAAATAGCAACATCTGTATAAAATGTTTGAAAAATGCTCTTCACATCGCAATGCTCCAAATCTGATGCTCACAACTTGTTGGAAACGTGGCACTGGGTTTTTTTAAGATTAAAAACTCACCAACCACACATTAACACATTTTGGGTGACTAACTCCGACTAAAAAGTCCGAATTCGTCAAAAAACATGGGGTGAGGTTATCATTATGTGGATTGGCAAATCGGCTTTTTTTGAAAATTCTCAATTTTTTTTTCAGCGCTTACCAAATCTGAAATTTGTTTTCAGGGATGAATTAGTATCCAAATTTGACATGTTTTTCAAAAACAAACTTTTTTCAAAAAATTCAAATTTTCGCTTTTTTTGAAAAATGAGGGGTGAGGTTATCTTTTTGTGGAGCAGTGTATTATGGTGTGGAAAAATTAAAGCTAAAAATTTCAGATATTTTCAGCCAATTTTATCTAGCTGGGTTGAAAAAAGGGAGAGATACGGTGTGGAAAAATCCCAACTTTCAAAGAAAAAAATACGCCTAGAAAAAATCCGCAAACAACAAACACTACGCGCATACCCTACAGTACCTTCCGGAAAAAGAGCAACGGGAACCCCCGGGGGTTTTTAGCGGGAACCCTGATATTCCCTCACGAACTATATATATCTCGAGTAATCCTTGGATCTAGTTGTTAGGAAAAACTCTAAATTTTCACACAAATCTAAAAACACATTTTTCTTGGGTGTTCACTAAGCCTAAGCTTTATAGAGAAAAATTAAGTTTTTTTCCGAAAAAAATCATTTCGAAAACACACCTCGGCCAAAATCGTGGTTTCCACAATAAAAAATTGTACGCTAACTTTTTATTATCGAAAATCTCATCGGTACCACGCGCTCCACCGAAATGAACACGCAACGCAGACCGCGTCGCGCCACAACACACACAAAAAAGGGAGGGAATTTGAATCGTTCCCTTATTTGTGTGTGTTGTGGCGCGACGCGGTCTGCGTTGCGTGTTTATTTCGGTGGAGCGCGTGGTACCCATGAGATTTTCGATAATACAGTACAAAAATTGTGAATATTCCAATTTTTGTCCTCTAAAAATTGCGATTTTTCAATTTTTGACCTCTAAAAACTAAAATTCTGATTTTTCCAAAATTTGTACTCTGGCCAGCCACGGCTTGGCCGAGGTGTGTTCGAAAATGAAAAAATTCATTTTTGAAATGACGAAGGTAAATCTGGAAATGCCGAGGGTTGTACAAAATGACGAGGGTTAAAGACACGTAGAAAACTAGAAATCGTTCAAAAATCATTATTTGCATGTTTTTTATCATCCTTCAAATAGTGGAAGTACATAAACAAAAGTGAAAAATATTGAGTTTAGCGAAAGTCAAAAAAAGAAATTGCCTTTTTTGAAATCGCTCAGCCGACGCGAAATTTGGTGTTTGCACAAATGCCCGTGATTTGCCGCACATGTGTGCATTCTTAGCATACCGTACCACCACTTTTTATTTATTTTTTGTTTTTTCAAACGAACAACACACAACTTTGAAAAAAGGTGCGCGTTCAAATTTTGAAGATTACGAACACACATTTCTAGTTTTCTACGTGTCTTTAAACATTCGAGGGTTGGTTTCCGAGGGTTGTACATATGACCATCATCCGATTTAAATGTTTATTCACTTTTAAAATTAGGTCTGATGTTTCTCAACAAAAAAACGGTTATTTCTGCAAGTTTTTCATCTCACATATTTTCTGGAAATCACAATTTTGAAATGAATTCTATGGATTATTTCGAAAAATTAATTGATGACCTCATTTAGTGCAAAATTAGTGTTTCTTTCCAAAAAGTCCGAGTCTACATGGAACATAGCAAAACAAAAAGAAATTGCAGAAGTTGCGAATAGAAAATTCTTCACAAAAACATGATTTATGAAGTTCTTGTGTTTCTTCGATTCATCTGTTGAAATACGAAGGATGCTGTATTGGCCATTGATTCATTTTTCGAAGTCAGTTTTGAACGTTGACTGATTTTTCTGATGATCTGATTCACTGCAAAATCAATTGTTGTCAAAAACAACCTAGAAAAAAACAACTCACAATTCCTTTTCAGTTGTTTATTAGTTGACAACATTGCAATTGTTGAAAATGATCCATGTTGGAAAAAACAAAGTGTCAAAAAATGTATGACAATTTGCCATTTTTCCATAGAAAGTTTCAAGAGAAAAGCGGAAAAGAAGAAAATGATTGGTGAAACGAGAAATATTATATGAACACCAAGTTGTATGAACAAACTTCGAAGAAACGATTTTTGAATAATCATGGTGCTTTTGGAAAACATTGTAGTATTTGAGGATAACGCGTGATATGATGCGAGAGCCATTAGAATTATGGAGATAGCAGCGATTACTGCGGAAAATGTGGCAGTTAGTGCGAAAATTATTGATTTAGAAGAATCGAGGTTGAAGACAAGGCAATTTTCACAGAAGATAAAGTTTGGAAGCGGTCCATTTTCCTGGGAAAATTTTGGTTTTATTTCAACATTCGAAAATAACAGACAATTCACCGAGACCACCCACAAAGCCTCCCACTTTAACTGGCCTTAGAGATAAAAAAATGTGAAAATATCTTCCTGTACGTAAAATTGCGTCGCAGTGTTTGCATACACCAACGCTTTTGAGAAAAATAAAATACTAACCTTATCAATTCGTATTTTCAAATCCATTTGATTTCGAAAATCCTGATAGGAATAAATATAACTGAAAATCACTAGGAATTGAGTCAAAGTATAGAAATAGTTTATCGATTTTGCGAATAGATAAAATTTTCTTGGAATAAATGAAACAAGACATTCCATTCGATGTTCCAGTAAAATTCGAATTGTAGCCGCACTTGATAGTAAAAAAATCAGAAATAAACCGACAGAATTCGCGGGATAATCATGAATTATTCCGAATCCACACAAACTCATCCACGGTGGAGTTGTCATAAATTTCCAGACGATTGACAAATAATTTTCGAAAAAAATATTTGATAACGTGTGAATGAACAATAATGTTTGATATTGTCGAAAAGTTGCGGGACTTTTTGATTTTAACGCAAAAATTGCAGTGATATAAATGAGGTTTGAGAAAATTGATGAGATTTTTAAAATATTTATGAAAACATCGAATCCTATCAGATTTTCATGACACGTTTGATTTGGAGAAAACAACATGATTATGATATAATATTTGACTTTTTGTTTTCGAGACATTTTTAACTCATTAGTTAATTAAATTATGCTCATTCTCATTTTTATTCAACATTATTCGAAACAGTGATTTTTCTAATTCGTATTTTTTCAACTAAAATCTATGCGTTAACGTTTGGAAATAATAGCAAGAAAACTATTTCAAAACGTATCACACAGAGTAAATAGGAAAAATGGTTGAAAGTACAAAGCTGCAAAATTCATATGTACACTGCCTCCCCAAATCTACGTGTGTGTGGAAAAACGAAAAATGTCTGGCACGCTCTCACAAACACACACTCTCTCGCACACAACTTTTTACTTTTATTTCGCGAAAACAGTGCATATTAGGAGCTGATTTTTATGTGTTTTTCATCAGAACCACAATAACTGTTATACATAGTTCGAAAGAGAATTTCTTCGGCTACAAACACATATGAAATGTTATATATGAAAACGAGGTAAAAAAAATAAAAATTTCATGCAAACATGACATGGTTTTTTTGAATTGTGTGAAAAACGCATGTGTTTTTTGATGACCTGGCTTATTTTTTGAATATCGAATATATGTATAATCGAGTCGTAGTTTTGTGCAGAATCTCAAGGGCTTTCAGATGATGTAAATCAATATTTATGAAATTGTGAAATCATGGAGGAGTAGGGATTTTTCGTTTGTCAATTTTTTAAACGAAATTTTGATTTTCATTTGAAAGGAACTCGAATGAAGTTTACATACGTTTTGTAGAGAATTTCTCGGGCTTCAAAATCATATATATTTCTATACACAAAAATGAAAATTGAAAGCACCGCTTTCGGTTGAAAACTCACCGCTGTTTTTCGCAACGCTACTAAACGCGCTTTGTTTGTTTGGTGCAAACCCAACAAGTTTTCAACCGAAAGCGGTGCTTTCAATTTTCATTTTTGTGTATAGAAATATATATGATTTTGAAGCCCGAGAAATTCTCTACAAAACGTATGTAAACTTCATTCGAGTTCCTTTCAAATGAAAATCAAAATTTCGTTTAAAAAATTGACAAACGAAAAATCCCTACTCCTCCATGATTTCACAATTTCATAAATATTGATTTACATCATCTGAAAGCCCTTGAGATTCTGCACAAAACTACGACTCGATTATACATATATTCGATATTCAAAAAATAAGCCAGGTCATCAAAAAACACATGCGTTTTTCACACAATTCAAAAAAACCATGTCATGTTTGCATGAAATTTTTATTTTTTTTACCTCGTTTTCATATATAACATTTCATATGTGTTTGTAGCCGAAGAAATTCTCTTTCGAACTATGTATAACAGTTATTGTGGTTCTGATGAAAAACACATAAAAATCAGCTCCTAATATGCACTGTTTTCGCGAAATAAAAGTAAAAAGTTGTGTGCGAGAGAGTGTGTGTTTGTGAGAGCGTGCCAGACATTTTTCGTTTTTCCACACACACGTAGATTTGGGGAGGCAGTGATGTACCTTTAAAATTACAGTAACCCTAAGCCCATTTCACACTGAAAATTTGAAAATTTCTAGCTCTTATAGAACTAAAATTGAAAATTTGGTTGAGAAACTAATCTGATCTCACGTTACATGAAATGTAAGTTATCAACCTAAAATATTTATACAAAAAATGAATAATTCAATATGCCGTATGAAATATTTGATCTATAAATTCTTGCCAAATCCCAAACCTAAAGAAAGAACGAAAAAAATATTTCAACTAAAAATAACAAGAGAAAATGAATTTCTATCAATATTTGGTGGCATTTTTGGTTATTTTGGCGTCGTCAAGTTTGGCAGAAGAAAGAAAAGTTTTGAAAAATCCCGAACCAATATGGCGTGGTGTTCATTAAATGATTGAAAATGTTCTAAACATTGTTACAAATAAACTTTCATTATTGCAATTGTTTTTTTGTTATTTTTATCAATTTCAGGAAAAAAATCACTTTTTGAAACATTTTCAGGTTTTCTGGATATCACAATCATTATTTGGAAAAATTAGTTGATGACCTTATTCAGTGCAAAATTAGTGTTTGTTTCCAAATAGTCCAAGTGTTTTTGTGAAACGTTTTTTTCGGTCAAAAAGTCTATAGTCCATAAGATTAATTGCTTTATTTTACCAAAGATCGATATTTTGCAATCTGTCAAAATCATTGGATCGTTCACTTTTTTCAAACCAAGATTCATTTTTCTAACTGTGATTTCTGTTTTGATTTATGGTTCCTCGTGGCTATAGATATATTTCTAATGGCACAATATACGTGGCCAACCGAAGTAATTAGACAAAACTTAGACAATGATTTTGTGCGAACATATAAAGAGACAACTGAAAATGTACCATTTATTGTAGCGAGTTATAATGTAAGTTTCTAGTTACTACAAAAAAAATATATGTTTAGATTTTCACACTTTTATGGAAAGTAAACAATTTTTGAAATTGATAAGTTATAAATTTATTTGACAAGAAAGTTTTAAAAATCACAAAAAAAATGAAAAACGGGAAATTGATAAAAATAAACCAATAAAAGCAATATATACAAAAATAAAAAACATTTTCCTAATAATTTTCAGAAATTGGTAATGGTCTGAAAAATGGGGGCCGAGATTTCCATGGAATTCGATGAACTAGTTTTCCGTTGAATTGAAACCCGGTGACACAAAACGAAAATATGTTATGAGAAATTCGAAGTGTCGCAGCCTTAGTTTCGTTCTCATTTTTCACTTCGAAATCATCTTCCGTTTCATACATTAAAGTGTTGTCTTCGAATTCTTCAACGAATAAATAACTGAAAATTTGATTTTGACTTCCAATGAGTTTGAGAAATTGAGCACTCGAGGATTAAACTCACTTTTTGCTCTTGAATCCATCATCCCATTTAGTGACATTTATTCCCTCTAATAATTCATCAATATCAAATCGATATCCAATCCAAGTGAATAGTTGCACAAAATCATCGCGAAGCTCGCCTTTAATCCACTTTTTCAAAAATTCATTGAGAGTTTTTATCGAAATCATAGATCTCGAATCCATTCTCATTTCGATCTCTTTTGCTTTCAATTTGAAAAATTGTTCATCATCAAATCCGGGAAGAGCGATAAATGAAATTTTTTCGCAGTTTACAAGTTGTGGCATAATGATATCAATAAAATCGGGTGGCAAAAACAATTCCATACCATTGCAATCTTTCGCAGAAATTTCCAAATATATCATTTTTCTTCCCATTTTTTCGATATACCATAATAAAGAATCAAGGTTTTCCGACGAAATTTTGAATCTTTCGATGTTTTTGAAACATGCAAAAAGAATTGATTTGAGCCGGAAACTTGTCTATAATAAAAAAAATTCCTTGATTGATTCAAAATTTGAGGTGAACTATTACCGTCTCAACATTGATTTCTTTAATTTGGTATTTCGTTTTTTGCAATATCATTTGAACATAATTCTGAGCCGCTTCCTTATAATCCATATTCTTCGTTGCGCCAATGATTTTCCAATATTTTCGTCTCGATCTTCTGAAGAAAAAACCCGGTAAATATTGAAAATATTAAAAACAAAAAATTTACCTGTACAAAAAACAATCATCTCCTTCTTTCACGAATTTCAATTTGATGAAATTCTCACGCGATTCATCAAAATCAATTTCCAACTTTACGAAATGCCTTTTCTCTTCATCGAAATAATTCGGAATTCCTCCAAATCCTTCAATTACTCCCAAAGCAAATATGGGAAATCGTAGAGCCATTTCAAATGAGTAATTAGTTTTTGATGAAGACGCAAATCTTGATCTGAAATATAATAATATTATTAGGATATTACGGTAATTCAGAAAGACAAAAATTGTTTATTTATACCTCCAGGTATTTTTTCATGAAAAAATTTCAGAAATTAGAAAAATTGGGAAAATTCTGAAAAATAAACTGTGCGCATAAAAATTGATCCGTTTTTTTTTCACCGTTTTTTTTTTGAGTCTAAACGTGAATTGTTATTCGTTTTTGGTTCCCAATATTTTGAGCCCTGAATTTTAGGCGCTGAACGGGAAAATAGAAGTTTGATAATAAAAAATACTTACCTTGTAACAATATTCATATTTTGGATTATCATTTGGCCTATTTCGGGCGGCAAATCGAGCCATTTTTTGAACGATTTGCACTTTCCCTGAAATTCTTTTACTTGTTTTCAACAATAGAAATTAAAATTACCTCGTTCGATATCCCGCTAAAATCATATTCAAGAAATAAATCGAAAAAATCGCGATTCATCTGAAATTCAGTTCCAATTTAAATCGAGATTTACGAGAAGCTGCGGTTTTAAAAATATAAGAATCGAAAAGAAATGTTCTCAAAAGAAAAAGCTCAATAAAATAAAATACATGACAAAAATACATTTTTTTTAAATACCGTATACCTGGAAAAATTTTTCCTTGAAACATTCAAACAAAAAACCATTTTTGAAAAAAACAAAACAACTTTATAACAACAAAAACCTATCTAATATTTAAAAAAAAATCCTATCTCAAAAAATATACAAAAATTTGTTCAGCAAGGCGTTGAGGAGATCTGCAAAATAATTTTGGAATTTTTATTTCAAAAACTCTTTCGAAAAACATACCGTAATCATTCTACCGTAATAAAACTTGAAATTGTTGCGCCAAGTTTTGCTCAATTTTTTTGTGAATCACATTGACTTCATCTTTCGTCAGCGCTTTTTCATGACTTCGATAAACAATTCGATAAGTTTGTGATTTTTTGCCCTTTTTCTTGTTCTCGAATTCGTCGGTTAATTTGACCTGGAATATTTGAGATTTACTTTTGCAAATCCAGAAAACCCAAAATTACTGTACCTGTTCAACAAGTTCTCCACCAATTGTTCTAATAACATCATAAACATCCGAAGTCATATCATTGAATTGCACATTTTCCGGCAAGAAAAACGAGACATCAAAAATCACCTGAAAATTCCTCACTATCAAAATTATCTTCGATTTTCAAAAAAAAACCTGTGGATGTGCACTAATCTCCTTATATTTTACTTCATCTTCCGGTGTTTTTCCTGCAAATTGTGATACAAATCCACTATCTTTCGACCAGAATAATCGAATATCTGGGATTCCATACAAAACCATTGCGATTCGTTCTAATCCGATTCCGAAAGCCCATCCAATTTTGTCGCGAACACCAGCGGATTCGAGGATTTCTTGTTCCATAATTCCACAGCCAAGCACTTCAAGCCATTGTCCATTGTAGAAAACCTGAAAATTTTTGATGTAATTTCGGAGAATTTTTTAGATTCTAAGTTTACATCAAAATCTAAACTAGAAAAAAGAAAAATGTTGTTCATAAATGAAAAAAAATTTTAATAAAAAACATTTCCTAACCTCTAATTCAAAAGATGGATGAGTAAATGGAAAATAAGCATCAATCCATCGTTTCTGACAATCTTTTCCAAATAATTCATCACAAAGATTCTCCAAAAACTCTTTGAGTTGAATTTCAGCAACTCGAACCGCATCATATGTATGAACTCCTTGTTTTTCTTTATTTCTCTCTTCATTTTTCGAAAATATTTCAGCAGGATTTTCAGATTTTCCAAATAATTCATCTTTCGAATATAATCGAACTCCTTCAATTTGATGAAAACATGGATAATGAGTTCGATCAACTTCATCTCTTCGATAAACATCTCCAATTACTAAAAATGCATCGAGTCCTTGTTTCATTAAAGAATGTTGATGAGCTGAAGTATGAGCTCGAAGACATTCATTTGAATTTATGTAATACGTGTCAGATGGGCGGCTGGAAAAAAGATATAGAAATTTTTCGAGAATCCTGTCGAGGCGTATCCAAAAAAGACACTGTACAAAAATTTTCAACTAAAAATTCCCGCCCAAATCAAAATTTCGATTCGGGCGGGAAGCTAATGAACATTTTCAAAAGCCACACTGCACATTTTTTTGACGAAAAAGTAAAGTGTTCATTGATTTTCAGCGGATTTTTATGAGAATATTCAAAATAATTCAAAACTTCGCCAAGTGTGTTCAAGAATCATTTTTTTTATTTTTCCAATATTATTTCTCAAAAAATGATTTTAAAAAAAAACTCACCGTGAAACATGATTTTCAGGTGTCAAAAGCGAGTCAAAATTCTGAAAATTCGTCACAATTCTCGGCTCATTTTCGCAGATTGTAAAAAGTGGAGAACGATTTCCTGGAAAAAAAAGTTTAGATCGAAAATTCTCTGAAAAAAAAATTAAAATTTTACCAGCTTTTCGATAAGTTTGATGAACATAATTAATAATTCTCTGTTTCAATAAATTCAGTGGATTTGATTGTTCTCGCAAAATTCGACGATTTAATAAATGTCGAACTGCTGGGGAGAGATTCCAAACATCGTCGGTTTTATGTTTTCGACCATCGAGCTGTGAAATTTTCTTTTTTTTTTATTTTTGGACACCCCATTTAATTGTAAAATTTTTAGGAATGTATTTCTATCGATTTTTCAGTTCAGAAATACTATTGTTTCGATAAATTTTAGAATTTTCAATTTTTTTCAATGAAAACCTAAAATTCAGATTTTTCAGCCAAAACCCACCTCAAAAACCTCCGGTCGTTTTTTCTCGAAAACCACCTTCTCATTTTCAGCCTCTTTTTTCACTGCAGTTGACAAAAATCTCGCCTCATACTTTAATATCCCAAAACCCCGCAATAACCTTCGACTCAACATCTGACTTTCTAAACAAAAACCTTTTTTTTTGGAAAAAAAACTAGGAAAAAGAAACTGTTTCATAGAGGTCTTAAAGCCATTTAAAAGAAAAAATAAATAAAATCTATCAACAAAAAAAAAAAGAAAACAAATTTTACACGATGAGAAAATTGAACAAGATCACATATAACTATAAATACAGAATTTTGAGACAAACAAAAGGAATAAAATTGGGAGGGAAGGGAATTGCGTACAATACACACAAAACTACATGAAATTGCACACATTTTTCGGGGAAGAAAACATTTTTGTGTTCCGTTTGCGTTGAAAGATTTCGTCGCCACGTGTCACTTGATTCGCCGCTAAAAATTGAAAATAAGTGAGTTTTTATTGAATTAATTGACAATTTTTCTTTGAAAAATATTGAAAATTACCCGTTTCACGGCGATTTCTTCATTTTCTCGAACCTTCATTGTTCTATTCGATCCACCATTATTATTTCGCTCATTTTCTGTGACGACTAAAACATCGTGTCGAGCTCGGCGAGATTCGGCGCATTGCATCCATTTATCGTCCAGAAGTTGTTGAGCGGTGGGACGTTTGTGCGGCTGAAATTTGTCAATTTTTTGACTGGAACTCGAAAAAAAACATCTGCGAAACCTATCAGCTCGAAAATTTTGTATATTTCAAAACGTGAACATTTCAACGTGATCATTTTGAACCCTCCCCCCCCCCATTTCTCATTTTCAAAATTCTTACATCAACAGTCAACATTCGCTTGATAATATCCTGTGTTTCCACAGTAATTCTCCTCCATTGTGAATGAAAAATCAATCTTCCCTTCAAAACTTGATCATTCATCGACATATCATCATATTCCTCACTAAATGGAGGATATCCGCTAAATGTGATGAATAAAACACATCCCAAACTCCAAACATCAACTTTAGGCGTATATTCATTTCCCTCGTTTTCCACAATTTCGGGCGCGTTATATGATGGTGTTCCGCATTTCGTCTTCATTCTTGATGTATTGTTCTTGGCCATCCCGAAATCGGTCAACTTCAAAAGACATCTTTCTTGTTTGGAAGTGCAAAGAATGTTTTCGGGTTTGATGTCTCGATGACAAACTCCAAGAGAATGCAAATATGTGATTGCATCAATTAATTGAAATGCATAATATTTGCCCAAAACTTCGCCAACACCAAGACGATTGTATCGAGGATCGACGACTTTTGAGAAGAATTCGCCTCCTCCAACATATTCGATAACCATGTAAGAACATTTGCGGATTGTGATCCAGTCGTAGATTTTGACAACATTTGGCTGAAATATAATCTTTACATATTTTTAAAGGTTGAGAAAATTAATGACTCACGTGGTTGAGCTTTTTCATCACATCAACTTCATTCTTGATATCTCTACTCTTCGCAACCGCTCGACTACATCTTATTGAGAATTGAGTATTCACCAATTTCACAGCGACATTCATTTTATCACGTTTTCGATAGCCTAGGAGAACCTTTCCATATCCGCCTTTACCCAAAGCATGACTTGTAACATTATATTTCCTGGTTAATTCTTCAGGTAATTCACAATCTGTCATATCTTCATAAACGAATACAATAAGTCTTGGAATGCCGATCGATATCAAATCGCCGTTGTGTAATTCTCTTGGTACATTTTTCTCAAGCTCTTCATGGTTTATCAATGTTCCATTTCTTGATAAATCAGTGATTCGCGTGACATTCTCATTGAAATCTCTGGTTAACGAGAATTGTATCTTCGAAATATAGTTATATAAACCGCGATCTTTGACAAGCGCAGAAAAACTATAATTGACTGGCGAATCTGGTCCACCTCTTCCGCATACAAAATTCTCATCATAAAGTTCAATATTCGAAATTCCGTTCCGAACTCCAACAAGTTTTGCATACGGCTTCGGTTGTTCTAAATCATCCAAACTTTCATCGACGGGTTGTGTGTCGTCGCCATCGATTGTGGGGTTTTTCGACAGCGTCACTTTCAGAGCTCTCGATCGAGACCGCAACTCCATCTAAAATCACGTTATTCACTTGGATTTTGACTTGAAAAAAGTGCGAGCAATTTGCTCAAAAAAAAACGCGAGGAGAAAACGTAGCGTGGCGAGACCATTCCTGGAAAATTTGGTTTTCTAGGCCCCGTGCACCCGCGCATTCAAAACGTGTATTTTTATTTCATTTTTTTAATTTTTCAGACATGGATTTTCCTGGACAAACACCAAATGTTGCCATAGATCTAAACGATGCTGGATTCTACTCATCGGACTTTCAAACATCAACCGATTCGGGACAAATGGCAACCTCACCAACCGGTCAAATCTCGGCCAACGCATATCGTCGAGCAAATGTCGGCTCAGCCGGCAAAGTTTTGGAGAATAATGGATTCGGATGGTTGTTGGAAGTGAATGAGGATGAAGGAGATCAAATACCACTTTTGTAAGTTTTTCAAGGAGAAAATTATCAAAAATAAATGAATTCAGAGAAGAATTGGACATTGATTTGACCGATATCTACTATAAAATTCGATGCGTTTTGCTGCCTCTTCCATATTTTCGAATGAAATTGAATATTGTTCGAGAATCTCCAGATTTCTGGGGACCACTTGCAGTTGTTTTATCATTCGCGTTATTGTCATTATACGGGCAATTAGGGGTGAGTAGTTTGTGAAACATTGAAAATTTCGGAAATATCTTCCAGGTTGTCTCTTGGATTATAACAATGTGGTTTTGCGGTGGATTTATGGTATATTTCATAGCTCGTGCACTTGGCGGTGATGTTGGATATTCTCAAGTTCTCGGAATCGTTGGCTATTGTCTAATCCCACTTGTTGTCACATCACTTCTTACACCAATCGTTTCATCTTTCCGATTTTTGTCGAATTTTTTGGGAATTTTCGGAACTGTTTGGAGTGTTTATAGTGCTGGAACTCTTCTTTGTGTTGACGAATTGCAATCCAAAAAACCGCTCATTGTTTATCCCGTTTTTCTTTTGTATGTTTATTTTTACTCTCTTTATTCGGGTGTTTAGAATAATATTGTGATAGAGAAAACTCAGCCGACCTTGTTTTCCAAACTTGTATTTATTTATTAATTCCTCTAATTTTTCCTGAAATTTTAAGACAAAAATAAAAAAAGACATGTTAATTTATTCAACAATTTCATTTTTCAAGAGTTTTCTACAGAAAAAAGAGCATGAAAAAATCGTGGTCTACGAAAAAGAAAAATAAGTGAACTAAATACTTTTTTTCATTCATACGAAACTTCAAATGAATACAACAAAGGAATGTATGTTTTTCACCATCATCGGGGGAGACGCGCGGGGGATTCTAAAACCTACTGTTCAAACTAAGAAATTTTCAAATAGAATAGACAGTCCTAGAAATAAGAAAAAAAAAAGAGAGAAGAGTTATCTAAATACACATTGTTTTTCCCAAAAATATAAATTCCTAGATATGTGTTTGTAGTTTTTTAGTAATAATAGTGGACAGGAAAAAGGGACTCTATATATACATAAAAGTCGAGAAATAATAGTACAGGGGAAAATGGTTAGTTATACTAATGGGGCTGCCCAGATTTTATCGAGGTCTTTGAGTGATCGAAGCATATTCATTTCATCTTCCATCGCGGCTGCTGATTTGATTGGAGACGGATTCCAGCATGATCCATTTGGCCTGCCAATTGGACCATGATTGTTTGGAGTTCCAGATGGCCAATATGCTGTTGATGGTGTATTGATTGACGCCGGTGTGAAGATTTTATTCGATGCAGCCAATCCGCTGAACGATAAATCACGAATGAATCGTTCTGCGTTGAAGTTTGGATTGATTTGTTGATTCGTCTCCAAGCTATTTGGTCGAGAAACCGGGAAATCGCCCAACAAATCTTGCAAAACAGCATCACCACAGATTGAAGAAGACGCACTGCTCTCATCAATAACACAATTACGTGGCATTTGTCCGCGAGCCAATGCTGCACCATAAGATGGACCTTGATTCATCTGTTGTTGATGTTGTTGTTGTTCAGCAGCTTGACGCATCGCATAAGGTCTTGTGATTCCAGCTGGAACTGATGCGGAAAGCGGTTTGTTTGGTTGACGACGCTTCCATCCATCAACCGACGCCATTTCATAATAAAATCCATCAGAATTCGGATCATAATATCTCATGGTTGGTTGTTGTGCAGCAGCTTGTTGCGCTTGTTGCTGAACTTGTTGTTGCAAAAGTGCGTGATGCAAAAGAGCAGCCTGCGCGGCTTGTGCAGCCAACAAATTTTGCTGATGTTGTTGTTGTTGTTGCTGTTGTTGAGCTCCTTTGGCTTCCTGGAAAATTGGTTGTTTTGCTGGTGTTGTTTTTTCAGAGAAAAGGGCTCAAGTACTTACAAGGTTTTTTGCAAGAGTTGCACTTTCAGAAAAATGAGCTCGAGGAGATCAGAAAAAGTGCAACTAGGGAGTGCAAGTGCACTTTGGTAATTTCATGGTCCCAGTTTCTTTTTTTTTGTTGAAAAAAAAAAAATAAAAAATTACCTCTTTTTTGAAGCCGTTTGGCATTCTTCTTCTCCAGCCTTTTGCTCCATTTTGCTCATAATAATAACCATCTGAGGCAACATCATAGAACCAATATTCTTCCGATGGCAGTTTTGATCCACTTTGTTTTGAGATAGTCAAATCATTCAAAATTGTCTGAAGTCTCTTCTCATCATAACCCTCTTCCGAACTTTCACTCATCGCAGGTCCCGCCGAATATCCCTCTTTTCTTGCGGCTCCTTGACAACTCATTGTCTTCCGCAACCGTTTTTGCTTGTTCACATTGTTGTTGACTGTGATGGAATTCTTTCTCTCTTCATCCGAAGAACTCGCTGGTTTTGTCGATTTTTTGTCAGCGAACAAGGAGAGATCGGTGTCAGCCATGAACCATCCAAGGGTTTTTGCGCCACGTGCGCCGTTTCCGCTAGTTCCAGTGCTCATCATTGTAGCGAGCGCTCCACTTTGCTTCATTGAGGGACCGTAAAACCTGGAAATAAATAAAATAAGGACTGAAAAATTAGAAAGTCTAAAAAATGAGAACAAGAAAAAAGCGAATAATTTTTCGTTACTTCGTTTCTCTTTTTCTCATTCTTCCCCGGAACACACAGCTGACCACAAGCAAGAAAAAAAAGCAGAGAAAAGAGAAAAAAATGAAATAGAAAGAAAGAGGGAAGCTAAAATGAGTCACACAGCGTCTGAAATTCTCGTCGTTTTATAGCTCCGCTCAGCTGACTCGGTGTGTGAGGGGAGGAGACGAAAAGGACAAAAATGGGCATTCGTAGAAAACAAGATTTTTCCAACGAAGAGAAGAGGAAGAGTTCGGTTGAACTATTTGGTTCAACTCCAACAAAGCTAGGAGGTCATGTGAACTTTTTGCCAAATGAATAATAGAAAAGAGATAGTCATAACAAAAACATCTAGTTTAATCCCTGAACTTTTTATGATCGTTTCGGTTTGCATAGTATAACAAAAAAGGCATTACGCAGTGATCGCTCACACGATTACTAACATAAATGAAAAAAATCATATAAAATTCCAAATCTGTTCTTCTTCTCCTCATATAGTAAAAAAACGATCGAGGTCAAATCGTACCATCTGGTGTATTTGAACAGCTTGGAAAATATATATGTTGAAAAGAAGGAGCGTGTTTTTTCTCACAGAAATTATGTTGATTCGAAGTATTTCGAAATTCAGACAAATAAAATATAAATGGATTCTTAGGGGAAGTTTCGCAATACTTTTTCACACACCAATTATTTTCTTATGCTAATCTATCAGAAAACTAAATAATAATAATAATAATGTTAATCTCTTTTTCTAGGTGACAAGATTGACATTTGACATCTATGTCAATAATCTGACAAGAGGGTGTGAGATAATCCGTGTAATTATGGTGAGCAGGGCGAGAAAACGAGAAAAATGCGAAAAAAAATGAAAAATTAATCTACAGTACCACCTGCTCAAGGCGCACAACAAATTTATGCGCGTCTCGGCGCGAAGAAAACATTTTGCGGGTCTAATTTTATGCAGAATTTTTATTTTTTTTCGCAAAAATTTTTTAGGCGCAAAATTTCGGGCAAACAATGAGATATTCAATGAATTTAAAATGAGAAAAGTGTTGCAAAATTTTCTACTATGATTTCTTGCGCTCATACAATTTCAGGTGACGCAACAAAAAAAGAAAATATAGAAAAAAATTTGGTCAAGACGAGAAATACAATACGCTCACAACACGACACCACTGTGTGTCATATAAGTAATTAATGTAACTAGAAAAAGGAGAGAATAAGATGAAGAAACAATGGTGGTGACCCTAGTCCCCGCATGTTGTTATAAGTATAAATAAATGAATGAATGGATGAATGTGTGCAGATGGTGGCAGGCAGATGTTATTCCCCCCTTCCCCCCAAAATGGTGTGGAAATGGGCGGAGCTTGTGTTCAAGCGAACGAACCTTTTGCTGACATCTCCTGTCGATGTTGTTGATTTCAACATAGTCGCCGTCGCCATGGTTGTTTTTTCATTCGCTTGCGCCACGTCGTAGACGTCCGATGCGCTGCAACTCGTCAATTTTTCGCGAGCCGTTTTGTTGTTGTTGCGGTCGACGTGTTAGTCGATGATCTTTAATTTTCTGTAAGAATTGAGAATTGGAAAAAAAATGAAGTGCGCTCTAACGAACAAATAAAAAAAAAGAGAATTATTCAAAAAATAATTATGCAAAAATATTCTTGACCTATCCAAAATTCTTGAAAGATCAAAGAACAAGAGCCGCCATGATTTATGACCATCACTAATTTTTAGCACATTTTTTATCCCTTCTCACAAAACTTTTTCTATTTTATCCTATAAGCAAATATCACACCAAAACACTATGGTGTAGATAGGTATACACTTTGTTTACTTATGCTAAATATTTGAACATATGTTGTTGGTGTGGTGTAAAATATAAACAAAAAATCAATCTCGAGAAAAAGTAAACTTTCCAAACAAAAAGTGCATCGGAAATTATGTGACTTCCTATCGAATCATCAAAAATCGGCAAAAAGAAGACAAAACGAAATGAAAAAGAAAGATAATTTCATCACATGTTCTTCTATCTTTTCCCATGTACGTGTTAATTCTGAACCCAAGCTATCGGCGGCGCCGAAAAGAACAAAAAAACAAATGAGAAATGTGGGTCTCGACACAAACTGTCACCGCTATGGCAGGCATATATATTTCGAACAAGAAAAAAGACCAAAAAAGAACGCATTTTTCTTGATGATATGATAATAAAAAAAGAAAATAATATGATAATATCAGAGAAAGCATCGGAGAAACACACAACAAATTCAAGAAGAAGAAGAAGAAATAAACAAGGTACCATCGAGATAACTAAAAAACTTATTTTATTTTCATTTGAAGAGTGACACGAAATTGACAAGGTCGTACTTAGCGAGAACAAAAAATAATCGCGAAAAAAACAGGTGAATTTCATCACATGTCTGATAAAACACCCGCTGGTAAATAATATGCATGTATTTATCGATGCTCACATGATTTTTAGACTTTTTAGTATATCAAAAAAAGTTTGTAAAACAAAAAACATTTCATCGAAATCATCAACCCGTCTGAACATGCACACGTAGTCTAGCGGTTAGTACGGGTGCCTACAAATCTATGCTGCCTAGTTCGACCCCCACTGCGAACATTTTAGTTTTTTTGTCTTTTGATTGATTTGCACTTGAGAACATTTTATTTTCAACCATAAAAGTGTGACATCTAGAGTGCAATTTCCCATATAAGTACCGATGTTTGCCCTTGTATATATGAGAAAAAGTTAATACCATTCATGGTTGAGAAATTTGTGCAAACAAAACGCCCCAAAAAAGTTTACACATTTTCATCCTGAACTAAAAAAAACACTGACAAAAAAAAACAAAAATTTGATGGAGAAGAAGAGAGGGGAGGAAAAACGATAACAGTTTTTCAATTTATATAAATATTATCGATGTGTGTGAGTGTGTATATGGAAACGTCACATATGACTCATGGAACACAGTTTTGTTGTGGTGATCATCGATTTTTCTTCTTTTTCTCGCCGAAAAAACACATTTGAACATTTTTGGCTTTTACAGGGAAGAAGAACACAGAAATTTTTTTTTCGATTTTTTTCTCATAGACGGTATCAGAAAAAAAAAAACGAAAAACTAGCGAGAGATAGAGAGACGCAGAGAAATATAATTGACAAAGATCGGTGCAAAATTTATGTGAAGTATTTAAAGGGACATGACGGGAGATTATTCTATCTAGAAAAAATCGTCATGAATAAAAACTAAAGGTTCATACAGTACTTCTGAACTTGAAGTTCAAGCAGGAAAAATAGAGTACAAGGAACACCTTTGACGAAAAATGTGTGTTTCTCATGGATCACGTGATTTTCACACACACACAACATACTCTAAAGAAACTAATTTTTCTCTGTTCCAAAAAATATCTCATTTTCTTCTTCTTCTCCTTTTTTTCTTCATGATCAATGCCAAACCCAAAAATCACCACCTCAAATGCGGTAAGAAAAAAGAAGAAAAAGAATTTCGAATATAAGAAAAGTTTAGTGGCGCCACCCACGGCGACGGCCTTGGTACTGTGCCGTAACATGAGCAATCATCTGTTTCGAAATATTTCGAGACCGCGAAAAAATGGGGGAAAACGAAGATGAAGAAGAGAGAATGGTTTTGGGGTTGGGTAAATAAATAGATAGCGATTTTTTTCGAAAAAAAAAACGAAAAAAAAAGTGGGCGGGTGGAAAAAAATAGATGGACATTTCGAAATGTTCTTTTTCTTTATTCAGAGATCGAAGATTGCTTGGTGTAGGGCAGGAAAAAAAGAAACATCATATGATCTGGAAAATTCGACAGTGTTTCAAAAAATCAGATTTTATCTGGAGACTTGGTTTCTTGGACTGTGTCAAATTTCAGGAAAATTATAATTGATATGAAGTTTTTTAGAGATAAAAATCGAGGAATATTTGATCTTGATTTTTTTGTCTGTTTTGAAACGTGGGAAAGGTTTTGGGATTTTCTGGAAGTTTTTTGTGGAGAAAAAAAAAAGAAATTCTACGAGAGAAATATTTCGAAATAATGGAAAAATCGTAAAAATTAGTGTTAAATTAGTGCGAAATATTTCGAAATACCAAAAATTCAAAGAACTTATTTCTAGAAATATCCGAATTTTTGGATCAACAAAATTGCGAAAGAATATTCTCTAGTTTCTCACAATTATCCTACATCAAGCTTCAAAAAAAATTTCCTGAGCTTCTTCTCAAAAACTCCGAAAGTTCCAAGAGTCCAAGAACCAGCTGCTAGAAAAAATCGCAACACACCGTCCGAAAATCCAAAAGAACACAAATAAATTGAGTGGGATAGGACCAATTCATCTCAAGCAAAAAACAAAAAAAAACGGAACTTTTCACTTTTCATCATCCAAAAAAAAGTGCAAATTCTATCAGCTGTCGTGTTCTTTTTCACTTTCTGAAAAATCACAAGTTCGAATTGAATCGAAGCGAAAAATAAATAGAAACGTGTGATAGATACAATTTTCAAAAAAAAGGAACATGACTAATGTTTGAACTATGAAAATGTAAATAAATACACAAAAATTGTGGAAAATGTGTGTGTTAGGCTGTGATGTGATAAGAAAAATAAATACATAGATAGAGGAAAAAATGGAGGTGGAGGAGGAAAAAATGATGTTTTTTATCAAGAAAAAAAATGAAATCAGAAGATTTTCAATGATGACGAATTGGAGAAAAATGCGAGAAAATACATTGGAAATCAGGTGCTTTTTTGTTTTCTGATAAGACTTCTAGAACAAATTTCGAGGATGACGTATTGGAGTAGGAAGGATTTAGTTTCACCGAAAAAATTATTTGGGAGATCAAGGAACTTAGTGGATTTATTCATTTTGGAAAATTTTTTATAATTGTCAAGTTCCCGGAACTTTCTAGAAGAGCTTCAATATTTTTAAAAGCCAGGGAAAAAATCAGAAACTTTGAAAGCCTCAAAAGGTTTTAGACTTCTTGAGAATATTTAAATTGTCTGAAACTTTTCAGAACTTTCTAAATAAAAAAATTAAACTTCCCAAAAAATCAATCGATTCAAAACAGAGAAAAAGATGAATCGTATCATCGGAAAAAATGAATGAATAGAAAACAAAATGAACACGATCCATAAAAATATCATGTCACAAGACAGTTTTTCAACAAAAAAAATGCGAAACACTCTTTTCCCAACCTCCAAGCAGCGGAACAAAAAAACACGAGGAAAAATAATAGAGACCCAGACAATCAGCTGATATTATTTTGCCTTGTGGGCGACCCAAAATGCACTTTCATCGAACTTGAAAAAACACAGACACATTTGAAAAATATAACAGAAAAATGAAATCAATTTTTGGCGCGAAAACACAGCAGGAGACACAAAAAGGGGAGAGAAAATCGATAAAATCTACGAAAATCCGTCCGTGCCCCGACGACGACACAGTAATTATGCGTTTCTAAATACCTCATCGTCACAAGGTCGCAATTTTTGGCGACAGAAAACAGACAAGACAAATTTTTGATGAGGGGAACTTTTGACCTCCATGGTTTTTTATTGGTTGGCGGAAAATGGAAGGTGGAAATTGTAAAAGTTTTCGAAATTTGTCTGACGCGTGGAGGGCACAATTTCAATTGAATAATCTTTGATGTGTACGTGGATTTTTGTGAATCATGTGATAAATACGAAAAAAGTGCTACGTGGATTCTTACAGATGAAATTCAGAATTATGTTAGGCGGCTGAAAGAAAACTGAAGAGAAGATTTTGAAACAGATAATTATTGATGTGTAGTCCAGAAATGATCCGAAGATAAAAATTAGGAGATTTTTTGGAAGCTGAGGCGGAAAATTAGATTGGATAAATTTGAAGACGAAATTAATTGTGAGTAAAAATTTGCCAAACTTTGAATTTTTGGCTGAAAATCAGATTTGAGATAAATTCTGAGAAAAATGTTCTGATCTCCGTTTTTTCTCTAATTGAAAAAAGCTAAAGTTCACCGTTTTTTTGTCTGCCTATACTAATCCCAAGAATGAACAAATTACATTTTCTCATTCTCATAAAAAACTTTTTTTCCCGATCACACACACACAAAGTTCACATTACAACGTCGTACAATAATAATAATAATTCTAATAATAAATGTTCATGTTGTTATGTCGTCCTCGAAAAACGGGCCGAGAAGAGAGAATGGGCTGAAATAAATCAAAACACAAACAAAAAATCCCGATATTCGTTCGTTTTTACACTTTCTGAAAGTTTCGCCCCAAAAAAAAATTGAAGATATTATGATTAATTAATTGGCCAACAAAAATGATCGAGAAATGCATTTTTTTTTGGTTTTGCAAAAAATAGACGAAAAATGGTATTTAAAATTGCCTGAAATTTGATTTTTTTTTCTCGACAATAAAATTTATAATTTGAACCAATTTTCAATAAATCCAAACCAAAATTTTTTCATGAGAAATAAAAAAAATGAGAAGAAAAAGTTTTCTTTT